GCAAGGATGGGTGGAAGGTACGGGTTTATTGACGAAAGGAGGCAAACAATGTCTGAAGCATCAGCAGATGGTTCCGTTGTCCTGGGGAATCCTGTAGCTCCCCCTGTAAATGGCGATATGTACACTGATATAAGCACAGAGAATGCCATGCTTCAAGGAACACGGTAAGGCAGCTAGCTATTTTATGTGTTCTTGGTGCTATTAAATGTGCATGAGTGTGCCCCTTGATAATTGAAAAGCCTACTGAATGTGCATTGGTATACAGGAGAACGATCAAAGGTGTTGAATATTTAGTTGAAGCATCAGCAGCAGAAGCTGAGGCTATCACTGCAACTTTGGCCGCTGCTAAGGCTCGACAATCGAACGGTGAAGTTGAATTGCCAGATAGGGAGCGTACTGCCGAGGCCACCCCTAGTGGCAAACAGTTATCAATGATTAAACCTGATTCCATTGGATCAAATAGCATTCCTCCTGCTGGAGTTCGGTTACATCACAGAGCGGTCAGTGTAAATTTCTATATTAGTATTGAGTTCGAGCATATGCTAGTCTTAGCATACTTTAAACTGTTAGGCAATTGCATATTCTGTGGTATGATTTTTATATATTAATTTGCTACCAGGTTGTTATAGCTGCTGAGACTGGTGGAGCTTTAGGTGGCATGGTTAGACAACTGTCCATTGATCAGTTTGAAAATGAAGGTAGAAGGGTAAGCTATGGGACTCCTGAAAGTGCAACTGCAGCAAGGAAATTGTTGGACAGACAGATGTCTATCAACAGTGTGCCCAAAAAGGTAGACATAATATTTCATGAAATTCATTGGACGAGAAATTGTAGATAGCTCTATAATGATGCTAGATGAGTTCTTCTGCAATGTATAAATGTTCGGAAACGGTAACCAGAATGCTCTCTGTGCTAGGTTTTACACTTTTACTTATGTTGAATTATACAGTTTTCTCTTATGGAAACTGGAACATCCTTGTTAGAGTTGGTAATGCCTGTCTACTAGGTGGGCTTGGCTTCGCTTATTGTTTGGTCTTCTGGTCCCGCTCAAAACAGTACATTCTCCCTGTGTAGAAGATGTAAACAATGTTGGACAGATGGCTTGATATCATTATCCTTTGGTTGAACTAAAAGAAATTTTTGGACAACGTATATTTCTCACTTAGTATCTTTTGACAAATAAGGACCCGGTCAGCTATGTCACCATCAGAGTTTAAATCTATTTAACATACATAGATATCTTTAGTAGTCCCTTGGGTTTGTTTGCACATGATGATTCATTGTCAATTCTTGCAATGTTACGTTGGGTTCCCTGTGGGCTTTTGTTGAGAGGCATTATGTGGTGTTAATTTATCCCTTGGTGGTTTAAATAGGCACCAATGCTCTATGGCACTTGTAGGATGCTGGATTTTAATAATGCAGTCTCTACCATTATATTTGTCCCAGGTCGTTGCCCATCTTCTAAAGCCTCGTGGCTGGAAACCCCCAGTTCGTCGGCAGTTCTTCTTAGATTGCAATGAGATAGCAGATTTATGTGACAGCGCTGAGAGAATATTTTCTAGTGAGCCAAGTGTTTTGCAACTTAGAGCTCCAATAAAGATATTTGGTGATTTGCATGGACAATTTGGTGATCTTATGCGTTTGTTTGACGAATATGGCGCCCCTTCAACTGCTGGTGATATTGCGTAAGTGCTTTTACTTTTTACTTCTTTCTTTTCCATTCAGTGGTAGTTTGTTATTTTTCTGTGGATTGTCTCGAGGGTAATTCTCATTTTCAACCGGATCGTGTATTATTATATTTGTACCCAACTTGAAAAGGAGGAACCATGGAGAGCTTGTGTCTGAAATTTGTACTGTTTGGAATTAATGCACAGTAAACTCCTTAAGATATTGGATGAGTAAGTAAACAAGGAAAGGAAGTTGAAACATTAGTTGCAAGTTCTGAACTGCTGATAACCTCAGTCCTGTTATGCTAGGCCGTCTGAAGAATTGAAAAGAAATATAATGAACTTAATACTAGAGGCTTCAAAATCAGACTGCAATTTGCAATTTTAGAGAGAATGCCGCCTGGATGAGTTGGGGTGAGAAGGTGCAAATGGAAAGTTATTTTGTGAGGTGATTGTCTTTGAGAGCAAATGATCCGGGCTCCAGGAAGCTGGCAATGACATTATGGGCAATAGTATAAGATCCTTATAAGCTGATTAGTTCTGATGCTTTATGGTCTTCCCAGACGAAACTTCTAGATTTACAGAATTGTTTAATGTGGGCTCATCCATATTCGGACTTTTCTATACTGAATTGGACTATCTATACTGTTGGAAGTATTGTTATTGTGTAGTCAGGCGCTGTGATGAAGAGTCTAGCTTTGTCACAATGGTAGCGAGCATGCTTGTTAATTGATGATTCAATATGACTCAAAGTGGTTAAAGAAGGAACTAAGAGATGTTACTTGTACAATTTGTGTGAGCTCCAAATCAGCAGTAGCCCATGATGTTGTAGAAGTTCAAATTGTTAATACCATCATGTCTTGAACATCTTATGCTAATTGTATTCACTGCTGAATGATGTGATCGTTCATGTGATATCTTAATGCTATATATATATTTCATGTCTGTCAGATACATCGATTATCTCTTTTTAGGAGATTATGTTGATCGTGGTCAACACAGTCTGGAGACTATTAGCCTGTTGCTTGCTTTGAAGGTATGTTGAAATGTAGTGGCCCCTTGGCTTCCTTTTCTTGTTCCTTCTGTTATCTATTATAACTAGATTCATTTGTAGGTTGAGTATCCAAACAATGTGCATTTAATTCGTGGGAACCATGAAGCTGCAGATATCAATGCCCTTTTTGGCTTCCGCATTGAGTGCATTGAACGAATGGTATTGTCCCAAAAACCTTACATCTCTTCTCTTTCTCTACTGATTGTTAGTTTCTAATTAAATGGATTACTGAACCAGGGTGAGAGAGACGGAATCTGGGTTTGGCATCGGATCAATCGTTTATTCAATTGGCTTCCTCTGGCTGCATTGATCGAGAAGAAAATCATTTGTATGCATGGCGGTATTGGTCGCTCAATAAATCACGTTGAACAGATCGAGAACATTCAGCGTCCTATTACCATGGAAGCTGGCTCGATAGTGCTCATGGATTTATTATGGTTTGTGCTTGTATCTTAATTCTGTTTCTTTGTTTATGATGATGGATATCATTATTTTGTCTTCTGGTCGGTGGACTAATGGGTTCGCTTCTCTGCATTAGGTCTGACCCAACTGAAAATGACAGTGTGGAGGGATTGAGACCGAATGCAAGAGGCCCTGGGTTGGTTACCTTTGGGGTGAGAACTTGTTTCATTGCTGACAAATAGGATGTGCTCGTTTTAGTTTTGCTTAAAATTGAGTCTCTGTAGAATTGAAGAGAAGATGATTGAAGATATCGTTAAAAAATTGTTTTTATTTCAAAGTGGAATTGAAAATAAAATTTTATTGATGATGTTGCGTTTCGCTTAATTATTTGCAAAATTCAGAGTGAATTAAAAACTTATATCTAGAACTGTGTTTTGACTTTTAAATCTACTTTTGCTTTAGCGAAAACAAATGAATACACCCCATAATTTACTTCATAGTCTTGTTTGGCTTAGCCCCTTTTTCTGGAAAATGGCCTGTCTTTATTTATCACTTTGCCATTTGATAGATAATAATCACGATACATTTTCTTAGTGCTCTTTCCAGGTTTAAACAACAATTCACGTGCTTGTTGATTAGCCAATCTATTTGCAACATTTTGAGACTAGAGGCCGTACCCACAAAGCCTTCCATTATTTCTTTATTTGTATCAGGCTGTCTTTGTATTGTCACCATACTTTGAAATTTAGTATCGTTTGTTGGACTATCGATATTATTCTGACACCGAGTTGCAACTGCAGCCGGATCGAGTCATGGAGTTCTGCAGTAACAATGATCTTCAGTTGATTGTACGTGCGCATGAGTGCGTTATGGATGGCTTTGAACGTTTTGCACAAGGGCATCTCATCACACTTTTCTCTGCCACAAATTATTGTGGTAGGTTCCTTGAACTTGTTCGATCTTTCAACCTACATGGATGACTCAACATGTTTACAAGACATCGTTTTTTCACTTTGATGCAGGCACTGCAAATAATGCCGGGGCAATCCTAGTTTTGGGAAGAGATCTCGTTGTGGTTCCAAAACTCATACATCCTTTACCACCAGCCATGTCTTCGCCAGAAGCTTCGCCTGAACATATTGAAGATACGTGGATGCAGGTGACGTTGCATCTTCGTACTTGTCTTTCTACCTTTAGCTCTCATTTTAATATGTTCTATATGATGCTTATCCTGTTCCCATGTTATTCTTGGAAAGCAGGAGTTGAATGCTAACCGCCCCCCTACACCAACTAGGGGTCGTCCTCAAGTACCGAATGACAGGGGCTCTCTCGCTTGGATATAAATAGATGCTATATTACTGTATTGGATATAACCCACCACCTGCCAAGTGTTCCAGTTACTTGTGCCACCACCATGGGATTTATGGTTGGCCTCTGTATAGAGCCTGAGTCGAGACATCTCGAACTTGTTGACCATTGTTGCTGATAGAAGTCTGTGAAGGCCTTGTGTGAATTTTCCAGTTTCACTGGTAAAACTGTGCAGGGCCATGAGATGACTAAGATGATTGACAATGGTCGATACGAATTCCAAGGGAGAGGAACAGAGCTGTGGTTGGCGCTGGCAGTTGTTAGGTTGATATGTTGTAGAAGACACAAGTTTCCTCGGGTAGCCCTGCCCATTTGTATATCAAGCCAGAAGAAGCAGCAGGTAGAATGTCTGCAAGAGTTGGTGTTTTTTCCTTGCCCAATTTGATGAGAGTTAGTAGTGGTGCTGAGAATTCTTCTCAATAGTTGTTATATAATCTTTCTCAAGTTTCCCGAGTTTTCTTGTTTTAGGCCTAGATTTTTCTTGCCAATTAAAAGGGGGCAAAGATAAAGGTCCTTCATATGTGATGGCGAGATATATGTAGTTAACCCTTTCCTTTACAACACCTTTGGTGGGTTTACCCTTTGTATCATAGAGGTGTTTTGTGTAAGTTTCTATGCTTGTCGTTTGCCATTCTCAGAAGTGTTTGTTTCGTAAAATTTTGGTGACGGTGTAATGTAGCATTCTTCGTGGTGAAGCTTATAGCGGGGAATTGCAGGTGTTTGTGATTGATTTCGGGCATCTCCTGTGGATTGTGATGCATATCTCTCTTAATATCTTGATGAAGCATTGTTTTGTGAATTGCATAGGATGCTATTAGCAACAGTCCAACTGCTTATATCGACTGGTTCATACGCTATTTTACAAGAGCCCCCAGTTGGCAGTAGCATTTCAGTTATAGCCTCGTAAACCAAGTTATCGACCAAGGTCTTGCATGAAGCCAAGACTTGCCTTCGCCTTGAGATCTACAGCTTGATGCACGAATCTTGACCATGGACCTCTACTGGATTTTTCGCCTTAGCACCAGGCACCTGGCCTCAAGTCATGTGCTTATGCTGGATTTTCTGCAGGGTCTCAAGTACAAGATCTCGAATGACAAGTCAGCGTCAAGCTTTGAGTTCCTATAAAAACAATCTCCCTTTCGCGGCACCTGGCCTCAAGTCATGTGCTTATGCTGGATTTTCTGCAGGGTCTCAAGTACAAGATCTCGAATGACAAGTCAGCGTCAAGCTTTGAGTTCCTATAAAAACAATCTCCCTTCGAAAGTCGTGAACCATTGAGCGATGATCCAGGCAAGCAACAATTTCTGACTTCAAATCATGACCTTGCAGTAATGTACCAGAAAAATCAATTAGATAGTACACTTCTGTGATCTCAATGAGGGTTCAAGGTATACCTATCATTCTTTGGATCAGTTTTTACCACCTACGAACACATCTCACAAGAGGTTCTGATATTCAGGTCTGGCTATAAGCTCCACAAACAGCAACCTTTTCATAAGTCAGACAGTTTGTGCATTACACCTTGGTTTCCTTTTGGATTGACCTCTGTTGAGCCTAGGGGAAGGGTCGGGTTTGACCCAACAAGGAAAAGAAAATATGGAAGTGGCTGTTCAAATCGATTTGGAATGGATGGCCTTCCTATAGCTAAATTGATACACAAGTACATATTTCTTGACCCTCCAAACAGCAAGAGGACACAGCCATCATCAATTCCTCCCCGGCAGGTTCGCACCCCTCAGCCTTTCTTCACCGGTCTCTGAACATACGATTTGTTGGGATCCTCTGTCTTCAGCTTTGGTGGGCGAATCTCTCCCTTTTTACCCTGCACAGGTACAGTAGCGCCATCTTTATCCTTTTACATTACACCGCACATGAACAAGAGAGAGATCTACAGACGTATCTGTACTCACCTTCTTCCCCGTCTTCATGAAATCTCTCCAGCTCGACACCTGATGGTCAACAGTGGAAACAAAAGATGAGAACGGAGTCAGCGAAGATGGTAAGTATTATCAGGTAAAAAAATGGGAAACCAGTCAAACCCTTTTTTCTCTAGTTCCTTCCCATTGCTCCTCGTGCTCTCGTTTTCTCTTCCACACCTCTTTTTGCTCTTCCTCATCTTTCTTCAGTCTACCTTCTTCTTCTGATAACTGATGACAACAAAAGATGCAGCCGACTATGAAATTGTTCGTTTTATTACAAAATATTAAATTACCAACTGGTTGGTGAAACACAGTTCAGCATACCCTCATCTGCATTTTCCGCCGCCTCCACTCCTGGTCTGTCAATATTTCCCGAACTTTCAGTTTTAGCTGCTGTTGGAACTCATCCGACCTCTCAAATTCTTGTTCGTATTTCCCCTGGACAAATAACAGAATTATATTGTTCGAGTATAAGGAAAGCTAATAACAGTGCATGCCACAGTCCAAGGCCAGAACACCGGATCCTGAAACTGTTTAATAAGAAACTGGCCTATCAGAAAGGAATGCAAACCTAAAAAAGACTACACACCTCATCAACTAACGACTTTGCTTTGCTGGCAGCATCTTTCTTCATCTGCTTTCTCCTCTTTGCTCGAAGTTCTTCTGCAGTTCACACCAAGCTCCAAATTAAATATTAATGACGAAAATGAAACACCTAGCATGCAACCAACCTGGGCAAAGCTTATCCAAAATCAGACAGTAATCACATCACTCTGACCTTTGGCTGCTTGTACTTGGCTGAGAACATAGTCTCTTTCCTGCTGATCAAGTAATAGCTCTTGGGCTTTCGCCAATGCTGTTCGCAAGCCAAAGATCCAATTGAGCAGCAATTAGTAGTACTCTAGATGTCAGAATGAATGAAAAGAGAAGTTACGATACCAGAATAGTTCTAAGATCAATTACTATTGTGTTTATATGAGAGGTTTATTATATTAGAAAGCCAATGATATTTGCTCTGCAATTTTCTACACAAGAATGCTAGCCCAAGTAGGTAAGGGTCGACATTTGTCCTTTACGGTCTGCATTACTTATCCCTTAATTTGGATGAGCATAGAAAAAGATTTTGAATCACTAAACTAGCTTCGTGCTGGCAAAATGGGTGATGCAGATCGTCTTTGAGCCCATAACAAAGAAACTCACAGGTCGACTTAGCAATTTGTTTCCAAATTCTGATCTCCTGTGCAAGACTCAAAAATATTGGAAAAGTATCTCAATTTCTGTGTCTATGTCTACAAGGTGAAACCTTTGTATAGCCACAGTTACCGAGGCATTGGCTCAACTGAAACAGGCTTTAGAAAAGTGACCACTTCATTGGAAGTGTCCAAACATTCAGGAAGAATATAATCACTGCAAGTCCCAATCAAAGCTTATAATCTCTCTATGGACAACCGATCAACTAATACTGGGATCGAGACCCTCAACTAGTTTTCTACGCTGAAATTGGTGAGAAGACATGCAAACCTTAGTGATCTCAAGACTAGGAGGATAAAAAAAATTAAGTTACTGGATTATCTTTAGGCCATCCTGATAACAATACTAAAACGAAATGTAGCGGACATACCACCAAAAGCTTCTTGTGCCTTCGGATGCTTGCATTTGTCAGGATGAACCAATAAAGATAGCTGCACGGTTCATAACATGCAACAAGTTAAATCATAGCAACTTAATGAAGCAAAATATCACCACCTTTCCACGGCAGGAAGAACGTTACCTTACGATACTGCTTTTTCACATCATCTAGAGATGAATCAAATGATAAGTTTAGATGCTCAAATGGATTTAATTTGAAGCAAGAAAGGATCCTGCAGAGTCAAAATTTCCCAAATACATCAAATTAGCGAGAAGGCAATAAGTAAGCCATAAGACCAAAAATCATTAGTTATAGGAAACCATGGAAGTGATCAATCTCGTTAAGTTATCAAAATTCAGCAACTTGGTTCATAATGTAGATGTCTTCTCATCTTTGGACAAAGAAACACACCTCAATTCTCACAAAGAAAGAACCAAACTTTACAATTTACCAAAATAAATAATGGCGAAACACGACCACGAGAAAGCACCAAGGAATCCTCTGCTAAAAAATCCCGAAATTTCATCACAAATGCCAGTCAGAATTTTGAAAATTTTGACGAGCTATTATCCATATCAGCCTGAAAGCAGCTCCGAAACCCTAACCGCGTGATCAATTTCAACTGAATTGGAAATGAATAGTTCGGCTGGGAACAGGGAATATCAGGGGGGAAAAGAGGAAGAGGAGGAGGAAAGAGCTGAGTGGAGACCTGAGGACTTCGTTATCCCTCTCGACTTCGCCGACTTCGGCGAAGAAGCTCTTGAGAAGATACTCGTCGGCGGCGGCCGTCGCGGCGGTGGTGGCAGAGGCTTCTCCCATCGGGTTACTTCCTTTTGGCTGAGCTAATGGTGCGCTGCGTTTTCTTTGTTTTGTGATAAGTAAATACTCCTATGTACCTGTACATATTTTACTTGTTTAAAATTTTCGTATCCGTACTATTCTCAAGTTGTTTTATTAGTTTTTGTTCATTTGAATGCTCCCGTACTAAACACGTATAAAACTCGTATTACATGTTTAATATCCGTATTGAATGAAATAAATTATTAACTTTATTATTTTTTAAATGAAGAAAATTACACAAAACTCTATCATATATTAATGAAGGATTTCAAGCACTCCAAAAACTTCTTGCATGAGTCAATAAATGGTTGACCAATGTGGCTCTTTTGGATGTCGATATTCGTTCTGTCAACAAAATATGTAATTGTTTCTCCAATGTGTGTTGAACAGAACGAATATTTTTGTTCTATTAGTTTTTATTAGTTTTTGTTGATGTGAACAGAGCGAAGATTGGCATTGCACGAATGCCTTGGAACACTATTAATGCTCTCCGCATCATTTGGTGGGGCTATTACCATATAGCTCCACCATTATCTTTGGGAAAGGTCCAACATTCTTGAGAATTATTCACTGCCCAATTGCACCATCCTTGTATATCTTTCCCATTCCTTTCATTTTGGCCTTGTTCTTGCGAGGTTGGAAGACCACACTTGTTGTTGTTGTAGACAAAACCAATATTCTAATATAAAATAAAGGGTTATAGGTATAACATGCCTCATCTACTATGACGTTTTATCAAACATGCCCTTATACTATGCACGACTTGACCCAATCACCAAATGCTTATGATATGGATTTTTGTTTTCCATGCAATGCCTTTCTTGTACTTGAGTGTGAATGACATATGTGTTTGAATTTATGCTTGTATCACTTTGATGGCTATGTTTGGTTGTGCATTCACCAAGTGTATGATGTTATCAACCACGAAGCTTGAATCAAGTTGGTGATGGTCTTGTGCAAGTGTATTAGAACTGCAAGTATGATTGTTTTGCACTTTACGAATAACCCAAAATCCCCATCACCCAACAATGTAGCTCGAACATTCCAACCACATCCTTCGTTCACCTTCTTAATTTCCTTGAATATGCAATTATATTTTGTTGGATATGTGGGCATAAAACTAAAAATTTTGACTCTCGTTGCCTCCCTTCATATTCACTTGGAATTGAGTCGATGGATCCCACACCGATATAGATTGAATCTATGAGTTATCGGTGTGAGCATACATTAGACCTCGTGGAAGTATTGTATAGTGTATGCTGGAATTAGTAATTTGATTTGTATTGGGGAATGACAAGTTCACTGGAAGAGGGAGAGAAAGGAAGAAGACGAGATTGGTTATGCATTTCATTTTTGTTATTTTTCTGGATAAAAACAAATTAAGTAAAATGTTAAATAAATTTGAAACTTGAAAGGAGTTCGATAAAAGATAACAAATCGAACGAGATAGAAATAAAACACAAAGTTGGGCAGCTTGGTATCGATTAATGGGCGGTTGGGTTGCCTTTTCATATCAAATTAGTTCACGTCATTTCCTCAATGTGGGGCATTGGGGTGGACCAATTAAGAGAGTATGCATTAGGCTGCACTTTTAATAGTGACATCGTAATATTGATCCTCTAGAATTGCTCTTTGCTTGCTCGCAAGCCCACAACTTAAATAGGCTTTCAATGTCCTTGCTCGGTTCGACCCATCTTCCCAATGCACTCCCTCACTCTTCAGATCATCGAAAGCGGACGCTCTATAGCATGATTGTCACACCGGGTGGCATGTCGGTCGGTACAACCGAGTTCAACCAATTCCGGTTATAATACTAGCAAAAACCTATATGGTATGATCGACATGATCGGTGTCCGATCTTTAAAAAAAATGATGCCTTTTTTGGTGAATTAATTAGCGGAAAATACTTTTTGATTTATTTTTTGAATTTGAAAGTTTAATGTTGATGTTATTTGTATAGATTTGGGTATGAATATTTAGATGTTTATCTTATTTGTTGTAATAAAGTATAAGCTTTTGAATATTGACAGTAAATGTTGTCTTTAAATATTTGATTTTTTATTTGTTTGAAATGGTGTATTTTATTCAAATATGGGTGTAGATTTTAGAGAGATTGTCTTCAAATATGTTATATATGCCTAAATTCATTTAGTGCTATTGACCCACTTCTACACATTTTGCTAAAACCAACATGAACTCGAATAAATCGGTTGTATAACAGGTCAAACCAACCATTTGTCAAACCGACATAAAGATAGGGTAATTAGCATAAAAAGCCACAAACCTTTGCACTTAGTACAAAACAGACACAAATCTTTAATTTGTAACGATACGGTAACAAAAGTTTGAAATGGTCACTTTTGTTTAATTTGTGACCATTTTGTATTAATTGCAAAAAATTGTTACCGCGCCATTACAAATTAAAGGTTCGTAATCGTTATGAGGTTGGATAGTGTGTTTATCAAATATATGATACTAACCACTTGAACGAAATATGAGATGCCGGGTCCTATGTTCATCGATGTACTTGCTTTGCCGAATAAAATTGCTCTCTATTTACCTTCCAATTTCAAAACCGATAAAGTATGAAAGTAGGTCCAGTTTTTTAACTAAAAAACTGCATGTAACCCATTTGTGATGCTTTGAATTCCTCACTGTCATTCTTTGTTTTTTTAGAGTACTGCCATCTTTTGTTACATATCATTCACATAAATTAACAAATTCACCATACCTCGACTGGAGCGAGCTGTAATAGTGATTGATCGTTCAAAACTTTGAACATTGTACATAAAGATCACCAAAAGCTTAATTTGTAAGCACACGGTAACAAAAGTTTGAACTTACGGTAACAAAAGTTCGTATTTGTATGAAATGCTCACACTGTTTAATTTGTGACCATTTTGTTAAAGTACAAATTTCTGATACCATATTACGACAAATTAAAAATTTGTGAACATTTTATACGAAGTGCAGAAATTCATGACTATTTATGCTAATTACACCAACCTTGCTCTCTAGTCTCTGTCTACTCTCTAGTCTTTAGTCTTTAGTCTTTACTCTCTGCTCTGCTCTAGTCGGCAGAAAACAGGGGTAGAAAAGGAAAAAATGAAAAGGAAAAGATGGCGGGCTAAATCAAAATTTCTCATTTCAAATGCCGTAGCGTTTCTCTCTCTACCTCCATCTCCATCTCCAATTCTCCATCTCATCATCTGAAATCTCCGATCTCTTTCGGCCGCCCGGCGGCACTGCAACGGGCGCAAATGGAGTCGCTCCGTCTTATCTGTGACCAAACCATACCCCGTGCGCTGGAGAGAATGGACTCCTTTGAGGAAGAATTCGCCAGTTCCCTGGATTCAATCATGGCCAAAGCCGAATGCACCGCCCAAACTCAAGGTAAGCAAGCTAAACTGCTGGTATTCTCGCGTTTCTCTTTCGGAGCTACTTGAGAGAGAGAGAGAGAGAGAGAGAGAGAGAGAGAGAGAGAGAGCTTGGGAGCCGCTAGGGTTTAGGGTTTTGGAGGCTGCTTCTGGTCTAATGTGCGGTTGGGGATCTATCGTTGCGTAAATTTTCTCGACTTGGTGCAGGGAAATTATGGAAGCTGAAGTCCAACTTGAGAGATGCCGAAGATGAATTCGTGAAAGTGCTATCAGGTCCGTCTCATATCTTGAGTAGTTTGCCCTGATGGGAAATGATGGATTTTTATAGTAATGTCCCGAACTTGTCTTTTCCTGCAGTGAAAACCCAGAAAGAGGCAAAGCAGATGCGACTAAGAGACTCCGTATCTGCCGTAAGGGATAGCTTAGAAGAACTTAGAAAGACTGTGCAAACTCAAATATCAAGGAGGGACGAATATGCTGGAATTATATCTCAATTATCTCTTGGTGATTTGCTTTTCTTCTCCCTATCTCGCTGTTTCTATACTTGCCTATTCAAATAGTCTTATGAATCAGTGCATCTACTGTCCATCGTTGTTTGCTGGCAATCACATATTCACATATAGGTTCCCGATATCGTTAGGACGATCACGTTAGTGAGTATAAATGACTAATCATCCACTTAATGGCTGAACATAATGATCACTGCTGTGTGAGGTTTGAGTGTGCCATATCAATGTGCTTGATGTATGAAGGACTGAGGGAATTCAATTGGAGATTGTTCATGTAGTTGTATGATGTTTCCTACTGCTTTTATATTGCGAGCTTCACTAGAATGATATTGGCCACAGCTTAGTCAATATCTCGCCTGCAGGATAAGAAAGAGCTATAGTTAAACCTAGTATAATTTTGAGCTTTACAATATAACAGGATACCATCATCAACTACAAGCAGGATAAAAAGAACTATAGTCAGAATCTAGTATTTATGAGCTTTGCGTTCTACACAAAGAAAGTGAGTTTCTGGATGAACAGTATATCCCTTCACAGTATGTGATTATGTCGTAATGCCTCTCATTCTTGACTTCTGACTACATTGGATGACTGTACTCTGAATGAGTTGATTGTCTTGGAATCACTCTACCAATTTAGTATATTTCTGTTAAAGGTCTCTCCTGTCTAAAATTTTGGAATACTCCATCTTTTGTTTGTGCGACATATGAAGACAAAGGGGCCCAGGACAATCAATTTAGAGGAGAAACTCAAGAGGCATTGCTATGGTACAATAGGGTTCTAGGCCTCCAAATCGAAGGTGGTCATGGTAAATATCACTGCTGTACGACTCTTGAGTTTTTGTTGTCTATGGTATGGTTTGCATGCTGAATAATTTTTCATTTGTATAGGTGTTAAATTCACGTTCAGAAACATCAATGTGAAACATCCATCTGAAGAGTACTCCTTTACTGTTCGTCATGAAAATGATACATACAGCTGTAAGTAACATCTGTATTTTGTCAATAACGTGTTGAGTTCCAATCTTAATCATGTATACTTTCCTCTTTTACTGTCCACTGTCCAGTGTTGGCTTGTGATCCACAATTGAATGATACCAAAGAGTTGATCCATGAGTTGAATAGAACCAATGGCTTATTCAAGTTTGTCAGAACAATGAGGGAAAAGTTTCAAGAAGCCGCATCATCTGGTATTTTAGTGCTTTCTTACGTTTCGTGTTCTCTTTCTCGTTGATGATTGCATAATAGGAGAAGCGAGGACCCTCATTTTCACGCTGTCAATTGTTTTTTTTTTTTTTTTTTTTTTACAGTCTGGTTTGAGCATGGAATCGTAGACAAGTTTGAGCATTTTTTATTATAAATAAGTAAAAACTTGTATGCTTTTTGCGTTGGCAAATTATACTAAAACTGTTCCCACCAGTAATTGATATATGCTCCTTTTGCATTAGGATTTTTGCCTCAATCCTCAGCTCCTGAACAGCAAGAGCTGTCCACGATATCAGCATCCGCTCCAGTTTTGTCAGTTTACACTGACCATAGTGATTCTCCGACTCAGGGAGAGGAGTGCTCAGATGATGCCAGGAGGCACCCAAAGAAAGCCAACCGTGGAAGAGTGGGCAGAAAAAAAATATTATCACCTGAGTCTATTCGCCAATCCCCTCGTTTACTGGTATCTCCAAGAGTCTAAGACAACTCCTGAAATTCTGATATGAGCTCTTTGAGAATTATTATTATACCAATATAAGCCTATGTTGTTAATGAACGAAAGAGTAAACCATCTTCAGTTTCGTCTATGCATACCCCATGGCTATCTGATTGGGACAGAAGCTGGAACCGGATGGCCTTCTTAATTTAATTGTCAATAAGCATGAACCTCGTACTGATGTGACTCATTCGCCTCGTACCGAGTCTTAACACTTATGAGTCTGGTTTATTTTGCTGGATTGCTTATGTATTAGAACATTCAAATTTTATCGAAATTTAACAGAAGATCATTGAACAGGGCAGGAAATGATGATGGCAATGCAGTTCATTTCAGTATTTCACCTTGGATCCTGACGAAATGGTACGTGCATTATGTTGCTACCGGCTCTTTAACCCAGTTCTTTTCACTTTGTCAGCTTAACCGTTGATTGCTCTTATCACCATATGTTTCAGTCTTTAGGTCATTCATCAAGCTCCTTATCTCCGGGACTCGGTATCAAAGTACGCTAGCAAGTGAACGTTTTCCCGGAGTTCTGAGACTCGGCTTGCCATTCAACGGTACGCCTCATAATCCGCCCCAACGTAATGTATTGGTATCATCCATTTTGTTGCAGTTTATCCTGTAAATACAAGGCATTCGGTAGCTTTGCAAATATCTAGTCTGCAAGTTGTGTGTGTGAACAAAGTGCTAAGAATTATGCCTTCATGAAATCAGAACTTACGCCTTCCTTTCCTCTCAATACAAATAAACTGAGTTGGCATGTCGCCAATGGAAGGTTTATCTGACTCTCTTCCACGTGAGCTGGGAAAACAATTAATCAGACTAATTGTTTTCCCCTCAGCAATCGGAAAGAATAATTAGCACCTAATCAATCCCGTCCTCCACCATCTATATATGTATTTGCACACAAATGCTAGAACTTCAATTCTGCGTTGTGTCTACGATGTCGATCCCCGTGGCAAACCTTCTCCCAAGAAAGAAACAGAAAAGAATGCCAAACCCAAACCCACTAACCTTCGCCGACGGCGCCGAGATCCCCGACGAGCTTCTCATGAATGAAATCTTCTTGAAGATCAGCGACGGTGCCTGCCTGGCTCGATGCCGCTGCGTCTGCAGAGCATGGCGCCATCTGCTCTCCGGTCCTTCCCTGATCCGGCATTCACTGCACTCTTCTCCTCCTTCTGATTACCAAATCATGGTCTCCGGCTGCGGCAACCACTACTGCAACAACTCCAAGCAAGTTTACGGCTGGTACTCTCCGGCGACACTGGAACCCCTCCTTCCTCATCGCCGTCCCACCTTACCGACCTTCTTCACGGCGGCGACGTCAGGTACGTCAACGTCGCGGGATGCTGCAACGGTCTCTTCTGTTTGAGAGTCATCTCCACCGTGATCAAAATCGGACTGGTTCTCTGGAATCCGGCCACCTCCGAGACCAAGCTCCTCCCTTCCTCTCTACTCAATCCTCACAAAGTGTGGTTTCAGCCGGTCGGGTTCGGTTTCGATTCGGAGAAGAACGACTATAAGGTCTTCCAGCAAGATGGTTATGTGATGGAGGTTTATAGCTTGAGGGAAAATTCTTGGAGGATTTTAGAAGGGTGGTGTTACATAGGAAGACCTTCGCACGGCCAGATTCCCACTTGTCACGAGGGGAAGCTGTACTGGCGGGAGAAGAAGTACCGTAAGAGTAGTTTGCTGTTTCATTCGGTTGACATTAGCAGCGAGGATGTTGAAAGAGTCGAGGTGGATTTCCCCGAGGTGGTGGCAGGAGGAGAGGGTGGTGATGGTCGCGGCAGATTGAGATTGAGTGACGTTTCTGAATGTTTCTTCAGCGACAAGAAGGAATCCTTGGTGGCTCTTCTCTCCTTCTCTAGTTCGAGGATCGTCGCCACTTCTCACGAGGTGTGGATGCTGTTGAAACGCTGGGCAACGGAGTCGTGGATCAAACTGTTTGTCGTTATGGAGTCTCCTGTGATGCACATTTTCAAAGCCGTCGAGTCGTTCGGGAGTTTGAGGTTATGTTTTCTCGCTGCGCAGACTGAAGACGAGGATGGTCACGAAGAACGCGTCAGCGTCTTCGATCTCGAGACCGGAGAACTGAGAGATTTCGAAACCGTCGACGGACCGTGTCAAATCATAACTTATGTACCTTCTCGAGTTTCTCTGAGAGATTATTGCTAGTAAATTGGACGTACCCTTTTCTCATCGCTCCTGTTTAATTAAAATCCGAATGTGGCCTTTGTTGTGTGGTAGTTTGGGATATTGTACAACATCATGTACTTGATGAATTTACTATACTACAACTTTAATTTCATTGTCGATATCTTTGTCAATACTTAACCACTTTTTATTCACATATATGTTGGGACATTTTATATAATCACTAACTTTGTAATGGCTGCGCCTTATTCATCCCACTCCCAACCCCTTTTTCCATAATTTACAAAGAGATATAATCCCCAGAAGCAGAAGCAAAAGTGAACCAAGCCCTGTTATCTGAAGGAAGTGGAGCTGGTTGGTTGAAGCAGCAGCCTTGTGTGAATGAATGCACGGGTGTGTTCCCACAGCTGGAGAGCTTCACCTTCATCATTCCCCAAAGCTGAGCAGTTGCTCTCATTGCAGTCTGCAAAGTACTTCCCTCCAACTCCTTCTATTTGAGGACTCAGAGCTACATAGCATGTGGTTGCTGCGCCCTACAATGGTCGAAGGTACAAGTTCAGTTTACACCATTTACATGAGTGGTAATAAAGGAAATGAGAAGATATAGTTTTGGTCATCTATACCTGTGATACAGATTTCAGCAGCTTGGAGGCTATGAAGTATACTGAATCTGCAATTTTTGGAGGATTCGGTAAGATGTTTTCAGGGGATAGCTAGGAGAAGAAAATGTGTAGAGAGGAACAATGTGTTGTTATGCTGATGCATCATTCATCACGTGTTGATGTCGTTGGATTGCCTAGTGAGGACTAGAAACAAATGCGCAGGACAATCTAACGCGATGTTAGCATGTACTAAACGTAGTACGAATGTTTTGTGTGTATATAAAGGGAGGAGAGAGGGGACCTGTGATGAGACCCTTGTGGTCTCTGATGATGCCAGTCTTGATAATGCCTGGATGTACTGCATTAACCGTCACTTTTGCATTTCTTGCCTTGAGTTGTCTGGAGAGCTCCTTGGCATGCAAAATGGCGGCCAGCTTGGTCTGAGCATAAGCACGTGTCCCATTATAGCTGCTGCTGCTGCTGCTGCTGCACCATGAACAATTCAGTAACATGAGCTAAAAAGCTGTTAGCAATTTGGTTGGTGGTGCTGTGTAAATATAGCTTGTGATTCATTTACTTGGTTGGGTTGAGCATGTTTTGGAAGGAGAAGGAGGAGTCTCTTTTCACCCAGCTGTGGATCGCAGAGGAAAGGTTGATGATTCTGCCGTGCTTCCCGCTTTCTTGCGCTGTTTCCTCCATCTTCTCCAGCAGCAACTCTGTCAGCAAGAAATGCCCTGTAGTTGGACAAGGGGAAACAGAGCAAGAAGGGGAAGAAATGTTATGGGCTGAGAAGTGGAAACAGGAGGCCTTTGAGTAAAAAAAAATTCTTTTACTGGTAAAGGTTACATCTAGGGGTGAACAAACACCTCCGTAAACCGATCCACCCGTCCAACCCGACCCAACTCACTCATATTTATCGTTAAAATTAAGGTTTTGGGTAGGGTGAAGGTTTTCTTTTGTACAACCCGCCTCTTTTGGGTTGTGTTTGGATTTTGGATTACACAACCCGTAGAACCCGACCCAACCCGTGTTCCAACTATTGGTATGAGTTCGTATGCAAAAAATAGTTATGTCGTATATAGTTATACTTATGAGAAAATTAAGATATTTTGCCATATTTTTCTCTCATTGTCTCTCTAATCCAATGCATTCTTCGGTTTTAAGTTTAGACATATATTTAATATAGCTATGGTTCACGTAATCATATTTCTTGTGTACAATTGTAATAGAATAACATATTATGGATGCGTTCGTTTATAAGCTTTTTAGCCTATTTAAACAAATATCGTGGAAAAAAAAACTAGACATATGTTGAAGTAAATCACATTTTATTAAATTTCAAATAACATTTGTGAATTTTGATACCTTTCAACTCGGTTTATTCGTTTAAAATTTTAATTAGTTATAAAATATTTTTATGGTGTAGAATAATTGCATATTTTGTGTTGGGGTTGGTTTTTACTTAAGAATATCGCCAACCCGACCCAACCCAATTGGAAACAAACCGTAGGGTTTTAATTTTTTTGGGTGGGTTTGAGTTTAATATTTTTTCAAACCGTAGTGCATGGGTCGGGTGATTAAAATGGCTAAACCCAGACCACCCCACCTAGGGGCGGACCCTGGGACCTTTGGGTGTGTCTCGGGACACCCCTAAATTTTGGGAAAGCGATTATCTGATCCTGATGGTAATTTACGTATGGACAAAAAAATTATAATTAATTCCGAGACACCCTGAAATTTGAAAAATCGATTGTTCTACTCTCGTTTGTAGTTTGTAGTAATGGAAATTTGAAAAATCGATAGTTTGCGTAATTCAAACCCAGGACACTACTATTATTAATAAACAATTCCCATTACGCTACAACTTTTTTTGGGGTACTATTCTAAACACGGTGCGATAACAAAACCCTACTTTAATATATTTTCAAAACCTAACAATTAATCTAATTAGTAATTACAAACTATCCTTAATTTGTATTGATTTTATGGTTGTACGACAAGTGTTGAAAACGTCTTTTCGACTTTGAGTTACCTCAAGAAAAAAGTTTAAGAGTTATTTAATTTTTATTAACTATTAATTATACTTTATTTTTAGAAGAGGACACCCCTATATAAAATTTCTGGATCCGCCACTGTACTACACCCCCCTGTACTTACATCATGAAAGTGGTGGGGGGGAAAAATGATGGCGTGCTCATTATGTCGAAGGAAAATGGATAAGCAGTCGTCTTTGATGCATGTCTGTTGTAATTTCTGTTTTTTTTTTTTTTTTTACCTAAGTTAAATTTGCACCCTTAGCTTTACGACAGCCGACAGCAGCAGAGCACCCGACAAAAGGAAGGAAAAAAAATAGAGAAAAGCGCACGTACGGATATTGCTAACAGAAACAGAGTCCCTCTCCCTTCCCCCTCTGCCACAAACATCTCTGTCTATGAAAACCATTTATCTTCTCTATTGAATTTGTACGTACCCAAGTAATTCGTAGCGAAAGTCATCTCGATTTTGTCCTCGGAGAACTCCAACCCATGAGAGAAAATCCCAGCATTGTTTCTGTCAAAAAGAAGAGAGAATGGAAGATCCAAGTTATAAGAAGAAAAAGGAGAGGCCAAAAATGAAACAATGGTGGTGGTGGGTTACATTACATACATGAGAATGTGTAGCGGGAGGCCAAGGGAGAGGAACCGGCGACAGAAAGAGGCGACGGAGGCGAGAGAGCTCAGGTCAAGCTCCAGCACCACGATCTGTGCATCAGGAGAGTGATGGAGGATGCTCTGTTTCAGGCGGAGAGCTTTGTTCACGTCTCTGGCTGCAATCACGACCCTGACGGCCCCGCTCTTGGCCAGCACTGTTGCTGTCTCCTCTCCTATCCCTGATGTCGCCCCTACATTTTAAGTCCATATCACTCATTATTAATAATAATAATAATCACTTCAATTTTATAATAATCAAAGAAGAAGAAGAAGAAGAAGAAAAATGGCACATGTCATCATTTTTGGTAATTAAGTAATGTTGGGAGAAGAAGGAGAAGAATTGATATCTGGGATTTGGTATGACCAATGAGTAGCTCACGTATATTAGTCAAAAAGGGGGGAAAGAACAAGTAGAAAAATGGAATAAAAACATACATACAAAATAAGTATTTTTGGAGCAGAGCAGAATCAAGATTGGAAGAGATGAGACAAAACCATATCCCAATAACAAACCAAACAAAAAAGGAGATAGCCAGAGAATTAGAATATAGACGCAAGCTGATGCATGCATACATCTGAATTCTTACAGCAAAAACGTTGGCCGGAGCTAGGAGAGGAAGGAAATATGCATGATGATGAATAATTACCGGTGATGATGGCTGTCAAAGGAGTTGGCGAGGAAGAAGAAGGAGAAGGAGGAGGAGGGAGATAGTGTTGGGTGACTTGTTGTGCTGTTGATTTGGAGCCGAACCCAGTTGGGCCTGCAATTCCTGCCAAGTACATCACTGTTCCTTTCATTCCCACACTCCAACGCCGACCAACCAGAGATTAAAGGAAATCTGGTCTCTTATTTAATGGCGGAAGAACAAAAGAAAAGAAGGGAAGGAGAAGGAGAAGGAGAAGCAGCTGCTGCTAGGAATAAGCTTATTGTGTTGTGTTTGACTGTTTGTGTGTAGGCTATACCTTGGCGACAGACTGACCTCACCACCACAAATATATTTATATATTTGATTATTTTATGTTACGTGCGCGTTTGGGCGTGTGCGGAAGTAAATATATAGAGAGAGGATGTGGGAATTACCCGTCTCAGTGGTGGGGGCGGTTAATGAACCAAACTATTTGCGAATAGGGGTGGATTCATGTGTTAGGGAGGTGTGTCGCTTTATCCGAATATTTTGTGAGAGATCCATATTTTGTCTGTATGATCCTCGTTTAGAGTTCGTGAGATGTCTCACATCGTGGCTAGAGATTTCTAACTCCGCCTAAAATTTATAACTGGGCTACTGCCTCAACGAGCTACCAACTTTAACTAGCTGCATCTCATTCTATATTTTAATTTTTAAACAAAACTTGAGTTAATAAATATGATTGATCCTCTCAAGTTCCAACTTCATTTCTTGCATAATTATATTGGCGATTATAGCAAGCACTCAATCCCAGAAAAATAACATCAACTTTAGCATAGAGCTCTTAGAATATCCATCATTAATAATGACACTATAAGTTTAAAATATAATTTAGGAATAGTGAATTCTCTGTTTAAATTCAGTGATCTCGTTTGGATGTAGTATTTTGATGAGTTAAATTGGCTCAAATGACTCATAATCTGAATTAACTCTTTTGACTATGTAAATTTGAAATGAATGAAAATGTTTATATGTTCCCTACTGACTTTGTATTATGTTTTAGTCCGTGAAAGGTCCGAAAAACAATTTGGTACAAAACTCAAATCTACTATAAACATATCAAATTCGATATCTTATTACAAACTCTAATATAGATTTTATTAGGGGCGATAAAATCATATCAACAATGATAAAACAAGAGATTTATTAAGTTTGTGTTTTGTAACGAAAGCCTCGTCAAAATGAACTCGCCTTACTAAACTGTAGGTGGCCCGACGAGACGAGTAATTAAGCTATTACTCCGTCAATTATTTTGCTAAATTCAACAAGAAATTACAACTCTTTTAAAAAAATGTAAAGAGCACAAGAAAGAATTTCAAAGCCACCTACTGATACACAATCAAGTGAGGGGGGAAAATTGACTTTTAAACAGTGAATAAACTATTCTGGTTGGTCGGATTTGACCTGTTCCCCATAATTCCCCCATCAACGTAAATTTAACTTTTATCTCTGAAAGTTAACTTTATTTATTGTTAGGTGCAAAATTTTTAATAAAGACGTGGAAATCACTCACTCATAATGGTGAATACTCTGTAAAATGGTTTGGTTTGGAAAGTAGGAGAGGCATTTCCCATAAACAAAAATCCCATAAAAAAAGAAAGTAGGAGAGGCATAGATTCTTCAAAGCCAATAAGAACTCTGTAAAATCACCCACAATATGAGGAATTTTACAATGCTATATAGCATTGGTGTTATAGCTTTTTGCTTTTATGGTACAACTTGAAATTGTATCTCTAACGTTATGGTACAACTTCAGATTGTACCTATATTTTTGTATAATTTAAACTTGTACCTTATGTGATGGTACAACTACAAGTTGTAAAGTTGTACCATAACATAATGATACAAATTCTTTTATGGTACAACCTAAACTTATACATTTAATGTTATGGTACAACTTCAAGTTGTACATTAAAACACCAATGCTATATAGCATAGTAGAAGTGCTCCCCAGTCTCCACAATAGTGTGATGGTAAATGTGAAAAAATAGTGGGGTGGTAAATGTGAAAAAGTGGATTTTTTTTCACTTGAAGGTGCAATAGGGGCTAAGTGAAAAAGGCATGAGGAAATCTGTTTGTACTAGTTTTTGGTTGAAATTTTGCAGCTCAATATTGTAATAAAGAAGATGTCATTGTTCGTATAGATGATGCATTGCAATCTAGATTGAAGATCATCACTAACTAAAGTGGAAGGAGGAATGTGGAGTTAACGAGGATTGCAGTAAGATTGTTCAGATAGTCGGCAGGTGGTTGCGAGCTTTTGGACTAATATCTGATGACTAGTTTCAACAGTTGTTGAGAATTGGGGCAGGGTGATTAAATATCTATCGTCGTTGTATTAAATTTGTTCTTTCTTTTTCTTCTTCTTTTTCCTCTTTCATTTTTTGATGATATTTTCTTGACTTTTGATGTAAGTTGTAGATAATTCAATGGAGGTTTCTCACAGAGTATCCTATATTGTCCAAAATTTATGCAACAATGGATTGCTCATACAGTACCCATTCCACTAATGTAAGGATCTTCATCGATCGACTATCCTATGGAAATGAGAGCAATCTTCATGCCAGTGTTGTTCATTATGCCATCAACTGTCCCGAAGGTCGGGATAGACAAAAGAGGAGCTGTAGATAATTCAATGGAGGTTTTCTCACAGAGTATGCACGAAACAACATCTGCTTTGGCAAGACATGCAAGATTGACAATCGTTAGGAACGTGAGATGGCGAGGGAAGCCAGGGAATATAATAAATACGAACAAGATATAATGAATAAGATCTTCTTCAATTCAGCTCTCGAACTAAAGTGTGGTACGTACCCAATGGCCAATGCAAAAAATGATAAAGATAATATCATGGTTGTGTACCATTGACCCAAACTCTGAGAGAATCCAACTATAGACTATACGATTATGTATATAGCCTCGATTTATAATCTTTGAAGTTTGATGTATACTTTAGTTTGACTATTTCTTTTAAGTACTGTGAATTGTGATTTTTTTTAGTGTGTGTTGCTTTAAGTATTTTGAATTAACCGTTGATGTATGTTTTAATTACTTTGATTAATTATAACAAAACAATTTAGTGAAAATTTTGTCAATATTTTTTTTCTTCTTCAAAATTTAGGTAAAATATTCTTCTAAATTCATTATTACTTCCAATATAAAAATGAGGACTCTGCTCTGGATCTTAGATTCGACTTACTCTATAGAAACTTCCATCTTTCCTTCAAATCCGAATTTTTCTTATTTTTGTAATCGTATAGTTTTCCTGTGATGAAGCGGCATGCTTGTTGCTATTGTTGGTCTATGGAGAGACTTAAAAAAGTAGGGTATCATTGGTATACAATTTTACCATCTTCAATGTCCAAGAATCTCGTATCATTTTGCTTTTCTCGGTGTCTATTCTATAAGCATTAAAAGAATATTTCTTTTTTTGTCAAGACTTCGTGGATGTTTTGGTTGTCCACGAATAACATGATGTTGCACTACTACAAAACAATTTCGTATAATAGATCTCCAGTTGTCAATTATTATCCTAATGCAAGTATAAATTACTATTGAAACACTCAAGGGCATGGTATGTGGCTTCAAAACCGGAAACACTGTTGCTAATTAACACAACTCTCAACTCAACAAACTTTGCAAAGCCAACCACTTCCCCATTACCATTTCCGCGTCCAGTCCATAAAAATCATTGCAAAGTGACTGATTTATCGTGTGTAAAGCAGTGGGCATTCTCATTGCATAATCGATGTAGAAAGAATATATTAATATGTTATTGCTTCGAGTAGGTACGTAGTGGTTAACTAATTATTCATTCTTCATCATTTTACTTTTATCTTAAGCATTTCAATTATGCCTACATTTATGGAGCGTTGGTTTACCCATAAAAAAATTAACTTCTACCATATTGATTACTAACCAGAAATTTAATGGATTTATATGGTCAGCTCAACATTAATCATTAAATGAGCTAGGAAGACAAGCTTGGTATCAAAACATGAAATTTGACTGAGCCAAGAGGGGGAAAAACTAAGTATGAAAACAATACAGACTTGGTAGCTAGCCGAGAGGGCCGGCTTGGTACCAAAACATGAAATTTGGTTAAGTATGCTATCAAGGGGGTAGCAAGGTGACAAGGTGGCTAGCTGAGGTGGCCACCCAACCAGATACCAAACCGTCATGGACAATACCTAGATTCCCAAGACTAAGTGTGTAATCTTGGAGTTCGGGGTTGGTCAGCTAGGATTTTGAGCTGATAAGCTGCCAATTTGATGAGGACTTGGTGTAGAACACCTTAGAGGCCAAACCTGTGTGACCATTTTGGTGGAGGGCCCCTTAGAAGATCAAAATGATTACATAAATATCATGATATAACAAAATAACTATTACGTGTCTTTTCATCCATATTACCATCCAAAATAGTATGTTAGCTTGCTTTGTATAAAAGAGAATTTTTCGAATTGTTTAGGTGTCTGGTATTTCTTATTATTTTTGTACTTTGTCAACAAGCTAATTGGTTATTTTGGATGAAAATATGGCTAAAAAGAGTAGAAATGATGATTTTGTTATATCATTATATGTATATGACAATTTTGTACGTTTAAAATGTTTGTGACCATTTTGTTACAAGCTCTAACTTGTGTGACCATTTTAATCAATTACTCATAAAGAAGTGAGGATATCCATAAAGTTTAACTACTACTTAATTTATTTCAGTAATTCATGTTATCAACTCATGAAGTTACATGCATTGTTTATTTTTCATTTGCTGGATGGTAATTTGGATTGTTTATTTTTTCGTGTTGTTGGATGATAATTTGGATGGTTTATTTAGAATGTTTCATGTGTGTTTCCATATTTTCTTAGCCTCTTAAAGTCCAAATATTGTTGGCCATTAAGTAACACGGGTCTTACTGGATAACACGCGTCTTAATGTGGTTAGTGATTATGCGGTTAGCATATTCACCCTTAATACATGTGGTGCAAGAAGCAGGACAAAGTGCAACATCATGTTATTCGTGGACAACCAAATTCGTTTTTGGGGTGCCTTTATTAACTGCGGTGCAAGAAGCAGGACAAAGTGTCTAAGTCCTCGACGGACGCCGAATATCGGGCTATGTCCGATGTAGGTTCCGAGTTGGTATGGTTACAGCGGCTACTGGCGGTGCAGTGTAGTTCTCCGCTCACGATGTATGTGGGCAATACGAGTACGATACAGATTGCGGCCAATCCAGTACTCCATGATCGTACGAAACATATTGAGATTCATGTCCACTACATTCTAGATTTTGTCCGCGACGGGGTTGTTCGACTTAAGTATGTGATCTCCGAAGACCAGCTGGCGGACTTGTTTACGAAGCCATTCTCTCGTGCTCGCCATTGGTTCCTCTCTGACAAATTGATGCTACGGAGTAGTCATCATTTGGGGGGGGGGGGGGTTGTTAGCGGATTTGGGTTTGGTCAGTGTGGCCCATGTATGTAGTATTGGTTTGTAGCCCAGTAGAGCCCTAGCCGACGTATGTAGAGGGCTAGAAGAGGAGAAGTTTGTATAAATTGATTTTGTAACCTACCAACGTCACACTACGAAAAAAACCTAATATTCTCAGCTCGGAGAGGTAAAACTCTCCCGTGGACTAGTCCCGTTATCGGGGAAACCACGTAAATCTGTTTGTCGTTTATTTGTTCAGTTTAGCAAATTCAACAAAGTCATCAAGTGGCCAACAACATTATAGTATTGTGCATGTATGAAGCAAGAGTTCACACGTGTGCTGGGCTTGAATGATGAAAGATGTAATGACCTCCTCCTTCATTGTTCAAAAGTGAATGTTACATTTCCATTTTAGTATTATTATTATTACATGCCATTGAAGTGAAACATCAATATTCAATAGTAGTATTGGAATTATCGTGTTGATTAGGATGCTTTTTCCGTCAACAAAACCCCTGATAATCCACATTAATGTCCACTACATTTTTTTTTTACATACTATCAAATCATACTAAACAACAGACAAAATTAGTCGCGCAACTACCCGCAAATTGTCCATGATGTTTGCATGCTTTGAACCTTTTTATACGAGAGTATTATTATTCATAATCATTTCATGTACGAAACGTTAAAATACTTACAGAAACTTTCTCATCCAGTAACTATGAATGGAAAGACACGCATACTATAATCCGCAAAGAATTAAAACCCATATCCGTGCTAGGTCGTGTAGCAGTAAGTAACACTAACAGAATCGGAAAAAACAACTGTAATCAAAGGAAATTGCAGACATTCTGATCTGTTGCCCTGAAAAAAAATCCATCCATCCTCTGCCAAAAATTTACCGACCCTTGTCATTCACGTCTCTGCCCTCTTTTTGGTGCTCTCTCTTTTTTTCCTTTTGTCTCCATGTCTGTCTGTCTGTCTGTCTGTCTGTCGTCTCTCTCCCGTAGCTTTTAGACACTTTAGACGGAGGGAATTGATGGCCATTGTTGGATGGAGAAGATAGGAGGACTAGCTAGAAGAAAATGGCGGAGCAATGAGGTTGACTCCTGTCCACCTCAACCACGGATAGAGAGAGAGAAAGGTGTGGAAGGAAACATGGCTAAACGTAGCGTTTGGGTCCCCTTCTGGTCCCCAAATTTCCCCACAACTAACTCCTTACCTACATCATTTCATTTCATTCCTTGCCTTACTCCTTGCTTGTTCAAATAGTTGATTCACGTTCCAACAATCTCATTCATCAACTTTACCTCGATCGGTTCGTGTCCTCATTTGGTGCTTGGGTTAATGATGATAATGTCTATCTTGAACAGTGGGCGGAGTCTTAAATCTCGTTGTTGGGTGTTGCAATTCGTCGCTCAAGGAAATCAAACTATGATGACGTATCAGGAAGGTAAAGTCTTACACTATGTTTGGGAAGGGGTGTAAATGGAAGGGGTGTAAGTTTGGGGGGTAAACACAAGTTCCAAGGTGTTTATCCCCGTTTGGTTATTTTGTAACAGTAGGGAGGTGCAAAACGTGAGCGTAAATTCACTGTTTCGGCTTACCCCCCAAATTGGGGTGCAAGGGAAGGGGGAGGAGGGGAATTATGAATTTTTAATTAGATTATAATTACATAATAATTAATATTATTAATTTTTTCTTATATCTATATTAGTGTAGAAGTTGTTTGGGGTTGACCGTTTGACTCAGAGAGCAAGTTTGTCAATGTTCGCCTAGTCAAATCGATATCTCTTAGTTGACCCGAAGTTGCATTGAAAATTAGAGATAAGAAGCGTTTGTTGAAAAAATAGAGAGGAACAGTTTAGTTAACTCGAATTACTTTAATAAGTAGTTAAAACTTACAGATTCGAACGTGTTTGACTAAGTTTGACCATATTCAATTTAAAGATAGGCACGAGAACCCCCTTAGGATGACCAGTTACGAGTTGGATTTCGAGTTTCGAGGTTGCTCGACCAATGTTTATTATTGTTGTTATAAATAATTATATTTGAGCATTATTATATAATAATTATTTTTATTAAAATTATTTTTATTTATTATTATTATATATTGAATTTTCATGTTATTATTTTGTGATAATATTTTATAAATTGATAAATCTATTTTATAATAATATAATTACTTACTTTTTAGTTTTTACTCTATTTGCACCCCCTACTTTTTCATCCAAATAACAATTTACCCCTCCACTTATACCCTCCACCAAGTTGCACCCCCAACAATTTACCCCTCAACTTGTACCCCCTCGAACTTGCACCCCCCTTGTTGCCAAACATAGCATTAGCAACTACGTTCGCTTTATTTCTCAAATTTTTGTTATGAAATTTACATATAATTTCACATTTTTTTTCGAGTTTAGGGAGGAGCGGTAGAGGCCCTACTATACTACCACCATAGATGTTGATGACGAGTACTAATCCAAATTAAAGTAGACTCGCTTTTCACATCTAAACTATCAGTTATATCTCTCACTTTCTACGAAGCGCTGAATCCTATAACATTTAGGGGTCGTTTGGAAGTTGTGATTCTAGATGAATGATTCTTTGAATTAATGTATTATGGAGAAACCATCCGTTTTTTGTCCCAAAACATTATTCAATATATGCATTTGAGGTGGGCCTTCAAATCTCAATTCACCCACAATCACTCATTTTAAATCTCAACAAAAAGGTGAGATTCTTCTTTTGAGATTGTGAGCTTTAATTTGTTCCACTTTTAGCTCATAAAGTGCTTTTTTCTTTTATTTAAATTTTTTGAGTTGTTACAAACAAATGATACATTCTTCCAATCATCTAATTCTTACAATATTTGTATTTACAATACATCTATTTATCGAATACACATATTTGAAGAATCTCAACTTTCAAACGACCCTTTAGGTATTTTCCACGCATGTTCATTTACTCCAAAAAAAATTTTGTTGAATTTTCGTTGTTGGGAGACAGCTCGCTTGGTATATTTTTGGCATTCGTTAGAGAAAATAGAAAAATTAAAATTTGAAGGGTGGCATCGTCGCCAACCAAGTGTGAAACTTGAAAGTGCTTATAATAATTTGAACAGAATCAATAGTTGACTTTTGTAATTCAAGTTGGTTGTCCTAATCTTCACTTTAACGTACGTTTAACCTAATCCAGCACTAATAACTAACATCGTTGAACTCCTTTTTTTTTCCCACCGCGCATAATAATAATAATAATAATAATAATCCAATAATATATGGTAGAGTTTTGTGAACTTTTCTCCATTTCAAATTTCCTGCAACGAGAATGAAAGTAGGAAGGACATTTTTGTTTTTACAATTAAATATTTATCTCAATAAAAATATCAATATGAGGATTCGAACCCGAGTTTCTTAAAACAAAGACAACAATCACAACCAATTACACTAAACAAATTTGTTGTATCTTTTTTAGTACAAAGCATACACAAAGTTAGACTCTGAAAATTGGATGAATTTTCCATCATGATTACCAAGCCCACTAAGTCTACCGTATATATTTTTATGGTGCTTGATACTTCAGTTTTCATAGTAGCTAGAGTTTCATGTAATTTTCTCAATTTTAAATTTTTTGCTCTCGCCTTAATTTTTTTGCTAAAGGTAGATTGATAATTGGCTACCATAGAAGAAACTAATTATGTTACTGCGTGTTGTATCCTTGAAATTTTCAATTTAAATTTAAATTTAGTGCTTTTTTTTATCTTTGTTCTTATCTCTTTTAACTTCCTCCGAAATTCCCTCTATCGTGCAATAGTTTACGCCCCTTTCACTTTTCAATACAAGGCCGCCTTTGAAATCAATCTTTTGGTATCTCTTGGCACTACGATTTTATTATTCGGGATTTAAGCTAGGCAAGTAGAAGATTTCAACTCCGATATCAATCCATGACAAATAGAATGGAGTTCAATAAATGGAGTTGTAGAAGGAGGATTAGAGATTGAATTTTTTATTGAAACATATGTCTCTTGAGATAAAAATTTGGTTCTGCAGCAGAGAGTGGTGACTATTGGACCTTTAGGTTTATGGTTTTTGCAGCTAGGTCGATTCTTTATTCTACCTATTGGAACTGATAGATACGGAGTGTCTAATTTTGTGTCTTATTACTTCGATCGAGTTTATTAGCATATTGGAGGTAACCCTAATTTTGTCGTTTGCTCTCAAGTTTTATTGGTCCCCTCTTAATTGAGTTGTTAGTATATAGTTGACTTGAATCAACAACTCTCCATTCCTTTTTGATTAGTGGCATATTGTTCCTAAGGAGTGCATTGAACCCTTTATGTAGGATTGTGAGGTTTAAAATTGTGTTTCAAACTATCTATGGTGTGTGGGAATTCCAATGAGTTTTTGTACTCTATCTTTCTTGACAATCAACTAACCAATAGCATTTTAATTGGGGCTTAATTATCATTATAAAAATGAGATCGATCATTTTTATATTTTATATTCTTATTTCTCCAAAAGTTCGATCTATATATTCTTTCTTTATATATCATCTAGATCGAAGAATTGTCAATAAAATTAAACGGGTTGATAGACTTAAATGTAACATAAAAATACAAATAATCAAATATGAAATTCCGGCCAACGGGCCGGGTTATAAGCTAGTAATAATAATAATAATCTTCTGCTGCGTTTCTCTCATCACTCATGGCATGCTCACCAAAAGAGAAAAAAGTGGTAGACATACATTCTAGTAAAAAAAATGTCCCTTCTCCCTAGGGATGGCAACTTTGCCCATACCCATGGGTTTCTTACTATCCAACCTAATTGGGTTGGGTATGAAATCCAAATAGATGGATATGGGTAGAGTTTGATGGGTTTGTACCCATACCCATTTATTTTGGGTTGAGTTGGGTTTATATCAAATGGATTTGGGTTTGTACCCATGCCCAAATACAAATTACAGTTTGGTACCCAAACTTAATAGACATGCATATTTAGTACCTAAATTTAATTTTTTTTGCATATAAGTCCTCAAAATATCGATGGAAAATTACGTTTTGGTACCTAAATTTTTTTGGTCTTACATTTTGGTACCTAAACTTTTCAAGTTTTGCGAATAGGTCCAATTTTTGCATGTGTAGTTAAAACACCCTCAAGTAAATGGATATCCATATCCAACCCATACCCATTTAGATTAAGGAAGCCCCAAACCCAAACCCATCTATAAACCCCCAAATCCATATGCACTTCACCCATACCCAACCCATTATCAATGGGTCTACTTGGGGTTGGGTATAATTACCCATGGGTGGGTAATTTGCCATCCCTACTCCTCCCGCACCCAGATTTTGCTTTTTGCCGGCCTCCCGTCCATACAAATACGTGCTTTGTTGAATTTTTTTTTTCCGGTAAAGCAATTCTTCTCGCCCGCATGATACAGGAAAAGTTAATCTGCTAACTTGAAAATTCGTTAGCAGATACTAACTGATATCCAAAATAGATGAACTAATGTCCAAGTACTAAAGTATCTAGAGAGCACAGACTAGTATTCAAAATTTGCTAACTGATATCCACCATGAATCAACTATTATCCCAAATTCACAAACTAATATCTAGATAACACAGAATGGTATCCATACAACACATAATTAGTATCCATATAATACATAAGAGTATCCATATAACATATAAGAGTACTCATATTGAATACTAGTTGGTTGATTATGGATATTAGTTGGTATATGCTATCTGGATACTAGTTTGTGATGTTTTGAATACTAGTATGTGTTATCTAAATACTCAGCATACTTGGATATTAGTTCATACATTTTGGATATTAGTTAGTATATACTAACGAATCTTCAGATTAGTTGAATAACTAGGCGGTCCAAATCACAGGACCCTTCACTCTGTTACTTGACCCAAAGTTTTTGCTTCTTTCTTCTCACTGACGCCACCACGCACTCACTGGCGGTGGCGGAGCCACTCAAGGAGATGGGGGTGCTTGCAGTCCTATTGAAAGGGCAAACCCAAAATCCAAGAATGTCATTTCTAACGCACAATTTCTTCTTTTACATTTATAAAGTAATTTGTCCTAAAATTAAACTTACCACGGCAGAGTTCTTCATCCCCAACAACACATTACTGCCCTTTTATTGTCATTTGGTCGATACTCGGTTGAATTGTTACTTTGTTAGTCATCAATTTAATTTTTATATGTGTGAACTACAATTCATTGAAATGTTCAAAAAATAATAAGGGGTCGATGAGTTATATAGAAAATGGTGGGAATAAATAAGCTCACTATGTTTGTTTACTTCTCAAGTTGACACTAGATTGCAACAGGTGGAGAGATCATTTTTATTCGTTAAATATATCAAGAACAATTTTTTCAAACCAGACGAACGTGAGTGGATGAACAATGTATTGGTAACATATATTAAACATGATTTGTGTGCTAGTATGGGCAACAACAACAAAAAAAAGTGTTGTACATTGCCTTATAATATGAAATCTCATCATTTTTCATTGTAAGCAACGTGCGTTGAACTGTTATATGTAATCGTACGAATATTTATTTTTAACCTGTATTTAATATTGAGTATTGTGTTATTGAATTTTTTCATTATAGTTAGACTTTTCTACGATTATATTTATTTTTTACTATATGAAGCACCCCCTTAACCAATTTCTGGCTCCGCCACTGCACGCACTCATCCAACAACACGGGTATTAGGTACGGATCAGGTTCTACGCGAATAAGCTACCCAAAACCAACAAACGGTAAATTTTAATATCCGGTTTAACCAGGTTAGTAGGGCTAAAAATTGCCCTGACCAGTCCTTGAAGGGTCAAGATGTATAACTAACCCGTCCCTGTCTCCTTCTTGACCCTGTCTGACACTCAAGGGATGGGACGGGTCGGGACAGTGGGTCGACCCTAATCTACACACTACTTTTTTATAAATTACGTTTTGGTACCCAAAATTATTTATTCTTATAATTCAGGACCTAAAATTTATTTTTTACAAATAAGTCCTTAAATTTTGATGATAAAATTACATTTTGGAACCCAAAATTTTTTACTTGTGCAATTAGTACCTAAACTTTTAAACCTTTTACAAAGAGATCCAATGTGGTATGAGATATTTGTTGTTGCTAAGGGTCACAGAGTAAAAAAAGACCCGTCCCGACCCTTATAGAGTCAAAAGCTGACACATCATTAAACTGACCCCATAGACAAACTGACTCGTCCCCAACCTCACAAACGAGACGGGTCAGTAGGTTTTCAGGGTCAAACTTACACCCTACGGGTTGGATACCCACAGGTTTTGGATTCCACTACCATTCGTAAACCTTGTGCCAGTCCACTAAGATTGGTAGGAATGTGTTGTCGATATTCTTCACTACGACGTCAAAAAAAAAAAAAAAAAGTTCACTTGGGTAAACTTTATACAATTTCGTATCGTCATTAAATAATTTCTAGACGTTCTGATTACTTGCATCTCAAGTTTCCAGTCTCAATCCGTTTCTTCTGTGTGAACAGGTCCATCCATTAAAGAATAGACAATTAGACATCATTATAAACGAGATCCTAAGAGGAAACGGAGTCTGAAACTTTTTAAACGGAAAGTTTGGTTGATGATCATAATTCATAAATCATAAATCTATACTTACTATTATGGCTATTCAAAAGTAACTTCTTGCCACATAAGTACTTGGTGAATTCACAAGATGCCAATGTGGACAATTTTTTAACAAACAAAAAATTATTTATTGATCTATTTATGGAGCTATCTATCTCTTCTTTTAATACTTCTACTCATTTTTACTAAAACTTAAAATAAGGTACATTTTTTGTGACACATTTAAACAAACAAACACACATAAGTAATAATCTTTTTTTTCAATTAAACAAACTATAAAAATGAAAATAGAGAGTGACAATTTAACCCAAAATATCTTATTAAATCTCATTAAGTAAATTTTCTATCATTTTCACTAAAAATTTATAATAAGTTACATTTTGATGGGAAAAAACAAGCACACATATGAATAATAATAATTTTTCAATTAAACAAAATTTAAACGATGGCCTAGGAGAAAATGAGCGTTTGACAATCAATCGTTTTTGAAAAATGAACTACATGACTATATATTTTTTGTTATCAAACACTCACTTCTTCCTAATGAATATAATTATAAAATAAAACAAGTATAATTTATATAGAAAAAGGTCTGAAGATAAATTTGACATAGCAATAATTGTTATTTTTTTAAAACGCTTCTTATTCATTCCGTTTAAATAAAAAACATATTAATTATGAATACAACCTTTTAATATATCTCTACCATTTCCACATTTTGATTGTCTCTCTAGAAATAAAATCCAACATTGAAAATAAGAAATTAGATAAAGAAGGAAATTGTAATGCATATGAAGTTTTTTTTTTATTCTTTGTAGGAGAATAGGAGGAGGGAGGTACACGAGGAAACGATTAGATGTAAATTTTTTGAGCAGTTGTAACATATATTTGCCTGTTGATAAAAGCAGTTCATCCTATCATTACGAAGACGAGGTGAACCAGTGGCGTAGTTAGGATTTCATCTAAGGTGGGTCCACTTAGAAGAAAAATACACCTGGTAAAATAATTTTTGTTAACTTTGCGAGTCATTCATGACATAATCTTATATTAGAAAATTTTTGTTAAGTAAAATAGATTAGCTGTCGAAAGTATCAAGAATATTAAATACCAAACAATTATTAATGATTTAGTTAGTCGTTAGGTTTCGTATGATGTTCTTTATAAAAAACCATTAGTATCTATACCTCGAGTTGTCAAGAGATATTTAATAATAAATCTTACACCAAACAATAATTCATGATTTGGTTAGTCATTCTCTTACAAATGATGTTATTTGTCAAGAATCTTTTTGAATCGATAAATTGAGTTGTTGGAAGAGGTTCAATAATATATCTTATACTATTTACTAGCACGCTCCCTCATATAAGAAAGTCAACTTATAGAAAAATGAAGTTTGCACAAATCTGTATATCGTGTACTTAACAAATGAGGTCGCCAAAATTTCGAACAAAAAATCTTTCGATCAACTATTCTCAATTAAATACCCCTAATTTTCTATATAATTTAACTATTGTATCTAATTGAACAATTTTCCTTCCGAGTCAGGGTGGGTCCCGGGACCCACCCTGTTATACTCTCCCTCCGCCACTGAGGTGAACCAAACCGAGGATTGTCGACTGCTCCCTCTTCCTCCTTGATCTGAAGCTCGCAACTGCTCACTCTTTTTTCCATTATTTTCTTAATTTCTGCCAAATTAAAATTGTTGGATGGTAAATTTCCCTACTTGATGAGCGAATGTATTTATTCTTCGTTTTCACGGAGTTATTTTATGTTCTCTATTACGTCATATACTTTTATGTAAATAGGTAATATATGATTAGAAAGGATAATTGGTTGGACTTAGAGCATATGTCCTTTGATTGAATAATTGATTTTTACTTAAATGCCTATTGCAACCCGATTCTTTAGATGTTGAAATGGAAAGTGGAGTTGTGAGGGTTTTTCATTATATTCCTTATGTTCATGATTGACATGCTACTAGCTAGCTATAAGATGATGATCTGGTTAATAATTAGTAGGTAGCAATGGGATTATAAGTAGAATGGAACATAATTGAGGGGTTTTATAAAGGTCGTGAAGAAGAAAGAAAATGACTGTGGCGGTTCCTCGGTTGTGTATTTTGATGTTTTTTTCAATTTCTACACATTTGCAATGATATTTGTTTGTTTCATTAGGGTGAATTTCTCCTCATTAAATCCTTAACTAAAGCTTGATTTTGACATGATTATTTTCTTACCAACTACTATTTTGATTGGTGCATAGATTCAGTTCACAAATTAGGAATATGCAAGATAGAATGAGTTGAGTTGTATTGAAGTATGCTCCTTTCATTATTTGTCTATGTTGTTATTCGGTAAAAAACACTATTTTTTTTTCCTTTAGGAGATATGCAGCTCTCTATAAATTATAAATTGTGTTTATATGAAGTTTAGTTTGTTGAAAATATTGTTTTAATAAATTAGTGACAACTGATAGTTCTGTTTGTGGTTGGTTTTGCTAGAACATTGACAAGATAAATTAATTGAGTATCCAGAAGACTGATGGATGTGGATGCTAATGTATTTCATCATTATTCCAGAATTGCAGGTGTAACTGACAATACACGATATTCGTGAGATCTAGATCGGAATATTCTCTATTATCATATACAACATAGGAGAAGGGAAAGAAAATGAAAAGTTCTTCACTTATTTTTTTTATTAATTGAATCCTATTTTCTTATCATAACTTCTTCGTTTTTTACCTTAAAAATTTTAACTTCTTTATCACTTTTTTGAGTTCGATACAATATTTTAAATCAATAAAGAACGATCTACAAAGAGCTCAGTTATTACAATTAAATTTTTCATAAATAAAAAAGGTATAAAAGTATGAAACATTACTTAAATAAGGTAAGTGAGATTTACAGTTTCATGTATATTAAATCAACAAATATAAATGATAATAATAATTATAATACTATAACGAATTCTAATATAATCAAATGTAATGCACCGCCCAACGGGCGGGTAAAAAACTAGTATAAGATTAGGAATGACAAAAATATCTGAAACCGTGGATATCCATCCGAATTCGATTTTATTGGATAGGGTAAAACTCAAATCCAAACGATTTTCAGTGGGTACAAGTAAACCCGAACTCGAATATTACGGGTAATGGGTGTGTATGATTTTCTCAGTATCGTTTGAAATTAATTTCCTTCATTCAAGTGAATTATTGTCGTATTTTCCACTTATATAATGTGAGTGTGAATTTTAACATTTTGATTTGAGTTATAAATAGAAATTATTACCCATTGATAACCATGGATATCCGAAACCCGAACGGGTATGGACATTGTTTTAAGTTTCTATCCAATTCTTATGTGGATATGGGTAAAACCCGAACGACTTTCGATAAGGTAACGGATATGCACTATCCGTCCCGCCCCGACCCATTGCCATCCTTTAGATAAGATAAGCCCACTGCGAGTTTGACTACATGATATATGGGCCGATTACTCTATTGTGTGGTTTCTCTTACAGTAGTTAGGCCCATATAATGGATTGGGGGCTTTTCCACATTTCCAGTCGGATCGGTACTGCTTCCGGACTCCTGCAATTTTTTTTGTGTGGAAGAAAGTAGGAGGAAGAAGAAGGAGAACCAGAGGCGAGAGAGACAATCAGCAAAACCGCTGATTTGAACTGATAAAACTTTCGTTAGGGTTTATATTGGCTTGGCAAGCGGCAATCCCATTGCGGAATGGCTTCTCGCAACCATCTCGACGATGTGAGCCCTATTTTCCTTCCTTCCTCTTTTCAGGTCATCGGGGTCCGTCTTTAGGGCATTTCTTGTTCTGTTTTGGGCTGAAAGGTTTTGTGAAAATTGTGTGATTTGTGTAGGACGATGACTTCGGCGGCGATTTCAGTGGAACCCACAACGGAAGGCGTTCGGGTAATAAGAGAAGCTTTGGGGATCTTGAGGACGATGAGGACGATCTCTTTAGTTCGAAGAAGGTAAAGCTCTTGACTTGGTAGACTGAAGGGTATTCGATGGACGGTCTGTTGTTGGATATACAGAAGTATCAAACTTAATTGTTGAGTGAACCTGCTCTTCTTTGGAGTGAGTTTATGTGGGAAATTCAGAGAATTTGAACTGGGAACTATCAAAGGCGTTGTCGAGAGGATTTCATTTGGAGATGTTTTTATAACCTGAATGTGATTCATAGGGTTCTGTGAATCTTCTGGTGGGATATTAGATCCTTTAGTACTTTGATTTAGGCATAGTTTGACTTTTCGAATGTGGAAACTGTGTGAGGGATAATGCGAAGTCGTAATCTTATTACTGCAGGGTAATTCGAAGGTGGAAGAAACCGCAATGATTCTGTCTCTTCGTGAGAGGTATTCTATGGATTTAGTGACTTAATTCCTGAACGAACTACATCGAGTATATATTTGTTTGCTAGTAACCAATTAAGATTCTTACAACTTATTTCTGGGTCTTTCCTTTTACAGCCTTGATACCTGCAGGAACGATCTTGCGACATGCCAAGTATGATCCTCTGCCTCCATGCTTTGCAGATTGTTGGTTTCTGTAGAATTGGTTATTTCCAAAAACAAAGAGCATATTGGAGTTCTCTCCTTAGGCTTGTGCATTATTGTATAAAGTATGAGTTTCACTTTTGACTTCAGAATATCCATTTGTTTGAGTTTTCAATTTACATGAGGTTTCTGGCTCCCAGCAGCCTCAGCTATATTTTCCCTAGGTTGCTAGTACAATGTGAACTTGCATACAACACAATATTCGATATTTTTGGCATCACTGTTTTTGTTTGATAAACTTCTTGTAGATGAGAAGCAGCTTAAATTTCGTTTGTCGTCATTGTAGTATGAAACAAAGAGATGTAAATGGTTTAGTTTTAGGTTGTTATTCTAGAACTGTCTCTATGGTGGTTGGCTATACTTCTTGCTTGAATTTCTCATGATTACAGCTTGCTGCTGCTAAATTATACTTAAGTTATGACTTTGCTATAGCTTTTGTTGAATTATACCGTACTGATAGTTATGTACTCTAAATGTGGTCTTGATTGCAGACGGAGCTTGAAGCGGCAAAGTTGGAGATTCGAAAGTGGCATTCTGCATTTGAGAATTCGTCTTTCATACCCTCAGGGGCATCTCCCGGTTGGTCTTTGTTAAGGGTTTTGTTACCTAATATTTCTTTCATATTTATGTATATTTTCCCTTTCTACAAGTTCTCTCTCGTGCTGTTAAAACTTGGGTTCTTCTTACTTCTGTAGAACCTAAACTAGTCATCAATTATCTTCAGACTCTGAAATCAGCGGAGGAGTCATTGGAGGAACAGGTATCGTGCTTGAATTCTCTCTGCTCTGAGAGCTCATGAATCCTGATCTCAATCTCATTGGTCTCTCATTCGTTTTATCAGCTTGAGAAAGCAAAGAAAAAGGAAGCAGCCTTCATTGTTACATTTGCCAAACGAGAGCAGGAGATAGCAGAATTGAAGGTTGCGTCTTCTTGCTTTCTTTTATTCTGCATTTTGTTACTTTAATAGTTTGATTTGTTTGTTTCCTTTTCATGCTTGCTGATTGTATTAGTGATGGGGAAACACTTTTGTATGCCTAGTGTTTGCAATGCCTATTCATGCGTTTGATAAGTTCTTTGTTCCAAATGTTTCCAGTCTGCAGTTCGGGACTTGAGAGCACAACTGAAGCCACCATCAATGCAGGTACTTAATTTCTGAAACTGATCCCTTGAATATAACTTCTATGGTTGGGATTTCGTTTGATCCATGTGCTTTGTTGTCCTGTATCTTTGTACCTAACTGTGTCTCAGAGATTTGTTTCCATAAGCTTTTCCATGCTTTCTTTTGGATGAACTGTTACTTAAACATGCTAAAGAGCCCTATTCTGAATTTTATATGATTTAGGAATTGTTGTGAGTTCTTTTACTGTGGTGTAGTTGCTGCTTCTGATTTACATTTTTCTTCCAATCTGTCAGGCAAGGAGATTGCTACTTGATCCAGCAATTCATGAGGAATTTACTCGCTTGAAGGTTTGTGTTCTGACATCTTTGGCTTTGATATGTTCACGGATAGTCGCTTCTAACAGTATATCAATATTCCATCAATATTCCATGATCAGGTGAGATAATGTGCATATGCTCTTTTTTCTCATTTTTATGGGTGGGACATAAGTTACATTAGAGTAAGATAGGGCTCTGATTATCAGAGACCTTTATTGCATTTCATGGCACTGGCCTTTTCCTTAGAAATGGTAATGCAAAATGGCCTTTTGCTGCATTACCTATTAATTCAAAAATTGGTGTTGCACTAGAATTTGATTGAAGAGAAGGACAAAAAGGTGAAGGAACTACAGGACAACATTGCTGCCATGAATTTTACTCCACAAAGCAAGATGGGGAAGATGCTAATGGCAAAGTGCAAGACTCTTCAAGAGGAAAATGAGGAGATTGGTGCTCAAGCAGCTGAAGGAAAGGTATAGCCTTGTGCCTGTAATACAAGCATTTATTTTATGCATCTTCATATATGGAGGGGAAACGCAGTTTGATTGGTAGTTCCTCAATCATCTATTACTATGCCCATTAGATCAATGTTAATCCCTCGTGCTATATGATATATAGATCCATGAGTTGGGAATGAAGCTTGCCTTGCAGAAATCTCAGAATGCTGAGCTCCGAAATCAGTATGAAGGTTAGGCATACAACAGATTATCTTATATGTTCCACAGCTTACCCCTTCTGAAGATTTTTTCATCGATTTCACCTGGCTTATACAGGCCTGTACAAACACATCGAGGGCCTAACAGATGATGTTGAGAAGTCGAATGAAATGGTTAGCTATCTTGCATCTTCATCTTTCTGCCATTTTTTTGCGCAAGTGTTTCTCATTATTGCTAACAAAGAGGCACTAATTTTTGTACAGGTGCTCATCTTACAAGAGAAGCTTATGGAGAAGGATGGGGAGATCAACCAACTGAAGCAGAAGCTTGACCTGCAACAGAAGACCTCTGTAGAAGAACCAGAGCCACCCACCGATTTAGCTCCAGAGAAAGCAGTTAGCAGTGATGAACTAATGACTCCAAAACAAGAAACTGAGGCTGATTAAACTGTTTTGGAAGAAGATTTTGTAGTTTGCTGGCAGTCAAATTTTCCTTGTATGTGCAATGTGTACATTAAACATATCTCATTAGTCATTATTCTTTCCACACATTTTTGTTCTCTGGAGTCTGGGTGATTGAAACTGAAGGTATCATAAAAGTCTGCTGGTGTAATAAGGGCTACAAATACTCTCTACGAAGGGTAGTTTGTACAATACCCTAATTCGATATTATGTGTTAAGCTGACATAAGAGTCCTAATTGCACTGCAAAACTTCTGGTGTTTCATCGATGCTTCCTTTTGTTGCCTGTCGGCCAACCCAAACCAGCATTGCCAGTGTTCCCAACTGCCTGTATTGGTTCAACCAGTCCTTTCCTGCTGCCGCCAAGAGCATCTCCCTGCACATGTTCCAACAGCGTGGTTGGTTCAAGCTTGAGAATCGCCAGAAAATCGTGGATGGTTCACATGTTTCTGAACATAGTATGTATGTTTCCAAAACATCAAGTAGGTTTATGAAACAATATACCTCTTTCCAACCCATGCCCTCAAGAATCTTTCTAGCATAACTACCGGCTCCAAATGGTGTGATGCCTTCGTCAGGTTCAACTTCATCAGTAGCTGTTGGTTCAGGTGATGAACTACCAGGATTGTTAATTGATGGAATCTTCTGACCGGGACCCACACCATAACCACCATGCAATTTTCTTCTCTCGGCAGCTCTATCCCTATATGCATGACTTTCCTACAAGTGATGGATAGATCCATTGCTAAAGAAATTTGGCAATTTGAGGTAGCATTTATGTCATGGGAGCATCCTAATTCCAATAGGAAAGAAGAAAATTGCTGCCACATCACAAGGTCCGAAATCCTTGGTTCGCCACATGCTAGTACAATTAGTTTGGATGTTGGGTATGTATCCAATGTACATGAAACACAATCGTCACTGTAATGGAAACTACATACCTGTGTGGATTTCAAGAGTTGATCGGATGACTTTGATGCAGCTCCATCACTTGATCCTCTTGATTTTTTCAGTCCATCATCTTGAATACTACTTGACAGCTCAGGGAAACACCAATCTTTAGTTGGGTTGGAAGAATCGTAAGTTGACAAAGAAGCCAAGTACTTCGAACTCGGATTTCTCAACTTGTAAATTTGTCCTGCACAAGGAAGAAATTTCATCAGCTTCGTACATCGATGACAACTATCAACAGTTCACCGCGAGAGTGTTCAAACAAGATAATTGAAGTATATGTTAACAGACCACAGCAGAAGGAAAATCCCAACCTGTTTTAACCCGTACCAGGTCAAGATGCACTTCACATATTGGAGCAGTTCTTAAAAGACCCCCACCAGTGTGCATGGAAGGGTGAAGCTTAGCAGACCGTTTCACCAACCGACCAACCAGTCTAGCCACCTTACTATGGCCATCCACTTTGGAACCTGTGATCAAAGTCCAATCCCATAAATCTGTGGCAGTACAGTCCTGTACTCTATCTTCGTTGTCATGGACTACTTGGCCATACTGAGCTCGCCAGCTCTCTTCCTCTGCCGATACATGTGCTAGGGAAGAAACATTGAGTTCCACAATGCACTTAGTTAGATTGTTGTACTGCCCTAATGGCGATCAACATATAGAGCAATTGAGAAAAAAGAACTGAACATGAATTAACAAAGAATGCAGTTTTGCGTTAGGGTTAAAGAAGCCATGCCCATGAGGCATACATGATATAAGAACTGGCAGTACCTTCATCAATGTTGCTTTCACCAGGATCACTTAAACCACTAGAAACGTTTGTTATCATTTCTTGTTGTGACATGTTGTTATCCTCATTTCCTCCAGCTTTAAAATGAGAGGACAGTTAGATGGTTTCTAGATGGGAAGCCCTTTGACTTAAAACGCGAGGACATTGAAGGGGAAAAAACAACACCTGAAGAGTAGACACCATCTCCACCATCCATTTCTGAAGGCACTATGGAGTTATGATGAGCATCGTCTCTTTGCTTGTAACCAGACAAGTACAGATTGATAAGTGTTTCTTCCAGCCTGGATCATGGAAGTAGAACTCTTAGATAGCAGACCACAAAAATAAAAACCTTAGCAACCTAAAAGCGGTTCACTCGAGATGTAGGTTACCAATTTGAAGGCGGAGGTGGAAACTCAGGTTCTTCAGAGCTGCCACACCCAGTATCTCCTGCCAAACAAACCAACAATCCCCCTGGATTTAGACGAAAGAGTGCGCGATGAAGAGAACTAACTACGACTAGGGGATACGGAAGGTGGTAAAACCAACGTATGCTACGTACTAGTAAGCGGCTCACTTATTCCATGCTGGCAACTATCCGACTCATCAGCCATTAATACAGAACCAGATAAAAATCCCCCCTCAACATTGCTTTCTTCAGCATGTGTTGACCTTTCCAAGTTGGGTTCAGAAGCATCAGCAACAATTCCTCCACCAGTTTCTGCTTCACATCCATTAACCTTAAGCCCAGAAACAAAATTACGAGAGCTAAGCAAATGATGTAGGAAACTGAGGAAAATAACAGAACCCAAGAACCATCCTCCTGATCCCACATTATCCATGAAAACAAACAAAGCGGTTGGCACCTGATCGGACTGCAAAAGCTCATAGCTCCCGTTCTCAAACTTGTAGTAGAGCCCATCTCTGCTATTGTAGTACCACCCCGCATTTGGGTCGTGATAGAATCCACTACTGCATCCATTTTTTTTTTATAGCTTTAAGAGAAGAATTCAATTAATTTCAGCCACAGAAATCTCGAGAATAATTCACAGACAAGACACAGGGGGGGAAAAAGAGATTCCTGACAAAGAAAGAAAAGTTGGCGTAGCGACCAGCACGATCAGCAGCATACCTGGCATGATAATAGAGTTGAGTTGTTTCGTCCCAGATGAAAGAACAATCATCCCTTGCGGCGTCCTTTGCTTCTTCGCTTTCCATGGCTTCCTCAATTTCTCCACTAGGAGGCGATTTCCCAGGATCCCCCGTACTCTTACTGCTAATTCTGTTTTCGGCCTCCCCGTTCGCTGCTTCTAGTTTGCCGGTCGAATTCCGCGCCACCGTCCAGCGACAACGGGCCGGCCCAGCCCATTTTCAATGGGTAAGTGTGGGCTCAAAACTTTCAAAGCCTGTGTGGATTGGGGTAGGTGATGCAAAAGCTTATGAAATTTTCAAGAACAAAGCGTAATAGCCAGGTTTGATTTATAGAACCAACTAGGAGTGGCTATGCAGTTGTTAAATTGACTCGGATTGATCAGTCTTGGTCCGGTCTTTTCGAGAATATGAGGATCGAAGATTGGATTGGATACAAACAGGTTTTGATCCAGTCCGGTCCCAATCCGGTCTTGATTTTAGATTTTGGGTGTTGGACTCTCTTATTCGGTTTTCCGGTCCGATGCCGGACGATTTTTTTACCTCAAATCTAAGCCCGAAAATGGGATTGGATTATTTGCTATCCGGTCCCGATCCGGGTTATACGGTACAGTTTCAGGTAAAACCAAAAAACCCGGACCAAATAGCCACCCCTAGAACCAACTGAGTTTGTAGTAGAACGATACTTTGGTTGTAGAGAGAACTTAATGAACGTCCAAATCCAACGTTTGAATTCTAGCAACTTTCTTATCAAAACGTTATTGCCCTCTCTCTCGTTCACTCAACAAAGAAATCAACCGTTCGAGTTTGTTTTCTTTAGTTGCATAGACTCATCCGACACCAATCTAACACCTAGCTAATTAAGGGGTGGACATCGATCGATTCAACCTAGACCAAATTGATTCATCCAACTATGTGCTGTTGTAACTAACTGTTAGATAGCAAACCCTAATAAAAAAGAAAAGAATATACAAAGCTCGTACCAAAAAGAAAAAGAAAAACTAAAATTAACATCCGTCACTGAAAATAGTCGTCGTCCCCATCACCATAGCAACAGTAACCCACCCATGCTCTGTAGCTATAAGCTCCTCAATCTCTTTATAAACGCCAAGTAATTATCATCACGATCCAGCATACTTATTCTAACGTACTTGGGGCTATCTCCGAAATGAACTCCGCTCCTCGTCAGTATCTTCTTCTCCCTGAAAAACCCTTCGCAGTCTTCAATCTCCCCCTCGCACTTCAACCACGCAAATGCTGCCCACGGCAATCACAAACACACACACACACACACACAAAATCAGTATCCGCATAACCAAATTCAAATTCAACTGTGTTGTTTATATTGACGCGGAGACGGACAATCCAACGATGTTAACACGTGCTTGAGTGGACTGGACTTTACCGGGTTGGTTCCCGAAGGATCGGCGGTTGAAATTGCAGAACTGGGCAGGGTAGTCCGGCAAGCTGAACAAACTGCTCTGTTTCACCGCCTCCCTCAGCAGCCGCCACCGTTCCTCCATGTTCTCGAACCCGAATTCGAACAGCGAACGAGCTGCCACCGCCGGCGGATCGCCCTGCTTTGATCCGTCCTCCTCCGCGTCGGAAACGACCTTCATGATCTTGGCTGCTCTCAGCTGCGAGTCCTTCGACACGCCGATGCTGTTCAGCTCGATGAATTTCGTCATTTTCCTCGCCACGTCAGCGTCCTTCACCAGCGCCCAACTGATAAAAAAAACAAAAAAACGCCGAGTCAGACTGTAAATCTAGTTCAGAATGAAGGGATCAATTTATTTCATTTAATTTTCATTTACCCGATCCTGATTCCAGCGTGTCCGGTGGATTTGGAGACGGTGAACAGAGTAATGTCGTGATTCGCCGGCGGCGAGGTCATGGCAGTGTACTGCGGCCAATAGTAGGCGAAATCGTGAACCAAAACCCCGCCGCTTCGATTCACCACCGGATCCCTCAAGAACCCATCTGGGTTGTTCGGCGAGGTCACCAATTCGACGAACGGCCCGTCGCCGCCGTCGAAAGAGGCGGCGTCCCCTGCCCACCTGTACAAACCCGACCTCAGGCAGTCCGTCGTCGTAGGGTACGACTGCAATCAATCAATCAATCAATTCAACCAACAGAGCAGATAATTAGAAAGAATCTCTACTACAAAAAAAAAAAAACTATAGCTTTTGACCCTTTTGACTTACAGAGTAGAAGGGCGCCATGGAAACGACGCTAACAGGGTCGGTGACATTCTGCGGGCAGAGAGCGTAGAGGACGGCCAAGAAGAGCTGCGTGGAGCCTGTGCCGACGACGATGTGTCGGCCGTCGGTGACGGCATTGCCGACGATGCCGTGGAGCCTGACGATCTGTCGACCGAGCTCCGGTTCGAGGAACCAGCAGAGGTTCCCCGGGTCAGAGAAGTAGCTCGTTGACTGCCAGCCTGGGATCACAATCGTGGCTCTGTCTCCGGTTCCCTGCCAGAACTTCTCGTACATCGTTGGGTCGCCGCTGCAGGGGACAAACAAACAACAAACAAGTTGAACAATCCGCCATGATCGTCAGTCATTGAATAATAATGTCAGCTAATTGCATATAAAGAAATCGGACTTGATCTAAACAAGGAAGACCATCCCATCCCCATCCCATCCATTAACAAAGATAATAAAAAGAAAAAAGTATGACTTGCCTCGAAAACGAAAAGGGTACATCGGATATAAAATTGAACATGGATTCAAGTGTTTGGTTTCTTAATATGTGAATCTTCTCTTCTTCTCCCAACAAACATTTGACACTTGTTTACTCATCCTACCTCCCAAAACATTGTATTCAATCGAGACTTAGATTCATCCGTCTCGTAACAAATCATCGATCGATTCAAGAAGGGCATAAACAACGTGCTTACTTCTACCCATTTCGGCCGAAACGGTCCAGATTCATAAAACACTAAATTGGGTAGTTGGGAAAGGACAAGGGAGGGAGTTGTTGGTTTCAGAATGCATGGGCAGGAAAGACCCATCCATCATCATGTCCAAATAATACCCAACTAATCAATGAAATGAATGTTTAAAGAATATGCAGATCTATGACCCCACTAATTTTTGATTTATTGAGATCCAGTGAAAGCCAACTTCCAATTGTTTATGACTTTCTTTCTTGACCCCCCCTAACTTTACCATCTTCCCAATGGCAAGAAATGAAAATCACCCACTCAGGAATAACAGTTGCAGTATCCAAGCCACATGGCCCCCAACAACAGAAGAGAAGAAAGTTTGCATCTTTACTACAAAGAGAGGAAGGAAAGGGGGAACCCAGAAAGTGGTGGAGGTGGTGCCAATGTGCTCTCCATTACTGACACAGAGCTTTTGGGTGTCTCTCAATCTAGACCATTATTTATAGCAAAAATGGAATGCACATTTCCTTTTTTTCCTTACTAAAAGCTTCTTTCTTCTATTATATAGATATAGGTCCACATAGGCGCACTGGCCACATTCATGGGAAGGAAGGAAGGAAGGAATAGGATGTAACTCATAAAGTCAAAGCTGTGATTGAGTATCCCTCTTCCCACAATGAACTGAACCCCCCATTTTCACTTGCAAAAAAGGATTCCCAAACTCAAAAAGAGAATCAACCAACCCCTCTGTTTTCTTCTTTTTATTAAAAAAGAAATTAATAAAACCCACCATATAAAAAGGATGAGGTGTAAGTGTATATGGAGATGATGAGTCACCCATCCCTTGAGGTTGGGAACATGAAAATGACAAAAGAGAAAAGACAATTTGGTCAATTTGGAAGTGTCCCAACCAATGTTGTCAACCCGCGGGTTGACCCACTTTGACCCTGATCCGATGAGAAAAACGGGCCGCACGCACCCGCCGGGTCGACCGCCACAAGGTACCGGGTTGGAGGTCAAATTGTGTCATTTTTTTCTTTGTTTTGCGAAATGCGCCTATTTTCCGATTTTTCTTTTCACCTAACTCAATCTTTGGAATCCTAAATTGAACATTTGAATACTAATGTTATTTATATAAGTGTGTGTGAATTTTCACTATATGTTGAATTTAAGTACGAAATGTTATTTTGGTGTAATATTATATGTTATAGCTCATATGTTAGATGAGATTTGATATAATTTATCAGAATAAGTACAATATAATGACGTTTTCCATATTTCCGGGCTAAACCGGGCTAAAACGGTTGACCCATTAATCCTTGACCCACTAGCTCAACCGGGTCCGGGTCAACCCGCGGGTTGACAACCTTGGTCCCAACCAAACAATGAGAAGGCAGCACTAGCAAAGCAAAGCTCATCATCCCTAACTACAACTTAACATAACATAAACATGCAACATTGCAACTCCTAAATATCACAACATCTGATTTAAAGTAGGATATTTTCTTTTGGCAAACATGTATTGTAGAATACATGAATTTTGATATCATGATACGGTATTTGATTGACAAGAATTATGATGCGGGTCTCGTATAATTGAATGAATTGTTGATATCGTATTAACATATACTCGTGCAATTGCACGAGGGAAAGAACCATGTATTCTGTAAATCAGCAAACAACCCCAACAAATTGAACTCTAAAGCCTACCACAGAAAATCATTTTCATTTTCCCCAAGGAAAAAAGATAAAAAATTTGATATAGTAAAAGAGCTGCCTTTGTCCAGACTGCAAAGGCCAAAACACTGAAAAATCCCATTCCCCGGCCATCCCAACAGACCCCAAAGCAAAGCAGAGTAAAGAAAGACTGGAAAGCTACCACTGAATCAAAACAAAGCAGAGAAAGGGAAAGCTACTACTGAAACAGAGCTTAAAGATGAGGGGAAAGAACCGATTCCGACCCACCATCAGCACAGGAATCATCGATTCCTGATTGATAACTATGAAACAGAAGAAACCCAACTAAGCTGTGAAAATATCCAACTTTTTATTATTATTTTGGGCTTCAAACTTTCCGCCCCCCATTCAATCCAATAGCTGATGCGCAGAGCAAACAGAAGCAAAAGGCAAACCAAAATAGTTGAAAAGAGAGGGAACATACTGGTCAAGGTTGATGATTCTGCCGTGGTCCACCAATCTATGCTCTGCCGTTTTAGAAGAAGAAGCAAGAACTGATACGGCGGCCGGAGAAGCAGCATCAACATCAGGGGCAGCAGCTTCATAACCCTTACTAACAGAGAGTGAGCAGAGGGAGAGCAGGTCCAGAGCTGGGCTGAAACCTCCGATGTAAACCCTGAAGAGCAGGCTCGCGTTTAAGGCCAGCGAAGCCACCAGAAGGTGTCTTGCAGAGAATACATTCAAAGACCCACCACCCATTGTGAAAGCAAAAACAGGGGATGGGAAGAAAAAAACAGAGCCCTTTGAGAGAAACAGAGAGAGAGAGAGAGAGAGAGTAGAACAGATTTATGGGCAGAAGGCTTTCATCGAAAACCTGGGCTTTGAGAAGAGGGAAAGGCAAAACATTCGAGTTTCAGAGTAGAAAACAGCTGCTTTCTTGCATTTCGATTTTTGGGAACAGGGGAAAAGAAAGAGAAACAAGGGAATGAAGCCCCAAATATAAACAGAGGGGTTAGTGGACTTTTTTCTGATTTGAATAATGATAACTCAGGACGGAGAGAGACTGAGACTGAGAGAAGGGAAGAAGAAGTAACGTGTGCTGAGTGAAGTGAACACCAACTGTGGCACTTGGGGGACTGTAACAAAAGAAAAAAACGGAAGAATCGCAAAAATTTGGAACCCAGTCAGTGGCAGATCTCGAACAAGTAACAATTACTACTCACAACTCCTTCACCCAGTTCTTCTCTTTTTCTTTGTTTAATATAAAGCTATAGATTCACTGTCCCGCATTTGTCTTCTCTTTTTTATTTTTTATGCTGTAAAATATGGGGTACCCCTAAAAAAAAATAAACAATATGAGGTTTGAAATCCAGAGTAGACCGCAAATGAGTCGAGGTCGAACTAGTTTTCCTTATTCGGGGGCGCGCCGAAGAAAGTTGTGTACAACATGGAGAGAATTCAAAGAAAATTCATGTGGAGTGACGCAGAGGACAGGCATAAGATGTCTCTTGTTGGATGGTATACGTGCAAAGCATCTAAAGCTAATGGCGGCGGGCTTGGAATTGTTTATTTAGCTACTTTCAATAGCTCTCTTCCGGCTGAATGGATGTGGAAATTTGCCGACGAGAGAGATAAATGGTGGCGCAATCTCATTGATATCAAATATCATAATACGATGTCATGTTGTCGTGTTAGAAGTGGTTTCGCTGATTCTGTCAGGGCAAATATCACCAAGGAATATGACATTTTTTGGAAACTTGCTTATATCGATAAAGGAGGAGGAAATTTTGTCTCTTTTTGGCACTATACATGAATTCTCGGTATGACACTTGTCAAAGTCTTCCCCCCGAATCGTTGCTGCCACATCTTCTCCTGATGCACGGATCTCTGACATCTTATCATTCTCAGGTGAGAGGGCTTCTTGGAATTTGAATCTCAATTTCACTTTAAGAGGGAGGGGGCTGAAAGGGAAAGAAATTATCTTTTTTTGCTTCTCAGTTCTCTTGACTGTCATCAGTTGGCTAAACGTCCATGTAGGTTGATCTGGTCCCCAAACCCAGATTATGGTTTCCTTATTCCCTCCATGTATAGGTCGCAGATTCAAGACTTAATTTCTCGACTTCCAAATTTCCCATCTGCAACTGTTTGGAAGCACATTATTCCCACCAAAATCTATTTTTTCATCTGGTGCATCATTCACAACATCATTTTGACCAAAATCTGTTAGCTGCAATTATGTTGATGACGTTTGGAACTCCATTCGAAGAGGATGTACTACTATTGAAAATCCAAACGATGATATTAAGAATTCCATTAGGAATCGACCTTCGAGAAGACCCGATTGTATTGATGATTGGTTTGTCTACTGTTGTCTTCATGTTATACTTTGGTATGTGTGGATCGAACGTAATCAGTGTATTTTCAAGGATAAAGGTCTGATTTTCGGAACCCTTTCACAATATATTGTGAATACTGTGATGAGCTGGCTCATGGCTTTTGGCAAGATCAGCAATGATCAAGGCACTAGTTGGATTACTGATTGCCTATTGAGAATGGAATGATCTACTTTCAGTTTGATATGTAGCACTTCGGGGACTATAACAAAAAAAAGGGAAGAATAGCAAAAATTTGGAACCCAATCAGTGGCAGATCTCGAACAAGTAACATTTACTACTCACAACTCAGCTCGACTCCTCCCCCGATTCTTCTCTTTCAAAAAATGTATATAAAGCTATAGATTCACTACCCCGCATTTGTCCTCTCTTTTTAATTTTTATATGCTGAATTAGTTATAACAATTTGAGATTTAAAATCTGGAGTAGTATTGCAAATGAGTCGTGTCGAACCGAGCATTGATCTAATTGGAGCTTGGTTTGTTAAGAAATGATACAAGCTCAAGCTCGAACTTGGCTTGTTTACAAAAATCTTGGCTTGCGTTTGACTTGAACTCAACTCATTAATTAGCTTGCCAGATCGGCTCGAGGTCAAGTATCATATCATTTAGTTCATAATTTTAACAATTCATATCATATTGTTTAATTGTAATAAGTATATGAGCAATGTATGGTACATACGTTCACTTTTAACTTATAGATAAATAAGACATATTTGATAACGTGCTCAAATTATTAAACATCATATGTGGCGAGATATGTAATCTAACAAACCTATGAATTATCTACGAGCGAATGATAAGCTATTAATCGATTCACTCAGGAAGTTTCTAATTGAGGTGGCTCGCTAGCCATATTGTCGAGTTGAAGTAAGAAAGCCATCGAGTCGAGATGGCTCACGAGTCTTGGGAGCTGAACAGGACTTAACTCAACCTTGGCTCGATAGTAAATGAGTCGAGTGTTGAACGAGTTTTCCAGAGACAAACACTGAACCACTCGTGAGCATCTTGCCTCATTCAACCCTATATGGAATAAGTAATGGATAAGACTATGGCATATAAGAATGTGGATGTATGGAGAAATTATTTGTGCTTATCGTTTTCTCATGGGATTTTGATTTTGATAAAGGATTTTGGTCCAAAATCCCACACCCATGGGATTATGCTCAAAGTTCATGTTTGGTGCTAAACTGGTGTTGGATTATGGCTTTTGGGACCAAAGTTTCACCCATTTAGGGGACCAACATAATATCTTAGGTTGCATATATCCACATCCTCCCCAACCTACGATAGCATAACTATAATATAAATTATTTAGTATATAGATTAACTAAAATAATTATAACAACAACAAAAATTTGATAAAACCAGTATGTACTGCTTGATAGTCATCATAATAAATACTCTCTTCTTCGAAAATATCAGCCATTTTTGCAGGTAGCCGAACAGAGATTCGACGGGTTTTGTAGGAAAAACCAAAGAAATGTTTTTTTATGACAATTCGGACTTAGCCGCAACCAACATACCACTATTTCCTAGAATTTTGGGCGGAGAGGGGGATGTATAGGGAGATAATCTTAGAGAGAGAAAGAAGAATGAGTTTTGGTGCGAAGAATGAAGGAGGAGGGAGAGGTTTATATAGGATTCAGACTGCCTGCTGGGAGGCAGTATTGTAATTTTGCAAACACAAAAACTGCCTCTCCAACCATGGTTTACGTTTTCCCAGGCCAGAACCGCTCCCTCCCCTTGCGGTTCTCGATCCGTGACACGGATCGCTCACGGTCCGCCCTTGGATCGCTTCCTAATCCGACGGTTCAGCGGACCGCCGCTTCCTTAGGCGGTTTGTTGGCTGCCCTAGCTTTGATCGCTGCTTCCCCACGCGTTTCTTTAGTAAAACCGCGCCTTCATTATATTGATATACATTTGTATATGGTAGAGGGTGGTGTTCTGCTCTTGGTGATGGCCAAAGAGATGGGAGTCGAAATGAATGGTACAAAGGGAGGAGTGGTCATTTAATACAACGTACACCAAAAATTGTTCATAAAAATCGAAACAAATTATTAAGAATAAAATTGTAAATTCAACCTTTAACTAATAAATTTCAAGAACACAAATTCAATATGAAATCCAACAAACAAAAAAACACTTTTTTAAATTCTAACACAAATTCAATATGACAAAGTCCCACATAATTCTCCAATCATAAAATCTAGGGTTTTACCCAAATCCTTCATTTTGAAAAATCCTACAAAAAAAACAACTTCTTATATTCGTTAACCATGGGTGCACATACACCTACAAGTACATGTGTTAAGTTGATTTCTCTCTTCCATCACCTGGTGGGTTTTTTCGGGTTCGAAAAACTCAATCCAATCCAACCCCATCATCACCCCTAGCTAGGATAGTAGGATATGAAATTAGGTAGCACATGGCTAAATATGTAAACCCCTTTATGTGGTCACCCAATTAAGCAATTAATCGTATAACTATTATTAGCTATGAAAGACCATCATATTTACACTTCGATGGCTCATGACGCAACAACGGGAGGTTATTTTAGATCGTGTTTATAGCCAAGCGAACTTTGTAGATGACTATTTAGAGCTTCGTTTGAACATTATTTGTCAATGGCAGAACATATATTTAATTCACCTAGTAATTTCATAGGATACTGGTTGTATTTTTAATAAACTTGGAATTGAAACCTCACGATTAAGTAATACATAAAGGTTAAGAAGCCCTTCAATCGTATTGTCAGAAAAATCATAGTTGGATAAGGATGGACTTAATCAACCCCATAACATGAATGAGACGGGGTTCCTTTAACTTGTGGATCAAGGAAGACAAACCCTAATAGGAGGAAATGAAATTAGGTACCACATATAGGACTTAAAATGTAAAGTCCTTTATGTGGCCACCCAATTAAGCAATTAATCGTATAACTAATTCAGAGCTCTGCAAGACCTTAATCATACTTGTACTTCCATGACTCATGGCGCAACAAGGAGAGGTTCGTTTAGAGTGTGATTATCGTGAGGTGAACTTTGTGGCCGATTATTTAGCTTCATTCGAACATTCTCTACTTTTAATAAACTTGGAGTTGAAACCCCACGACTTAGTAATTTATATAAAGGTTGAAACTTGAGAAGCTCTTTAAAGGTCTTGGGTTTACCCTCATCTATGGCCATTGCTCCTTTGCTTGTTCTCGCTTATTCTGGCAGAGAAAGCTGCAATGTGTTGTTGCTTTCTACAGCATATATGTAATATTTGATGAACCAGAATAAAAATCAAAGCTGAAAGGGATGAATCGAACAAAAACACCCAAAATTCTTTATGCTTCAAACTTGGGGCTCCTTCTTTCGTTCTCACTCGTCGTTGTGCGTTGTTGTTGTTATTATGTAATTTAATAAAGAGGGTCCACAAAATCAGCAGTCTTGGAGAAAGAGAGAGAGGAAGGCTTGGGGGACCAAAGCAATGCAAATGCAAAGAAAGAACTCTTCTTTTCACAAGTAATAAATGGCGTTGAGAGCTAAGTCATGGCAATCCCTTCCACTAGATTGGATTTTGCGCAATTTGGATTGGGAGAGAGTAGTAGTAGCATTGCTACTTGCTAGGAGGAAGCTAGGAAAATGCAGATACCAACTAACAAATTTGGTCCTCCATCTAGGATTGTGTAATAAATGATGGGTCCTCTCAATCTTTGGTGTAACGGAATCTTTGGTGTAACGGAGAAAATAGTGTTGTTTGTTTGATGGATTTGGATTTATCATGAATTTTGTTCAAAGTTCGAAGTTTACTTTATGTATTTACAGGGGGCAACAAATTTGTGGGACTCACCGACTTTGACAGTCAGGGGCGGAGCTACAACTTGGCTTGGGGGGAGGGGGCGAGAATCACGAAAGTTAGGTGTAAACCCGACGAGCTTCTCGAAAATTTCGTATTCACTAAATATAGTATAACTTTTGTTGTGTTTAGTATCTAGAAAGATAATCTAGTCTAGTGGATGGGAATGCTTATATTATCCTTTGGTTGTGAGTTTGAACAGGAGAAGTTTTGGTTTCCAAATTAAAATTTTTAGTTTTTTTTTTGCCTTGAAATGAGGCCGATGCCAGGAAAAAGAAACGGTTACAGGGGGGATTACAGTGAGGAGGTGGAGGGAGCAACAACTCGACGCTCAAAAGTAGTCCCAAACATATCATCTCGGAGAATCGGGGCCAGTCCATTGGGTGGATTTGCAAGTTCATGCATACCGTAGGGATAGACGAGACTGTTCTTCGAGAGCCAGTCCGCGACTCTATTCCCTTCCCGATATGTATGAGTTATGCGCACCACCCAGTCGCTGCCAATCTTTCTTCTTATAGCTGCTAACAAGGTCGCATAGGGGTGGATTGGGTCGTGACGAGTACTAATCAACTGTATCGCCAGCTGAGAGTCCGAGGCCACCTGGAGGAATCTACAGCCAGCCTTCCGCGCGATATCGAACCCATAGTTAATGGCCCAAAGCTCAGAGAGGGCGGTCGTCGCTGCACCAAGGTTTGCAACAGAACCCGCTACCCACCTGCCACTCGGGTCTCGGAGGATACCACCAGCACCGGCCGGGCCGGGATTACCCGTCGAAGCACCATCAACATGAAGAGACAGCCATCCCTCAGGGGGGGTGTCCAGCCGACGTGCGCCATTACTCGTTCTGCCGGAGCCTGCTTATTACTGGGAAGACGAGACGGGGCATTCCAAGCATCATGCCAAAGCTTGGTTTTCGCCATGATAGCATGCCCAAGAGAGTTCGGAGATAGAGCTGCCCCCATACCCTTAAAACAAGTCGTCGACCAATTCTTCCAAATGAGCCAGATTGCTGTGCAGAAAAAGGCTGACCATTGCATACCGGTGGCCATGCTGTCCTTACTCAAGATGTTCGCCCGGAACCAGTCCCTGTGATTTGAGCTGAAGAAGGAGTTGGAGGGCGGGTGGCACTCTACGAGACTTGAAGAAACTCGCTGGCGGGCAGTCCCTCAAGGTGTGGAGGACTGTTTCGGGCTGACCAGTGCATCTGTAGCATGAAGGATCATCCTCCACCTTCGTAGCGTGCCGTAAACCATTATTGGCATCCTCCCCAGGACGACTAGCCAGGTAAAACTTCTCACCCTTTCGGCGACCGGAAGCTTCCAAATTGCCTTCCAAAGGGTTCATCCAAGTCCTGTCGGTGGTCATTGATGAGGTTATAGGCTGACTGGGCAGAGAAGTTTCCGTCCAAGGATGCCGACCAGAAGAGAGTGTCATCATATGTGGAGAGTTTGTCCACCGCCACGCTAAGAATCTTTTGGGAGATAGTTGGAGGAAGGAGCCCTTCGAACAAGTCCATCCGCCTGATCCCGTCATCATGAACATAATCCGCTACAACCGCCTCCTCACTCCCCGTCGGCAGCTGGCCAATAGCTACCTCCTTGAGAGGAACCTGCAAAACCCAGGGGTCAAGCCAAAACTTAGTGTGCTTACCGTTCTTAATATTCCAAGCACATCCCTTTTTCAGGAGGGTGACAGCTTCGTACAGCTTGCCCAGGTAAAGGAACTTCCCTAAGAAGGTTGCAGGATGTCTAGGTGTCTTTGCTGACGCCCATACTTAGAATACATGACTGGGTCCATAGGATATCATTCTCCTTGAGTAGTCTCCAACCACTTTTCGCCAACATGGCCAGATTAGCCTGTCTAGTGGGTCTGATGCCAACTCCACCCATGGTCTTAGGTAACGTCATCTTCTGCCAGGCTACTAAGTGCATCTTGCTCCTGTTCTCCTCATCTCCCCATATGAAATCCCTGTTAATTTTATCAATACTCTTGCAAACACCACTCGGGATTAGCTCAGTATTCATATGATAGACTAGTAAGGACGCGAAAACCGATTTAGCAACAGTAAGCCTAGCCGCAAAAGAGAGACGTCTGGCTTTCCAAGGAGCCAGCTTCCTTTGAATTCGAAGAAGAAGAGACTGGTATCTCTCTTTAGTGATACGCCCGTGGATCGTCTGGATCCCAAGGTACTTCCCCAGGTCAGCCGTCAAAGGAATGCCTGATCGGCAACTCAACCTTTCAGCTTTCTGGCGAGCAACGTTGGGAGAAACGAAGAGCATAGACTTATTAAAATTCACACGTTGGCCGGAGCTGAAACAGAAGTCCTCTAGGCACCGTTTGATAATCCCTATCTGTCGTGTCTCTGCTTCTGCAAAAAGCTACAAATCATCTGTAAAGAAAAGGTGGGTGAGTGGCGGACCATTCTGAGACAATCTAAGAGGTTTCCAATCCCCACTAACCACAAACTCATCAATCAAGTGGGAAAGACGCTCCATGCAAAGGACAAAGAGATAAGGGGAAAGAGGGCCTCCCTGGCAGACTCCCCTGGTCGGGGAGAAGGGTTGAGAAAGCTCTCTATTCCAAAGGATTTTTATCCGGTTTTGCTCCACGCAGTGCATTATACAGCTGATCCAGGAACTAGGGAGGCCAACTTTCTTTAGAGTGTCCCGCAAGAAGTCCCAACGAAGCCTATCATAGGCTTTCTCCAAGTCGATCTTCACAACGAGACCCCCTTCTTTCCCTTCTTATGCCTGAGAGAATGAAGAACCTCTTGGACCACAATGATGTTGTCTGTCTTCTGTCTTCCCAGAATGAAGCTACCCTGCTTGGGAGACACTAGCTTCCTCATGAGGGGCTTCAGTCTACTCGTCATAGCTTTTGTGATAGCTTTGAGGCTCACATTATTAAGAGAGATGGGTCTCAGCTGGTTCACTCGCTCTGGGTTTTTCACCTTCGGGATAAGCTCCATGGGTGACTCAAATACCGTCTCTGGCAGAGTCCCGGTGGAGAAGAAGTCAATAGCCATCTCCGAGAGGTTCCTTCCAACGACTCTCCACATATGCTGGAAGAAAGCAACTTGGAAACCATTCGGACCGGGGGCCTGAAATGGTTTCATATAAAAAATAGCCCTATGGATATCCGTTATAGTAAAAGGCCGAAGCAGGGCCATCAACTCCGATTGAGTAATCCGTGGGAAGGAGCCCTTTGGAAGCCTGTCCTCATAGGGAGTATCATCTTGCGTGTAAAGGTTTGTGAAGAAATTGGTAACCATAGCAGCAAGTTCATTCTGAAAATAATTGACACACAAACCGCATGGCTGCATGTTTGGTGTCATAAAATAATTGACACACAAACCGCATGGGGGGTGCGATTTGTGTTGCCAAAACCGCACTTTGAGGGTGCAGTTTGTTTTGGAGAAGCAAAACCGCATCCCCAAAGTGCGGTGTCAGGACTAGACCGCATTTGGGCCATGCAGTTTGGTTAGGTCAGACCGCAAACCGCATGGCCAAGATGCGGTTTTGGCCGAGAAAGCTAAACCGCACCTTGGGGGTGTGGTTTTAATTACAAAACGCACCAGAGGGGTGCGGTTTACATGCAAAACGCACCAGGGGATGCAGTTTTTAAAAATGGGTGCTATTTTTGTAATTTTTGTAAATGTGCTATTTTTGGAAAAATCACTAAAATACAAACGTTTCAAACTAATGCATCAAGTGGATAAATTAATGGATTGAACATCGGTTATTTAAAAGTAAATGAACAGTTGCTAATTTTTCTTTTAACATCTACTTCTTTAGTTTAATCAATTTGGGTCTAGCTCATTTCCAACACTTTTTTTCATGAGGGGTTAAGAGCTGAGAGCAAGTGTGTAGAATTAACCCCTATTTGTTAAGTTTTTTTCCACTCCATTTTCAAATGCTAAGCAAATTATTGATCCTTTTTCGTTGGGCACAAAATCAAAGTTTTGTGGCCATTTTATACAAAGTGCAAAGATTATTGACCTTTTATACTAATTACCACGATGCACACATATTCATAAACATCTACTTCTTTAAAAGGTAGAACAAGATTGTCAAACCGGTTTATATTGTTATGTCGATTTGGCAAGTGGTATGGTCCAACTGGTTTATACCGGTTTTAGCAAAACATATAAGCACGTGTGAAATCATTAACACTAAATGAATATGGGCATATATAACATATTTGAAGACAATTTTTCTAAAATGCAATATCCAGAATTTTGTACTTAAATTTAACAAATATCATAAACCTGTAAGTATCCATACTTGAATCTAACAAATAACATTAACATTGAACTTTCAAATTCAAAAACCCAAATAAAAAATTTATTTCTCTTATGAATTAAATTCACCAAAATATAATCATTTTGTTAGAATGAAGAAATCGATCATACGGATCATACTAAACATTATAGATGAATTTGTAACAAATACTAGTTAAACCTAGTTGTACCCACCGCCACTATCAGTTTGGACTCAACTTTTCAAAAGCCCTAAAATATCCAGATTTTTAAAATAATTGGCCCGATCTGTCGCTCCTCCGTCTTCTCCTTCCCTCCGCCACTATTAGTTTACCCGGGAACGGCAGTACCTAAAGAACTTCTCTTTTTCTCACCGGCGACGAAACAAAACCATTCTCGTCGTCTTCCACGTCCTTCATCCACATGCCGGGTGCGCAATGGACGCTCTAATATCGTCAGCTGTCGAAGAAATTTGTTACCGAGGCGAAGCCGGCGTCGCACTTCCCTCCCTCTGGGGCAAACTAACCCCGCCGCCGTCTCCTTCCCTGAAAGCCTCTCTGTGGAGCAATCTGCTCTTGATTCCCACCTTGCAGTTCTCCGCGGGAGGAAAGGAGAAGCCGCTGAGCCCAGAGGATCCCAAAATCCAGCGGGTAGAGGATGCTGAGAAGCTCAAACTGAAGATCGTAGCTAAGGAGCATCTTAGGGATTGCTTCGTTGGACTGTACGATGTTCCTTCGACTGGAGTTAACCCTCGTGAACGACGGGCTCTTGAGCGAATCGCCATTGCTAGGTTTGCTTTCTGTAATTGTGCTGAATCAGTTTGATCACTGTGAGAGAATAGGCAATTTTGAGACCTAATTTCGTAGGAGGGATTCTCAGCTTGATAATATAATAGTGACCAAATTGTTGCTACAATCACAAGTGTTGTCAACTAGAATGTGAGACGATGCCGAATTCAATAGCATTAGTTGATAGTTGCTTTGGATATTGATGTGTGCAGAGAAGATGGTATCACACAAAGCCAACTAGCCAAAGAATTTAACATGGAAGGGAAGAACTTTTTTTACATTGTGAAAAATCTCGAGAGTCGAAATTTGATTGTGAGGCAACCGGCAATCGTGAAGACCAAGGAAGCTGGGGGTGCCGGAGAAACCAAAAGTGCGGTCAGTACAAATTTGATGTACTTGTCTCGTTATGCAACGCATTTAGGCGTTCAGCAGAGATTCGAAATCAACAAAGAAGAAAGAGATCTTGGTGATGCAGAAGAAGCTGATGTCAATGAGGACGGTTATGCTGGAGATGGCTTGAAGGATGATGTCCTAGTGAAGGACAACTTACCTGCAATGCGAGCCATTTGTGATAAACTGGATGGTGCCAATGGCAATGTAAGATTGTTTGAGTTTCTTCTGTGTTCATATTAGGCTTGACATATTGATCACCCTTTTCCTGCAGGTGCTTGTTATCTCAGATGTTAAAAGGAATCTGGGTTACTGTGGACGCACTGGGCACAGAGCTTGGAGGCATGTAAGTTAAACAGACTATTGCAGTGAAAAGATTGAATTGCTGTAGTGTATACTCACTGGACAAGTTACATTTAGATATTTCAAAAGCTGAAGGAAGCTGGTCTCGTTGAGGAGTTTGATGCGAAAGTAAATGATAAGGTATGTCTCAAAAATTAATCCGAATTCTGAACAGAGTTCTTTGTCCGCACCAATTGTTCTGGCAAGATGCATACCGTTCATCAGAAATGGAAGTGTCTTGCATGCGATCTACATTTTGCTCACAGCTTATCTTTCTTCCTATAATTGCAGGTTGAGCGTTGCATACATCTGTTGAAGAAGTTTTCGCCAAAGATCTTCGAGACCAAACCACTTGCAGGTAGTCATGGATGTGATGAAAATGGACAGATGAAGTTTGGGAGGAGGCCTAAAATAAATGAACAAGTTCTAGAACTCCCCATTAACCAGCAAATATATGATATGGTTGATGGGAAAGGAACTGAAGGGGTTACAGGTATAGAGGTGGGTCCAGTTCTTCTCTTTGCTTCCTCGACCACTGTGCTTCTTTCGTTCTTCAACTACCTTCTCTGCTGCTTGGTTCATACGGTTTCTCTGTAAGTAGCATTCATACATTTCTAGCAACAGCAGCGAAGAGCTAATGCCTTGGAAAATTCATATTCTTCCATGATTGTTTTTCTGGCCTGCCCTCTAATTCATGCCTTCTGTTCAGTCTTCTAATGATTGCTTGGAGACTAATGTATTTTTGTTTTATGTGTATTCTTGGAAGAATACACGTTCGACCATTAACCATCTTTTTTCTGACTTGAAATTTCTTCTGGGAGCAGGTGTGTTCGAGACTTGGCCTTGATAAGAAAAAAACCTATGAGAGGTTTCGTGATCTGGTCGATAGGTTTGGGATGCATATTGAGGCAGAAAGCCACAAAAAAACCGCTATATATAGGTATTGGACTTCTGCTAATTATAACAAGCGAGCATCAATTGCTGGTATTGGTAAATCAGAAACTCCTTCCAGAGTGGCAGCATCAGCATTTGAAGCTGTCTGCCTTGATGTTCCTAACCAATCTACTGAAATATCTTCAATGAATAACCATTTGATTTCTAGAGGTGATCGAGTTCACCAGAGAAATTTAAATGAGGGAGGAATAGATACAGAAACTTCCAAGTGTTTTGAGGATGATGCTAACGTGGACTCTGGCCAAGTGCCAGGCACTGACCATGTATCAAAAGGAGCAGCATCTAGTCGAGGACTTGATATGGTTTGTGTAGATATCGAATCAAATGGTGTTTCATCAGAAACATCCCAGATTACTTTGCTGAAGCAACCTTCTTCACATCAAACACCCTTAACTTCAGATAGTGCACTCCGGGAGCAGCGTGTACTGGAGCGCTTGCAGGTTCTCCAATGTTTACTTAAATGACTATGACTTGTGACTTATATGTGTCAAATTATCCCTTGCATTTATATTTTTTTTTTAATCCGAAGACTACATTTTTTCCATCTGTAGGATGAGAAAATTGTTCTTAGAGTTGTGCTGCACAAATGGCTTGTAAGTCTTGAGAAGGATAAGAGAAAAGGATCTATCATGGACAGGCGGACTGTTGATCGCATTCTGAACAAGCTCCAGGAAGAAGGGCATTGCAGATGTGTGACCTTTTATGTACCTTCTGTTTCGAACTGTGGCCGTAGCCGTATGGCTCATGTCATTCTGCATTCATCCATTGAAAGTGTTCTTCCCGAGCAAGTATATGATAAATTTCGGGAATTTGAAAAGCTGTCTCGTCAGGGATCAGCCAGGTGCAGGGCTAATGATTCAGTTCCGGTATTAAGTGGTGTCACTAGAAGTCAGATACCAGCAGATTCAGATGACCAAGCATCTAGATCAGGAGCAATGCGGACCAACGGGTTTGTCTTGGCAAAAATGGTCCGAGCTAAGCTTTTGCATACGTTTTTCTGGGATTTCTTGAGTGCTTCAGATGGATGGGATGATATTCTATCATCTGGTTTCAAGTTGTTTTCACTACAAGCAGCTGTGAAGGCCATTCCACTTGAGCTGTTCTTGCAAGTGGCTGGGTCTACTCAAAAGATTGATAACTTGGTTGAGAAGTGCAAGCTGGGTTTGCGTCTCAGTGATCTTCCTGCAGAAGAATACAGATCCTTGATGGATACTCTGGCAACTGGTAGGCTTTCACTGGTCATTGATGTATTGAGGCGATTGAAGGTACTATTTTCGATGAATTCTTAATGCAGATATGTTTGGTGCATGCATTCCTTTGTGTTCAAACTTTTCTGCCAATATCTATCAACAGTATCTTTTTGCATTTGGTGGCTAAATGTTATCTTCTAATTTCTGTATCTATAAGTACTATCCCTAAGAATTCTTTCTCAGAAAGCTCAATTGTATCACGCTCTTGTAATTGATTTTATGCTGCAGCTCATTCGACTTATACCTGTTGAGCATTCAGAGGATGGCAGCATGCTTCCACATGCAATGTTCACCGATGCAATGGAATTTAAACCTTACATAGAAGAACCACCACCAATAGTTGCAAGGTCTCTTGATCTTCGCCCAAGATATCGGCATGATTTTGTCCTGTCAAATAGAGAAGCTGTTGAGGACTATTGGAAGACATTGGAGTTTTGTTATGCTGCTGCTGATCCAAACGCTGCTTTTCATGCATTCCCTGGATCTGCTGTTCCTGAGGTCTGTCCGTCAGTTATTCCACTTGGGTATACTTCCTTCAATAAAAAAAATTATGTGTCAAAATTGTTTCTATCACGAACTATTTGATTATTGATGTGGATAAGGATGTCTCTAACCACCAGATATAAAGAAAACAAATCGGAGTGAAAACTATCATACTTTTGTGAGTGAGCAAAAGTGTTAACTGGAACAGAATTGTTTTTCTTACTTTCCGACTTGCAGGCCTCTTTAAACTTTGAATATCAATGTTTGTTGTCTTTTTCTTTGAGTACCAAGGGTTTTTGGTCAACACTCCCATCTTCCTTCCATTGTTCTCTGAGCTCTACTAATATTGTTGCTGTAATTATCTGGGTCAATTAGAACTTAAGCTTTGATCAGTGTAGTCCTCATCCATCCTCTAGCTATTGGCTTTTCAGGCAAACCTTAGCCAATTGAAAAGCATTTTACTAGTTCCACTTTGTTCCCCTAGCATCAAGAGATTTCTGATATCTGCATCCTGAACACTGCCCAGACCGCAGTTAAGAAAGTAGTTTGATAGTTACAAATACAGAGGCTCACATCTTGTGTGGTTTTGTTTAGGTTTTCTCGCAGCGTTCATGGACATCTACCCGGGTTATGTCTGCTGAGCAGCGCGCAGAGCTGTTAAAAAGAATTGTGAATGACAGCACAAAGCAAAAAATACGTTATAAAGAGTGTGAAACGATTGCAATGGATTTGAATCTGACCTTACAGCAGGTTAGTTGTGTTTACTGCAAGCCCTTGTGGCTCCTTGTGTCCTGGCTGTCGTTCTCGGCTTTCTTTCAATTCCAATGTTCATAAAACTACAACTTTTGTTACATTCTTTGCATTTTTGGAAAACTGGCACAGGTGCTTCATTTCTATTATGATAAGCATCATAGAGTTCTGGAAACGAAAGGTAAGTCCAACTGCGAGGATGCTGGGCCATCAGATAACAAAAAGAAATCCCGAAAACGAAAGAAATCATTGCAAAAAAATTCACGAAAGAAAGGTCGACCTGCAGACGAAGAGTTAGTTGAACCAGAGCTTGGTGAACTATCTGATGGTGTTGGTCATGACATGGAAGGGCAAAGTCCTTTGCCCGCAACAGAGCATGATCATAATTTGGCAGCAGATCAAGCACATGCCCCTGCAGAAAATGTCATCAATACAGCTAATGGAGAAAGCAGTAAATTGAGTGAGTATGCACTTTCCAAGATAATGCCAAGACGTGAGCAGCAGAGGTTCTCATGGTCAGATGATGCTGATAGGTAAGAAGAAATTAATTCTGGGCTTTGCTTCCAGAGCAAATTCGTTTATATATGAACTAGTTCTTGGAAAATGTATATAAGCTACATGAAATCATGAATCCTAGTGTTGGGCCCTAGTTTAGTAAATTTGGTTACTCATAGGAGAGCAAGCATTTTGCTCTGAATTGACTTCCCTTCCCTTTGGACATGGATGTTCCATCACCCCACATCGTAAGGGCCTAAGGGGAAATAAGTAGATCTCCTTCTTACCAAGGTGTACCTCATCTAGCTAGCTAGTTTGGCTTCATCTTCAGACCTCTTAGATATTTAAGTATGCCATGATTCATATAATCATTGCCTGTTGTTAGTCTGTCATTGAGTCTGAATCCTACAGTTCATTTTTGGTTACAAAGTATTGTTTCCAATAGTTATGCACTCTACTGGCATCCTTTTGTCTGTTAGATTCTTTTTCCACTCTTCACATTTGACTCTCAAGATATACTGTTCTTTCTTATTCTGATGATGTAGTAGTTTTATGGCCAAGTACGCTTTGAGTTCATTTCTTCTTTGGTAAATGGTAATGAAGGAAAAACTAGTAGGTTATTTTGCTTACAGTTCTGATCTGATCTGATCTGCTTTGCTTTTGCTGTTCTTTAACCATCTGGCAGGCAGTTGATTATCCAGTATGCTAGACATCGTTCTATTCTCGGGGCGAGGTTCCATCGTGTGGATTGGAATCAAATTCCTGGCCTACCTGGACCTCCTAAAACGTGCGCAAGAAGAATGGCGACCCTCAAAAGAAACAAGAGTTTGAGAAAAGCCTTGATGAAGCTGTGTAACATACTTAGTGAGCGTTATGTGAAGCACTTGGAGAAAAACCAGGGTGCTTTTGCGAATGGTCATTTGACCAGAGTTCTCCATCGTCACTCGACAGTGGGAGGTTTTGATGGAGGACAGCCTGCCGGTGTCAGCAATATGGATGCAGCAGGTTCCAATGAAGAACAATGGGATGATTTCAGTGAGCAAAATATTAAGGAAGCCTTTGACGACGTTATCCTATATAAGCAAGTGACTCCCAAAGCTTCTAAGGGTGCTGAGGAATGGTCCAATTTAAAAGGAGATAGTGAAGGATGTGTATGTTTCTGATTCTCTCGCTCTAGCTGTTGAACTTCAGCTTTCTTGTCCTTTCATTCTTAGTTAATCCATGGGGTTCTTAGAAAAGCCACATTCAACTCTTACTGTGGCTAAGATTTGAACACGCATATACTCATTAGATGGAGCACATGTTTTTAATGGTTTTATTTTTCTGTTGAGGCTTTCTTCATTGCTAGACTAATTTTCTCTTTTCTGATTTGGCAGAATGTTCGAGAATTTGGACCATTTTCACCAAGCACTCCTAGTGGCAATCTTCAAAACCTTGGGCATGGTAAACGCAGTGAATCTAGAAAAAGACTAAAACACCATAAGCTTCAAGAGAAGTTTATGAAGTGTCTAAATGAGAGCTCGGGTGTCGATATACAGCTGTCTAAGTCTGTTGCTATTTCTAATGCTGTGGAGTTGCTGAAGCTGGTATTCTTGAGTTCCTCAACATTGCCAGATCTTCAGAGCATGCTGGGAGAGACTTTACGGCATTATTCAGAACATGATCTTTTTGCTGCCTTTAGCTATCTCAGGGCGAACAAAATACTGGTAAGGAATTTATTTCCATTGTCTGGGTAGAATTCTTAAGCTAGGTTTTTTAGTAATTGCCAATTTATACTGATAACCTGGATTTCTAGGGGGCTTCCTAAGACGTGATGCATTTTATGAGCTATCAAAAAATGCCAATAAGAGAACTTCATTCAAATAGAACCGATTCACATTGTGGAAAAGTTGCTCATGAATGCAGAATGTACCTATTATAACTGATCATTTGAGTTGTAAATTTGACTTGAATTCATGATGGATATGTCAGAGCTTTAAGTCAACTTTTTTAGGTACTCATCTTTTAGCAGAAACTAACGCTCCCAAATTATTCTGTCCATTGACCTCTTACACACTATTATTTTGCAGATTGGGGGCAATGGTGGTCCCTTTGTGCTGTCTCAACAGTTTCTGCACAATATTTCCAAATCTCCATTTCCTTCCAATACTGGAAAAATGGCAGCTAGATTCTCTAACTGGCTTCGTGAAGCAAAAGATCACCTAATAGGAGGAGGCATTGCTCTGAAAGACGATTTGCAGTGTGGTGACATTCTTCACTTGTTTGCTCTAGTTTCTTCTGGTGAAATGGCAGTCTCTCCATGCGTGCCAGACGGTGATCTGGGAGAGGCTGATGCCCCAAGAAGCTCCAAACGGAAAATTGATGATGATGATGAACCTTGCGATGGTGAGAAGTCCAAGAAATTGATATCCATGCGAGACAGTGAACTCTTCTCTCGACGGGAAAAAGGGTTTCCCGGTCTAAGAGTATCCATTCGTTGTGCCACAATCTTGCCAGACAATGTTTTGGAACCTCTAGATGATCGTGAAAATGGCACAGATAGTTCCCAGAAGGATATAATGGATATTGACAGCATTACTCCTTCAGCAAGATTATCTGGTAAGTCTTCCTGGGAAGCTATGACAGGCTATGCTAGTTATCTCCATGGGAATGCTTACAGCCCAACAGAAGGAAGTTTCTTTAGTGCTGAGGTCTTCCGGGCTTCCTACAAGGCTATTCATAATGCTGGTGATCAAGGCTTGAGTATTGAGGAAGTTTCCAAGATTCTCGCTATGCCAGGTGTGTAAACTAATAAGCTATCTTATGTTTGTATGCTGGGTGTGTGCCTGGTCCAACATGGGCCGATGTTGGCTAGGACCGGATAAAAAAAGAGGATATCAAAGGTGTTTCGGTCCAATTTGGCCCACCTGTTTCTTTGCTTTGTAGATGTATGATTCACGGAATTGAAACAATAAAATATTGAATATGAAAATTGAAAACAAACTGAAATGTGTTTGATCTAGTCTGGTTCGGTGATCGATTTGGTTTAGTGTGGACAAAATTGTTGCAGACCCCTAGTTGTACAAAGATACATTTGGTATTTGTGATCAATTTTCTTGCCTCTCTAGACTGGACCTTCTCATAAACATTTGTCATTCTCTTAATGGGTTGTCCTATGGCATTTCGTCCCAGGAGAAGATATGGGTGAATGCGTTGTCGATGTGCTCCAGACGTTTGGAAGAGTGTTAAAGGTACATTTTATTTGTTATTCATTGTTTTAGTAATATCATTGACTCGGTTTGGTTGTAGGTCTATTGAAGAGGTTACCAACCAAAACAAATAGTAGAAGTGAAAGTGTGTCGAAAAATTACTAAACGAATGAATACGAATGAATGTTTATGGAACACTTAAACTATTCACCATTGAGTCCAGCTTGCTAGCCCAATGTGGAAGAAGCTACTCTTGCATCTTATATAAGATAATAAAAGGTCCATATAACAAAAGAGGCTGATTAAGTTCAGCTGCTTAATGCCTGGACCTTGAGAAAAAAGCTGACATCCTTTTGCTTTCTGTTACAGATCAATGCTTTTGACTCGGTTCGTGTCGTTGATGCTTTGTATCGGTCCAAGTACTGTTTGACCTTGAAGGCTACTTTGGATGGCGAACCTAAACCACCTGCAGCCCCAGAGTCGTCAGGGAGAAGTGATGATAGCGACCGTGTGGTCCAACCCGAAACCAATGATGATGTTGATCCTAAACTCCAAGCTACAATGGAACCAGCATCAATCAAGGGCGATAATGATGTGCATAGAGTTACTATTCTTAATCTCCCAGATGGTGCTGTGCCTCTCATTGAACCACAAAGTAGCGCTTCGCCGAAAAGTGATCCTCAAGACCCAGATGACGTAGTGGATTTCCCTGAGCATCGTATTGATGGTAAAACTTCTGTTCCGTTACTTCCCTGGATTAATGGAGATGGTAGCACGAACAAAGTTGTCTATAGGGGACTCATCCGTCGTGCTCTTGGAACTGTGATGCAAAATCCTGGGATAGTTGAGGTAAGTAATCGGCGAGTCACTGTTGTTTTAGCAGTCCCCATGGCTGGCTTTTGAGAGTCTTTTTGTAGGGTACGGAAGTAGCAAATTGGTTTCGTTGTGTTTCAACAGAAGTTTGTATTGACCACTGGCTAGAGATTCAGAATTCATGTGAAGAATTAGTATGGTCTGTCAATGGTTTTTCGCCTCATAGTCCTTTTTGGTTGTGTTGCAGGAGGACATTATCAAACGAATGGATGTGCTAAATCCGCAGGTAGGCAATTTCATCTCAATTATCTTGAAAATCCGGGCATGACCAGTTCCTATCGAACCGAACTGGACTGCGTCGACGTTTGAATCTAATCTGAATGCACCAAATAGCCATGGTAGTTTGGGAGCCCTACAGCTGATTTAGCATGCACCACCAATGTTTCTTGTTCTGTTTTTGCTTGCAGAGTTGCAGAAGATTGCTGGAGTTGATGATCTTGGACGGTCACCTCAATGTGAGAAAGATGCATCAATCAACAGCAAATGCGCCTCCTGCTCTATTGGGAAGCTTGCTTCGGAACAACCTCAGCAAGCCAAAATCCGTTTACAGAAACCATTTCTTTGCCAACCCGAAGAGCGCATCCTTGCTGTAAAATCAACTACATAATTACATGCCTGTTACGCTTTTAGTTTCGACATCCTGATCGTATACTTCTAAGACATGTTAATCAATGGAAGGTTACTTGTATAGCTAGATGACCAGCATGTCGGTCGAATCATTCGAGTCACTCATATTTTGCATATCTGAATCCTTCTGCTGACAGGCTTGCTTCTCTTCACCCCTTTCCACTTATCCCTCAAACGGATTGAAATGCTGTTATTTCTTCAAGAAGTCCTCAAACGAAAATCGCTATCTATACTTGACGTTTGTCCGGGTACTATATGCTTAACGTAAGGATTCGAACATAAGCTTTCTTGGTTACAACCAATGCATTATGGAGCAAAAAATGCCAATAGGGGATGCCAAATGTGCTATTGATTAGGTCAACAATGAGATAATTTGTGATGTAATAGATAGAGCAATTTTGGAGGAAATTCGTCTGATTTGCTCGGTCAATTCTAATTTTGGGATTCGTTGGCTTTGCCCACTTAATAGACAGAATCACCTTCGCCAATAATGTGCTAGGTTTTGATATTTGCGTAGCTAACGTCGATAATGTCGATTTTATGAACGAGGAATCTATTTTTTCTTGGTAATACAGGTATTCTATTGACGAATAAGGGCTTGGTTAAGTGGTAATACCACTAGGCTAGAACCTGGAGATCCCAGATTCAAATCCACTTAAGTAGTACCTTAATTACAAAAAAAAACCTATATCACCCTTATATAAAAAAAAATATATATATATATAGTAAGATATGATAATTTAACTTATATACAAAATTTATAAGAAGCCTAACCGTAACAAAATAAACATCAGAAACAGAGACACATATATTCATAAAAATAAGCAAAAGAAGAATTTTTTTTTTTTGGGTTTCAGAAGAGTGGAATACTGCCCTTCAATCAACTCACGAAATCTAACTACACATCCAACCCATGAACATGATCTCACTCTCACACAAAGCTGACCAAATCTGCCCAGAAAGATTACTCCCAGAAGTTTAACCTTTACAAGATTTACAGAGCAACCCAACCCCACAACAAGAAGCAAACAATTGTGGGTTCAAAATGATATTACCAAACGATTTCTCCTGTCACACAACCACTAAAATATTCCCAAACCAAATATTGAACTGTACGCAAACCAGATATCGAACTGTACGCAAATGTCATCACCTGGACCGCATGAACAATGGCGTTCGTGCTGCTATTGACCCACTCCCCACCATTTTTATCCACTGGTCATCAGCTTGTCCAGCACCACATTCAGATCCACTGCCTTGCCATTCTCCGTCAGCTTTTTCACTGTTGCTCTCACCAAGTCCCTCCGAAACCCCATCGCCACCACTTTGTCGACAACGTCATCCACAGGTACCCTGCTTACGTTCCCACTAGAGGACCCCGACGAAGGTTCAATGGCGGATGCAGTCGGGATTGCACGTGGCAATAGCTGAGCAGTTGGTAAACCTGAGAAGTCGCTCTCACGCGCTGCCATTGAAGATGATTGTACGGGTTGCCAAGAGTTCATAGTTGGTCTACCACTAGGTAATGGAGAGGCACCGAGACGATGTGAGGGAGATAGCTCATTACCCGAGCCTCTATTTGACTGTTGGCGATGGAATGACCTTCCATGCGAGGGGGACAAAGGAGCTAGTCCAGGATGGTGGGTGGACGGATAATTGGATTGAGGATTGACCATGGTGAGAGGTGGCTCTTGGTGAGGCTGCTGGGCGTAGAATGATGGCTGTAGTTGCTCGGTTTGAGGAAAACGGACTAGCTGATTTGAAGTTTCTGAAGGCAAATCGGGCAGCGGTGGGAAGTATTCATGCTGTCGGATAGAGGCATTGTAGGGTGCTTGGACTGTATAATGTGGGGATGTTGAGGCAGGTGAATGGAAGTTTCCCGGAGGTAAAAGAGGAGGCTGACTTGCAGCTGTTGGAAGTTCAGTTGAACCCTGGTGTCTAGTGTTTGTGAAGCTATTAGAAGGTGGTTGGTGGAATTGCTGAGCCATCGATGAGGAGAGTTGATCGCCTGAGCATGATTGGACGGTGTTGGTTCTCTTTGTAGACTGAGAGACATCCTTCGATTTGTGAATTTCGGCAAGATGCAGCTGTGCCACTGCAATGTCTTGCTTATCTCTCAAGTCTTTGACACCATCCTGAACCTGCAAGGGGTTGCATGTAGATCTCATCAAATATTCTTAACTCGCTCCTAAACCACGAGCATTCTCCGGACACCAATCTGCTGCATTCAAAAGTATTTGAGAATGCATGTGATTTGGTCTGAACATAATGCCTATGACCCGTCATCACCAATAAATTCCACCGAAGCTAACACAAGAAATTTTGGTACAGTGGCACTGAGAAATACGGGTCCCTAAGGTTTAATGCCGTTCATAAAGGTAGTACTCAGATTTTACTCAACCTTTCAATCTATGATCCAGTTGATACAGTGCTCAGGGAGACACTGTAGATCGAAGAGCAACATTAACTCCTATGCCTCTGAAACACTTGCTACGCATTACGACATCCCATACTTAAGCAAGCTCTTCCCCTCAAAACACTGTCATGTATCCTGAACTTTTCCCCATTGCCTCGCATCAACAATACTTGCTATGAGACAAGATCCTAGTGACTGCAAATAATCAGTAGGCAGATCAAGTCTAAAACCCTAGTGACAATTGTAAACACGAAGTGCTCCTCCTCATTGTGAAAGCCCCAATCAAACCTAAGAGAAGTCTACAGATCAGTCCAGCTTCAGTAATTCGTTCATATGCCCCTCCGAGAGCAATACTAGTCACTCACTAAGCTGTCATTCGACCTGAGTTTCGAATTTCTACCGAATCACTGTTCGCAATGCAACACACAATAGCACAGTACCATTCACTTCTCAAAACGATTCTGAAACCCTAAGAGCAATCAAATTTTGAGTGGCATACCTCCGTTAGAATACTCTGAAGATGCTGTAGCTGTCCACCGGTCTTCCCCTGATAAAACTCCATGGAATCCCTCAAATCATCGAAGGCACCTTCCAATTGCCGCGTTCTGATTTCCATCCGAGATACATGCCTGCTGAGACTCTCTACTGATCGCAGCAAAGCGGCTGCGTGCTCATCCATCCTTCGGTTCATCTCGGCAATCAGATCAAAATCGTCAACGCGTTCAACAGAATCCCAACCCTGAGCAGTCCGGCAACAAAAGCAAGCATGAAACCATCTCAAATTGCCAAGTTGCAGGTGGTAGAAGAGTAGTAAAGAGAGGCGGCAGCGAGGGAGAATTACTCTGAAAGGAGGATGAGAGAGGGCGTTATCTGGCGACTGCGGGAGTGGAATTGGACGGAACTCGAAGCGGCTACCTCCGTAGCAACCGCCGAGTCCAGCGACGTCTTCATCGTCGTCGTCATCGTCGTCGTCGAAGAAGCTGCGTATGTGGGAATCGGAAAGTGGCCTGACTCGCTTCTCCATGTAGTTTCCTTCTCTGGGTAGAAATTGTCCATCTACTTTGAAAAAGACGACGACAACACACAAACTTATTGCCTAGTGGTTTCAATCTGGAATGTTGTACGACTACGGCTCACTCTGCTTTCACTCAACCGTCAGCAGCAACCGGTTTTTTCTTTTGAGTACGAATACAGTGCTAAAGGGAAAGAGTGGAGCCGGAGTTTTTATCTAAATTGAGCCTAGTGTTTGATTTGAGTTCTACTCGAGTTTGGTTCATTAATGAGTTTTACACTTTTATTTGAGCTAGACTCATTAATTAGATCGCGAGATCAACTAGAATTTAGGTATAATATAATTTAGTTATTAATTTTAATCCTTCATATTATGTTATTTAATAATAAATAGTATATGAACAATTAATGATATATAATTTCTCACTTCACGAATTTGTTACCTAAGGTCGACCAGCCTTACCCCGTATATGAACTGGTAGTACTCACCTCATCCCGTCCTTGATTTGGAGCGTATATGGGTATTGAGATACCCGTCCACTCCACCCGTTTGCCATCACTACAAACGACGAGCCACTTGTGAGTAGTTCCGCTCATTTGCACAAGTGGCTTTTTTTTACGAAATGATAGCTTGCATTAAACAAGAAAACAAAGTTACATATGACCTGGCTCTGACCAAAGCCAAGCACGGAAATCAAAAGCATTACAACTCGTAGGAAACAAAGACAGGGGCCTTCTTAGCCATCACATGGGCTACCCTATTATTCTGTCTACCCACAAATCGAATCCTAAACCCAGGTGAAGCCAAAATAAGATGGCGAATTTTCTCAAATAAAGCCCCACCAGCATCATCATGAACACCACCCATGTTGACTTTGTCAATAACAATCTTCGCATCACCCTCAATCGTAACGACCTCCAAACTACGTTGATGGCACCACTGGATAGCATCTCGTAAGGTCGATAACTCTACAAGCATCGTAAGACCGCCATACATTACTCCATGCTCTACCCCACCCACCCCCCCCCCCCCCCTCTCCTAAAACCAGACCACTTGCCGTATGGGATCCCTCACGGATTGTTCAACTTTTAGTGAGTTATTTTTATTTATGTTGCTTGCTTATAAAGGATTTAGGTTTCGATTATCTTAAATTTTTAGTATTAGTTTTTAACCTTTTTAGATCATCAAAGATTAAAAACTAACTCAAGAATTAAATTGATGTTTAATCAAATAATCAAACCCGATCAACGGGTCTGGCAAAGATGCTAGTTACTATGATAAAACAGATCATGCCATCGAGTTGAGAAACATTTATGCATCACAAGAAAGTTAAAATACTAATGAAAAGTAAAATACTCCTACCTTAATTATCATAATTTGGATTTTCCAATCCCTATCACAACAATCTTTGAATTTTCTCTTTTAAAGAAAATTTTAATTTTATGATAACTCACATTCACATTCACATTCACATTCACATTCAAATAAGTTTTTGGATAATATATACTATGAAGTAAGAACAATATAAAAAATTATTTCTAAGTAGACAATATATTGGAGAGGAATAAATATTGGCTCACTGTATCCACAAATAAACAAATAAAAATTACTTGATCTCAAAAGTTTCTAAACCAGCAACATTGCCCCGTTTCCCCCTTTCTTAATTTTTTTACGAAAAACCTACCTTGTGCCTTACGACTTTAAAATGTGGAACACAACTTCATCGCAAGGGACGTATAGTTGCACTTTCTATCTTTCTTCTAATTATTATAAGCCATTCTCAATTCGTATTCACCTGCCCTTGTAATATATCTAACCCATGGAAGTGCCTGGTATCCAGCTTTCTCAATCACTTTCAGGTACCTTACCTTCAAACCAAAAAAAAAATAATCATCTAGTTAGCTTGTTGTTTGGGTGGCTACTTAGGTATCACAATATGAAGGATTGAAATACCGTACTATACTGGCGGTTTGACCAGAAAAAACCCATATCGGAGACTAAACCGATATAAAAGTGGTTGCACCACGATTTAAGCATAAAATACCTTACCGCTGACTTTTCCGGTACCGTATTTCAATCCTTGACTCATAATACGTAATTTGCAGTCACAACAGCAGACTTAAAAAAAAATAAAACTCATGATCTCAAACTTCTTTCTCTTAATTACCTGAATTCCAGACACTGTGAAATAAGGGATCTCAAACTTCACTCTGACTGGAGCTTTTCTCTCCAACACATCCTCATCGCTTCTTATGCTTGGAAGTCCAAACTCAGCCCTCAACATGTACTCCTGCACAATGTAGTCAAAAGCGCATTTATATATAAAAGCGCTTTGGTCATCTAAAAGTCTAAAAATTGTATCTCTTTTACCTTACTGCCAGGGAAGGATCTGATCTTCCATATAAGTGCATCATTCTCCGGAGCGTATATCGCCGAGCCCATTGATGTCCGAACATTAGGGTTCGTAGCATCAGATGGAACCGGCAACATTATCTCCACATTGGTTGCATTGCTGCAACGAATCATGTCAAAACAATGTTACGCTACTTCACTCTTAAGAGTTCATCTTGAATGTAAGAATCTAAAAAGGGAAAAAAAACGAAGTCACCACCTTCGCTCCTTATACTGGCTACGAGCTTTCACCATCAATTCGACACGACTTCTGGAGTGTCTTTCGACCAACGATTCTACCCAGATAAGAGGTCTCACCTGACACCTTAAATCACATATGTTAAGTCGACATGTTTTAATTCGATTTGCTCTAATGTGTTTGAAGAACAAAGATGGGATGAAAAAGGGTAGGAGGATCGATGAACCTGGGTGCCGAGCCTGTATGTCATTAGGTCGAACGAACCGTCTGGAGGTATGAAGGATATCGTCCGATCGTTATCGAATCGAGCCAGACGAACACACTGATGAAATTTGATGTCATCGAGATCGATCGATTTGGATTTGGTCGTTCGACCTTGAGCCTCCATTAGCATTCTATCGTTTAGGCCAAGCTTACACTCAGGCATGCCACTACCACAACATTAGAATGAATGAAATGTTTATAATACACAAGAAACTCAAAACCCATATTAGATATTACGAACCAACTATATGTTTGATATGTACGAACGAACCTTAAATATGTTCTCATCTTCAATGCCCCGACAACATCGGATCGTATGATCTGCCCATTGCTATTCACAAGAATGTTTACGCTTTCCACCACATCAAGAAACACCTGATCATTAAAAACAACATAAGCTTCAAGATTTCGGTTATTGTTTTAATGTGTGGGGGCTTAATTAGCCAAAAAAATGATGATCATCATCATCATTAACACATAATATACCCACTTCATTCTTTTTATACTTGATTCCTTCACTGCGCCAGGAGACTGCATTCGTCACAGCCATGGGAGGTCTTTGCGCAACTTCCATCTTGTACGCATCCGTCTTGATGAACTCGCTCAGGATCTTCGCCTCAGTGAATTGTGGGAACCCGAAGTCCATGATCTCATCGAGCAGCTCATACTGTGATGTGTTAGAGATAGTGTTATTAGTCATTAGCTAGTAATTAAGAGATAGTTATTAGGGCGTTAATTACTGTGATTATAATAAACTGACCACAACAACGAAGTTATCTCTGAGAGATTCTTCCTCTAGCTCCTCGAAGTAATGCTTGAAAACCTGAACTGTGCGGTGGAGGAAGAGAAGAAGGCTGGCCGCGTTGCAGTTATGCTTGGTTGCTACGAGCAAGTAAATGTTGTTGTGTTGTATGAACATGTAAGTCGTTCCATCTTCATACACTACAGGATCCTGAGATTGTAGATCAATCTATTTTCCATATCATTAGGGAAGGGAGGGAAAAAAAAAAGATGAGTCTAATTAGATTGTGAAGAAATCATATGTACATCATTCGCGAAAAAATTCCAACATGTACAATCACCGCGATCCAATTGTTCTCTCGAGAGAAAGCGAGAGAGGGAGAAAAAAAAAGAGAGGTGAAAGTGCGCAATGTACCTGTCTATCGAGGAGCTTGGAGAAGAAACGCTCCGCCTGAGAGGCGGAGACGTCTCCACGATAGTCGCGCCAAATTAGGATACGACCTTTGATGTCGAGAAGGAAAAGCGCCGAGGCGGCGCCGGCCATCGGAGAAGGAGTGTAATGTTTGTTTTTTCAATAACGAGATGAAAGGTGACTAGAATCGGAAGAACAAAGAATTCTATGAGAGGAGGGGGGATCCAAGGAGTTGTTATTCAATTTAACGAAGAAAATTAACCAATAATGAGCGTAAGAAGAGAGTTAATCATCCAAGCGATGAATTGAAATCCATTGACTGTTGGTTGTGAGTGACAAAAGGGGTTTCAAATCGGCAGAATTAATCATCCAAGTTAATCTGTTCTTGTATCTTATGATCATCATTATTCATGTCATTTATTACTCGTGTCATTGTAAATCTAACAACAATGTGGTCATACAATGCAACTCTTTTAGGAATAATCACTATGATTTCGCTTAAATTTAGAACGGGTAATTAGGATCTATAATAGATCCATTACCTCTATTTTGGGAAGGGGGAGCTGGAGGAGATTTTGAGAGGAAGAAGTGTTTAGAATGATTAGCATACGTTTCTTAATTACTTTGAAAAATTTGGCCATGAAGAGTGTTACTCCAATTTGCATAATCATCTCAAGCAAGTTATTGGCATAGTTTCTACTCAACATTACACAGATCATCATCAATTATCATCTTTCAGGCACCTTGAGATATCTCATCATCTCATTATAAAAAATTATTGATTTGTTTGCTTTGCACCATTATTGTTGCTCCTCTTTTTCTCTCCTTCTCGATCCTTATGAAGTAACCATTTGTTGGCACCTATTTGTGTTACCATACTCGAGTCTCACTCATTCGTTAAATAAAAACGAATGACAAACATAGTGTTACTATCAGTGGCGGAGCCAGAAAATTGGTCAAGGGAGTGTCTTTTTCATATCATAAAATAATTAACTATATAATAAAAAACCCGAACTCTAAATGAAATAAAAAAGTCAACAACACAATACTCAAAATGCATTCAATTACAAAATAATAGTTTGACGTACACCGTTTACACCGAACTGCGAAGATATTTCATATTTTAAAGCATTCTAGAACTCATTTTTTGTCCAAACTAGCACACAAACCTTGTTCAATATATGTCATCAATGTGTCGCTCAACCACTAATCATTCATCTAGTTTAGAAGATAACGTCTGATATATTTCATTGACGAAAATGATATCTCGACACTTGTAATTGGCCGGATTGGAGACGACGTGGCTTGGACGAGTGCGGCAGTGGAAATCCGGCGAACCATTGACCAAAATTGGAGACTAAAGGGCTTGGACGAGACAGAGGATGTCGACTCGTCCTCTCGGCTGTGGATATCAACGATAGTGGCAAAGAATAAGAAATAAAATGCTAGGGTCCTAGAGATTGTGGGACGTAAAAGGAGGTTTCAAGACAGTTCTCTAATGTAAATAATAATGAAAACAAGTTGCATAGCAAATTTACTTGGCCGAGATGACAAGGAAGTCTCCCTATATTCAAATAATCACTAGTTTGAGCCCACAAAATTCCTAATTGCTGAATTTTTTTTCCAAACCCACCCCCAGCTCCCCACATAGCTCCGTCACTGGTTACTACGATAAAAAAAAGAGTATTATCAAGCTGGGAAACATGATACTATATATCATTTTTGTATTTTTCCATCCCTACCAAAAAGTCTTTGGATTTTCGCTTTTGAAGCGAGACTTCATTTTAATTTTAATGATAGCTCACACTCAAATTCACATTCACATTCACATTCAAACCATTCATTGGACAAAAAGTTTCGTATTAATCCTATGTAGTATGAACAATATAAAAAAATATCTTAAGTAGACATAATATTTCGAAGAGGAGTATAGATATTTGCTCGCTCTATTGAATGCAAAATCTTGGTGTCAAAAAATAAATGAAAAAATTTCTTGACTTCAAAAGTTTCTCAACCAACAACAACATTGCGTAATATTCCTTTTTTTTTAAAAAATAAAACCTACCTTGTACGTAAAGCATATAAAATGTGTAAGACAACTTCATCGCAAGGGACATAGTTATTTCATCTTCTCATTATTGTAGTCATTCTCAGTTCATATTCACTTGCCTTGTAAGGGATGGGATTAGGTGCTAATCCTTATAGGGGTTAGCATCGTGATAACTAGCAAAAATCACTACGGATTATTATAAAATCAATACAACATCTAAGCTAAATCACTACTAATTCAAACTAGTAGTAGTTTTTCCCTTGGTTAGAACGGTGCTAACTATTGTACAATTAGCACCGTAACCGTTCCCGCCTTGTAAACATCTGCCCTATAAAAGTGCCTAGTATCCAGTTTTCTCAAACACCTACAACTACAAGTAACTTATTTTTAAACAAACATCCATCTAGTTGTTTCTTTAGTTGAAGGTTCTACTCCAAGCCTAAAAATTGTCTAAAGATAAATTTTGCCTTGAAACAATGAAGGGCCCGAGATTGGATTTGGATCGTGCTCGAGAAGTGTTGATTCAATACATTTACGGGGTTACTAATTAATTATTTTATTTTATTGGGATTTCCTACGATAACTTGAAGTAAGGTAACTTGAATTTTTTTACTTGTGATAGCAGGTTTCACAGGTCGCATTTCGTAAGATACAATAGTCATTACGTAATGGTTACGCAACATATGATAATCTTACGTAACAGTTGTAAAAGATCATTACGGAAGCCTTACGTAATAGAATGAGTATTAACCTCGCTTTACGTAAAATGTTAAGTCATTATGGAAGCCTTACGTAACGCTTCCGATTTAATTGTTACGTAAGAAATAACTATCATTTCGTAACCTTTACGTGATGAATGTGTATTTTACGTAATAGTTGTAAAGTGTCATTACGGAAGCCTTACGTAATGGAATGTCTCTTTACATAATGAGTATTAATGTCGTGTTACGTAAAGAGCTAAGTCATTACGAAAGCTTTACGTAACGCTTCCAATTTCACTATTACGTAAGAAATAACTATCATTACGTAACCTTTACGTAAAGGAAGGTCTCTTTACGTAATGAGTATTAACCTCACGTTACGTAAAGTGCTAAGTTATTATGGAAGCCTTACGTAACGCTTCTAATTAAAATAAGGATAGCAAATAAATGAGAAAAAGGAAAGAAAAAACAAAGAAAGGTAAGTTAAGTGGGTGGTGACCGACAACCCCCTATTGCCAATTATTTTTTTTTCTTATTTTTTTATTTTTTATTTCATTAATCAATAGTTTAAAATAAGTTTGATCGATTTTAACGGTTTAGATATATACAAGTTACCAAACTTGAAATTATATCCAAGTTACTGTAGGAGGTCACTATTTTATTAGGAGAATTATATCAAAAAATGATAGTTTCTGGTTAGGCAAAATGGGTGTGCAAGGCTAACATATGAATAATAACAATACATTAAGAATGTATGTAGCCAGTGCAACTAGTAATATATATGGCCATTACTGAACCTAGTAGATTACATTGCATTTCAAGAAAATAGAAGAAAAAAAATAGTATAACTGACATGAGGGATTTCAAAGCATAATAAGCAGATACAAAGGGAGTTTACTACAAAAATACTACACTAGTGCAAGGAATTAAATTTCAAACATGGTGCTAACTTAACTCGTCACATAACTCCACCAATCTAATCCTCCAATTAGGGATGACAATTTCGACCTGACCCGTTTTACCCGACCTGTTTGGTTTGTTTTGGTGCGGGGCGGGGCAGACATGGGTATTCTCATCTACCCAGCCTGCCCTGACCCGCCACATTCTTGACCGTTTTTACCTAAATTACTTGTAATCTTAGTCAAATTACTTATGATTTTCCTTTTATTACATCATGTTTTAGCTATAATAAAGTTATAAATTAGTGAAAACCTCAATTTCTTCAATAATTTAACTACATTTATTATAATATTGTTTGTTTTCTTAATTCTTATAGTAAAAATAATAAATATTTCTAATGTTTTTCATATAAATTACATATCCACTAGGTCGATTTGCCCCAACTCATAACCCGTAATAAATTAAACCATGCTGATTTTTCATTAATTAATCGGGGAAGACAGCCGACGCACATCGTGAGACTGCGCCTCTCAATTTCTCTTTTTGGGTGCCAAAAGATTTGAGCTTTGTAAAGAAGACAAAGAAGGATTTTATTATATATAGGTTTTGCATGTTTGAAGCGCCAAAAGTTGGAAAGGAAATTCGCCGCTCTCACGAATATCATCCATCAAATACTATTTATTTATATTTCTGTCAAATTTCCTCTTGACCTAATTAAGTAAACTATGATCTTCAGTAGTCCTTTTCATTAGTAGTGTATGTTGACGGTGGCGATTCCTATATTCCTTTTACATTATATATATAAATTTCCCTTTTGACCAGGCGGCTCTATTAAAACTTTGTGTGGGAGAAAAGGGTAGAGTCTACAGAGAGCCGTGATCAGCCATAAAAGAGATCATGAAAAAGTTCAAAGAAACAAAGCGGAAAATGAAAAAGAGAAACCAAATCCCTATTAACAGTGAGAAATTTTACAATGCTATATAGTATTGGTGCTATAGGTTTTTGTCTTGATGGTACAACTTAAAATTGTACATTTATGTTATGGTACAACTTTAGATTGTACCTATACTTTTTGTACAAATTCTTTTATGGTACAACTTGAACTTGTACATTTATGTGATGGTACAACTTCAAGTTGTAAAGTTGTACCATAACATAATGGTACAAATTGCTTTATGGTACAACCTAAACTTATACATTTAATGTTATGGTACAACTTTGAGTTGTACATTAAAACACCAATACTATATAGCATAGTAGAAGTGCTCATTAACAGTTTATTACTTATTGATCGAGAATCTACTTTCTAATGGGGGAGAAAATACTATTAACGATTTACCGGAGAACCAGAATTTGATCTAATGATGTAATCGTTTGGTTATTTATTTGGAGATTTATTATTTTAGGTGTATGGCTCGTAGTTCCCCCCCCCCCCCCCCCCCCCACAATAGCATGTAAAAAAGAAATAAGTCAATAAAAAAATTATTAAATGATAATAAAACCAAAACAAAATACACGATTATATTATATACTAGGTGGAGATGTTGCGCCTTGTCGTGGGGCGGAGATGACATATGGATATGTATTATGTGGTCCGTTATAGTGTTTTGTTAGTATTATTAGTCTAAAAATATTTTTTTAGCAGTTTTGTTAGTAATATTGACTGAGAAATATGACGGTCAGCATCCTTTTTTTTTAAATTTTGGCTAATAAATGATATTTACCTAAACCCAAATAAACCCATTGATTATGGGGCGGGTATGAGTGGCGTTTATATGAGTTTGAACGTTAGTAGATGTGTTTGCGTAGGTAATCTAAATGTGTATGAGTTGGGTATGAATACCCATTTATTCAAGAGTGTTTTAATTACACATACAAAAATTAGACCTATTTATAGAACTTCAAAAGTTTAGGTACCAAAATGTAATACACAAAAATTATAGGTACTAAAAGGTAATGTCTCATCAATATTTTGAGGACAATATGCCAAATAAATAAATTTAGGTTATGAATCTAAAGATCTATTATGTTTAGGTATTGAACTGTAATATGCATAGTTGAGACTTAATTCCTTTTATAGTGGTGTATTTAAGATGATAATTATTTAGTATTTTATAAAAATAGAAACTATTTATCTAATATGTGTAGATACCTAATAAACATTTCATGTATAATTGTTGAAAATTCTAGCCCGGGTGAAAAAGAAAAACTCTAGAGAGAAGTAAAATGAATACAAACTGGAACTCGCTTAACATTTCACGCCTTCAAATCGCATAGTGGAAAATGACGACTTTGTAATAAGTCATAACCATATATATTTGCTTTTAATTGGACTCGACATTGAACTGAAAAAGTTAGTGGTTCATGGTTCAATTATTAATTCTCTAGACTGTTGGTCAGTCGTGCATGGACTAGTTCATACTTGTGATTAGAATGCATAAAAATAATAGTATACTAATTAGTGTTGGACGAAGAAGACAAAGAAAGAAATAAAGAAAGGGTTAAGGAAGGCGAGTGAAAAATGAAACGAAGAGGAAGTAGATGATGGAAAGGTTTTGACCAATTCTTTTGTTGGCCGTCAATACAACAGTCAACCCTTTTCGTCGTAGCAATTTATTGACACTTGCTTATGTAGATGTCGCATATTTGGTTACACGTAGTTAGTAGAAGTTTGTTTAGTACCCCGTAAATGTACTAAATGAGTTTATAAATTCGTTTTTTCAACATTTTAGAGCCGTCTCTCTATAATCATTTATTTTATGTTTCACATAATGAGCAAATATAAAATGGTCGAATCTTCTCCTACTATTGAGTGATACAACATATTGTATGGTACAAACTAAATTCATATTTTTATGTTATTGTGGATTGGATTCATGGATTGGTTCACAAGGATTGGTGGATTAGATTCATGAGTTCAAGTGAAATCTAAACATTGAACCAGTATGTAAATTTAAAAAATTGTAGGTATGAAAATCTCATACCAAAACCTAATTGTTCAATGATTTTACATTAGAATTAAATTTGGGTATCAAAATATAAAATGTATATTATAGTGACTAGGTTGTAGTTTAATTAAATTTGGGGTATCAAAATATAAAATGTAAGAAGAAGTGAGGTAAGTATACTCACTTTTTATATATATTAATAAATTTGGGTATCAAAATTTAAAATGTACATTATAGTGACTAGGTTGTAGTTTAATTAAATTTGAGGTATCAAAATATAAAATGTAAGAAGAAGTGAGGTAAGTATACTCACTTTTTATATATATTAATGATTCTCAGGTATAATACAACGCCCAACGGCATGAGAGATGGTCAATATGTGGTATATATAATTTGTACAACTACTATCTACTCGGATTAGCTACGTAGGTACACTGTTTTCTGTACATAAAAGTAGGAAAATTCGATATTAGTACAGATTAATTAAATAATTATCAAATAGCATTTATAGTTTCGAAACCTTATTGTTTACCACTAAAAAAACTTAATAAAAACAAACATAGATGATATAAAAGAGTAAATACAATATATTAGTCAAATCTTTCAAACATTTTAAATTATTAGTCAAATCTTTCAAAATATAAAGCATTAATTAATTTTTGGTAGAGCATCAAAATATTAGCTTTTTGTCTCTACCCATACCCAATGAAAAAATGGTATCACTTATTATAGGCTTGTTGAGAATGATTTTGATTTAGTTCATGGTCTATTAGAACTACAACGCGCTTTAGTGGGATCCTCAAAAACAGAAAAAGATACTGTTATTTTGATAATGATCGAGGGACATTGCTTTTTCGGCCAGAACCAAGGAGTCCCTTAGATATAATGAAAAATTGATCTTATTCTATCCTCGATCAGAAATTTCTCTATGAAAAATACAAATTGGAGTTTGAAGAAGGAGAAGAAGAAGGAGCCCTCGACCCGCGGGAGGATTTATGCAATCAAATAGTTTGGGCTCATAGATTATGGCGCCCTTGGTGCTTTCTATTTGAATGTATTGAAAGGCCCAAAAGGTTATGTTTTCCCCGATTTAAATAAAGCGAGTTTTTTTTCATGAAGAAGACTTGGCTTTTGCTAAGCATGTTATAATACTAAAATTTTGTTACCGTTAATAATTTTATAACTATGGTTAATTAAAATACTAATTTTTTTGAATGTTGATTGTCACTTGTCTCTTCCAACTCAAAATCATTTGTCAAATCAACAATACTAACAAAATTGCTAACGAAAATTTAACATTTATGAACAATGATATTTGTTGGTGGGTCGACTCGCCATTCGTTCGTCTGATCTCGTCGGGAGGGAAGAAACCTGTGAAAAGTGTCGGGGTTGCCCCCCGGATTAAGCTCCGACGATCAAGTTAGTGTCTGTTTGTGGTGAGAGTTGAGAGAACAGATAGAGAGATAAAGTGTTGAGAGATAGTAGAAAGTGGGAAGTGAGGAGAGAGAAGGAGTCCCCATCTTTGGAGGGCTTCAAGCCCTTATATACATGTAGCGGGTATCGAGTGTTGCCCATTGTCGATTGTGCCCCCTCCTACTCAGTCTGAATCGGAGTATTTCTGTAACACCCCAACACTTTGTATTACCAAAAATTCGGCTAATAATTTTTTTTTTTGGAAATATCCTAATAAATTATATTTTACTCTTATTATTGTTATTATTCGTATGCCCACGGATATTAATACTCGATTGATACCTTAATCGAATTTCCCCAATAAAGTGACTGAATGATTAATATTCTAAATTGCCATAAAGAACATGAAGATTTGATAGATCTCTCTTTTGCTTCTTCCAAATTAATATTGATAGATATTAAGAGTCTTCTCTGCAAAGATGCGGCGGAGAGAATTAGATAGTTAGAGTGCAGATATATTGTGAACGTGGTCCTGATGATCCCTCGAGCCTACGAGCATTAACGTTGCATAGAAAGGTAAAATAAAGGATAAATTTTAGGGATGCTTTATAGCATCCACGCTTTGGTTTTAAAAAGTATGGTTTGTGTTACAAATTAACTCCGTTATTATTATAATTTTTCTAAAAATCTAAACTTTTTTTAATTTTAAAATTTCTTTTATACAAAGTGTATTCGTACATTGATACAAATTGAATTTAATTATAATATAAAAATACAAATTCTTTTATGATACAAACTAAACTTGTACTTTGAAGTACTCGTATGATACCCTAAAATCGTCACTCCCTAAGGCTCTCACTCGCTTTTACCTGCTGGCCGGAAGGTTGTCCAAATCTGCAACCGACTCGCTTCACATCGTCCGTTGCGAAGACGAGGGTGTTCTGTTTTCATCCGCCGAGTACCCGTCCATGTCCATGACTCTGTTTCTCAGCAAGCAACCCCAACTTGACTCGCTCCACCAGTTCCTCCCCTTCCCTTCCTTCCTCATCCGTCAACCATTGGTCATTGAATCGGTACTGCAGATCGCATTCAAGGCCACCATCTTCCTCTGCGGCTCCGGCGCCATCGGGGCTTGTCTCTTGCACAAGATTGTCGACGCTCACACTTTTTTGAGTGTTATTAAAGCCGAGCCGCTCGGCCCGACCGGTAAAACCGTCACCCGATCACAAAATCGGCTTGGAACAGTCTAAAAGCCGCTCAGGTTTTATGTAGCGGTTGGCGAGCGGCCGAGGCGGTTAGCCGTTCGAGCCGATCGAGCCGGTTGTCCGGTTTTTGCCATTCAACCACTAAATTTAATTAAAAAAATTGTAGAAAATTGAAAATTGAAATAAACCAAAAACGTCGGGCTCTCAAATTGAATCCTTATTTCCATTTCACAATTTCGAAGGAAAGAGATGAGCTCTGATTAAGAAATGTCCACTATTTATACTGATAACGTTTATTAGGTACCGGTTCTCTAACGGTTTTTAAACAGTCTAATACCGGTTGGACCACTAAAGTGCAAGCCGTTCGCATTACCGGGTCATGCTCTGGTTCGGTTCTGACAACATTGCTTTTTTCGATTTCATAACTCTGGGCCACCGTCGCCAAGGCAGACGAAAAAATTGTCGGCGGCAGTACGTACGCTCACAATCTAACCGCCACCTCACTCTATAAACAAATCTCCTTCAAGCCTCGTTCGCTGGCCTTACTCATTCCCTTTCTCGCTGGCGGCTCTGTTCCCCTCTTCAGCTCCATCTCTGCTCGCTCGGACTCCATTTCGGCGAGATCAGAAGGTATATAGAATCCATACCGGGAAAATGAAAATGTCGGCAGACTGAACCGAATGAGCTACCGCCTACAGTTCTCATTTTTCCTTTTCTCTTTCGCCATTCGTTGAGATTTAGTTTGGCTGTGAAATTGGAATTTCTCAATTGCTGATTGCTCGGAAGCATCGAGCCAACTTTGTTCAATCTTGTTGTAAACGATTTGGATAAATAATGTTCTTCAATAATTCCCACCTGACTTTTCTTGATTTTGTTTCCTCGCGTTTCTGTGATTTGGATGGTCCGGTGGTAGGGTAGAAGAAGATGAATGACACCGAAGATGGACCGAGATCGGCGGCTGCTTACAAGGCAATCTCGTCCATTGGATCTTGATGGGTGGAGAATAAATTAATCATATTAATTATTTTTGTAATTTAATTAATTTTTATTAGATAAATAATATGATAAATAATATATAGAAAGTAAGTGGAATGATGAGGTGGACAAATAAATTAAATTTTTATTGTTTTTAAATTTCCACGTTATCTAGTTAACGCTCAAATTTTATAGTTGACTGCCACGTAGGACAAATTAACGTAGTGTAACGGCCGATGACTAATGGTGAAACGATTCGTAAAGTTAGTGGCGAATAAGAAACAAAAGTAATTTAGGTGGCAAACATGAAAGAATTGCATAATTCGAGTCACCAAATGTGCAATTTGGCCCACTCGTACCACATGGTATCACTTGGAACCACCTTCGTTTTTAAATCGAATTTCAAAAGTTTTTGGCCAGAAAGAACAAGTTTATCACGATCTATTGGATCTATATATTCTTTGTCCCGGGGGGGGGGGGGATTTCAGAACTAAATATTCCACGTTATACCACCCTGGTATGGGTGGTAAATGGTGGTAGACGGTGATGAAGCGTGGTAAATGATGCTTAGTTTATTCCTACTATCATGTATGCAACCATTCTATACTCTGGTATGTTCATATCACCATGATACACTTTCATGTCACGTTGTATAATCTTATGTACTACCAAACATTACCACATATATAGCATGAACTGGTAATAAATATCTTAGGTTTTTTGTTCCAAAATATATTATAGTGAATTTCATTTTGAGGAGAACAATTAATATGATTTTTCTGAGAAAGGAAAACTACGACTTCAAACGAAAGAAAAATTGTTCATTAAATTATTTGAAGTAAAGTTAGAGATCTTTCATAAACCGTTGTTACTGAGTCGAGCTATTCACGAACGGCTCGATCTCCAACTCGATAAAAGCTCATTTGATTCAATATAAAAGGTCGATTCGTTTATTAAAAGCCGAGCTTGAGATCAACCTTGTTCCGCTCGTGAGGCTCGTGAAGTAGCTCTATTAGGTGGCTTGTTGAGTTCCACTCACCAACTATCTCATTTTGAGCTCAAGAGATGCCTCAACATCGTAACTAGCAAGCCAATTTGATTGTGACTTATGAGAAAATCTATCTATATCTTATGATTTGGTTTGTTAATGATGTATAGATTTATTAAATTGTATACCTCGCCTCATGTGATGTTAATAATTTGAGTATTTGAGCAAATATGTCTCATATATGACATGAAGATCAGTTAATCACATGTACCATATATGTATGACATATAAATATTAGGGTATTTAATTTATAAATGATCTTAGAGTTGAGATCGAATCGAAATTTCGATTTTAATGATGAGCCAAAATTCAATAATTGAGCTAGCTCTTGCCTTGCTCGACTCAACTCATTCATAAATGAGCCGAACTCGCGTTCAGCTCGTTTATAAATGAACTAAACCTGAACAAAACAAAATTCGGTTCGACTCGCCTTATTAACAGCCCTACATGGTTATTGACGCATGTTATCCCCTGCACTTTACAAAATAGTGGAAGTGTTTAGAAAAACAACCACAAAAGAAGGGCAAGAATATATATAAAAAAGGTAACTGTAAACTGTAAAGGCCATACATACTATAGCTATAAGCAGTAGACTCGGCCGAAATAGAGAATCGATCAGCACGCCACCTTTATTAATCAAACTGCGTACCACATCTCCGTTTATTCCCCAAACCAAAAGATACAGCAGAAAAAAGAAGAATAGAGAATTTAGCAGCAGCCCCAACATGCACATGCTTCTCTAGTAGCGAGTCTGTTATTGCTCATGCAGACTAATTAATCACCTAGCTAGTAGGGGTGGCTATACGACCCGGTCCGGTTAAATTGGCTCAAATTAATCCAGTCCAGTTCGGTCTTTTTGAAAATATAAGGACCAAATTGGATTAGATACAGTCCGATCTTGATCCGGTCCCGTTTTGACCCGGTCCGGTCCCAATTTGGTCTTAATTTTATATTAAACTTGTGGGATTTGAGTGACCTAAGGTCTGAAAGGGTGAGGAGTTGGTTAAGTTTTGTACCAAGTGCAAAGGTTTGTGACCGTTTATGCAAATTACCCTTAAATTTTGGGTGTTGAGCTCTCTTATCCGGTCTTTATCCAGTTTTCGATCCGGTCACAAATCATTTTTTACCTCAAATCTAAGCCCAAAGATTGGATTGGATTGTGTACTATCTGGTCCCGGTCCGGTTTTGGATAAAACTAAAAAACCCGGACCAAATAGCCAGCCCCAGCTAGTAGGCTAGCTATTTGGTCCGAGCTATTTGGTTTTATCCGAAACCGGACCGTATAACCCGGACCGAGACCGGACTGGAACCGGATAGCAAACAATCCAATCCCATCTTTGGGCTTAGATTTGAGACCGGATCAAAAACCGGATAAAGACCGGATAAGAGAGTCCAACACCAAAAACTTAACCAACTCTTCACCCTTTGAGGCATCAAGTCACTCAATTCCCCACAAGCTCAATCTAAAATCAAGACCGAAAATAGATCGGACCGGGTCAAGACCAGAATGTATCCAATTCAATCTTTGGTCCTTATATTCCCGGAAAAAAAAAAAACCTAACTAAAACCAGACCAATTTAACCGGACCGAACCCTATAGCCACCCCTACTAGCTAGCCCTCGTTTGAGCTTCTTCTAGCAGCATACGGAAACATATTATATAAACAAATTACAAGTTGCATAGCAAAATGGCAGTCCATCATCATGTGCTGCTACAAGACTTTATGAAATATATATAAATACACGACAGTACTAGTAGCTGAGCTGAATATGTAGACTTTCCCATGCCTTCTTCTCCATATAGGCACGAAAACCCTACCTGCTCTGCTGCTACTTTCTTACCCATTATTTCACGATCTAAGGAAAGAGCATATATTCACATACTCCCACCACCACCACCATGATCCCCATCGCTCCAAGGAAGCCCTCCACCACCGCCGTAAGGAAACGGCGGCAGCCCCATGTTATTATTATTATTATTATTACTATTACCATAATACCCTCCTCCGACGTTCCTCCTACTCATCACCGCCAAGGGATCAAACGGCTGCGGCGGCGGCGGCAACGTGGCAGCTGGGATGACGACGTCGTTTGTTGTGGCGGCGGCGAAGCGGATGAGGTGTGTGTTGGCGGCGTCGAGCTCCTTCTGGAGGCGGTGGACCTGGCGCTGGAGGAACGTGATGGCGCCGACGCAGCCGTAGACGGGGTCGCGGACACGCGCCTCGGCCTCGTAGGCGAGGGAGGCGACGGCGTCGTGGCGCTGGTGAGGTGGGAGGTCGGCGAGGAGCTTGGTGACGTTGCTGGCGCCGAAGATCTTGTGGACGTTGGCGAACTTGTGCGGCTCCTCCGGCGGGAAGTAAGGAGCGAAGATGCACCCCGGGGTGCACTTCCGGCGGAGGAACTTGCACGCCGCGCACGGCGAGTTGTACGATGAGTTGCTGTTGTTGCTTGTGGATGCCGAGGTTGATGAGGATGAAGCCGCCATTGCAGGGGTTGGATGATCAAAACTATAAACAAAAAAAACGTGTGCAAAGTTAAGTGCGACCTTTGTTAGTTTTCTTCATTATTCTTCGACAAGGTAAAACTTACTTTTGTTTCTTTCATTTTCTCGTTTATTATTATTATTTTATTATTATAACTTGTTTAATTACTACGAGTGTGTATTTGTTTTTTTTAAACAATTTATATACTGACTTTTATTTCACTTTCTAAATAAAGATTAAAGAAAATTAATCGGATGATAATATTAGATGAGAACATGACATCTCGACGAGTTCAAAACATCGAGTCTCGTATATATATTATATATAACAAAGACATTTAACATGTATAATAAATTAATAATACATTCACACCAATTAGCTATGTGTCCTATCATTTTTAATTTTTAAGGCAACTCCCTTGATGTAGTTCCTCTATCTTGAGTACAAAATTTGAGCACGAACAACGGTACAAGGACATCTTTATATGTTTATTTTTTTGTTGTTGTTGTTTACTAAAAATGCAAATTCATCGAATTCCGATAATTTTTTCAATTCTCTTATATATGCTTAAGGGATTCGAACTAAAACCTCTTAGTTCAATACTAGTGATATTAATTACTACTAGACCAATATCTGATTAGCAAAAATGACTTATTATTAGACACACCCTAACCTCATTCCTAAAAATAGAAGAAACCCCTAGTTTGATACTCGAACTAGGAAACATGGTTCGAGATCTCAATTCCCAAAAGAAAAGAAAAAAATGTGTGTCAGATTCGGTTCTTCTCTGTCGGATTGGGTGGGTTTGACTACAAATGTTATGCTTACACACAATGTCATAAACCAGTTGGTTCCAATAACTCGAGTTGTTGGGAGAAGATTATGATGAATTTTATATCACACTCTAACACGCCCCCTCAAACGAAAGCCAACTCACGGGCTTGAAGTTTGCACAGGCCCCACATACCTTGTGTTTTAATCAACTGTTAATATTGGGGGTCGTGGAGATTCGAACACACGACCACTTGGTCAAACCAGGTCTGATACCATGTCATAAACCAGTTGGTCCCAATAACTCAAATTGTTGGGAGAAGTTTCTGCTAGATCTTATATACTTATACCACTCTCTAACACACAAGACTAGACTACCCTCTTCCTGAAATTGTTACCTGATTTAAAACAAAAGCTTCACCACCAATGGAGAAGAAAGGAAGCAAGAAAGTAAAATCATGGATGACGGTAGAAGGAAAATATATATATATATGGGTCAGACTCGTATGTACAAGATCGATGCATAATTTGACAAATTCTGCGACCCTGAATCTGATCTCTACCCCCTTCCTTCCTCTCTTCAATCTATCCATCCTCTCTCTCTCACACAGATAGAAACCCAGTGGATATATCATATATCATACGCATGATTGAATTCCATGTATGGTTTTTTTTTCTTTCTGCAAACCTTAATTATTAAAGCTGGCCTTCTGATCTGACACACGGTGTTTGTGTAACACCTTAGGCGAATCCCACATCGACAAAGTACGGGAGAGATCCATGGTTTATAAGTAAGAAACCGATCTTAACTGACATGACGTGTTTTGGGGTGAAATGAAAGAGTTATTATGAGAACTCCGAAGTTAAACGTGTTCAGTGTGGAGTACAACGAGAATGGGTGACCTTATGGGAAATCAACCTTGAATTCCACACCAAATCGAAAACCTTGATCATGTACTAACACTGCAGCTATACGTTTTTCTTTCTTTATTCCTGTTACTTATTATTTGTGGTTTTTACTTTCTAGGTTGGGTTGCCGGCCAAATCCTTCGTCCTTGAATTGAAATCTGCTGCAGCAAGCAAGCAACTAACAGTCTGCCCCTCTCCTCCTTTACTTACACGCACTCTCTGCAGCCTGCCTTGCCCTCTTCTCAGAGTTTGTCTTTTGTCATCTCAAATCACACTCTCTCTCTCTCTCTCTCTCTCTCTCTCTCTCTCGAGTCAACTTGCCTCACATCCTTTGAACAAAAACTCAAACGAAAAAGAGAACAGAGAAGAACGGGGGACATGGTGGAAAACCCTTGTGATGAGATGAGGTGAAGGTTCATAATTAAGCTAGCTAGCACGAGATCTCAACAGTTTCAATGTCTTCATCTCTCTCTTTCGCTCCCCATCCAAACACAGTGTTCAAATATCCCTTTTGTTTCTGTAAATAGCTAGTCTCACTATCTAGCTACATGATATCATGGTATGAAGACAGACAGACAACTATGTAGCCAAGCCCTAAATCAACAAAAACACACCAACATGGTATGGTGAAGAAGAAGAAGTAAAAAAGATCTACTTTGTTATTTACGTACGTGGTATATGTAGAAATTAATACCTAGTGATCACCTTCTTCATCACGAAGCAGTGAAAAATTTTAGCAGAAAATTAAATAGGGATTTGGGTACCAAATATAACTCGCTGTACCTCTATGGAAGCTAGCCCAAGCTGTGTAGACTGTATTAGGTGCCTGCTTTGTCCAAGCTTGTTGCCTTTAATTCAGATCAGCTACTCCAACAGCAGAAAACTAACCCTAATTTTGTGGGTTAATTGGGAAAGAGGAAGGCAAGCTCCAGCAGCTAGGGACTAAACTAGCAAGAAATTGAAAATGTTCAAAACAAAGCTAGCTATGGACTGAATATGGGAATGGAGAAAGGGTGGGATGCAATGAGAGAGAGAGAGAGAGAGGAGGGCTTGGCTTGAAAAGAGCAATGGAGGGTGAAGAAGAGAGAGCTAAGTAGCAAGCAAAGGACAGGGATAGAGAAGATGGGCAATAAATGGAGAGGGGGCACTCTCTACAAAAGAACAAAAGAGGGGAATGAATGAGATGAATTATTATTTTTTTGGTTGTGTGAGAGTGAGACCCTAGTTCATCCTCTCCCTCATCATTCTCCTATTTGCTTACTCATTTGGTGGAGTTGGAAATCTGAATGATGAAGTTTGATTTGAACTGCGATAAATGGAGAAGGGGCTAAAGTCTTACCAGCTAATCTATTTTTTAAATTTATTACGAATCTTACATGTAATTTTAAATTTGAGCGAGATTATAACCCCTTCCGACTTCAACATATGTATATATAGTCCTCCACTACATCAAGTACATATATATTAATTAATATGTATGAAATGCATCATCATCATAATCATTACCATAATCTCTAATCACTCATTAATTTATTTTATTCTTATTGTATTATAGTGGGTGGGAGTGGGAGGGACGACGGTTGTGAATCCATTTGGGTTAGTCGCTGCGACCTCCTTTTATTTTGTCATAACATTCTAATTCCTCTTCCATTAGAACCCTATGGGAATAGAATATATAAAATCACCGCACCACAACCTTTTTTGACCCAAGCTTGGGTTTTTTTTTTTTTTTTGACAAAGGGTTTGATGTCCAGTAAAATTCATGGGTTTTGAAGACAGAAGAGTTTGTACTATTCGTGTATTTGTCCGTAAAACAATACACAATACACTTTTATTCATTACAAAAAAAATTTGTTTCCATCATAATTATAGGTAGTGGTACTCAGATTATTCTAATGAACGGGGAAAAATAATCTTTCGAAGGTATCTAAACCATGGCTAGGGCTTGAAACTTCATGCAGATTGAGAATAAATAATTAGCTCTAAAACTAATATTGAAACGATTTGAATATTATATGATGGACGATTGTTAGCCTTTTCTTCATATACAGATGGTGTTGTCTATCGTACGTACCTAATGATAAATCTAGGGTATCATATACTTAAGGTATGGAAATAATATCTAGATCTCGAATTAATTAATTTTATGGCATGATATTATACCCTAATCGTTGATGAGTGAACTCTAGATCTTAGTTATTATAAATCATAGACCCCTACACACTAAGATGGTGCATATAATTTGTTGGATGTATGTTGACGAATCATGATCGTCGATTATTATTTATAATATATTTTTTTTTCAAAATTAGACTACCGATTTTTGCTATTTAGACCATGAATTAACCGAAGTACGGTGCATGATACTATGCTCTAACCTCTAATGGGTGAACTAAATTTTTTTTAATTATATAATTCAAACCATAAGATTCATTTAATCTACAGCAAAATAACCGACGATTCTGATTCGTAAAAATATATAGAAGTACATCTAATAAGTATGAATGCAAACGTATAATATAAGTGTAGAAGGAATTGTGGAAAGTCTGAGCTTGCAGTTCATAACCGTTGCTCAATCACAGGAATCCTCTTAAGGAAACTTGACTGAGTTTCCTTAGCTGCTCCCAACGGCTAGCTCATCTTGGTACTATTTATTTGACTGATCCTGTACTTGTACAGGCACCTTTTTGAAAGAGCTAGAGTGGTAAAGGACTTGGTGGAAGGATTACAAAAAGGGGTTGATAAACAGTTGAGGCAAAGGTTCAACTTTTATCAAGGCTGAAACAGATCAGTGGTTGATCTGGATTTATTGTTTTCTGGTTCTTTGTTCTTTGTTTCTTGTTTTCATAGTTTGTTCGTACTGTGTTTCTTCTTTTGTCATAATTGAAACAACCAATAAAAGGCCTCCCAGACCACATTCTGGGACGTGGAAGTAACCATCGCACTTGGGAACCACGTTAAAAACGTCGTGTGTCTTGTGTTCTTTAGTCTTCTCGCTATCAGTCTGGTGTTTTGAAGTTCTGGAAAAACTCTGCTTCTCTTCTATTCTCGAGTTCTCTGTTTCTCAATTCAGTACCACTGCTGAGTATTAAAATTGGATTGGGCTATTTGATTAAGAGATCTGGGTTATTTAGTTTTGGGCCCAAGTCCAGTTCAGCCCATATCTTTGTTCAGATCAGCCGAGACCCTGTCTAAGGATTCATTTCCTTTCTCCTCTCGCGACTTCACAGTCGATCTGTCTTTCCCCTTTCTAAACCTAATTTCCAGATTGTCTCTGAGACTTTTCAATTGGTATCAGAGCGCCGGTCCTTGACGAAGTTAGCTACTGCCAAGGTTGTCGATCCAATGGCATCCAGCTCCTTCGGCCAAGCGGCCATTAATCATCCTCCGATCTTCACCGGTTCTAACTATACCGCGTGGAAGAAGAGAATGAAACAATTTTTGTGGGGAGTTGATGAGGAGCTTTGGATGGTTGTGCAAAACGGCCTGATCGAGATGAATGATGATGAACAGAACATCTGGTCGGCGGCGCAGAAGAAGAACGCTCAATTAAATCAACGAGCCATGCATGTTCTACAGTCGGCGATGAATCCAGACGAGGCTGATCAAGTGGAACACTGTGCGACAGCCCAAGAAATCTGGTTAGCATTGGAAAGCACTTACGAAGGTACATCTAATATTAAGGAGTCTCGAATTGATCTTTTAGTTCATGAATATGAAGCTTTTAACATGAATAAAAATGAGGGGATTCATGAAATGTACTCTAGGTTTACCATTTTAATAAATAAATTGAAAGGGTTGGGAAAAACCTATCAAACTAAGGATCTTAACAGAAAGATTCTTAGATCTTTGCCCAGAGATTGGCTTCCTAAGCGCACTGCGATAGAGGAAGCAAAGAATTTGAATACTTTACCTATAAATGAATTGATTGGATCTCTATTAAGTCATGAACATGTGCTGAGGCAGGTTAGTCAAGAAGATGATAAGCGTAATAAAAATCTAGCTTTTAGAACTACTGCTTCAGATTATGATCAGGATAGTGATCAGGAAAATGATTTTGATAAGGAGTTTGCGTTGGTAAGTAAGAGGTTTCACAGGATGTTAAAATTCAAAAATGAACAAAAGCAACGTATTGACAATAGAAATGATAGTTATGATCGTACTAAAAATTTCTCTCAAGTCAGGCTGCTACCCCAGCAGACCAGAAAATCTGATACAGGTCAGCAGGAAAAGGAGCCTCAAGCATGTTACAAGTGCGGCAAGGTGGGACATATCAGAGCCCATTGTCCACAAACCTTAAAGGCAAGAGAAAAGGCAATGAAGGCCACATGGAGTGATTTTGAATCAGAACAGGAAGAACTTGAGTCTGATGATGAAGCCTTCATGGCTAAGACAGAATCTGAAGGAGAGGAAATGGAGCTTACCTCCATGAACAATGATCACAAATGGTATCTTGATAGTGGTTGTTCTCACCACATGTCTGGTAAGAAGTTTCTATTCTCATCTTTAAAGTCAGTCAGTGGGGGAAAGGTCTGGTTTGGTGATAATGGGTGTGGTAAAGTAATTGGAACTGGTACTGTAGGAGAAAAACCCTATCCCACCTTCAAAGATGTTTTGCTGGTGGAAGGGCTAAAACATAATCTCTTATCCATCAGTCAACTATGCAGTAATGGGTATCATGTCATATTTGAAACTGACCAATGTGTTGTTAAAAGAAATAAAGATGAAAAGGTCATGTTTGTGGGTAAACGATCTAACAACATGTATGTTATTGATCTAAGTAATATTAGTGCCTTCAATGAGTTATGTTTTATATCTTCCTTCCAACAAGAACTTCTGTGGCATCGTAAGATGGGACACATCAACTTACCTAAACTGGTTAGCCTAACTAAATCAGAGCGTGTCAGAGGAGTTCCTGTTTTGAAAGATAAAACTGACTTCTTTTGTGAAACGTGTGTTAGTGGTAAACATACCAAAAAATCTTTTAAACCCAAGGCTGACATTACATCTCATGAAATGTTTGAGTTAATCCACAAGGACCTTTTTGGTCCTTGTAATGTCACTAGCCTGGGTGGAAAGAACTACGTGTTTGTTTTGGTTGATGATTTTTCTCGGTATACTTGGGTATACTTTCTTGCTCAAAAGGATGATACCTTCTCAAAGTTTAAATCTTTTATCTCTTTGTACTCGGATAGAGTCAAAACCGTCAAAAGCGATAATGGTGGAGAGTTTGTTTCTGAAAATTTCGAGTCTTTTGCAATGAGATTGGCATTGTTCATACTTTCTCTGCCCCTCGAACACCCCAACAGAATGGAGTTGTTGAGAGAAAGAATCGGACACTTATTGAGTGCGCTAGAACCTTGCTTCTCGAATACAACGGCCGAGGCAGTCAGTACAGCTTGTCATATAGCAAATCGTGTTTTGGTCAGAAAAGGTTTGAATAAAACTCCTTATGAGATTTTTAAAAACAAAACTCCAAATCTTTCTTATCTGCATCCTTTTGGATGTCCTTGTTATGTTTTGAATACCAAAGATAGACTGGGAAAGTTTGATGCCAAGTCAGATAAAGCTATATTTCTAGGATATTCCATAAAAGGTCAAGCTTTTCGAGTCTACAATAAACGTACTCAGAAGGTAGAGGAATCTGTCCATGTAATATTTAATGATTCTCTTACCGGATGTAAGAACTCTGAGCAGGAAGTACAGGTCTATGACATGCTGGAATTGATGAGAAAACATGTCGAAACAGCAGCTGAATCAAGTAGGGATAACTCAGGAGAGCAAAGTTCTAATATAAAAGATGCAGGGCCAAGTACTGTAACTGAACCTCCTGTCAAAGCTACATCAGCACCCCCACACATCCAGAAGCGACATCCAGCAGAGCAAATCATTGGAGATGTAAATGATGGTCTTCGAACTAGAGGTAAGTACATTCCTGGACAATATGCTTATGTATCTCAGTTTGAACCTAAGAACTATATAGAAGCTCTTAAAGATGGTGAATGGTCACTTGCCATAATTGAAGAACTAGCTCAGTTTGAATTATTACATGTTTGGGATCTTGTTCCCCGCCCTCTAAATCAGTCAGTCATAGGAACTAAGTGGATTTTTCGAAACAAGTCTGATGAGATTGGTGTCATTATCCGAAATAAAGCCAGACTGGTGGCTCAAGGATATTCACAGGAGGAAGGGGTTGATTATGATGAAACATTCGCTCCTGTTGCTAGGATAGAGTCTATTCGTTTGCTATGTGCATATGCAAGTCATATGGGATTTCCTCTCTATCAAATGGATGTGAAGAGTGCCTTTTTAAATGGGATTATTCAGGAAGAAGTTTATGTCTCTCAACCACCTGGGTTTGTTAATACTCAGTTTCCAGACCATGTGTACAAGTTAAAGAAAGCTCTGTATGGTCTAAAACAAGCTCCTCGAGCTTGGTATAACAGGCTTACATCCTTTCTTTGTGAACATGGTTTTGATCAGGGTTCAGTTGACAAAACACTTTTTATTAAACGAAAATCTAATGACATTCTTCTGGTTCAAATCTATGTTGATGATATTGTGTTTGGTGCTACTTGTAAAGATATGTGCTCTGAATTCTGTGATGCTATGAAAGCTGATTTTGAGATGAGCATGATGGGGGAATTACAATTTTTCCTCGGACTCCAGATTAAGCAGTTTAACAATGGTACTTTCATAAATCAGTCCAAATACATCTCCTCTATGCTTAAAAAATTTGACTTGGCTAGTTTAAACACTAGCTCCACACCTATGGCAGTTAATCTAAAACTTGATAGAGATGAAACTGGTGTGTCAGTGGATCAATCAAAGTATAGAGGGATGATAGGATCTTTGCTTTACCTTACGGCCAGCCGACCTGACATACAACATAGTGTATGTTTGTGTGCTCGCTTTCAGTCAGATCCTAAGGAAAGTCATATGTCAGCAGTCAAAAGAATCTTTAGATACCTCAAAGGTACTATGGATGTAGGACTATGGTACCCCAAACATGACTCATTTGATCTAATGGGGTACAGCGACTCTGACTATGCTGGAAGTCTGGTTGATCGAAGGAGTACCTCAGGTAGCTGTCAGTTCGTAGGTACTTCATTAGTTTCATGGTCTTGTAAGAAGCAGGGAGCTGTTGCTCTCTCTACAGCCGAAGCTGAGTACATAGCTGCTGGCAGCACGTGTGCTCAACTATTGTGGCTAAAAAGTCAACTTCAAGACTATGGCATAACACAGTCTTCTATTCCATTGTTCTGTGATAACACAAGTGCTATGTGCATGTCCAAAAATCCAGTGCAACATTCTCGCACTAAGCACATTGATGTTAAGTACCATTTTATACGCGACTTGATTAATTCTGGAATCATAAATTTGCAATACATTAGCACAGAATTTCAACTTGCGGATATCTTTACTAAACCTCTTCTGGCAGATCGATTCAACTTCCTCTGTTTTGAAATCGGTTTGCGATCTCTTTCCTCTATTTCTTCCGTCTCAGAACCTTAGTTCTGTAAGCTACCTTTTTCTTTTCTTGCTTTCCTTGTTTTGTTTGCTTTGAATTCCTTTCGTCTGTTTTGTGTGTGGCTTTCCTTTTTATGTGTCTTAATTGCTCTTTGATTGTTTCCTTTTTAGTGCTTTGTCCAGAGTCTATTTATTCCTGCTTATTCCCTGTATTGATTTCATCGAGTTGTTTTGAGTGTTTTCCTCTTAGTTTCCTGTGTAAGTGTCTTTCCAGAGTCAATCATGGTGTATGCCTTCGCCCTCACTTACTCTAGAACCTGGTTCCATGAGCCTGTCCTTGCCAACTATCATCGCCACACTCAGTCCTTCGCCAACCGTCCCATCAGCCCTACCACTGTCCTTCATCTCCCGGATTTTGTTCCTTTAGGGTTAGATGTATTGCCTTTCGTTCAGAATTTAGGTTGGGAGTTCTTGCTTTCACCTGAAGCGTCTTCCACCATCATTTGTCCTGAGGCAGTACGATGTTTCTTTTCCAATCTTCGGTATTTTGGCCTTCAATCTCGCACTCTGTCATCTCCTGTTCATTGCCATATGATTACCCTTCCCCTTCATGATCTTCGTCGCCTTCTTCATATCCCTGCTTTTGGGGAAGCCCTTGCTCATCCTGCTGAACTGCCTATGTTCAACTTCAATGTTGTTACAGGGGCTGTTCACCTTACTGGCCACGAACCTGATCATGACCTCACCTTCTCCTCAGCCCTCCTCTCACCCTCGTTACAAACCTTCCATTATCTGCTCACTAGGGTGTTCCTCCCTCGTTCTATCCTTCTTGATAGAGTCATTCCCCTTGATCTCTGGATCCTCGCCCATGCTGTGGCTGCTGTACCTTTAGATTTTTCCATCTGTTGTTCGGAGCCCTTCTCCCTTTCATTGATCACAACTTCCATGCTCCTCTCCCTTTTGGAGCCATGATTACTCGTCTTCTGCTTGCTCTGCCACTAAATCTTTCAGCCTATCGTACCGAGTCTCCGACTCTGTGGCTCAATGCGGATGACGTCCTTAACGAAATAGGGATTGCAGTTGAGGGGGAGGATGATGGCCCTTTTGTCCACTGGATCAGCAGTGACTCAGAACTAGAAGATGAAGCTGTTGATGGGGAAGTTTCAGTAGAACAAGTAGCTCCTGAAGATCAAGCTCCTATTGCGTCTTTTGCAGCTGCGCTCCAAGACCTTTATGGCTCAAGCTCTGAGTCTACCGCGGCAGCTGCACTGGATGATCTTGTGTCTTCTGAAGAAAGTTCAGATCCCTAGTCTAGTCTGAGTGTTCTTTTTCTCGTGTGGATCGTTTGTCTTTGTTTCTTGTACTCAGGGGGAGTACTGCGTTGTTTGTCCTGTCGTATTGTTTTTTATGTGAGGGAGGATCTGGCTGTTTTTGGCTGAACTCAGTGATTGTGTTGCTTCTCAATTATGTCTTGTGTTTCCTTTGATATGAACTGTGCTGCTTGATCCTGTGTGGAAAGGTTGTTTGGTTAATGCAGGTCATAAAGCAATCTGCAATCTCCGACTTAGGGGGAGATTGTAGAAGGAATTGTGGAAAGTCTGAGCTTGCAGTTCATAACCGTTGCTCAATCACATGAATCCTCTTAAGGAAACTTGACTGAGTTTCCTTAGCTGCTCCCAACGGCTAGCTCATCTTGGTACTATTTATTTGACTGATCCTGTACTTGTACAAGCACCTTTTTGAAAGAGCTAGAGTGGTAAAGGACTTGGTGGAAGGATTACAAAAAGGGGGTTGATAAACAGTTGAGGCAAAGGTTCAACTTTTATCAAGGCTGAAACAGATCAGTGGTTGATCTGGATTTATTGTTTTCTGGTTCTTTGTTCTTTGTTTCTTGTTTTCATAGTTTGTTCGTACTGTGTTTCTTCTTTTGTCATAATTGAAACAACCAATAAAAGGCCTCCCAGACCACATTCTGGGACGTGGAAGTAACCATCGCACTTGGGTGAACCACGTTAAAAACGTCGTGTGTCTTGTGTTCTTTAGTCTTCTCGCTATCAGTCTGGTGTTTTGAAGTTCTGGAAAAACTCTGCTTCTCTTCTATTCTCGAGTTCTCTGTTTCTCAATTCAGTACCACTGCTGAGTATTAAAATTGGATTGGGCTATTTGATTAAGAGATCTGGGTTATTTAGTTTTGGGCCCAAGTCCAGTTCAGCCCATATCTTTGTTCAGATCAGCCGAGACCCTGTCTAAGGATTCATTTCCTTTCTCCTCTCGCGACTTCACAGTCGATCTGTCTTTCCCCTTTCTAAACCTAATTTCCAGATTGTCTCTGAGACTTTTCAATAAGCCGAGCATATACTGGCCTTCATCATATATATATTGTTAAGTTAGCATACGATCCAACGAGTTTTACTATTTGGACCGAGAAGCAGCGGAGTTTGGAAAATGATACTATATTGTAACCTTCAATTGGCAAGCCATATTCTATAATTCTATAAACCCAAAACATATTATCAATTTGATAAATAAAAAATAATTTATAATTTTGATTCGTCAAAGTATATTGAAGCACAACAATGAAGTGTGAATGCATGCATGCAACATCATAAAATCGACATAAACAATCTTTGAACCTCTAGGTTCCACAAACCTAAACAACAACATGAACTAGCCACTCCTGGTTGAAGAAACATAGAGAAACGTAGATTCTAGCTGTCGAATGGTGCTTTTTGACAGTTCTGACATCCCATGTTTACCCCCCAAAAGTTTCAGAATGATCTTTGAGGAAAAGGGTGCATCTGGCTACGGGGAGAACCCAATAAAAGTTGTGATTAATGTTGTTTCCTCTTCTGAACTGGAAGGGGGGTAATTATATGCCTTATAAGTTTTGCACATTGATGACGCTTAAAGTATGCTACTTTCATAACCTATTATATTAGTACGGCCCTTTTTATATATCTTTAGCCACTTTTACTTAGGGATTGTTTCATTTAGTTCCAATGTGCGTTTAATGTCAAGAACCAGTTAATCCCAATAACTCGAGTTGTTGGAGAGGTTCAATCATGGATCATATACCACAACACTAACATGCCCCCTCAAACGAAAGCCACTCACAAGGGCTTGGAGTTTGCACAGGTCTGAAAACAAGAATACCATGTGCTTAACAAATGGGGGTCACCGGGAATCGAACACAAGACCTCTCTGTCACAGAAGGCTCTGATACCATGTCAAGAACCAGTTAATCCCAATAACTCGAGTTGTTGGGAGAGGTTCAATCATGAATCATATACCACAACACTAACATTTAATAGTCCAATGTGTGAGATTACTTGATGACACTTGGAAAAGTAATGTTTCCATATCCTTTTCTTAGCGAAATATCCGCTATTTGATGCATCTTTACTCAATTCTCCTGCGATTTTGCTTCATATTTGTTCCTTTGAACATTTTTGTAGCCTCTATCGGTACCTTTGATGTCTTTTAAGGTAGTTTTACATGAATTTCATACTAAGGCATAAGAAAGAACAAATGTAGACTTGAACCAGATGGATCTTACCACCAACCAGGTAAAGAAACCTCATTTCACACATCCAATAGCCGGTGGCTGTGAACCATGGCGATCCAGAAGCCTCTTTGGTGATCCATGTCCCAATGAGAAGTTTCACAACCCACTTATTTAGATCACTGATGAGAATAAATGTTGGGCTTTGGGGTTAATGCTTTATGTGCTTTTGTTCAATTATTAAGGGTTGTATTAGTTGTTTACGTTGTTAATGCATGGGCTTAGTCAGTCCAATTGGGAGTCTAGTTTTGTAACTAGTCACGTCGGCTAGCTAGGGGAAGCTGGTTCGGCCATAGTTAGGTTAAGTGGTAGGGTTTGGATATTATATATATATATAAGTTCGGCGTTATTCCGGGCTATCGAATAATAAACCTAAAAATAGTCTTTCGACATTTTACGTCGTTTGAATCGTGGGTTACGATTCATCAATCACAAACTTCTAAGTCCATACCTATATGAAGCCCAGATTGACTTATCGAGATATATCTCAAATTTCATTACCCTTCATCTTCCCTCGAGTTTGAAGTACTCGTCATAGACAAGGCTACAAATTACTCTATCCTGTTTGGAAGACCATTCCTCGCATTCACCGAAACGTTCATCGTTTATTTCTACATGAAGGGTTATTTGAGAATTGACAATACGAAACATACATTGGTATACTTGATCAGGCTGCCCTTCTTTATCACCAAAATCTTTCCCGATGAATTTCGCTCATCTAGCAACTCTGAGAAAATGGTCGGGCTCAACACTCAACAGACATAAATATTTCACTGTTACGAACGCAAGTAGCCCTAGCCCGTAGGTAGGGGACTGGACTAAACCAAAATCATATCAATTCAACCAACCAACCAACCAACCAACCAAACTGGGCTATCTGTCTACTTCCAAGCTTTATGTTCTGCCTCCACCCATCCTCTCCCTAGTAAAGCTAGGTAGAGAGTAGAGACTGTTTCCATTAGCCTCACCATCGTACACCCAATTTGCAACAACATACACAGACCATCCACATTCTTTGTTCATTCCTTAAAAACAAGTGTTTAAAAAATCGTATCGTATCGGTAGTTCGACCCAAAAAAAATTCATACGGAATGGAAACCAGTAGACGATTTTAGCTGTATGAAACAATTAAACCACAGTTTCAATCGTACCCTAACTTTTTCCAGAACAAACTCCAGTTACAATCCTCAATTCTTACCCATTTCCTGCCTGCCTGATCGAGAGAGCTATATGAATAGCAAGCAATATCATTCCACAAGCTTTACCTCCAATTAAATCATTCCTATCCATGTGCTGCCATGACCTTAAAAAAAGAAAAAAGAATCATCTCGTGTCGAGTGAAACATTTCCACAAAACCTGTTTACAACAAACCTTTCAGAAACCCCCGAAAAGCAGCCTGGGGACAGCGACAAAACTTTGCTACTTTCATGCATCAAATCGGCACCGTGGAGAATTGATGCATGAATGAGGTTTCAACTACTCAATGGTTGCACCAAGAAAGCTCTACATGTATGCTATGGTATATGATGGACGAAAGCTCATGTTTTGGGTCAGAGGAATCTTCACAAAAACAAAAACAAAAACTGACCAGCTTGAGGCCATACGAGGTAGTACTTTACTGTGTGGAAATTGCTTTTCAGTGTGCTTGCAAAAAGACGAATAGTAGCACCTACAATGACAGGTCGCCTCCTAGTTCCATAAGCATTACCTCCAACCCCGTCAGCATACCTGCTCAATTGTTAAACATGAAGACTATCAATGTATCAGCCTAAAAACGAAAGAGCATAGATGGTACAATGCATTTTGGCATTGATGGGACGGGACAAGCATCGTTCACTATGTTCAGAGGCATATCACTTAGCAAGATGAAGGGCGTAAAGCAGTAACAAGAGATCAGAAGAAGAGATGTACTAACCGAAGAAACAAGGATCTGCAACGGCAGCCTGCATGAAATTGGAACAGAAAAAGCTTAGGAATAAACAAGAAGCAAGCTTTGGGTAAGAGTGAAAATAATTCCAAACAATCTTATTAATCCAACCAAGATGAGTAGATCATGGAGTGAATATGTACAACAAGATAGCCAGCCACAGCCAAATAGCTCTGGCAATGAGTTGCTTTTTGGATCACTGAGTTTCGGGAAATACCTGTTCTGTAGACTTGTGAATGGGGTAGAAAAGCTCAGGTACATTCAGCAGCTCTGCAAAATTTTCACATTACATGTCCAGATGAGACAAACAGTTTCGAGACAATGGAGGGTAATCCCTGATAAAGTCAGAGCAAGTAAACCTCTATGTCCATCATTGCAAGTGTCTGGCAGATGAGTAGTCAAGCTGGGAGGTGCAGGGGTAGCTCCAGCTACTGAATGATGAGTAGAATGTGTTCCATCAGTGTATTGTGTGTATTTGTGGTCTGATGCAAGCTGCATTTCCGGCCAATAGTTTCCAACAGGATTCAGGTTGCTCATGTCTTGAGACGTACTGCAGCATTGTTTCTTCCCAGCATTAGTTACAGTAATGATGGGAACAGATTATTTCATGAATTCTATTTCTAACTAGCCAAAACCAACTGACATGAAAAGTAACTTTATCATCACCTATCACTTATTCCATCTGATGATAGGAAGTTAGATGTAGACAAAAGTTCTGAGCCAACTCTAGCACCGGTAATCCCGCTTGTAACAGCATTCAAGCTTGTCTGCCGAAGTGAGAGGAAAACAGAAACAAATGGAATCTCTTATTGGTAATCAGCATAACTAGGTTAACTCATCGATCAAATCCTATTTAAATCGAGGCCGGAAGAATAAAGAACAGAATGAAGACTGGACTTCTATCAATGGGTTTCAGCACAAAACAAAATCTATATTGGTTTGGTCCAAGGTTTTACATCCAACTATTGTTTCTGTACATATACAGTAACCTGAAGGAAGGTTGGTCTCACCTTTACAGAGCACATGAAGGCTTGTGCATCAGAAGATGACAAGAACCGCATTGCAAACTTTTGGACCTGCAAATTCAGCAGGCAAACCAAAAGGGTACACTTCATGAACAGACAAGACAAGCCTTACCAAAAACATGAACACGCGTATCTATAACGACAACGAAAAAAACATAACTCATAATCCATAAGCCACATGCTTTGCACTTGCACTCAGCTTCGATTTTGAGGAGCAAAACGGAATCGTTATAGGATCTTGAAACCCCAGATTTAGTACAGAATTCAGAAACTTGCCTGGTCCATATTATCCCCATAACTTGCAAATACAGCTCTGCTGCCTCTAAGAGGGCAAATATCCAGACATGAAACCTGAGGCCAGGAGAATTGCAGCTTCGAGATCCGGTGTTGTTCCTGTTACAATCATTCGAAGTTTCGGTTCAATCTGTTGGCAGTAAACGATGAACTTGAAGGCCCACCAAACTAACCGAATCAACATCAGATCACAAAGCCTGAATAATTCACCAAATTCCCCCCCAAGTTCACAGAAGTCCTAGGAAACCTCAAACGATACAGAGCAAACTCTAACCAGCTCCCCTAACCTAAATCGGGAAACCTAATAAAATGGAGACGCCATTTTCAGATACCGCCGTCAAATAAACGCAACGAAAGAGGAGAGACAACTGGATAGAGAATACAACAGAAGAAGAACACACGTACGTAGATTTTTCCCTGAGAAGAGACAAGGAGGACGCCATCGGCTTGATGCTGCAGGAGTTGCAGGCAGGCCATGGAAGCGGAAGAGAGCCATGTTCCGGAAGTGTTCTTCTTCCGGCGTTTGGAACCGGATGAAGCAGCTTGGTGGAGAGAAGGGAAGTTGAAGAAGCGAGAGTAGTGTATCAGCCATTGCGCGGTAATTGGAGTGTCGAACTCGTACTTAGGGTTTGGAATCGGCCCTGAGGTTCCCGCCATTTCTGAATTTTTTTTTTTTTCTTCCTTCCGATTTCCTCTCCCTCTTTTGTAGCCTCCTGTCCAAGCAAGCTACAAAACCGCCTTCATTCCCTCTTCTTAAGTATCTCCCTTGTTTCCCGGCGCCCGGCGGAGGTAACAGAGTTGGGCTGGGCCTGAAGCGAGCAGAAATTTTAATGGGCCGAATGAGGCCAGATTTCACTGGGCCCCACGGTGGACTAGATAAGCTGCGTCACCACGAAGTAAAATAAACCGTTGGTGGACAGAGGAAGGGCTCCAAACAAATCCTGCCACCAATAATGGCGTCGTCGACCACCGTCTCTCTTGCTTTGCCGCCATTTCCTTCTACTGTTGCTTCCCAGGAGCCGAAGACTTATTCCATAGCCACTTTTAGCAGGACCCATGAGTCGACTTCATCGTCTTCGTTGCTGGGCACGAGGATTTGTGTCAGCAGACGGAACAGGGAAATTGCAGCATTGGGAATGGGAAGAAGCAGGGGCAGGGGTGCTGTAACTTGCTCGGCGGCGACGGCGGCTGCTTTGCCATCCGCGCTTCTATTCGACTGCGACGGCGTGCTTGTTGATACTGAGAAGGACGGCCACAGGGTTTCCTTCAACGATACTTTCGATGAAGTATGGCATTCACAGTAAAGTATTCTGCACTTGGTCTGCGTTTGAAATTTGGATGTAATTGCTGGGTAATGAATTGAATTGAAATTGCTCGATTTTTGCAGAAGGAATTGGGGGTCACTTGGGATGTGGATTTGTATGGAGAGTTGTTGAAAATTGGAGGTGGGAAAGAGAGGTACATTTTCTTATTTCAGATAATCTACAAAACAATCTCCCTATTCCTCGAGTTGATGATGAGATTTTGTGGGATTCAATGTCTGGTTGTTGTTATAGGGATTTGATCAATGTATGATGTGGAAGTGGGTTATGTGCTGACCTAGCAACTTTGCAGGATGACAGCATACTTCAATAAAGTTGGATGGCCAGAGAATGCTCCCAAGAGTGAAGATGAAAGGAAAGCTTTCATTGCTTCACTTCACAAAAGGAAGACAGAGTTGTTCATGGCTCTCATCGAGAAGAGACTGCTGCCTCTTCGCCCTGGCGTTGCAAAGTGCGTCTCCTAGAACTCGTATTAGCACTTTTGATTATTTTTTAACCACGTCAACTTGTGTTTGAAGAAACTCGATGGTGGTAGTACGCTGTATGATCGAATTCAACTCCAAGCTGCCTTAAGCTGAATGTTCAGCCATTGACATTTCAGGTTGGTTGATCAAGCTTTGGGAAAAGGGGTGCCTGTTGCTGTCTGCAGCACTTCCAATGAGAAAGCGGTGTGTATAGGCCAATTTCATTAGCTAGTATTGACTCTTTATCATCAAGAGCTAAATAGTATGATCTTGACTTGTCATTTGCTTTGCTACATTGATTCAAGGTTTCTGCCATAGTCTCCTACTTGTTGGGACCTGAGCGTGCGGAGAAGATCAAGATATTTGCAGGAGATGTAGTTCCTCGCAAGAAGCCAGACCCGGTGCTCCTTTATTTTCCAGTCCCATTGATATCATACCATATATCTCAATCCTTCTGATCAGCTTGACACTTCAGACAGATCCTTAAACTGGTGCTTCATTCTTGACAGGCCATTTACATACTAGCTGCCACCACTTTGGGTGTAGATCCGGCAAGGTAGTAAATAACAATCATAATCTCATTCTACATTGCCAGCATTTACCTGAAATGCTCATACAAGTGGAAATTTTTCCTGCAGCTGTGTAGTGGTAGAGGACAGTGGAATCGGGCTTGCTGCTGCCAAAGCAGCCGGAATGAAATGTATCATCACTAAGAGCGGGTAAGTTCCTGCTAATGGTTTTTTGACCCTCTTTTAAGTCTGAAGCTTCCAGGCTCTCTCTCTCTCTCTCTTCTTTCTTTTTCTGAGGATACGCTTCAATCAACAACCGAAAGTTCACGGCTTGACAACTGAATGTTGGGTAATGTATTTGATGAAAGATGAGATGTTTTGGTGGTGGCAGATACACAGCCGATGAGGACTTTCTGAATGCTGATGCTGTGTTTGATTTCATTGGAGACCCTCCAGAAGAGCGTTTCGACTTGGCCTTCTGTGGGAGCCTGCTGGAGAAGCAATATGTGAGCTAGACCGTTCCATTCACTTTTTTAGAAGCAATTTTCTGAATTACGTACTTCATACCAGGTATAATAATTGTATATTGTCATCGATAATAAAGTTGAAGGATCGTATTATGAGATTGATATAATGATATTTGCCGTTGCTAATTACCCAATTTAAGTGTGAAGATAAAAGCTACTTGGTAAAGACGAGAAACCAACTTTGTACATTGGCTTGGATCATAAAACAATTCCCTCGTTTGACCCTTTCCTGAAACACCAACAAAACCCAGGACCAAAGATAAGGAAAACAACAAGGAGAAACAATCGTATCAAAGGAATCTAATACATCTCTCATACTCGTCTATCTAAACAGGAGAAAGAAATACATAACATCCGAAACATAGTGCGTGCTTCTCAAGTAAAAAAGGGCCATCTAGGGTCTAAAACGATGCCTGAAGCCACCCCTTCTTCTGGGCATACTCGACGTAGAAGGCGTACTTCTCCTCCGCATTCGGTATGTCGAGAGCGAGATCGTCGAGCCCTTCCTTGATACGAGTGAACCCTTTCGTCATCTGGTTGGTGGTGATCAGCCCTTCGTTGAAGCACTCCTGGAGCAGGTCCAGCATCCTGTCGTTCTTCTTCTCCATCGCCATGATCAGCGCCTTCTTCACCACCTCGTGGTTGAAGAAGGGCATTCCCAAGTCGCGGATGCACTGGCACGCCTCGCCCACTCCGCCGCTGCTATCGTACTCCTCCAACAGCTTCGTGATCTTGTCCTTCGCATCCTCGACGGCCCACCCGGTCCCGCCTCCCCAACACCTCAGGAGCCTCTCGCCGGCATGGCGGGCAGTGATGAGAGATCTGGCCATTTTCACAGTCTCGCTCCCGCTGCTGTTTGGCGGCAGCTGGCCTCCTATCTCCTCGAGATTCAAAGGTACCAGTACGTCATCTATCACAGCCCTAGCTAGAAACAAGGCCAGCTCGTTTGAAGCATCGAGGATGTCGAGCGCGGTATCTTCAGCTGATTCCAATAGCATCACAAAGCCATCAACTATGTCTTCTGTTGAGAAGATCTCTATGTGAAGCGCCGAGAGCAAAACAGATGCCATCTCTTTCTCCCTGTTTTTCCTGTCCATGGCAAGGGTTATAAGCCGTTTCAAGAATATCGGATTGTACTCCGGCAAACCGAGATCTACCAAACTCCTGATCAGTTCAGGGATATCATCGGAGTCAAAGTACTCGTGGATAACAGAAACAACCTCCTCTTTGTAGCGCTTCAACTTTGCATCTTCAGCTTGTGGTTGCCCATCTTCACCTGAAGTGTTTGAGAAGGAAGCATCCAGCCACCCTTCTGAGATGGCTTTAGAGACGATAGATTGGAAAAGGGGTCTAGCAGATGGAATGTCGAGTGCAAGGTCATCAAGGCTCTCTGCCAACCGAGCAAAGCCTTTGGTCATTTGACTAGGACTTATGAGGCCTTCCTCGGAAGCTTCTTTCAAGAGCTTGGATATGAGTGGTTCAGCAGTTTGGATCTCCATTGCAAGAACTAAAGCTCTCTTCACAACTTCATGATGGAAGAATGTAACCCCTAGCTCTCGAATGGATCTACAGGCCTCAACAGCATGTCCACTCTCGACATATTCCCTCAACAGACTGGCAATCTTCTTCTTCACCTCTTCAACAGTGTTACGAGTGCTACCACCCCATCTATTTTCCACAAGCTCGGCATGGTGAGGAGCTGAAAGGTAGGATTTTTCAGCAGTCAATAGAACCTGAAATCCCTTCGACGCTTCAGGAATAGTTTTCTTTGCCCGTGGGAGAAAAGCAGGTGGGAGTATCTCATCAACCACGGCCCGCGCTACAAACAAAGCAAGGACATCTACGGCATCCAAGATATCTACAGCAAGGTCATCAGTAGATTCGAGAAGTATGACGAACCCATCCCGGATTTGTGCAGGAGTTATAACATCAGCATATAGTGAGGACAGTAAAACAGAAGCCATTTCCTTCTCCTTGTCGTGTCTATCCATGGCCATGGAGATGAGTCTCTTGATAAAGTATGGATGATATTGACTGGCTCCAAGTTCTCTGAGGTCTGATGCTGCAACTTCTACATCCCCGGTACTGAAATACTCTTCTACTATGGAAGCAACCGCTTTCTTGTAGTCATCCAAGGGATCAGATAATGTAGCCCCAACGAGTTTATAAGGTTCCTGGTCAAAATAAAGAATGCCGGGAAGAATATATCCCATAACTTTACTTCAAAAACACACGAATAGATCAACATATGAGTTACCTCTCCACTGTCATAATTAGGATCATTGCGATCAATATGGATATCACCCTCTGTATCAAGAAGCTTCCCCCATGTTCCCTTGCCACCAGCACCATCTGTTCCCACCACTCAATAGTAGAAATAGTTGAGTGTGATTGTAATAGCTTTCGAGTTTTAACACATCCGTACAGAAATAACTGGAAATTGTATCAAGCAAGTAGTAGGAAAAGCATAAAATTCCACAACAGAGAGGATCACAAATAGATGTAGAGATTTGTCTGCCTCAATCACTTCACAAGAAGCAACTCAACTAGAAATGAAAGAAAAACAATAAAATAAACCTCTTTTTCGTTGAATTAAAATGAATCTCAGGCCACACCAAAAACTGAAAAATATGACGAATCACTCCACCTCCAGAACCCTACTAATAATTGATAACCGTAATAGCATAAAAAGCAACAAAATCATAATACAGGCAGCTTTCTATGTGTCCGTGTAAGTAACAAAATCACACTGGCCAAATCATAGTGATGAACACTCACCCTTCTTTGCTCTCCCATACTTGCCAGAGTGGGATCGCTTTACATGCCTGCCACCAGCCCCACCTGTGGATGCTTTGCCAGCACCAGGAACTCTCACGAAGTGTTCAGGACGCAACCCTGAAGGGGATTTAGGTGAAGACGACAAGCTTTTAGGCGGTGAAGCCAAATTGTCTGCGTTCTGACAGGCAAGTTTTAACACTTCTCTTTGCTCATCAGTTAGAAATCCCTCATTCGACGCCATTTACACAACGAATCCTGTACAATGCCTTCTGCACTTCAAAAAAAAACAAAATAAAAAAAACAGAAAGAAATCAGTTAGGTTCTAGAATCACCAACACGTCTTCGATGCATCCACACCATCGCCAACAATTAAAACTCCTGTCCAGAATCGTGGCGGACACAGTGAAACTACAATGAACAATCATAAACCTGGACTCTCGAATCGCAAAGATCTGAAGCTCAACACGATATCCAAACATCTGGAACTTCACCACCTTGCCAAAACAAAAACACTCGACGTCTCGACCACTAAAACAGACTAGCGCTCTCGCATTTTCCCCCTCTCAAGCAACCATACAGATTAACCACCGCAAGATAAAGAAAACCAGTAGCAGATTAAACAAAAAGGAAGAAAAGACTTTGAGAGAAATGCAAACTAATACCTCTGCCGCAGTCGGCTTGCCGAGTCCTGAAGAGAGGAGCGAAGAAGGGAAGTGAATCCGGAAACGGTGAAGCGGTTCTTCTGTGCTTGGCCCGGGATCTCGAGCCAAGCCAGGAAGAAACAATCAGGATATCCTCCACGCCGAGACAGAACTTCCGATCAGAGCGCGCAAAAAAAAAAACGAAAACAACGGCCGATTCAAATCTGGAGAGAAAGAAGAAAAAAAAACCCTAGATCAACGGGAGGATCTCTCCGGATTCCTCCAGGCTCCCGGGTAATGCTCGCCGGAAGAAGGAGACTAGGAGCGAGAAATCAGCAGAGCAAGAGTTCCCGGAGGAAAAAGTGTTCGTCCCAATCCGTTCGATAGCGATTCGAGAAGAGGAAAATGGACAGTGAAGAAGGAGAGAGAGAGAATGGATGAGCACGAGAAAAAAAACGATGAGAGGGAAAGAAAAAGATGGTGTGGTATTTATATGGAGGCCGCGGTTACAAGGTACACGTCATCGAGAGGTTTTTGGGAGACGTTATCTGCCAATGTGTCCACGTGGCATTGGCTCTCTTCATTTTTATGGCGAGTCCTGGCTTTACACTCGGCGGGCGCCCCCCAGAGTTAGGGTTTCTAGCTTTCCGTGAACGGAGTTCACCCAGAATTACCCATTTACCCCGCTTGCAGCTTGCTTGCCCGGAAAATTAACCTCGACAGCCATACATTTTTGTTGTATTTTATTTTTAGGGTTTGTTTGGAAGTTGCGATTGTTAAATAAATGTATTGTTGAGAATGCATGTATAATATTATACATGTATTGTCGAATTTGATGCATTGTAGAATACAACGTTTGGTATGTGTGATTGTGTATGTCGCATCAACTAAAAGCTGAGACAAAACAATCTCAACTCAACTATCTCAACATGAGTGATAGTTTCTGTCACATCACAGAAACAATCCATGTATTGTTTCTGCTAAAAAAACAAAAAACGATGCATTGTAAACAATACATGCATAATGACAATCTCAACAAAACAATCGCAACTTCCAAACAACCCCTAATTAGTTAATCATTTTAATCACTTAACTCATATACAGTGATTTTGTAAATATCAATTCAAACCCATCCAAATAATTTAAAACCCTAATAGTTTGTTGGCAAAATACAGCTGTATATCCACAACTATCAGATTTGTGACAAATATATCCACAACTATCGAAATACACGAAATATCTAAAAATCGGAAGGTTGTGTGACAAATCTATCCACTTCCGTCTGAAACTATAACGGCGTGTCAGACGGCCATAAAAATCGACAAGGTTGTGTTTCGGTTCGGTTCGGTTCGTGTTTACCGAACCGGTTGCCCACCCCTAATCGAAATACACGAAATATCCATTTCCATCCACTCTGTTAACTCTGTCAGTTAACCTGATGACTGGACAGACGGTGGATGCTTAGTTGGCGTGTTTCTGACCCCACTGAATGACGTGGATTGAAAGAGAAAAAAGAATTTAAAAACCCTAAAAATCATAGACGACGAGACTAAAACTCCAACCCAGAAATACGCCCGATAACCATTGATCCTCCTCCGATCAACGCCTTCACCCCCAAATAACCCTACCCCAAGCCCAGATTTCAATTCCAACCACAATCCCCAACCATTGCCTCCCTTTTACTCTGACGGCTTCCATGCAGTCGGCGCCATGGTCATACCAAGCTTGAATCTAACCAAATCGCCAACAGAGAATACTGCATCAGCGAGGTCTAACAGATAATGGTGTAAAGTTTGGTTGCTTTTTGGCTTATGTGGCATCGATTCAGCATTCTATTAGTCAATTTAACGTCGTCTGACACACCGTTATAGTTTCAGACGAAAATGGATAGATTTGTCACACAACCTTCCAATTTTTGGATATTTCGTATATTTCGATAATTGTGGATATATTTGTCACAAACATGATAGTTGTGGATATACAACTATATTTTGCCTATTTTTTTTTCTCTTTTAATCCACGTCATTTAGTGGGGTCAGAAACACGCCAACTAAGCATCCACTGTTTGTCCAGTCATCAAGTTAACTGACGGAGTTAACGCAGTGGACGGAAATGGATATTTTATGTATTTCGATAGTTGTGGATATATTTGTCACAAACCTGATAGTTGTGAATATACAACTGTATTTTGCCTAGTTTGTTTGAGATCGGAATATGTAGGATGTATTATATTTTTTAGAAAAAACTGATCCAACACAAACAGGGGATTGCCTAACTTGCTCATGGATGGCGTGATATGCATAGCTTAATGAGAACTTGCCATTCTTAGTGTGCCTCTAAAACTTGTAATGCCAATCGATAGCAACAAACACCTCTGAATTTCAAAGTTTTTGTATATATATAAAGCTCAGTTACATAATGTATGAATTAAAAGTTAAATAAAGATCATAAAACAATGTTTTTCAAAAAAAATCCTAATTATCGAAGATCTTTTAATCAATTCACTATTACATTAAAAAAAAGTCACTACTATAATTTTGTGCCATGGTGGTGCAAATGACCTACCTTAACCTCAAATGGCTCCATATAACTAAGTAGGTTAGTAAATGCGAAAGTTTCATTCTCCTTGGGGTTTTGGAAAATCACAATTGAACTTTTGAGATTTTTTCTTCACCTTCTCTTTCAATCTATTAACCTAATTGAATGACGACACGACAAGGGGAAAAATTCAAGCAAACTCTAATTCAGCCTAATTATAAAGAGTTGTGGCACAACTCCTAATAGGGTGGTGTTTGTGAATGAAAAAGATGTGATGCTAAGTAGATGACCAGCGAGAGAGAGGCCATCCAGGTTGGGTCAATTGCTTGTGAAATTTGAGGATACGAGAAATGGATGACTATCTTCGTTGCTTGTGAAATTTGGGGGAAAGAAAGAAATAAATTTAGGGGAGATTAAGCAATGACAGAGGAAAGAAATAATATAAAGGACATGGTGGAAGTTGATTTATGAAAAGAGGCAATGACATAGCTGGAATTTTTGGGTGGAAAACGAGTCATTTGAGTTTTGCGTTAGAACCAAATGTCTCGTTTACTTTTTTGTTGGCATTGTTTTTATTATGAATTGGTGTTGTATTATTTCATTAAAAATAAATAGTGTGTACTATTAACAACCTTGGCTAGCTGTGTGTTTCCAGTATACCTAGAGCCTAAAATCCACACACTCTGCCTACTATTCCCATCCAGTCCACATCGAAAAATGGGCAGTTCCACCACCACTACTCTTCACCTCTTCTTTGATTTGAGCTAACAGAACTTCGGTAGATAAAGCATCACATGATATCTTCTTCTTGCAACGCTCTCTCCAAACTTAGGCATCGTTTAGTATTGTTGCTTGTTTTTGTTTTCTGTTGTGTTTTTAAGAATTGGAGAAATCAAAGAGAAAAAATATGTTTAGTTGGGTTTCTATTCTCTGTTGTGAATCAGATTCACACAACCGGACCCAAATCAGAGAAACAACAATTTATTGATTTGGATCTGATTTCTAAACATGTTTCACGCGAGATTCCTCCTGGTTGGGACTCTGATTTCATTAAACCAGCCATGAGTTCAAGTCCCATCTTAAGCAACAAAAAAAGTTTATCCCCAACCCCACCCCCAAACTCTAAATCGGCCAAACATCTCCTCATGTTAGCCAAGTCGCCGCCCAGCTACTCTCTCCCTCTCTCAACTTCTTCCTCTCAAGAGGAAGGTCGATGACCGCTCCCTTCTCGTCGCCCAACCTCGCACCGCCACTCCCCTGCCGCCGACCCTCTCCCTCACCGACCACTTCTTCCTCTCCACTCGTCCCTCCCCCCGTCAACGACCTCTTCCAATCCTCCGTCTCCCTCGACGCTTGTCGCCTTCTTGTTTACCTCCTGAGTCTTCCAAGCTAGAGGACCGACAAAAGTCAGGAGCTTCCCAATGATCTGCTCATTCCTCAGCGCTATGAATGTTGTCCATCTTACTTGCATGAACCCACACAATTGTATGGTGATGTGAGGCAATCCAGAGTCCTTGAGGAACTTCTCTGTGCAATACTTGATCTCCATTAATGGAACCTCGGGATGCTTGTCACAATTGTGGATTGAATAGAACATGTATTTCTGCACTCTCATTGCATTCGCACATTGTATAAGCACAACTTTCCCTTCCCAATCCACCTAAACAGTAGAACACTTATGGATTAGGGTTTTCGTTCACACCAAAGGGTCCAATTCCCCAATTTCCATCAATTAATAATAAGATATGGACTATTTCATGAATATGAAAATTATGAACATGAAGAAGGTTCGACTTTTGGGGTTAAGCTATCACTCACAGAGTTCAACGTCAACTATACAACAACATGTCAGCTATGTAGTAACTAAACGCGTTTTCAGATTTATCAACTAAACAAGTTTGTGTTTTCTATTTTTTTCCTGTTGTGGTTGTACATTTGTTTACACAACACCATTGCAACCACAACAGCAACAAAATGATACTTAACGGGCCCATAGCTTATAAGTGAAGTCTAAGTAACTTTTCCCGTAAAAGCCAAACAGAGTCCTTTCAAAAAATGATGTGCTCTGCCTAGGTCTCAATTCTTCCTAGACTCGTTTAATAGAAAATAAAGGCATAGCCACATAATTCCACCCTAACCACTCCCCATGAAACATAAAAAGGAAGCCGATCGAGCTAGTGGGTCAAGGGTTAACGGATCACCCGTTTTTAGCCCGAAAATATGAAAAGAGTCATTATATTGTATTTATCCTGATAAATTAGGGGTGGTTATACGGTTCGGTCCAGTTAAATTGGCCCGAATTAATTCGATCCCAGTCCGATCTTTTCGGGAATATAAGGACAAAAGATTGGATTGGATACAGTCCGGTCTTGACCCGGTCCGGTCCCAATTCAGTCTTGATTTTAGATTGAACTTGTGGGAATTTGAGTGGCCTAAGGACTCAAAGAGTGAAGAGTTGGTTAAGTTTTGGGTGTTGGGCTATCTTATCCGGTTTTTTATCCGGTCTCAAATGGTTTTTTACCTCAAATCTAAGTCCAAAGATTGGATTGGATTGTTTGCTATCCGGTTTCGGTCTAGTCCCGGTCCGGGTTATAAGGTCCGGTTTTGGGTAAAACCAAATAGCCCGGACCAAATAGTCAGGCCTATGATAAATTATATCAAATTTCATCTAACATATGATTAATAACATATAACATTACACCACAGTAACATGTTGTACTTAGATCCAACATCTAGTGAAAATTCACACACACTTATATAACATCAATATTCAAATGTTCAATTAAGGATTCCAAAGATTGAGTTAGGCGAAAAGAAAAATCGGAAAATAGGTACATTTCGCAAACAAAGAAAAAAAAAATGACACAATTTGACCTCCAAACCGATATCTCATAGCGGTCGACCCGTCGAGTGCATGCTGCCCGTTTTTCTCACCGGGTCAAGGTCAAAGTGGGTCGACCCACGAGTTGACAACCTTGAAAACCATCTCCGCTTAATTGGCTCGCTCCATCAAACAATCATCAAAACCAAACGATTTTCCATTTCACAATCTATCTCACGCGTCTCTATGAGAAGTGAATAAAGTGATAACCATCTCCGCTTAATCGGCTCGCTCCTTTGTCAAAAAAAAAAAAATCGGCTCGCTCCACCAGACTCACCGGCCACCGCCGCCGTGCGTCATCGTACTTCCAGGCCTCATCGTCCACCGTTCGTAATCCAATTATTTCTCATCGCAGCAGCTTGCTAGACTTTTTTCTTCTTCTTTTCGCCTTCTCCGTCGCTGTCTCCGTAATTGCTAGCTGTATATAACCGCGGCCGCATAACCGTGCGCATTCACGCCTCCGCCGAGCGTCCCTACTTTCCGGCCAAAATCAAGCTCCGCCACTTGCACAAGCAACGCATGCTCGCTGATTGAAATTCGCTTGTGCACACGAGAAAGCTCACTTTCCGACGGTCTCTCATATTCCAATGACGGATAGGGCCCGGACAAGTGCCGCCGCTCCTTCACAACACCAGGTGAACTTTCTTTGCAAGTTAGACCTAGGCCTTCATTTCTATTTCTCCATTGTTAGGTTTCAAATATTGTTGCACCAAAACAATCGGGCCTTTTCATCTGATCATTGCATCTTGTTTGATCTCGAATCTGCGGTTATGGCTGGCCAATATGTGAATGGCTACTAAAATCTTTAATTTCGATTTGATGGGTAACTCTGCCTTTGTTCATTTCTTGGAGAGGCTCAATCCCTTTAGCTGCATCATTGTGGTGGAAAGTCTGAGACTTTCCCTCACCCTATATCGCTGCCTCCTAATTTTGTAGCTCCAATTTCCGATCTAGGGTTCATGTATTCATACAGATGCTCATGAATCTTGATTCAGTTCATTCTTTTTCTTTACAGCGTTGTGCCAAGAGATCTGATGAACCGAGTGACAGGATCAGTGAACTGCACGATGAAATCCTGTGTCATATACTGTCTTTCTTGACACTGAAACAGGCAGCCGCTACCAGCGTTCTTTCTAGTCGCTGGAGGTACCTGTGGCATCCATACATTGCCTCGACTCTAATGCTGCAGCAACCAATGAGAGAGGAGCTAGATTTCCACAGTTGCCTACTGAGCTTAGGTCAGCATCAAATAGCGGATGGTGCTAACGAGAACAACTAGAGTTCCAAAACTCGGGGACGAATTCAATAATAACTCTCTTTGCTTGACTATAGAGTATAATGATGTTATCGGGTGCTGGGCTCTTTCTGTTCTCTCGGCGGTTGGTTCGAAAGCATGAACTGTAGTTTCAGTAAGGCTTTGGACAATGCAAGGCCCGACAAAAGTGAGTTCTCTATACTTTACCAGCACGCCTTCTGGATTGAGTGATCCACTATGGTTCTATTTGGTCCTCACTCTAGAGATTGTGTGAGTAGTTAGGAGAAATCATTGAGCAGCTATTGTTAGTTAATATGTATGGTCCTTAAGTCACCAGCATTAAGTGACATGAGCAATCTTTTGTATTTTATAGTCGCTGGTCGGTCAATGAGCTTTACATACTCGGATGCTTCTTGTTGTACTGAGTTAGAATGAATCGAGATATCTTTTTATCTAAGGATCCTTTTTTTTAATTCATGCTTCCCTAATGCCTTCTGAGGGCTTCGTAACAGGGTACATAGTGCCCCCAATAGGGATGGCTCAGAATGATTGCTTGATTAAACCAATCTCAAGGAATTTGTAGCAGCCTTAATACATACTTGATATGGTTGGTGTTCTTCATTTGCTGCTGTGATTGAAGCAACAACTTACTTACAAAAGCTTGTGGTCTGTGTTAGCAAGCTCCACAGGAAACAATTTATAAGCATCAGTTTTCATTCTATGTGTTCATCTTCTGATCGATCCGCTCGCCAGGAATCGGTTTTGGCTACAGTGAACCGATAGTGACGAGTTCCTGACATAACCAGATCTATTTTCTTGGTGTTTTCTTGTGCAGGCATTGTTTTTCCTCTTCGCTAAGAAACAGAAGTGAAATTGTGTAGCTTTGAGAGACTGTCCCAGCAGGCCGTGACACTTGGTAAGTGTTGAACTTTGATGGGGAGCACTGTGTTTGTAAGTCATGACATTGATCGAGTTCATGCAGCATCCCTTGAGAGGGCTTTATACGGTAATAAATCGGAAAGTAGCTGACAAAGCAGATCAGCTGATAGGAGAGCAACATCTTCATTCCTCAATTTAAGTTGGTGATTCTCTGATTCAAAGCAAATCAGCTGCCTGACTTGCTGTTTGTGCTGCTTGTAGATTTACTCACCCCCTGACAGAGTGTTAGGTCTACTGTTGTGCGGTTCATTGTTCTCTCCAAGCAGACTATCACCTTTTGTGATCTTTCATTCGACTGCTGTGTTTCCTTTAGCGTTTTGCTAAGCGTTCTGCTAATCGAGTTGTCCATTGAACATGACAAAATGCCTCTAGTTGTTTATCTTAGGGTTGTCTTCTTTCGATTTTTTGCTATCTAAGTTTAATATGCATGGGGAAAATAAAACCTTGCACATCACTGTTACCATGTTCAAAATGGTACTGTATTGTAGCTAGATAACAGTTATATACAGAAGTGAAGATTTTCGTCTCGGTGTCATATATTACCACACTGCTGTGATACATTAGCTGTCGCCCTGTCATCGCCCGCACTGGTTCTCAAAGCAAACTCAACCCAGAAATAATGGAAATAACAATGGGAACATATCTGCCACGAACAGATCCATTTAACCACTACGTAGCAACCAAAATCTTCACTTCAGGTTGTATGTTTGATCAGAAAAGCTAAACCATGTTTGGACGCTGCGGAAGCAGAAGATTATAGAACTTATCGTGCAAGAAAAAAAAAATCTTTCCCTTACTATCAACAGCTTTCTTCCAACCGCACCATTCCCCCATTCACCATCTTTTTGTGCTTCGAAACAGCAACTTGAAGCGGGCACATCCTTGGCCGCATAGCAGATAACATCTAGCTTTAACTCCGAAACCAGAAGTTTTCTTTCTTCCAAAGCTGGAATTTTCAAAATATATCATGGTTGTCAAACCGGTGGCATGTTAACTGGTATAATCGATTTCAATTCACATCGATTGTACAATCGGCTGGAATGTCCCTGGTATGACTGGCATTAGAAATGTTTTACCTCCTAAAACTAAATGACTGTCTTTTTTGACAAATTTAATTCAAAAAGATTTGTTTCATCAACATTAGCAATCAATTATTTTAATCTTATCAATGTTTTGTTACCCATGAAAATTTGCTTACGTGACTGCTACATCATCCAATTTCGGCCAACATCAAAGGCAATGAATTTTCAGCAAATGCTTGTTGCTGCTACAGCTGAACTGGGTTACAAATCCATATATTATGACTCTGGTCCATGAGTTAGTGGTTGAATATCTACATACACAAAAATGCACGAGCTATTGTGTTCAATCTCTTCTTCTCCCCGTCTCCAACTGAAGATTTATGTTTCTTCACAGATATGAATGCATCACCTACCGCAGTTACTTACTACTCATACAACTACTTGGCCGTGCCACATGGAAGAACCCACCCTACTAAGGGCGACCTCTGACGCTCGTGAGGCACCCACCATTCCTGCAGATGTCCCGCGAGAGGTTAGCATATCTCCTATTGTCGACAACATTTTCGAACAGCTACCAAACGTTATGAAAAGCTGAAGCATCATTTACCTTGCGTCGGGGGGATACTGGCGTTCTCCAGCAAAGGGTAGCTGACTGATCTCTCAGCCTGATAGAGAAAAGAAAGAATGAACCACTTGAATCCAGAGCATATACATTGCATATTAAGTTCTTCCATGTATTCATCAACAGTTTCACATCTCGAAAGTATGAAGGTCTTTAGTGAATAAGCATATAATGTTTAGTCCCAAGACTATTCTCAAAGACAAACTACACTACACAGTTCCACCATACTCGCATACTTAGTACTAATCTGAAGTATCGATTCTTACTCGATTCTCTGAGATTGAAGGGTAATGACTAATGACTATACAAAGATAATAATTAGAGAATAGGCGTTACCCGTTCTCACTTTGGGAGTTATTGGTGTCATAGTCACTGCCACGGACATAAGTACCACCGTCAATACAGGCATAAGTTCCTGCAGATTCTGAATTGGATATAGGCAACTGAAGGCTGTTGTCCTGCAGCTTGTTACCCACATAAATCACCCGAGTGTTATTTTCAGGCGAACATGACTTTCTCTGGAGTCCTAGCTTTCTTGGAAAGCAGCGTGATTGATCCTCTTTGCAATCTTGACTGAAACCACAGTCATGGTTACTCTCCCACTCTTTTTTCACAGACTCAGTTCCACATCCAGGGGTTTTTGGCGCAGCATTGTCCTGTACTAATGATCTGTGAGATGAAGTTGTCCCCATGCTCAGCACATTTCCTTCGGAGCTTCGTAGAGCCCTTACCATTTCCAGCCTGTGATGACAACTCTCTGGTAAAACAACTTTGTCCTTTATCATAGGCTTTTCGGATGTAAGATCAGAATAATCAGAGTCGCTACTTCCATATGGAAGAGATGATTTGGCCTTCTTCTGCTGAATTCGGCGAGAACAATTGAACAAGCCAAAAGAAAGCTTCCGCAGTCTTGCACACCTCGACGTGGGAGCATAGAGTACAAGATTGATTCTGATTTCCACATTACATCCCAAAATTGATTGGAGGAGACTTGCTATCAGCTTCCATGACCTTTCAGCCTTCGAGACGGAGTCACGATGATGAAATTGTAATTCAGCAATAGCCAGGTCTGAGAAATATAACCAATAGAGTTATCATTGGTGAACTGAAATAAATGCAACAACAATATGAAATAATCAGAAGAGACACCAATGTTTTGGTGCCTTAACAGATTGAGTGGAACATGCATGAAGACCCAAAAAAGGGAGACTCAAGTAACCAAATGGAATCAAACACAGCTTTTCCATGAAGCAGAATGCTTTAATAACGGTTACATTTCGAACACAAGCAACTAGAAACTCAGGAGATGCATTCAGAATAGCTGCAACCTGTCTTCAACAAGGAGTATGCCTCCACGTTTAACCTTTAAGTAGCACTAAACCATAATAAACAAATTCAAGACCTACAATGTTCCTGTGGTGAAGCATTTGTCATCTGATGTTTGTTTGAACACTTCAGGAACCAGGAGTGAAGCAATAACTCACCTTGATTAACTGAAAGAGCAGAGAGTTTCCCCTGTTTCCTTAGAAAACTCTTTAGAGAATTTGATCGGCACAACTGCGTAGCCTTATCCCATATAGATTCTAATGTCGCTTCCCAGTCCCTCTCTATCCCCAACTGATGCAATTTTCCACAAGAGCAAGGGATAAGGTGTTTGTGACTCTCCCTTTCAGCAGCAGATGATGTACTTGAGAAGTCCCCTTCTGAATGCCAAGGAAACAAAGTCTAATTATAGTAAATGCACTCATGACTCACCAGAGAAATTTAAAAAAGAAGCATATCATAAACCTCCAGGTTATGTAAGTTTAATATGCATAAATCCTTGCCTTTTTCATGTGCACTCCTACAAGATGATTTCGAATCATTTGCACCCAGAGAATTTTCAAGAGAACTCAACTGTAGAAGAGCAACAGTGAGCCAAGTGCTTTGACTTTTTGACATCCTCAATTGTTTCTCAGTTTCAGAGAGTATTTTCAGTGCATTTCTCAATCTTTGCATGTCTGCTTCAGCTGTAAGACAAAACTCACTATCATAAGTAATTACACTTGAGCTGAGTATACATAGAAGGGACAAAGAATAGCAACATAAGACAAACCAATCAAGTGAGAAATGAATAGACAATTGATTGCAGGAAAACTCATGTCAATGTTTGGAAATCAAATCATTTAATCTGATTCTAGGGAACCACAAGCGAAGGCCTGAAATCAGAGTATTGGGTACTTACAAGCATGTCTCATAGAAAACCTTTTTCTTGCTTCAGAATTATCTTCTTCACCTTTACTTGCTAGTATGTCCATAATAAGATTGGCTAACTGCGATACAAGCTGAGTAGGATCAATCCTGGACCTCATCAGCTCCCTGGCCTTGATAACCGTGTTTGAAGTGTCAGACGACAGTGCTAAGTCCAGTAAATCAAGCAACTCATCATCCGAAACAACCCCAATCTGCATTAGCGAAACAAGAACAATTCTTAAAATGGCAGTCTTAAACAAAATGCACTAAGCTATCTACCTGTGCTATATACAAGTGAAGTACTCACAAGCTCATAGACCAGGGACACCGTGATTCTTTTGCCAAGTAAACTCAGTTGATCAAGCATCATTTCAGCATCCCTCAGGGAACCATTTGATTTAGCAGCAATGAGGTCCAATGCCACTTGCTCGAAGTCCAGACGCTCTTGAACACATATATCTCTTAGCCTGACAGCAATATCAGAATCTTTCAACATTTGAAAATGATACCTCTGAGCTCTGGCTACTGCACTTCTTGGCAGCTTATCCACATCAGGGGTGATCATCAAGAACACAACATGTTGAGAAAGGTTCTCCAGACTGTTCAAAAATGTTGACCAGGTCTCTTCATCTAGTAAGTGGCATTCATCAACAATCAAAACCTTGAACCGTGATGAAACAGGTGGGGTTTCTGCGCTCTTCATAAGGGATCTCATTCTATCAACACGGTTTACTCTCGTGGGGTCAACTTCTTTCACATCCCGGCTCCTTCCACTGAAAAACACAAGGCATTCCCTACAAAGACCACATGGCTTGTGCTCTTCGAGCGATATGCAGTTCAAAGCAGCAGCAAAAATTCTGGAAGCAGATGTTTTTCCTGTACCACGTGGACCATGAAAGAGGTAGAAGGAAGTTACCCTGCCTCTAGAAATGGCACCTAGAAGAGATCTCACCACAACATTCTGTCCCACCATATCGTTAAAAGACCTTGGCCTGAACTTCTGACTCAAACTTCTTGGAGTCTCATTACTTGTGTATTTCCAGCGCCCATGAGGGCTTGCTTCATCCCTTGACAATAAAGGATAGCTTTCTCCACCAGAAGAATAAGGATAAGATTCTCTCAACCTAGGAGTCCTACTCCAGCAACATGTGATCCCACATCCACGTTCACTTTGAACTGCAAAGTTGGCATCTTCATCTTGATACAACGATGCACTTCGACTAGAGAAAGCCTCACTCATGGATAGGCTGGGACTTCCCACGCGGCTCAAAATATCACCTCCCAACGAAGATGGTTGTACATGATATTTGTGCCTGGATTTCTCTCTTGAAGCAGGAGGATCTCTGGTCTCCATTGGCTCGCTGGTTGAATCCACATCCTCCAAAGGCGAGGCACACGCCAACTCCATTTGTCTCTCATATCTATCAATCAGAGGTTGGTTTACAAGAATCTCCTTTGGGTTTGACTCACAATTATCCAATTCTTCAGCAACTTTCCCACCAGGATAAGCAGCTAGGTTCCCCATATCAGTAACTTCATCCTCCTTGTGTTGCTCAAGAGCCACATTTCCAAATCCAGGAAACCCAACTGGTGACGAACCAACTGCATCACGATCATTCATGAATCTTAAGGAAAGTTCGTGTGAGGAGGTAGTTTCCCAGTTGACATTTTCAAGTAAAGTGGAAAACTTGCTCATGGAATTGGTTGATGGGTCCCTGAGCGACCTGACTCGCCTAAGCGCCACAAGAGTCCTGGAGATTGGAATGTCAACTGAATGTCGCCTTCCATCCATCATCTCAACTTTATCAGTACGTATATTACTATCCAAAGCTGAGTTCCTTTACGCCTAAAGTTTCATGATCCAATAATATGTATCAGTCCCATTGTCCAACCTGCACCAAACAATGAACAAACATGCTTCCACATCAATCTCTTGTGCAATGCTTTAATAACAAACAGCAAAATCATAATAGTAGCATTGTAAGCTCAAGCATTCAGACACCACATCAGTAAATCAGGCATTGTTCGCCAGTTCACTAACAAATCTGAAAATCACTCTCATCCTCAAAAGTCAAAACCCCTTTTTAGATAGATGCTTTTATACAGAGCTTCCAGAGTAGTGGGGAAATGTTCTAGCGCGAAAAAGCCCTAACTTTGATTTAAGAGGAGACCCACTATGAACCCAACATGCAAACAAAGGAACACGAGAGAAATAGAAGCAACAGAAGGCATAAACAACACATACATTGCAGTAACTTGCCATCCCCATAAGCAGTATTAGTCAGAAACCCAGAAAAGGGAAACTGTCTTCCTCCAACTTTGAGCTCACAACAAGAGCAGAACGGCAAAGAGAAGAAAAAGGAGAGAAAGAGACAGAAACACCCAGCAAAATCACCCGTTAGTTAAGTACAAAGGAAAGAGCCACAGGCCACAGCATACAGAGCAAAGCACATTCTCCTCCCACCCAGTCCAAACACTGAACAACAACAAAAACACACAGACCGAAACCAAGAGAATCCAACCACAACCATTTGATTGAGATTAAAGAGAAACCCACTTAAAATAAGCAGGTAAATTTGTTGGTTTCCCCCCTAGAAATGTTGAAAACTAATAAAGGACAAAACTTTGAGAAACCCAACAAAATATAAATTTTGATTTGTCCCAACACCCACCCACAGACACCGTATTCCGATATTCCGCCGTGAGGATTCTTTCTCTTTTTCAAACGGGAAGCAGCGTGAAAGCTGGGAAGCCGAAGACTTAATAAACGTTAAAACCCTCTACGCCGTGAAACCTAAGGCCTCGATGGCCGAGCTACGTAGAGGCTGAGCTGAACGGAAGAGTGCCGTAGACCGTATAGCTAAACAGCGACCGAAGAAGAAAAACGAACTGCTGTTCTGGGCAATAGCAGAAAGTAGAAATAGTATCAGTAGTAAAGCCAACAGCGGTATTGAGAGGTGGGTAATAATTGGCAGTAAATGGGATTTGATGAAGGAAGGTGGTGTGTTAAACGAGACCAACGAGTCATTCTTCATGTGACAGAAGAACGGGGACGGCGAGTGAATGAGAGATAGAGATAGATTCGAAAACAAACAATTTAATAATTATCAATAAAAATTAGATTTTTTTTCCCTTCTTTCTGTATGTTGCAGGACTTTGCTTGTTTCTTGTTGCAGAGCGTTTGCAGAGAGGGAGAGAGAGATTAGGTTCTGGCGTTCTGCCCAGAGACTGTGAGCAGCTGGTTGGAGGTCAGTTTGGTAATTTAGCGGAAAGGGTTGAATGAATCCTTCTCTGTTCTTCTGAGTTCTGACTCCTAGCAAGTGCAAATTCACGTTTTTACCTTTTTTTCTGCTACCTTCTTTTTTACTATTCTTTTGCTTTTCTTCTGGGTCTGCTACAAGTAGTGAAAACCGCCAAAAAGCTGCAACTCTGGCGACAGATGGTCGGAGAAGGAAGGTCAATAAATGTTTATGTTTCTCTCTCTGTTTTTGGGGTGTCACGTGCCTGTCTGTCTATTGAAAGTGAAACTAAACAGTGACGAGCCGCAGAGACGCCGGATGGCAATGGGGGGTTTTTGGCTAAACCATCCCCATAATCATATTCAAATACCCAAACTCATACGTGCTTCTGCGGGGGTTTGCAAACCCATCTCCATACCCGTGGGTTTCGGGTACCCATGGATAATACTCATACCCGTACATCCAACATTATTATACCTAAAACTTACAAGAAAATTTTTAATTATAACTCTAAACAAACATATTATATCATGAAGTCAACAAAACACGATCATTTCTTTCATGTGGTTCAAAGAATATGATCCGAAAATATCCATTAATACATAATATAGAGTATAATATATTGCAAATTATTATGCTCTAACTCTGATACATCTACTAAATAAAAATTAACTAACATAATCTTGTTGACAAGGGGGAAAGTGAAAGAGTGAAATGAGAATTGAGAGAAATGAATTAGGTTTTGATTAAGGTGTCCACTCAATTGAATTTCTACTATTTATTTTCTCAAGTTATCCGCATCATCATTGATAGATTATAATTTGACGCACATATTTTTTTTATATGTGAAGAAATTATCTTGGTGGGGCGGATATGGGGATGGGTATGGGGCGGGGGAGGCTAAAACCATACCCGCCCCGTACCCATCAAACTTTTTGTGGGTTTTACCCATACCCGCCCCATACCCGATCAAAGCGGGGATTACCCACGTTGACTGGGTTGGGGCGGTCGGATACCCGTGGCCATGGGTTTGATTGCCATCTCTAGATGCTATACATACAGTGGAAATTGTCTCTAGGGATGATAATCTGGCAGCCCCATCACCAAGTAGGGGTAGTCGGTGTAGCCACGTCTTCAGTGAATGATAATCAGTGCGGTTTCGGTTTAATCGCATCGGTTATCAGTCACCGACTCAGTAGCTTGACCAACAAAACCAAGAAAAATTAGCTAAAATGTATGCAAAAAAGGGGTGGTCGTCGTCTCATGTCAGAACTCCCTTATAGTTTGGTTTTCAATAAAATCGAAGTTTCATGTAAAAACCTAGAGCTCCGAACACCTCTCTATACATCGAACCTGTGCAGGGGCTTAATATAAGAGTGACAATTACTCCTACTTAAGTCACAAGATTGTAAGATATTGTAAATCCATTTGAGCTTTGCCAAAATAAAGCACAATAGAGAAACAAAAAAAAAAGGAAAATCATTTGGAAAATGTAAGAAAATGGAAGAAACATGAAATTGAGATGTTACGAAATAAAAATGTTCAAAAGAATGATCCATTTTGTTTCTCGCTTTAAAGTATCTTCATTCACAATCATTTTTTCCTAGATTTACTAGTATGCATTGTATTGATACGAGGGCGATGTCCTTGTTGATGTGGTCAACATTTTCTTGTTTTTGGTTGACCTCATAAGTTGTTAATACTTAGTACCGACTACTTAAAATCGAAACCCAGGTATCATAATGAGTATTTAGTGAGTTGCATAATTTTTTGAGTATGGTTTATATGAAAACCAACAAAGTCTAAATTGTGGGGTAACATGATGAAACCTAAAATATGCTATTTTTACAATCAATCTTATTGCAAATTTTACACCATTTTGAAACACCTTTAGCCATTGTTTACTTGATTATTTTCTGTATGAGCAAACAAGCAATTGATAGCCTCTAGGAGTTTTTACACATTTAATATCTTTTTTTTTATATTTTTTAAAATATTTGTAGAGAAAGGTATTATAGAAGATAATCATGTATGAGGACTAGGCATCATCAACCATGAGTCAGAAATTCACTTGGAGCAGCCCAGAATAAGTGACTGTCCAAAGGACGATCCTTGAAGAGTAAGTGTCAATAGAAGTCCGAATGTCACCTTCTGTGCCATGAGGTTTTCTCCATTATGTCCTCTAATGGGACCCTCGTGACAATGGGAGAGTATGTCTTACATTAAAGCGTTCATGACGCAGAGGCGAATCACGCCATCAGCTCTGATTCATAATAGGTAAGGGTTGTCCCATATGTAATGGCGCAGATCAGAGAAGAACTTTCGCTTCTCTTGAGTAGTCGCCCCCTTGGGCAGTTGCTTGCCAACTAGATAATTTGCGAAATCAAAATACCATGGGATGACACTCTCGAACAAGCACATCATGAGGATTCTCTCATATGGGAAATAATCATTAATCTCCTCATCAAAGTTGTCCAAAGAAGGTCCTTCCAACATGGATAGATGATCAGCAACCAAGTTTTCCGATCCCTTCTTATTAATAATCTCAATGTCGAACACATGGAGAATAAGGATCCATCGTATGAGCACATACTTGGCGTCGACCTTGATCATCAGGAATCAAATCGCCTAGTGATCATCATAGACGATGACATGAAACAGGATCAAGTATGTCTAGAACTTATCAAAAGCATACACAACAACCAACAACTCCTTATCTATTATGATATAATTTTCCTGGGCATCATCGTTAATGGTATTGGATGCATGATATATTGAATGGAAATGCTTGCCCCGCGTCTTCCCAAGAACTGCACCAACTGCATGGTCAGTGGCATCATACATAAACTCAAATATATAGTAGGTTCTAGTCGGGAGTCACCATGATTGATACATGTGTGAGCATCTCTTTTAAGATCTCAAAAGTTGATGTGCACAATGCAGTGAAGTGAAATAGGGAACCTTCTCTAGCAGCTTCATAAGAGGAAGAGCAATCTTGGATAAATCTTTGATGAATTGCCAGTAAAAGCCTTTGTGCCTAAGGAAGTTGTGAATGCCTTTGACAGAAGAAGTTGGATGGATCTTGCTTATAGTATCGATCTTAGCACAATCTACCACAACCCCACCCCCTTCTTTGAAATTTGTGCCCCAACACTATACCTTCCTGAACCATGAAGTCGCACTTCTCCTAACTAAGTGCGAGATGTATCTCTTCGGATCTCTGCTATACATTCTCTAAGTTCTAGAGATATTCAGAAAAGAATCCCCAAACACAGAGAAGTCATTCATGAATGCTTCCATAATGTCATCCGCCAGTTTATCAAAGATGGTCACCATGTATCTATGAAAAGTGGTAGGAGCATTGCACAGGCTCAAAAGGAATGCACTTATAAGAGAAAGTGCTAAAGGGGCATGTGAAGGTGGTCTTCGCCTGGTCCTCCGAAGCAATAGGGATATGAAAGTAGCTAGAAATCCCATCAAGAAAGCAGTAGAAATCATGACCAGGGAGCTTCTCGAGCATATGATCAATGAAGGGTAGTGAAAAATGGTATTTCCTGGTAGCATCGTTCATTTATGTCAAGCATCACAAAATCAATTAGTACATCAATTAGTGAAAAATACTTCAGTTATTCATCCTCAACCCGCTGTATGAGTTTCCCATTATGTAGATCAATTAGTACATTGTTGGTGGTCATAAAGGGTCTAACCTAGAATAAATACCACATCCACATCTTTATTTATATCAAGTATCACAAAATCAACATGATAAATGAATGTACCAACTTGGACTAGCAGATCCTTTACAATACCACTAGGATGAACGATAGAAAGGATCATCATACTCATCCTAATAGCATTGGGTTCAAGAACCTGAAATATGGCAAACGAAGTACAAGCTAAGTTTGCATAAAATAGGCCAAAAAACTAGACCAATAAACGACTAAAACCAAGCCAAACGATAAAAAGTATAATTATTATAAAAACAGTTATTACGATAATTACTACATATTCCTTTACTGGAGACAATTTAATTGCTTTTTCTTTTTAATTATGCCTTGGATTTATTTGATGCATGGTCTGTCTCACCTGTAGCTGCGTCCCTACTGTGTTCTGCAACAACACAAATAGATATACATAAGGTTAATATGATGATTCATTTTCATCAATGGACACCACACAAAAAGCAGAACCATTTCTGGTTCTATGTGCTATCGGGTCTGGAGGTTATGTAGCAATCTCAACATCACAATTCAATTATCATTATTAGTGAATGAAAAGATGAAAAATAGACTGATCACCAAGATTACAACAGCCACATATATGTACGTATACATGGCTTTAGGTATCGAGGTAGCGACTCTTGTCATGTCTCCACTCTCCAGGCTGTCGAGTTGTTTATTTTCGTCCTTTTCGAACTTCAGTTTAAGATGCAAATTATTCACCCAATTAATTTATTGGCATGATATGTTTTTTTTTTTACCAAGATTACCAACTTTTATTCCACCAATTCAATGAAAGACGAGAAACTCGATTACAAAATCTTAAAGAAGATCAGAAATGAGGTCAAGAATATTAATCCAATCATCAGGAAGCGATGCTCTAGCTTTTGATCATGCAACCCAGCCTGCTTTGACATTAAGTGTTCTGGGCACTTCTTTGATTTTTAATGAGAGGGTTTGTCCTAAGGATAGAAACAATCGATCCGATCCATGCTGCACACCTCTATGGCCATCGAGAGCGATCGTTATCCAAAGCTTTAACCAACACCTGACAGTCAGATTGAACCGTACATTCGGATCCATATTCTTGAGCTAATTTCACTCCTTCAAGAAGGGCCTTAGTTTCTGCTTCAATTGGGGTGGAACAAAATAGATCTTCAGCTCGCCCATCACACACTTGTCCAAATTCAAATACAACACATCGGAGTGACTTCTAGGAAGTTAAAGTTTAGGTTGTTTTAGTCAAACTCGTATATTTGCTAGAGCTGGTTGTCAGGACCGCTCAATGAATCATGGAGGTCTTACTCTATAATTGAGATGCAATCCAATTTGTTAGGATAATAAAATAAATGGTAATGGCATTGTTATTTAAACAATAATTTGAATTAAAACGATCAATTAACTCTTCATTTTTGTATTCTGCAAGAAATCATTTTCAATCACCATCACCATCATCATTAATCTATTAATGATTTTTGGTGTCATTTGATAACACACATAGGGCTTTCAGAACATATATAGGACTTTAACGATGAATTTACATGAGAATATATACCAACGAATAATACTAGTATTAATTAATAGATTTGAAAGTATCAACGTAAGCATTCAATCATACACCACAAACCCATCATATAATATAGGTTTGGATAAACTAACTGACCCATGAGAGTGGTCGTGTGCCGGAGGGCCTCCCGGCACACCCCATTGGGTGGCTTGCTGGTTGTAGTTGCTACACCTTTCAGCAAATATGTGGTGGTGGTCGACAAAGTTGTGGATTAGATACAAATGGGTGCATGTGTTGGGGTTGTTATGATTAGTGATGACAATTTTGTCCAAACTCATGAGTATTTCCTTATTCAATTCAATTGGGTTGAGGTAGGGGTGGCATTTCGGTTATAACCGATAACCGATCGGCCGGTTATCGGTTAATCGAAATAACCACTCCCCTTACCGAAAACCGCCCGAAATAGACTTCGGTTTCTCGGTTATCTCGGTTATCGATTAACCGACCTACTTTTAAGACCAAAAACCAATTCGACTAGCCTCCGATAACCGACCGAAGTTCGGTTACTTCGGTTATCAATTAGTTGATAACCGGCCGTTATCGGTTTAACCGACCGTTATTAGTTTAACCGGCCGGTTAACCAGTAACCGGTAACCGAACTGCCACCCCTAGATGGGGTATGAAACCTGCATACAAGGTAGATTGGTAGAGTTTATTGGTATATACTCATACCCATTTATTTGGGTTGGGTGAGACATTTAATTCATAGATTTGGGTTTGCGCCCATACCCATTTGCAAATTACAATTTAGTACCTAAACTAAATAGATCTATAGATTTAATTACTAATGTTTTTTGCACATGGGTCCTCAAAATATCAATAGAAAATTAAATTTTAGTACCTAAACTTTTGTGCATTACATTATGATACCTAAAATTTTCAAGTTTTACAAATAAGTCCAATTTTTTTTTTGTATGAAAATAGGTCCAATTTTCAATGTGTAGTTAGAACATCCTCAAATAAATAGGTATTTATACCAACTCATGCCCATTTGAGACTAACCTTTTGTTTATCTGGTCTTTTTTTTAACATAAACATCCAAAAAGGTAGTATTCGAGAGTCATACATAGTACAAAAGTAAACCAGGTAGTTCGACTGTTTATCTGGTTTCTTTAGAATGGTGAAACTTGTGGAAAGGTGGAGGTGGCCTCTGGTCTACACTCCGATGATGAAGTCCGTTTGCATTATATATGGAGTATGTAGAGATAGTATTTAGAGAGGGAAATTTTATAGATAGAACAAAAAGTATGAAGTAGTGTATCGAGATTGAATGCCCTTTAGTAACATCCCCGACAGTAAAGATTAGTGCATGGTTACTAAGCATTAAGTCGTGACCTCAGTGAAGCAGCCTGTGCGAGATTCTAGTCCGCTCTGGATGGGTACCTCGGAAATTCCATTCATGAAAACGGAACCCCAAGTGCAACAGGTGTGTAACTCATTTTGGATCCCAGTATCTGAAGGGCCGAGGATTTCACTTGGAAGGCAAGGCCGCAAGGGCGCTCTGTTGAAGAACCCTGGCTCGCACCCGCTGGCACACTCTCGTACGTCCACGTTGGATAACCGAGGACGGCTTCCTCAAACGTCGGGCCCGACAGGAGATCCAAGAGGAGCCTCGCGGCGGGAGGCTGCATGTGCCACATGGGAAGGCTCGACCCACCTCCACAACTCAGGAACCTTCACTCCAGACTAGCGAAAGGGAAACTTCTAGTCGCCGTCGCCTTATTCTTGAGGAGGAATCCGAGGATGAATTCTTTGTCCAGGAGGTCCCTATGGCTGACCGCTATGAGGGTAATTAACCCGATGAAGGCCATCCCATGCAAACGTCATACTCTTGTGGCGATTGCGCCTCAATCCGGGTGCATGCGAAACGTGCTTCCAAGAAGAAAACCCTGCTCGATCCTTTGGTAGTGGCGCCGCGGAAGGCGCGGCTGGAAATTAATACCAAGACTCGAAAGGGACGTAAACGGTCCAAGAAAATTGCTCCCTGTGCTTAACACGCGAGCGTCAAACATGGGGAGACGCTGGAGGATTTGGCCAAAGGGCCCGGTGCTGTTGCTTCGCCTGGGATGGCTCCGCTGGTCGAGGTTCATGCAGCCGTTCGATCCGTGACAATTGACTCGGAGGACACTATCACACTATCTCTGGGGATGATGCCCATTCCTTTGAGCTGAAACGACGAGAGGTGCTAGTTGAGAAGTCTAAAAGAAGTCAGTCCAACCGTGTTCGGCAAGTGGTTAAGGCGTTTGAGGCCGACCTGATGATGGATGATTCTTCTCCTAGGAAGTGGGTCCGTCAACCTCGTTCTCTCGAAAGAAAGCAACAGCTAGAGCTGAGAGAAGGTGAGGAAGGACTGTTGGGGATTAATGCCTATGGGTCCAATCTTTTGGATCCTACTGTTGGGGGTCTAAAGCGATCGCTGGAGAAACTTGAGGGTGATGTTGCGGAATCCCCAACCCCGAGAAAACAATTTGTGGAGGACAACGATGGAATTGAGAAGGTGGAGGAAGCCAGCCTCGAGTGGCCCCGCCCGGATAAATGAGGCTCCTAGGCTGGAATGTGAGAGGAATTGGACCATCCCTCACATTCCAAACTATTGTATGTTTAATTCGTTCCAATAAACCGGATCTCGTGTTTTTCTCGGAAACACGATCGAGACGACGAGTAGTTACCCGCCGTATGCGGGGTTTAGGTTTTGATAATTCCCATTGTTTCTTTGTCGATGCAATTGAGGCATCGGGTGGTTTAGTTCTTGCGTGGTCCACGGAGTTGACGCTTTGGTGTTTTTCCATTACAGCTTCTGTATTTGTACGCAAATTAATGAAGTGGATTTTTCTTATGTTGTGGTCTTTGTCTACATTAGTTGCAATGTTTCTTTACGAGCAACTCAACTGGCTCAGTTATGTGAAATATGCGACAGTATCCACCAACCCTATGTGATCATTGGTGATTTTAATTCTACTCTTCATGAAAATGAAAAAGATAGTGGTATGTCATGGAATGCGGCTGATAAACCGTTAATTGCACATTTTTTACTCCTATTCTGGAGCCGTTTGAGGTGTTGATTCTCGTGTTTTAGGCCGATTTCACGCTAGGTTGTGCTTGTTTGTGATATTTCAGGTCCTAGTACATGAATGAAGTTTTGGGAGCGAGTTCGAGGTCGATTGGACGAAGATCGGACGCGTGGCGAGTCGCTGAGGAAGTCACACGGGCACACACAAATCCCACACAGCCGTGCAAGTAATCAATGTGGCCGTGTGGGATTGTGCGAGCCTTCACACGGGCAGGAATAAATCCCACACGGCCGTGTCATGAACCAAAGTGGCCGTGTGGAATTCTGCGAGGCTTCACACGGGCAGACTGGAGGCTCCACAGGCCCGTGTGCCCCTGACCGTGTAGGTAGCCTGAAGTCAATTAATCGGAACGCGGCGTTTTGGATCTCACACGGTCAACTGGGTATGCCACACGGCCGTGTGGCCTGCCCGTGTGAGTCGGGATTTTCTGGTTTTAAGCCAATTTCCAGCCACAAGTGAGTGGGATTCGAGTTTTAGAGAGACAGAGCGATTCCTAGAGAGAGAAAGTGATGAACAAGAGTTCCCAAGTGCCCCAGCTTGATCTTCATCACCATTGGAGCCCGGCTTGAGCTTGGAGAAGTGCCGATCGACGACCAGGAGCTGAAACCCATCCTTCACAGTATGGTTTCCGCATCTAAATGTGCTTTTGCTTCTTTCTCCATGGAGTAGTTCTCCCATTCATCTGGGTATGGAGAACCCTAGATTTGTATGTTAGGTCTGATTGTATGAACCCAAGTACAGATTTCATGAGTTGATTATATTCGATTGAGGCTTGAATGATTGAATGACTTGAATCCTGATCAAATTCATGTTGTTTCTGCTTTAACCTAGAATGAGAATATCTGCCTAGGTTGATAGAGCACCCTTAATTGAAGGTGGCGAATTGGTGACTTTAGTCGAGGAGCCAATTCGCTATTCTGTACCGAATTCAATTGGGTAGTGGAGGCTTGGTTCGTTAGGGCCTCAATCTGTTTACTCCGGTGGAGGTTAGTCGCCCGCTGGAGACTCAGATTGAGAGGGTCTGGAGACCTTTAGTCGAGACTTCAGACTGTTTAAGAACCTTCCGCAGTATAACTTTCATGGAAACTGAACTTGGTAAATTGCAATCCGGCTTAATTGCAGTCTAGGGGGAACCATATCCGGGTGACCTCTCTCGACTTGAAAACAACCGTTTAACTTGCTTTGTGTTTTTGTTTGTTTGAACCTGCACTTAAGTTTTACCGCTAGATAATAAGAATTCACTGAGTAGTCATCACATCTAGGACCCGTGTTGACATTAAAACCCACACCCGCTATACTACGCTTTAGAAAGTGGTTTCACTTGGCCATTTTCTAGAGTGACAGTAGGAGTGAGTCAGCGGCCCAAGCTCTCAGTCTACGGGACTTTATCAAAGACCTAGGCCTACATGACCTAGGTTACCAAGGGATCAGTTTACATGGGCAAACAAACGAATGGGCTCTGCTTGTATCAGGGAGCGTTTGGATATGGCTCTATGCCCCCAATCTTGGGTTGATAGCTTCCCAGAAATCCTGGTTAAGCATTTTACGGATCAGGTTTCGGATCATCGTGCTCTCCTACTCTCCGATAAAGCTTACATTCGCAATAGTCATCCCCTTTTCCGTTTCGATGCCCGCTGGGCTGATAACCCGGAAGTCAAGGCTATGGTGACCTATGTCTGGCAAGAGGATATTCCGGGGACCCCTATGTTCCGTCTTTGGGAACGTCTTAAACGACTACGCCACTTGCTCTATGATTGGAGTAGGGCTGTTACTACAAACTCCCTGCGTAACGTCAAAGCTCTCTAGGCAGAAATTGATCGGATCAAACTGACTCACCCTATTGACTGGGATACGATAAGGGGTCTGGAGACAGAGCTTAATCGCTAATGGGAGGCCGAGGAGGTCTAGTGGCAGCAAAAGTCGCGGGTCCGATGGTTAAAAAAGGGGGATAAAAATAGTGCTTATTTCCATACAGTTACGAGAGCTCGTCGTAAAAGAAACTTTATTTCTGGCTTTCGTGCTGAAAATGACATGTGGATTACGGAGGAGACTGGGAAGGCGGCCATTGCCACTGGTTTTTACCATACTCTCTTTACGTCGGAATCTCAAGTTCCGAATATGGCAGACAAGGTGGCAGCTCTCCCCATCCCTAGTAATGTTACACCAGAAATGAATGCTAGTCTGACGGCTGAGGTTCAATCTGAGGAGATTCGAAGAACAATTTTCTCGATGGGGTCTAAGCAAGCTCCGGGATCTGATGAATTCACGGGCAAATTCTTTAAAGCTTTCTGGGACATTGTGGGGGAGTCGGTAGTTGCAGTTGTATGTTCGTTCTTTTTAACGGGAAGGATGCTCCGCAGCTTTAACCACACATGGCTTACCTTAATCCCCAAAGTGGATACGGTGGAGACAATGAAACAGCTATGTTCGATCAGTCTATGCCAGTTTGTATATAAAATTATAACCAAGATCATGGCAAAACGGCTGGCCTGTCTCCTCCCCCAGATCATTTCGGAAGGCCAGAATGCATTCATTAGGAAAGGGTACATGGCTCTAAAGGTTGACATGGAAAAGGCCTATGATAGAGTCGAATGGCCTCTTCTTCTTGCAGTTTTGGATAAGATGGGCATTAATTCGGTATGGCAAGGATGGGTCCTGAAGTGTCTCCGGTCTTCATCTTTCACGGTCCATATGAATGGTACCCCGTCGAGCTACTTTTCTCCTTCCGGGGGACTTTGGCAGGGAGATCCGCTATCCCCCCTCCTATTTGTGCTCTGCACGGAGGGATTTGCGGCTCTCCTAAGCAAGCCATTTCCGAGCGGAAGCTGCAGGGAGTCAAAGTGGTGCCATGTGCCCAGAATTTTCCACCTTTTTTTTGCTGATGATTCTTACTTATTTCGGCGAGACAATCTTCAGGAATGTGAGAATCTGATCGAGGTCTTAAAAGAATATGAGGAGCATAGTGGCCAACGTGTAAATCTAGCAAAATCGGCAGTTTTCTTTAGCAAAAATATTGCACTGCCCGACCAGGATTTATGGGCTGCGATTCTGGGGGTAAGGGCGGTGGGTGTCCACGATAAATACCTTAGTTTGCCTAAGCTAATTGCCCGGTCTAAAATGGCTACATTTCGCTATTTAGAGGAGAAGTTACTAAAAAGGCCCATGGAAATTCTGATTAAGTCCATTACCTTAGCTCCCTGCATGTGATGTCCTGCTTAGGCTTCCTCTTTCTTTATGTCGTCTGTTGGATAGACATGTGGCTCAATTTTGGTGGGGAGCCGAGGCAGGTCATTCGAAGATTCGATGGGTGTCCTGGCGAAATATGTGCAGGAGTAAGCATGAGGGGGGATGGGTTTTCGCCGATTTGAGCACTTCAACCAGGTCCTATTGGCTAAAATTGGGTGGCGGATTCTCTCGGAACCCCAGTCTCTTCTGGCCCAGGTTTATAAGGGGAAATACTTCCCGACTAGGACCTTCCTCACAGCTAAGGCTCGTTCTCGCCTGTCATGGGGCTGGCAAAGCATCCTGTTTGGGAGACAGCTGTTGGAGATGGGCTTACGATGGCAAATTGGCAATGGTCGATCCGCGTCTTTACTCCATTCTAATTGGATTCCTCGTCTCCAGCTGGATCCTCCTCAATACAACCCTCAGGTGCTGCCTGAGGGGGGCACCCGTTGGTTGCGGAGGTAATTAGACCAGGGGAGGGGCATTGGTGCGACCTTAAACTCTGCCAATGGTTCAACCCGCCTACCTGTCGTGCAATTAAGGCCATTCCCCTCACGCGTCAGGATGTAGAAGATCGGTTGATATGGCATGATACTTCAGATGGGGTGTTCTCGGTCAAGTCGGTCTATCACTTAGCGGTCTCGTTAGACAAAAGGAGGGGTGGTTGGAAGTCTACCGCTAGCTGGATGGATAAGGCTAGTTGGATTCGTTTGTGGGAGGCAGACATTCCCCCCAAGCTGAAAGTATTTGTTTGGCAGATCCTGAACCGTGCCCTGCCAACTATGGAGGCCCTAATAGAGAAGAAGGTTGATGTGCACCCCCGGTGTCCGGTTTGCTGGGATAGTTCTGAGACTATGGAACACTTGTTTCTCTATTGCCCGGTGGCTCGTGCCCTCTGGGGTTACTCTGGCCTGGACTATCTGGGGGAAGGATTGCCTCGTCAAACATTCCCACTATTTCTTAAAAAAAGTTGTTGGCCTTGCTACATCAGCCATCGTTGTTCATGGAGGTTGTTGTCATCCTTTGGCGAATCTGGCGATCTCGTAACTGGGTTGTCTTTGAAGGCAAACAGTTTGGGGTCCAGGTCTTAATGCGACAGTTTATTCAGCAATATGAGGAATGGGTCAGCTTGTCGAAGAGCTCCGTCCTGCATCCTCCTCCCTCTGAGCCTTCACACCAGGATACAGTTGGTGCCCCGCGTTTTGTCTGTATATGGGATGGAGCCAGAAGGAGTGGGTCGCACTCGACCGGGGGCATGTTTATTCTTAGTCCAGCAAGGCCGGTTCTTATGGCAAAGGGGGTCCACTTCCTGGTCATAGATGACCCAATGATGGTCCAATTACTTAGCCTCCGTGAGGCGATTATGTGGTGCCTAGGGCAGGGCCTCCTGGATGTACGCTTTGAGGGGGATGCAAAAGTGGTTATTGATAAAATCAAACTTCGTGACACCAATGATAGTGTGGGGGTGGGGGGGGGGGGGGGGGCATTATTGCGGAGATAGCACTTTGTTTTGCCTCTCACCCTGGGTTTAGTATTCGATTTGTAGGTCGGCGTAGTATTAGGGTAGCCCATTCGGTGGCTAGAAAGGCCCTTTCATTGTACCTGACTATGAGTCGTTCCTTTGATTTCCATGCCTGACTGAATTCTAGGATGTAACGACCTATTTTGTTGAATTAATGAATGATCCTTTTGTAAAAAAAAAAGATACAAGTTCAGATTGTACAATAAGAGAATTTGTACAAGTTCGGTTTGTACCATAGAGAAATTTACACAAAAAATTAGAAATACAAACTGAATTTGTATAATAACGTTATACGTACAATTTTATTTTGTACCGAAAAGGCAAAAAAATCTAAATCGTTAATGCTTTAAAGCAAGGTAAAATTCATAACGATTCCGAGACTCAGTAGTAATCATTAATTACTAATCTACCGAGAGATATTAGTGATGATCCTATATGGTATTAGCAATGATTTAACATGTGCTCAACCACTGGATATCCAGCCAAAATACATATCTCACCAAGTGGATTACAAAACTGAGAAGACAGAAAAATTAATTAGGACTGAGAATTGTAGTTTTTAGAGAAACCAACCAAAATTAATTATGTTTTTTAAACATTTATGTCATTGGTCCTTTCGGGACACTCTTTCCCTACCTCTATAAGACTACAACACAATCCTCTCTTCTTGTCCAATTGTTTTGGAGTTATCTTTCCCAGGCCAAAGTTTAGTTAATTAGTTTGGGGTGTCAAATTCTTTGCTTACTTGGATGAGGATGTAGATTGTAGATAGTGATCAGAGCTGCATGTGCTCTAGTTCCCCATCTTCGAGTTGATCGATAAATGTTCCAACTTCTTTGCTTTTTCGTGATGGTTATGTTCTAACTTCTGTGCATTATTCATGCCCACTTTTCAAATGAGGATTTTGTCCAAATGTGTGATTAATTATTATGCATACTTACCTAATTAAAGACACTAAATAGCATCATCCACAAATCCTGTCAGTATGTAAACAGAACTTGGGTAGATTTTAATTTTGGATTCTTGTCACCGTGATTTTCTTAAGGTAAAATATTAGTAAAGTTCATTTTTCTTTGAACGTAAAAAAGTGAAATTGTAATTATCAAAATACAAAACTGAAGGATGAGGTGAGTAACGACTGGCAGGACCCATCAAACCCATTCAAACACCTGTTCTAAACCACCCTATTGATACCAGATGAATATGTTGCTGCGAAAAATAAAGAAATGACAAATGAATGTTACCTAAAAAAATTATCAACCACGTATCACCTATTGCAACAACCTCATCGAACACGTAAAACTTTGCCTGGAAATCTAAGACTCAATACAACGATAGATGATTTCTCTCGGTGTAATTTAGTTGCATGCGTCTACATAGTTGAATGGGTGCGAGTTTACATCATTAATAAAATATTGAATGGATCAAAATCCATAAAACAACTCACAAATGTTCACCCAATCCCTTCTAGTATATATATTTTCATACATGCGGGATGGTGTTATGGGGAAAAAACATGATTTTTAGATAAGTGTTAACGAGGAAATCCGGCTCGTACATGAGGGTGTTTAAATGTGTAAAATGTTCTTTTTCCGCACAATATATGTATTGAAAACCAAGCTAGAAAAGAGGTTTAAAACACGTGTAGTTTTGAAATTTTGACATGAGTTAGCACCACAATCCACCTCCATTTCCCTATCAATATAATATGTTGAATGTAATTGTAGTCTGAATTTCAAAACGTAACAAAGTGGTCACTTACGTATATCGATTTTGTAATAAAATGAACACACCCTCTAATTCCCTCCAACCTTCTAATAAATGTGTGTGTGCAGGTTTGTGTATGAGATAGAGAAATATAGAATTGGGTTTCATCAAGTGTGTTTTCAAAAGAAAATTTCGGTTTTAACTGGTTGAAAAGTGTAGAATAAGTCATGAAGTCGAGCTGGGCGTAAAAAAAAGTGTGTTTGGTTACGTGACACTCATATGTTACATGCTTATTGAACACAATTAATAGAAAAAATTGTCACAAACTTAAAAAATAGTGCCCAACATATTACAAATTGAGAAACATGAATTTATCGCTTTGTTACCATTTGAAGTTTTTTATTATTATTATCGGCAAACTGATTTTATTAATATTGGAAATCAGTTCTGGCCCAAAGGCCCAAGGCCCAAACGGCCTCCACCATACAAAGAAAATTACTCGGTGGGTTGTCCACCCAAACCATTTGATGGTTCCATCCTGACCCAGAGTGGGCTAACCAGTGAGCCAGAGAATTTGTCTTCCTCGATGAGAATCTCCATCTAACCTTGTGTCCCGACAACCTCTCATTCTCCAAAGCCAGTTCCTCGATCTCCTTGCACCAAATTTTCCAGTTCTGTAAAATCAGGCTCTCCTTTGTCCAAAAAGTTAACCAAAGCTTGACAATCCGATTCAACTATCAACGGGCTGAGAGATCTGTGGTTAGCTTCGCGAAGTCCCATCGCCTTTGCTTCAGCAACAATGGGTCGGCAGAGCCCTTTCTCTCTCTTCACCATCGCCTCGACAAATTCACCCCTCCAGTTGCGCAATACAGCTCCCAATCCAACTCCATGTTGCTGGATTACTCCTGCGTCACAGTTCATCTTGAAGACACCTTCAGGGGGAGGAAGCCATCTGTCAGTTCTGGCATTTACATTACCGGTCGAGTCAGCAAAAGATGATGAAGATGGAGAGGCTTGAGCTTCCAGGAAGGAGGATAGCCACCCAAGCGCTTTTGGTATGATCTCTTCCTCGTCTGTCTTCAAATTGTTGTATTTGTGATTGCATCTTTCTTTCCATAAGAACCACAGAATAGCACAGAACCTCTGGATTCTTTCCATTGATGCAGATCTGAAAATTTGAGCTAACCAATCAATACAAGACTTCCCTTCTCCTATCTCATAAAGCTCCTTTTCTTCACAATTCTTCCATCTCCTCCTGATCCACTCGCATTCACGGAAGGCATGGATTTGAGTTTCTGGAAGGTTTGCAGAAAGGACATTCAGGAGTTGCACTTTCAATCCACTCCTCCACATTCACTCCCACAGGTAAAATATTCTTACACATCTTCCATAGAAAAATGCGAACCTTTGGTTGAATCATGAATATTCCACAAGAACTTCCAGAACTCAGGGTCCTCCGAGTTTCTATTATGAAGCCGGACTAGTGTATCATGTTGGTTTCCCCTGATAAACTTATACGCAGACTTAACAGAATAAGCACCATTTTCATTGTACATCCAGACCCTAGAATCCTTTCGTAGGGGAAAACGTATAGGGATATTAGCAATTAGGGCTTGATCATTAATAGAGAAGAGCGATTGAAGTTTATCTTCATCCCAGCCTCCATAGACCTCATCAAAGAGGTCACAGACTCTTGATTCAGTTACAACACCCTCAGTAGGGGGATCAACCTGATAGAAGCTCTTTCCTGGGATCCAAGCATCCTTCCAAATGTCAATAGATTTTCCATCCCCCACTCTCCATCTGAAACCCTCTTCTATCTTCTCCTTAGCTCCCATAATACTCTTCCATATGTAGCTAGGTCTGTAGCCTAGGTTTGCTTCAAGAATATCCGTTTTGGGGAAATATCTGGCTTTAAGGACTCTAGCCATCAAAGATTGAGGTCTTGTAAGGACGTTCCAAATTTGTTTTTCGAGCATGGCATAGTTGAAAGCCCTGAGATCTCTGAATCCAACTCCCCCTTCCTCCTTATCGTCACAAAGTTCATCCCAATCAAGCCAGTGGATTTTAGGTTCCTTCCCCTTCTGCCCCCACCAAAAGTTTGAGATAAGCTTCTGAATTTCCTTCAAAGTACCTTATGGAATCAGGAAAACAGACATAGGATAAAGACACTGTGCTTGGGCAACAACTTTAATCAAAATCTCCTTACCATCTTGAAACATAGTCCTACTCTTCCATTCCTTCAACTTCTTTCTGACTCGCTCCTTTATGCTTTCAAACAGGACCTTTTTAGATCTCCCAACCACAGTAGGTAACCTCAAGTACTTAGGGTGCTTATCCACCTCTTTGATTCCCAATGTGCCGCAAATTTCAAGTCTTCTACTGAAACAGACATTCTTACTAAAAGATAATTCCGACTTACTGAAGTTAATGAGCTGTCCAGACTCAGTAGCATAAGTTTTCAGAATACTTTTGAGTTGGTCACATTCCTGCAAAGTAGCTTTTCCAAAAATCACACAGTCATCCGCAAACATCAAGTGAGATATCATAGGGGCCTTTCTCCTGATTTGAATGCCATGTAGCAATCCGTCCCCCTCTGCCTTTTTAATTAGAGTTGTTAATCCCTCTGCACATAAAAGAAATAGATAGGGAGACAACGGGTCACCCTGTCTTAGACCCCTCGTAGGATATAAACTGTCAGTCTTATGGCCATTAACAAGAACAGAATAAGACACAGTTGAGATACACTTCATAACAAGGTTTATCCACCTCTCCTCAAACCTCATTTTCCTCATCACTTTTTCCAAATAATCCCATTCAACACGGTCATAGGCTTTGGTCATATCAAGCTTAGTCGCATAATAACCATCCTTCGCTTTCTCTCTTTGTTTCGTAAACTGAAAACATTCAAAAGTAACCACAACATTGTCAGTAATGTATCTCCCTGGAACAAAGGCGCTTTGCTCCTCCGAAATAAGTTCATCAAGAATCAATTTAAGTCTGTTGGCCAGAACTTTGGAGATAATTTTGTACACCACCCTGCATAGACTAATAGGTCTAAAATCTTTTGCAGTATTAGGGGACTTCGCCTTGGGAATAAGGGCGATGAGAGTATGGTTCAATTCTGGGGGAAGACTCCCATTATTGAAAAAATCAAGCACTGTCTCCATCACTTTAGGGCCAATAGTGTTCCAATTTTGCTGGAAAAAGCCTGTAGAGAAACCATCAGATCCGGGAGCCTTATTAGGGCACATTTGTTCAAGTGCAATTTTGACTTCCTCTCCAATTAAGGGCCTGAGCAGTATCTCATTCATGGCTGGGGTGACCTTACTTCGAATTGTGTTTAATATAGTTTCAGAACCTGGGGAGTTACCTTTAGAGAAAAGGATTCGATAGTAGTCCAAGATGCATTGGGAGACTTCTCTTTGTCCCTTAAACACCCTGCCTTCCTCATTCCTCAGCACTCTTATAGCATTCCTCTTTCTTCTCGCTGAAGCTTTAGCATGGAAGAATTTTGTGTTTTTATCTCCACCTTTCAACCAATCAATTCTGGACCTTTGCTTCCATAATTCTTCCTCCTGTTGAATCATGTCATTTCTTTCTGCTTCTAAAGCCTTTCTTTGTTCCAGCACAATGGTAGTCTTTGGTTTATACTTGAAGGTTTTAAGGAGTTTGTCAATCTTTTCAATTTTCCTTCTTAAGTCTCCAAATTTCCTTTTACTCACCTAAGGAGTTCGGCTCTGCACCTTGTCAAAATATCCATTTAGTTCCCATTAGGATTGTCCCTATAGGCCTTGTTGACGATCTTAACACTCTCTGGATCTTTTAACCAGAAGGATTCAATCCTGAAATACTAGCCCCATTTGATTTCTTCCTCTTCTTTCCCAGCAGTATACAGTAGAATTGGACAGTGGTCAGAACCACACCTGTCTAGATGGATAACTTCGTGATTAGGAAAAGTAGACTTCCACTCCCAGCTAGCCACACACCTGTCCAATCTCTCCTCAATGAAACCTTCATTGGCCATATTGTTTTCCCACGTAAAAGGATAACCTCCCTCTTCACAGCTTAAAAGAACATCAATATGGTGTAGGGAAGCAGAAATTTTCACTGCCGACACCTCCTCATTCCAAAACATACAAAGACCTCCAGCTTTCCATCCGTTAACATTACTAGCAGCCACTCCACACCCTCCAGAGTAGCCCAATTTACGTTGAACTTCTTGCCAACCTCTCTCATCCTTCCTTGTTTCCATAAGAAAAAGAACATCTGGTTTTTGCTTCCTGATAAGCTTTTTAAGTTTAGCAACTGCCGAGGAGCTTCCCAAACCTCGGCAGTTGTAACTGATAATCTTTATTGGGCTCGGCGGTCTTGCTCTTTGGCAAGGACCGCCACATCGCCATCCAATTCAGAAAAGGGGAAAGGTCTAGATCGTTTTTCACTAAGAGAAGAATCATCAATATCCATATCATCTGGGGTTCTTCTTTTTCCCATATCAATCTTTCCTTCACCAGCTTCTAAGCTTTGAGAGATTTTCCTATTTAATCTTTGCCATTTCTTCCCATCTTTCCTTTCCAGGTAACCTATCCCAGCCTGCTCCTTACTCAAATCTTTTATCTTCTCACTGACAACTTCATTAGTAAGCTCTGTGGAGTTCTCAGGTTCCAAACTCCTACTCTCGTGACCCTGTTGTCCCTCGTTAGATCTGCTTGCTTCTTCCTTTTCTCCCGTAACTTTATTAGAATTAGGGTCACTCATATTGATAATCAATAGCCCTTTGGATAGTTCATCTGCTTGATTTTCCACTTATGTTGAAATACTTTGTTCTATCTGCTTACTACATATTGCTGCTTGAACCTCTTCCCATAGCTTAACCAGTTGTTGAGATTTCTCTTTTTCCTTTAAAGATAATTTCCTCGAAGGAGAATCAGCTCTAAGCCACGTCCCATAAGGTTCTTCATTTGAGTTTCCTTCCTCCAGTTGTTTTGGACATGACTTCTTCAAGTGACCAAAAATTCCACACTTAAAACAAAAAATGGAAAGCCTCTCATAACCAATCCTGTAAGAAACAGGTCCCTCTTTTCATTGGAGCTTAATCATCCTTCTTAATGGTTTTGATACTGCTATTGAAACTCTGACTCTCATGTAGTCACTACTTACTCCCGAGTGTAGTTCATCCCAACGGATAAAACCTCCAAACATAGCCCCGATCTTCTCTGCCATATGTGCGTTTCTTATTTTCAGGGGAAGCTTTCGTACTCTGACCAAGAAATCAGCCATGGAAAATCAACTTTACTCAGCTCTAAATTAGGAGAGACCTCCTTGAAAATCATTAGTTGCCGTTCTAAGTGCCATGGGCCTTAGCACTCTGTTTTTGTCTTCGTAACAGTATAGTTGAACCCTCATTATGTTATCTCTCGTAACCTGCACGTCAAAATCCTTCTGTAGTTTCCATGCTTCACTGAGTATCTTTTTCAGTATTTTACCCGACGGTGGTTTCCCAGCAATGAGTTTCTGTGCCACTCCTAGTTCCTTAATAGCTTCTTCAACACCTTCAGTGATGACCGATTCATCCACACTAATAAGAGCTTCTTCCTCCTCTGTCAAGTCTATTCCGGAGAGTTTGGAGGAAATCTCGTCCTCCATGTCGAATGCAGGAATGCGAAAGGTCGCAAAAAATCCACGCCACTATCAGACAGGACAAGAGAAAACTACCCGCCAGAACACAGAGAGAATAGTGAGAAGAAAAGAAAAGAAGAAGGGATCAGAAGCAAAGAACGAAGTTCCTCAGGATCACGATCTCCCTGGGGGAAGTCAAAGCGTCACACACTGCAGGAGCAGCGAGAAGACAGAGCGCTCTCTAGAGACAGAGAAAAAACTCTTGATTGGTGTTACCATTTGAAGTTGAATGACAACTTTATTACTTTAGCATAGCTCAGTGACCATTTAGAATATCAAATTTGTTCTTTCGACAACCAGCCTGCTAGATTACCAATAGCCTCAGTTGAACAAGAGGGTTTCCAATTTTTATCCATAGTCATTGCAATAAAATAAAAACCATAGAATGAAAACAACAATCCAATGCCATGCCATTATTCAAGGTTGTGAACCACCAGTCGACTTGTGGGTTGACCTGAATCCGGTAAGGATAATGGGCGCCACACACCCGCGGGTCGCGACCCGTAGTAAAGTTTTTGGGTTGGAGGTTACACAACGTCATTTTTCTCTTTAGTTTGCAAAATGCACCAATTCCATCTTTGAAATTCTAAATTGAACATTGATATTATACGAGTGTGTATAGTGTATGAGATTTCACTATATGTTGGGTTCAAGTACGAACTGTTAGTTTGTTGTAATGTTATAGTTATTACTCATATGCGAGATGAAATTTTATACAATTTATAAATGTATTAGCAATAAAATGTCTTATTTCATATATCTAAAATAAATCATGCTAAAACAATCGAATCGTTAACTCTCAACTCATTTACTGTTAGTGACTAGGGGTCATTTGGTTTTGGTGATAGGAGTGGGCAACGGGACGGGACGGGATACACGTCCCGTTTGAAACAGGTACCCAATCCCATTTGGAGAGAGAACTCCATCCCATATCCCAAATCCGTATGAGTTTACGGGTACCTGTTACCCGTACAGGACGGATAGCGGGTACCCAAACTACCTGTATATACCCGTCCAATTGGTGGCAAAACTTGAGGACCACAAAAATTTACGGGTATTTGGGTACCTGTAACCCTAAAAAAAGGGCGGGTATGGGTATACCCCAAATACCCGTTTCCCGTTGCCCACCCCTATTTGGTGATAGTTAAATGGATGCATTATATTGTCATCAATACATGCATAATAATACACGTGTATATAAGAAAATTGGTGTATTGTAATTTACATTGTTTGGTTTATGTGATATTTATTATAGTAATTATATAAGTTATATTACTTTTCGGGTGAAATGTCACTTTTACCCTTTCTTTTTTATATAAGAAAGCACCACACATAAAAAGGTAGTGGCATAATTGGAAAAAAGACTCAACAATCTAAACAATCTCACAAAAAACTTGAAATTTAGGGGTTGTTTGGTTTTGGTAATTGTTTGGTTGAGATAGTTACAATTAAGGGTGACTTTTTTGTTTTATCCAAAACCGGACCTTATAACCCAAACCGAGACCGGATCGGGATCGGATAGCAAACAATCCAATCCCATCTTCAGGCTTAGATTTGAGGTAAAAAAACTCTTCTGGACCAGACCGAAAACCGGATAAAGATCGGATAGGAGGTAAAAAAACTCTTCAAAACCAAATTGTGACCGGACCGGATCAAGACCAGATTGTATCCAATCCAATCTTTGGTCCTTATATTCGCGAAAAGATCGAACAAGGACCGGATCAATTCGGACCAATTTAACCGGACCGGGCCGTATATAGCCACCCCTAGTTACAATGCATGCTTTGTCCACAATGCATTGTTTTTTTGAATTTTCTGCTTGATGTGATGGAAACTATCACTCAAAATGAGTGATAGTTATATCTCTACTAAACTTTGAGATTGTTGAGATATCTTTGAGGAGATTGTTGGGTTTCTTTTTTGTTCCAATTATACCACTAGTTATATATATGTTTTCTATTAAAAGCAAAGGCAAAAGTGATATTACTGATAAGAAGTAATATAACTATCACCAAAATCAAACAATGCAAATTACATTACATCAATTTCCTTAATTGCATGTAACAATACATTGATTTAAGTATCACAAAAACCAAACGACCCCTTAATTATCACTCATTTTGAGTGATAGTTTGTATCAAATCAAGCAAACATTTCTAAAAAAACAATGCATGCATTGTACCAATCACCAAAACCAAACGAATTATAAACCATTGTTAAAAGGCGCCAGAAGCCACGTATTAAAAGAAAGAAAGAACACAGGGAGGGAGGAGATAAAAATCTAATTTGCCGGTGGAACCAAAAGGAGTCTTTGAACAATTTGGACTGTTCATAAAAATAAAATAAAAAGAATCTTTGAACACTAATTTTTTTATGGGCTTGAACACTAATTTCCCGGTCCCGAATATAAAAAAATTAATACTTGAAATTTGAAAAGGACGCCTTTGATAAAATCGAATCTTTGATGTACCGAAACGGAAAGATTGATAAATTGTGGGAAGGGAGAGAAGCAATTAATGTTTGACTGAAAACAAATGTTCAGCAGGGAAGGGGAAGGGGATTTGATTTTTGATGGCGACCCCGGCACATGTGCAGCTGAGCAATTTCATTGGCCGGAAAAAAGCAGCCGGCCACGTGGATGGAAGCCGGGGCTACAACGTGGGCGATGAGAGGGAGGCTGTGGATGAGAGGAGTTGGAAGGTTGTTTTCTTCCACCAACCCAACCGATCAAAACTGCCACCACGACGACGGCCAAAAAAAAAAAAAATTTCACGTTGCGTTTTGCTGCGCTCAATCGACGATCCGACGGAGTCGATTTCGCACCACATCCAGAATCAACGGCCCCGATATGAAAAAAAGGCGAAATCCCGTGAAGGAAAGAATCCGGCAAGTAGCTAGGGATGGAAGAATTGGGCGGTGAGATTCCGCCGGAGGTTACGGCGTTGAGTGAAAGAATTATTCCGGTGTGGGGCAGAGATCGGACATTTGCGTATATACCTAATTAAGCCCATAGCTATTGCGTATAATAAGGAACTAAACCAACGAACTTATGAGTTAGGAGTCGCCTGATTTTTGTTTAAACAAACGAACCAAAATGCTCGTGGACAATGGGACATTACCAAAATCTTTCGCACACCTCGTGATATACTCCATCGATACCTTGCTGTACACGCGATCAAGCGCGCGACGACGATATCGACTTAATTTATATGTCGATCACTATGAAAATTGAAAACACATGACATTCTTGCAATACAATTCAACATGTATGTTAATTTTGTTTAACTCATCCAAATAGAGACTGAACAGAAGAATCTCCACTTTTCCTTGTTTATGGATCCCAATTTCTAATCTAACGGATGACCGTAATTTACTCTATAAAAAATAAGTAAATAGATATGACAAACTCGAAGATAATGAGTAGATCCGAAATTCAATCTATAACCAACATAAAATAACTAGTTTAGGTCAGCTTTAAAATTTACACTCACTTAACTGACACCCACTCAAATTTGTTATCTACCGTTCTCCAGTTACCCCAAACCAAACATAGCGTGGGAGTGAAGGGAGAATTTAACTCAAAATCCCGAATTTACCATTTATTTATGTATAATAATTCCCCGATATGCAATCTTCCTTCCTTTTCACCCTTTCTCCATTTTTCACACATTCTCTCCAATAATTATCACCAGAAGTCCGCCACAATTACTGGTACCTGCCCTGGCTTTAAGGGTAGTATCTGATGATCAGGGTGATGTACCACTCTCAAGAGTCAAACCCTAAATGATGAAAAATAAAAGGGGATCGAAGAAAATGTGCACATATATCCATGTTTATATAATCATATCCTACCAGTGATCCGACGAAGAAAACGTTTTACTAGATTTTAAAATGGTATGCAGTTTTTTAGCGGTATGAAACGGTTGATCCACGAATAAGTTATGATTTCATCATAAAATATGCTATTGCTGACTTTTTTTATACGATCTCCGGTATGGTTCTTCAATCCTTGATATAAATATGTACAGTTCAAACAAGCGTACAACATATTTCAATTTGGGGTTGCTTTGTTGACCGGTAAACGTCTCCACCGTTCGCCACGTAGCTTTACTCTTTCCTTCTTGTCTTTTTACTTTTTTTTTTAATTTTTCACTTCTCTAGGCATCTCCCGCCCAACTTAACGGCCAAAAACTACCAAAACACACAAAACAAACCAACCAACATGGGCAGCAAACCAATGATAATGCTGAATAATTGTCCAACACAAAAATATGGGGAAAGGTAAAGGTGAAAATAAAAAGCCTCGCCCGTAATTCCAGCAAATCAGCTCGAGACTAATCCACAACCGGCGCAGTGATTGCAGCCTGCCTCTGCACCATTACCCTACAATTTCCTTTTAATGATTCTACCCCACCAACCCAAAAAAAATGTTCCTCTTGTTTGGGTTTGGTTCGATTCGGTTCGGTTCGGTTCAATTCCACCTCCAACCTCTCCCGCCTATTTCCCTTCTCTAACTTGTACCATCTTTGTGCCCTACATCCTCATTCCTCCCCACTCCTACTACTTCCTCTATATAAACCATCCCACTTTCTCTCTTCCAATTTCATTCCTTCATTCCCCAAATTCACAGGCCACAAACAAGCCAAACCCACAATGTCATCATCTCCCACATTATTGCTCTCCATGATCCTAACTCTCTCCTCTCTCCTTCTCCCTTCCTTCATTTCCTCCTCCCCGGTCCACGACCCCGAACTCGTCGTACAGGAAGTACACCGGTAAGTACACTTACCCCCGCTCCCTCGCCCTCTCTCCCTTCTCTCCATCACACATTTTTTGTTACGGTAATATGACGAGCTTATAATTCATAGAGACTCTGAACAGTAAATGTTGGGAGGAACAGCTTTCAAAAAAAGTTATAAATGAAATTCCTAACCAATTCAGTGTCGCGAACGTCTTAAACAGAGCGACATAATTCGCGACTCAGCTCCAAATCGATAACCCTAATTTTCTGTTCGGTTTCTAACAGTAAACACCTCGATGTCTGGCTGGCTATGTTCACCACGGTCGAAACGACATCGTTGTTGTAGCCTGTAGGATTCCCTCACCAAATGTGGTCAAAAATTACAACAAAACTTCCAGCTCAGCTTGCATTAGAATTCAAGTGCATTATTTTTTTACTGCGATAGCTAGACGACAAAGTGTGTAATGGTTAAAATGTAAGATTTTTTTTTTAAACTGCAGGGCAATAAATGCGTCGAGGAGGAAGCTAGGGTACCTGTCGTGCGGAACCGGGAACCCGATCGACGACTGCTGGCGGTGCGACCCGAACTGGGAGAAGAACCGCCAGCGTCTCGCCGACTGCGCCATCGGGTTCGGCAAAAACGCCATCGGCGGCAGGGACGGCAAGATCTACACCGTCACCGACCCGAGCGACGACGACGCCGTGAACCCGAAACCGGGGACCCTCCGCCACGCCGTGATCCAGGACGCGCCGCTGTGGATCATCTTCGCGCGTGACATGACCATCCGGCTCAAGGAGGAGCTGATCATGAACTCGTTCAAGACAATCGACGGCCGAGGGGCGAGCGTCCACGTGGCGGGCGGGCCGTGCATCACGGTGCAGTACGTGACGAATGTGATCATCCACGGGATCAGCATCCACGACTGCAAGCAAGGCGGGAACGCTTACGTGCGGGACTCCCCACGGCACTACGGGTGGAGGACGGTGTCGGACGGCGACGGCGTCTCGATCTTCGGCGGGAGCCACGTGTGGGTGGATCACTGCTCGCTGTCCAACTGCAGGGACGGGCTGATCGATGCGATCCACGGGTCCACGGCGATTACCATATCGAACAATTACATGACCCACCACGACAAGGTCATGTTGCTGGGCCACAGCGATGGTTATACGCAGGATAAGAACATGCAGGTCACCATCGCGTTTAATCACTTTGGTGAAGGTCTCGTTCAGAGAATGCCTAGGTAAATCGAATTAATCGATTCGTGTTAGTAAAAAGTATAACGTACCGGCAGTTCGACCATAATGGAAGATGTTGGGTGCAGGTGTAGGCATGGTTACTTCCATGTGGTGAACAATGACTACACACATTGGGAAATGTATGCCATTGGAGGGAGTGCTAATCCGACCATCAACAGCCAAGGGAACCGGTTCGTTGCTCCTAATGATAGGTTCAGCAAAGAGGTAATTAGTCACATGATGTGATTTACGCTTTTTTTTCAAACTTTTCGAATTATTTTTGTAGTAACGTTACGAAAAACTCGAAATTGATGCGGGTTTTTTTTCAATATATATGGGTTCCGTCGGTTCGATTGTATGATGATTTCATAACTCGTGTTTACGACGCAGGTGACGAAATACGAGGAGGCACCGGAGAGCGAGTGGAGGCATTGGAATTGGAGGTCGGAGGGGGACTTGATGCTGAACGGGGCGTTCTTCACGGCGTCAGGAGCCGGGGCGTCGTCGAGCTATTCCAAGGCGTCGAGTCTAGGGGCAAGGCCGTCTTCGCTTGTGGGTTCGATTACGGTGGGCGCGGGTGCACTCACCTGCAGAAAGGGCTCACGTTGCTAGCCGATGGATGAAGATTGATGGATGGATGATACGTAAATTAATTTGGCCTCCAAAGTTGGGGGGGCCTCATTATTAGTTAGAAAAACTGTGGGGGCTAATTATGGAGAATTGGAGAAAAAGGGGGTCTGGGCAGTAATTTTACAGCTCGTTGGGTTAGAGACAGCCTTGGAGGGTGATTAAATGATGATTGTGAAAGTGGCGGTGGGGAATTGAAGGGGGATGAAAAGTCTTGACCGCTTCACAATGTTGTCCTTTGGTTTATTCTTGGGTTTTTTTGGCCGATTTGTCAAGTAAGTTACAACCTTGGCTTGTTAACCTTAGGATTCATCTGGTTAAGAGATTCCGTTGTGAGGAATATGAAATCGATGAATTTCTAAAAGGACTTAAGAAGAAGGAAGACAAGTCCAAAAGTGTTGATATGTGAAAATGTATGTTATAAATATAGTGTACTTCATTTTCTTTTCGTTTGCAATCATGAGTAATGCGTCTAATCTCTGTGCATGGTATCAATAGTCCGTCCCTCTAATTAGCCTTACATTTGCGTGGAAAATGCCCCTGGTGGCCAGTTAATGTACTTTCACTATGTTGACTTCTTCCCCCTCCTTATTACGAGTTTGCTAATGATGCTTATGTCCATATTAACATCGAAAATCATTTATCATATAATTCACGACCGCAAACAACAACAATTAATTTAAAAAATTAACACACATGTATATCATCGATATAATAACGTGTTAAATCAAATGCAGTAAACATTCTGACCAGATTGCCACTTTAGTTAGAGTGCAAAAAACTTGTCCTTTCTTGATACCATCCTTACCAAACGAAATTAAACTAAAAAAAGAGATGGATTGCAACCAACCAACCAACCACCATAACCAACCAACCAAACCCTTGGTAGAAATTGGAAACCAAGAAGTCATTTTCCCTCCCATATCTCCAAGTCTAGAAGGGTTAGCTTTTATCGTTATAACGGAAATCGAATAAGGTGGAGCGGACCCACGAGAGATTATGGGAATCCATTGAAATCTATAAAAAAAAGAGCAAACGCACATGCAAGGCAATGGAAGTTCTTTTCATGAATGGACTCTCAAAAAGGATTTCGCCTGTTTCCAACTTCCTCTTCATATCAACCATCTTTGACAAAGTTGCACCATTGTCCCCAAACAATGTCACACTCCATTTTCTGTCTATCCCTCCACTTACCCTAATTATTGCACATGCATGGTACAAAAAAAAAAAAAAGTTGGAGTTGGATTGCTGATGGGGAAGTGGGTTTTAAGCCATCCCATTTTGAATCTTAGGTATGGTGTGATGCATTGTTGTAGCATTATTAGCCTGTTAATTGTTATGATTATTATTGTTAAACCTCGTAGTTCAGGCTTTTTTTTATCATTTGTATCCCCATATTTTTTAGATGATAGTTGTATTTCCAAGTTTCATTTCTATTAGTTTTGATTGTCAGTGGTCAACGGTCAACACGAGACATATAACTTGATTTGATTTGTTTTTTTGACATGTCATAGTTATATTTTCTATCTCATTAATTATAAATGACATTTTCTAAGAAAATAAAATAATAAAAAACCTCCCGAGGATCCTTCTCATGCCTTCCCCCTGTCCCTCACGACTAATCCATATCAATCAAGGGTTTTCGCTTTTAGGAGTGTCTCGAGAGGCCACGGAAATTTGAAAATTGATGTGGATAGTGGATATGCACTTTTTCTCAAAGGTGTGGTGTGGATATGCACTTGTGGTCATAGGGCTGCAAAATGAGCTGAGTCGAGTCGAGTATTACCCCAGTTTGAGCTCGGCTCGTTAATAAACGAGTCGAGCTCGCGCTCAACTCGTTTATTAATGAGCCGAGTCAAGTCGAGTTCGAGCTAGCTTGTTTATTAAAATCTTAACTTTTATTTGGTACTTCATTTTGTATATCATGATACATATAATTTATTTTGTTAGTTAATCTCATCTTATACTTTATACTTTGTTGGTATCATATATCATTTAGTTAATAAATTTTAACTACTCCAAATCATGTTATTTCCTTGTATCGAAACAATTTATGATGCATAATTTCTTTTTAAAGTAGAAAATAAGATACATTTGCTCACATAATGAACGTGCAAAACTTTATATATGGTGAGATATATAAATTAACAACCATATGAATTAAAATCATAAGATATAGATTGATTCGTCCATAAGTTGGTAATCGAGTTGGCTCTCTAGCCACATGTTAAGACATATCATGAGCTCTAAACGAGCCAGCTCACGAGTTTAGCTCAACAAGCCACCGAGTCGAGCTAGCTTGCGAGCTTCACGAGCTAAACAAAGGTGAGCTGAACCAAGTTTCGAACGAGATTTTCTCGAGTCGAACGCTGAGCCGCTCGCGAGCAGCTCAGCTCATTTGCAGCCCTACTTCTGAATGCATATAACTATCAACTATGGTCTATGGAGACAATTGGCCGTCCAACGCGAGAACTGGGGTGGGGCTAAGTCGGGCAAAGTATGAAAAAAAAAAAAATGAAGCCTTTGTAGAGCAGGGCTTCTACTGTATTGGGCCTAACTAGGCCCAGAAAAGGACCCGGTTGGATTAAAGCAAAGACGGGCTGCGCGGCTGGGCTCCAATTTTATCACTATCGGGCTGGCCAATAGAGGAATTTTTGTCACGAGAAAATACACCATATTCCAGGTACTCTGTAAGATAGTTCTGTCTAAACTTTAAATTAAAACAAGTTTTAGATGTGATACTATATGCCCTAAATTCTAAGGAAGTATTGATCATCTGAATCCAAAAATGAAGTTCAATTTATCAATGCAATAAACCAAAAATCTACCGTTCAGATTAATTGGAGCTCACTCAAAATACATATAATGTCCAAATCATCTAGAGTATACCACTCATCACACACAAACATATAGTGTGTATATATATATAGTCAAATCGTTGTATTTCTGAAGTATACGATATATCGAGCATTTCTGACGAGATATCTCTATCTAAAATATATATTAAATCGAATTTGAGATATGATACTATACCTAAATTTCTATGGATGAACGCCAAATATCAGTTCTATAAACGGCGCGAACTGAAGATTAATTTAATAAAAAATAATAATTGGTAATTCTAATTTATTGTACATCTACTAATTTGAAATGCTCAATTTGGGGCACAACAATTTATTAACACCTTTCAGCATAGTACTGAACTACTGATCAGCTTTATCAAAGCTGACTGTTAACTTTAGTACCCATCCGATAATCCACTTAAAATACTCCATTGGGGAACACAAGTGCCCAAATAGTCAATATTATTATGTGTATTAATGTTGCGCTTTATCAAATATGATCAAGTGAGACATTTGGAAAAGTGATATTTTATTAATCAGTGAAAGGTAAGTCTAATATTTATATGCACATACACATATATTATTCTCTCCATCTAGTTGCCACAAAACTCAACAAAATTATTCCTACTAATTGTTTCTGTTTATTGTTATCGTCGTTGTCAGCTAAAGAGTCCAAACCTACATCTATATCCAACAAATGTTCTATTGATGCGGTGCAATTAGTACGCGTAGACGTGGTTAGATCATTCTTCTACGTCTTGATAGCCTACATAACACTAACCGCAACATCTCAGGCATCAATTTTCGTTCCACGTGGGCTCCAGCTCGGCACAGCCCAAAGTCAAACTCGCCGCCACCTAGATATTTTAAGACCGCCGTGGTTGACACACGGACACGTGGTGGATCCATTAGTCATGCTGACAGTTTGGACGAGGCTGGGGGATGAAGCCACGTCCAGTAGGAATTTCGCCTTGTCATCATCGTGTAGTTGTCTTGTGCCACTTGTCATTTTGATGCTAAGCTAAGCAAACCAAATGAGAGCCAAAAAGCCCAAGTTGGGCAGGGAGATAGAGACTCTCGTTGGGGGTATTCTTGCCAACTCGACTTTATCCGTTACACGTCGGATTTTAGTTATCTCCTGAAGTTTTAGGGTAGCTGAAAATTAAATTAATTATTGTTTTTTTTAAGATGATAACATCGCATGGGTTGACATGTGCATGGTTCAAAAAAGTGATTGAAGTCGTTAGGGAGGAGGAGGAGGAGGAGCCTAAGAAATTATTGTTCGGACTTGAGGCTTGAGGAAATTTGTGACCTAGCTGCATGCCATGGAGGTTTAGGGTTTGTAAGGAGAGAAGATATATAATAGGGTTTGATTTTTGGTGGAATGTCGCGTACTTCCTCTCATTCCATTTTCTACTGAATATATACAGAACTCTAATTTACAGAGAGTTCAGGTTAACAGTCGATTACAATTATTAACAGTTAAAATAAACCTATAAGCTATTGACAAGTGTCTCTATTCACCGTTTAACAATCCGACTTGTTGAGAGGCCGATATGGATTAGTATATGGCTGGGCTAGGTTAATGTTTGTTAGTCACTTCTTGTCCAACACAAATGTCTTCGCCTTCTGTAATGATTGTGTCATGGGTCTTGCAATACTTGAAAAAACCTTCCACAAACCTCCGATAATATCCTCCTAAGCCTAGGAAACTCCGTACTTCACGAATATTGTTTGGTGGACCCCAGTTTGTCATCACTTCTATCTTCTTGGGAGTCACCTCTACTCCACGACCAGAAATCATATGCCCCAAGAATAGAACTTCTCCTAACCAGAAATAAATTTGGAGAACTTGGTGTATAACTCTTCCTCCTTCAATCTCTGCAGTATCACCCTCAAGTGTCCTTCGCGCTCTTTCTCGCTCCTAGATTATACGAGGATATCATCAGTGAAGACTGTGACGAACTTATTTATATACTCATGGAGGACCCAGTTCATCAAGGCCATAATAGGTGTCGGTGCATTAATTAGACCGAACGACATGCCCAAGAGCTCATAGTGGCCATACCATGTGTGGAATGCCGTCGTAGGTATGGAGCCATCTACCACCCTCAATTGATGATATCCAGACATCAGATCGATCTTCGGTAGAGCCATTCAAACCAACCGTTTCTTGTTCCAGGGTTCATGGCTCGAACACGCTTTCTGGGTTGATAGTTTCCTTATCGCTCTTCCCATCCGGCGAGGAGGATCTTGTCGCCAGTCTTCGACTTCAACTTGTGTTCGGGGGTTTCTCCGTCGAGACTTTCTTGCTATGAGGCAATGCCGCCGCTATTGTAATCGAGAGAGTCTAGGAGAAAAATCACAAGAAAACCTACCGAAAATGCAGGTGTTTAGCGAATAAAGATGATTGTGTTATTATTGAACGACTAGCCGTATTTTCCAATGAATTGCAAAATGCGTAAAAAAACTTGAAAATTATCGTTAAATAAATCATACTATTGGGTCTAATATTAACCTGCCTAATACGGGCCCAAGCCCACCACAAAGCGTCTCACTTTGGGCCCAAGCCCATTATGGGGTCCAGTACACCGGGACGCGTCCGTCCACCCGGGGACGTCCTTTACCCGAAGGCGTCCATCACGAGAGGCGTTCATCGACGGGAGGCGCCCAATCTATCGGGGTCGTCCATTACAATGGGCCTCCGACTCCTATATAAGGAGGCAAGACCCTCCAAGCAAAGGGACTTCTCTCCCTTCCCACATTTTACCACTTATGGTTCTCTCTCTAAACTCTATCTCTCTCTACACTCCTCTCCGTCAAGGTTTTGTGTGGAACCTTGATCCGGAGTCCATCGTCTGATGGACGCCTTCGGGTAAAGGACGCCCCCGGGTGGACTGGACGCATCCCGGGGTACTGGACTCCATAATAGGCTTGGGCCCAAGGTGAGACGCTTTGTGATGGGCTTGGGCCCGTATTAGACAGGTTAATACTAGACCCAACATTTGCCTATTTGCTTCTTGTATTCTGCAAGAATGGAAGCAGTAAAATAATGACGGCGGTAGGGTCACGTGTCTATATAGTGTATAGTCATAATCTTCTGAGATTATTAGTGTTTTTTGTTTTGTTTTGTGGTATTAATTTTTTTTTTTTTGTTTAATGGGGAGTAGAGAGAGGGAGAACTGGTTATAAAAAGCCAACGACGAACGCCATGCCAACAACCTCCCCACACTCTAGAATTTTCTCTCCCAAAACCCCAAACATTACCGCCAAACGCCAGCTATTCTCCCTTCCTCTTCGTCTCTCCTACATTCTCTCGCCCGTCTCCGAATCTCGCAAAATGGAGGCGCCAATCCACTGCGCACCAGCTCCAGACGCTCTTTTCAAATCCGCCGGCGGCGGCGACGACGCTTCCCCTGACTTTCCTCAGCCGGACGTCCAGATCCTCACCTCCGCCGGCCTCCGCATCCCCGCACACGCCGCCGTCCTGGTACCTCCCTCTCACTCTCTCCTCATTTCCTGAATCGGTCGAGATTGATCAATTCCATCGCGTTTCTTTTCGTTTTCAAACTCAATGCACGGGATCTGAAGCTCCAGTTTCTGTTTTCTTTCGGTATAGGCCTCGGCGTCGCCGGTGCTGGAGAGTATTGTTGACAGTCCGCCCAAGCACAGTAGTAGCTCCGAGAGAGTCATTCCGATCCTCGGCGTTCCCTGCGCCGCCGTCGCCGTCTTCGTCCGACTCCTATACTCGTCAAGGTATTAGAATGTTCATTTCGACTTATTCCCCCTTTTACTTTTCCCCAACGTCTTGCCTTGATTAGAATCGTCCGGTCAATTAGACGGCTGAGAAATCTGACTGTTTGATCATTGTTAATTAGTATACTATGGTTCATAATGATTAATTTATTCTCAAACTGTCGAATCTGCTACCTTCATCGAAACGCCGACGGGATTAGGATAACTTTGTCCGCTAAACCTATTTTTGTCGGTCACGCAATCGTTATTAACAATTAACAATTCCTCTGAAACTGGAAGCCCTAAATGTTTATTCCTTTCATTCGTGGTCGAATATGGTCAAAATTGACAGGGATGTATTGCTTGCCCAATGTGACTAGGTATGCAGAAGATGAGCTGGGGAAGTTTGGGATCCATCTTTTGGCACTGTCACACGTCTACTCTGTTCCAACCCTGAAGCAGCGATGCGCCAAGGCGGTTGGTCAGAACTTGACCATTGATAACGTGGTGGATGTTCTTCAACTGGCGCGGCTATGTGATGCGCCTGACCTTTACATCAAGTGCATGAAGTTGGTCTCCAGCAACTTCAAACCCGTGGAGCAAACAGAAGGGTGGCAGTTCATGCAGGACCATGATCCCTGGCTCGAGCTCGAGATCCTGCAGTTCATTGATCAAACTGAACTGGTAATTTGCTCAAAATGTCAACCCCCTGAGTGGAATTAATGTTGGTTCTGAAGAGATTGATCGATCAGTGAGCTAACTGCTGGAAATGGGGGTGGTGGTGGTTCTTTGATTACGCAGAGGAAGAAGAAAGCTAGAAGGCACAGGGAAGAGCAGCGGTTGTACATGGAGCTCGCGGAGGCGATGGATTGCTTAGAACACATATGCACAGAAGGGTGCACGAGTGTTGGGCCGTACGATGTCGAGCCTAACAGGAAGAGCCAGCCTTGCAGCAAGTTCTCTACCTGTCAAGGGGTTCAGCTTTTGATCAAGCACTTTGCTGCGTGTAAGAAGCGGGTTAATGGAGGATGCTCCCGTTGTAAAAGGATGTGGCAGCTTCTCAGACTCCATGCCTCGATCTGTGACCAACATGATTCTTGCAAAGTCCCTCTTTGCAGGTAATAAGCTCTTCCCTTATCCTTCTTCAATTATCCTGTCAAATGAACTTGTGATCCATATGCAGGCTTGTTTTGTTTGTTTGGTTTTCATTGAGTTGAGGGATAATTGATGTTTGGTGTTCACTACACGGTAGAATACATCCCTTATTTTTTTTTCTTCCAATGGCTAGTATTGCTTAGAGAAAACCAGCTTGCATGATTTTGGTGTTTGCTGCACATCCTCTGGTCTAAATTCGTCCTCTCACCTTCCCCACCGGAATAAAGAGACAGATAGACATAACTCATAATGCCGCCCCTAAAAAGAAACGGCGTTACAAGTAATTGCCACCTTGAGGGTCCAAAACTCCAAATTGGTTGCTGAGATATTCTGTTTTGGTTGGTGGTTTGGGAGATATTTCAATCAAAAGGGGCCCTTACCATTACCTTTTGTCTGCTTCGCTGCAAAAGTTTAAGCGTCAAGCTTTTGCTTGTTATGCTCTTTATTAGGCTGCTGCGTTTATAATGTGACCATTTGGAAGAGACCCTTTTTGGTATTTCAGTATTGGCAAACCTGATCATGTAAAAAAAGGTCCCTACCTCCTGCCTCGTGAGAGCAACGCTTGTAACCCCACCAGGCAGTACCTCCTGCGTTTATTATGTCACTGTTTCCAAATCTCTGTATATAGAAAAACACGATTTTGATATAGAAAAAACACATTCTACTGATTTGTATAAAAACGTAAGTTTTTAATTAAGATTTAAACGCGATTTTGACTACATTGCTCATTATTGTGACCTTCCTGGTTGGCACAACGGATAGAAAGAGAGATAAGTCTTCTTCTCTCTCAGTGGCGGATTCAGAAAATTTTGATAGGGTGTCCTCTTCAAAAGTTAGATTTAATTAAATAATAAATTAAATAATTCGTATATTAAAAATATCATACTTGTATAAATTCTTTATTAAAATTCATGATGTGTTTTCATATTTTGAAAAAATAATATAAATAAACTCCTATCTGCACTATTAAAAAAAAATCTACATATCATATTAGACAATACTTCACGAAGTTATCACATATTCGATTTCTAACCTTGTTCTTAATGTAGCTCAAAGTAGAAAAGACTCTTTCAACACTTGCCGTGTAACCATAAAATCAATTCAAAATTAAGGGTAGCGTGTACGTAGTTTAATTATTAGGTATTGGAAATAGTTGGGGATAAAGAAATAGCGTTTTACTATTGCATGATGTTTAAAATAGAATAGCAAATGAGTAACAACATAATTAGAATATGTTTGATAATAGTAGTGTCCTAAGTTGGAATAACACGGACTACCACTTATATTTTGTTAATCATAAGCAAACTATTATCGAGTGTAGGATAATCATTTTTTCAAATGTTAGGGTGTCCCGGATTACCAATTATATTTTATATACCCATACGAAACTACTACCGGAGATTGGATAATCGTTTCCCCAAATTTTAGGGGTGTCCCTACATGCCCATGTATCCGCCCCTGTTCTCTCTGGAATAGTTGCCATTCCATCCTCTAATCTCTGATCTATCCCTCTATGACTTCTGGTGTTTGGCTACCAAGAACTTTAGCAGATGCCAGAATCTTAATATCTTTCTGGGTGTTGTTTTATTTTGTACAGGCAATTCAGATTGAAAATGCAGCAAGAGGAAAAGGGCGACGACACTTTATGGAAGTTGCTAGTGAGGAAAGTGGTGTCTGCCAGGGTAATGTCTACCTTGTCCCCATTTGCCAAGAGGAAACGAGAAGACATCGAGCGCATGCTTCCTCCCCAAATGAATTGGACCCATCAAGCAAAGTAAATCGTCTTGATTAGCTTCTTCTAGTTTGGGTGAAAATGTTGTGATTTTCTTTCTTCTTTTATTGATTTGAAGTAGTAGAAAATGGGCATTCAAAAGATTGTTCTAGATTGGGGTGAGTTAGTTATCACTTGTCCCTTTTTGGGTCTGATGGCTACATCTGAGTAGTAGGAAATTGCTATGTGGAGACGTGAAGAAAATCAAGCACAACTGTGTCGTCGTCGTGTGTATATTATCATAATAGTGTACAACTAAGTGGGGCCCCCTTTCTCTCTGTAAATTGATGTTTCATTTGAGAGAAATTACAAGTTGATTCATTAATTTTGGTGAGTAATAAATTTTTTTAGAGCCATGTATGTGACACGTCTTTACTCGCACTTTCTTTCTCGATTTGGAAATTGGAATCCAATTTTCGGGCAAAATCGAACTCTCAATACTCGACTCACAACTCAAAAAACTAGAGTGGTCTCTCCCCTTTCATCATCACCTATGTCTAGCAGGTTACAACTCATGTACTGTTCTCCTCCGTCATTGAACGCAAAGCAGTCACAAGTTACAACCCACTAGGCCACAACTTCTTCAATTGTTATCCAACTCTGGTCGACTTGGCTTGCTCCCTTGCTTTTCGTCGTCGAGTGCCAACGTATTCCATTTTTTCCAGCTCCCATCGACCCAACCCACTGCCTTGGTCTCATTTTCAAAGCAATACATATATATTATTGCCGTTGAGACTTTGCTGAGTTATAAATTAATCATTTGAAATGAAACATAAGTAAGAATTTCTATAAAATTGTTATTTCTAATGAAAATTGTTATTTCCGCTTTCAACGTCTAGGCATCCTAGGTGATAGGCATGACCCCAACACTTGTCTAGCCCCTTGTTGAACCTTGGATATTAGTTGGAAGAAAAGTATGGAAAACATTACACCTAGAATGGTAAGAGGATTTATTTATTTTCACTTTTCTCTTAAATTTGTATTCTATCACCTAATATTAATCATTGGATTTGGATTGATGATATATTATAAATAATGTCTAAAATATAAATATTAATTCCCCAAAACGTACCTTTCCTAAAAATATTCTCAAGAGTCCCTCCCTGTGTGACACCGACCTCAAAAAATAAGTTGTTTTTTAATTCAACTGTGTGACAGATTTCGATGATTGAGATTAACAAGTGTTTATGGTCTCTAACAAGTGTTTATAGTCTCTATTTTTCTTAATAAGTTTGTATCTCTCGTTTTAACTAGAAAATTTGTTTACTTTTCATTTCCTGTTTTCTGTTTTCATGTCATAAATTTGGCAACCGAAACGAGAAAATTTGTTTACTTTTCATTCTGTTTTCTATTCGTTTCCAACTATGAAAACAGAAAGTGGCAACTTCCTGCTGTTTTCGGAAACGACAAAATGTTGTTTTCACATGTTTTCAACATCTATTTTCTCAAAAACAAAAAACGAAAATGAAAGTAAACAAACCCTAGTTATAAAATTGGAACCACATGACATGGCTATAAAATCAACGGGCTTTATTTCATGAAGATCTGTCAAGCCCAAAATTGGACTAGAAGAAGCAGACATTCTCGTACCGAACGGAGCAATCCTTGAGAGCAATCTGGGCACCAATTCTATGCGGCCGGCATCTCGATCGGAGCTGCTTCACTGCTTCAACGAAACAGGACTGACATCGGGGAACATAAAGCCAATCGTTTGTACAGGAACATGTCCGCGAACCGTAGCAAGGGCTTGGTCCGCCGCCGCCGTCGTCAACGACCAGCGTGCCGTTAATCACCGGGAAGAATTCAGCAATCTCCTGCAGGTCGGCCAGCATGTCCTCCACGGAGCGAGCGTAAGGGTCCGCCGTCGCGTACTCCTCCTCGTTGCACCACCCGGATTCATAGCTCGTGTCCACCGCCGCGGCGGCGGACAACAGGCAGAGAAGCAGTACGGACGTGGCCGTCGTCGTCGCAGCTCGAGCGCCTACAAATGAACCCATTTAGTTGAATTAATTGGTGGTTTTGTGTTTTGATATATATAATGGAAACGGAAAGAGAGAATCAAAATGATGGGGAAAAAAAAAAGAGAAGATCGATAATCTGATCAAAGCGGCAGTCTTAATTAGGATCACGAGTCCTTTACAACTCTTCTGCCTCACTATGTCCACGCATGGATATATAATAATTTCCTTACGTTGTTTACTAAATATATGTTGATTCGGTGCTGAACGACTATTTTGATTCCAAGAGAGTATGCTAGCAAGGATGCCAGCCTCCTGTGGTCAAGGAGGGTGGAATATTATGACAAAGAGATGAGACTTCCAAACGTAATACTAATCGGGACACAGTAGTATACTGGTCAAAATTATTTCAAGCACCGACAGAACCAGAAGCGCCTCTTGTTTCAAAGAGAGGAGGATGTGTTATTCACATTTCATTTGATGGTCAGAGGCGAATTGAAAGCTAAGCAGTGGTAATTTGAAAGTTTTCCCGGTGAAAAAATAGAGATGTCTCGCCTATGTTACCCCTAATATATATATGTGGAAGTGTCGACGTAATTTCATAAAATCATTCAGTCTGAGTGCTACGTGAAGAAATTTTCACGAGTACCAACCAGAGAGGTTCTCCAAACAACGGAGTACAATATATAAAAAGATTATGCTAGGAAGAGGCTGGAATATTATGAGAAAGAGATGAGACTTTCAAACGTATTGGAATGGACTCGAGGACGAGGCTGATTCAGGACATAATAGAGCACGCGACAACACATTTGAAAAGAGACATAATAAAAGATTGAGCCGTGATTCAACAAGTACTAAACCAAATACGTAAGTGCTGTACTAGCTATATAACCAGAGGAGGGCTTGGCGGTAACTATGCAGAATTAGCTTCCCCCAAAATCCGCCGCTGTCAATAAACTGTGTTAGCTAGTTAATCTGGCAGTACAATTGGTAGTTTTGATCACCAATCAATTCAGTCGAAATCGCGTTTTAAAAGATGAAAAACTTGCGTTATTTTTAGATCACCAAAACGCTTCTATTCAGAATCACACTCGTCTCCTTTACAAATCTAGTCAAAATCTACGATAAAACGCTAATAATTTTACGTTTCTATGTCACTCAAACATTTTTATATAAAATTGCACTTCTCAATTTGTGAATGTAACTAAAACTTAGATGAAGGTCTGCAAATTTAGGAATATAACAAAGGGGAAGAAGAAGACAAAGGGGAGCATATCGGTAAACTCTTTTTTTTTTTTTGCATAACTATCAATAATCTCATCAACCATTGAGAGTAGAAGTATAACATTTTACTAAATTAATTTTAATGAACTATATTTCTTTCATTTTGAATCATAACACAAAGTTTCATAGAAAAATGAAATCAATTATGTTTTTTTTCTCAAATAACATCCATTTTTTATATATTTTTTTACAAAATATCGGAGTACATTGTCAGTATATAACTTGGTGGTAATGTTTGGTAGTAATAATAAGATACTACATGAGTGGTATGAAAATATTGTACCATGGTGACATTAAAAAAAATGTTTATAATCTGTAATTTTCTTAATAAGTTTGTATCTTAAAAAATTAACAACAGTTATAAAACCGGAACCACATGGCTATAAAATCAACGGGGGCTTTTATTTCACGAAGATCGATCTGTAACTGTAAGCTGCACGCTGGCGGCAAGCCCTAAAAAAAATATTGGACTAGCTAGAAGAAGCGGACATTCTCGTATCGAACGGAGCAATCCTTGAGCTTGATCTGGGCACCAATTCTGTGCGGCCGGCATCTCGCCCGGAGCTGCTTCACTGCTTCAGCGAAGCAGGATTGACATCCGGCAACAAAGGACCATTCGTCGGTATAGGAACAGGTCCGCGAACCGTAGCAAGGGATGGACCCGCCGCCGTCGCCGTCGCCGTCAACGACCAGCGTGCCGTTGACATCCGGGAAGAACTCGGCAATCGCTTGCAGGTCGAGTAGCATGGTTTCCACGGAGCGAGCGTAAGGGCCCCCGGCGGCATACTTCTCCTCGCTGCACCACCGTGATTTATAGCTCGTGTCCGCCGCGGCCGCGGCGGACAACAGGCAGAGAAGTAGTAGAGTTAGCTGTAGCGACGTGGTCGTCGTCGTCGTCGCCGCAGCTCGAGCGACTACAAATGAACCCATTTATTTTGGTGGTTTTGAGTTTGATACCTCAAATGGCCGGTAGCTAGCTAACTAATGACGACTTCATAGGTATATATAATTGGATGGATCATTGCTATGGGTTATTTGGGATCAAATAACGTATTTGAGTTTAAATTAATATAAGATGAGTTATTTTGGAATAAGTTATTTAAGAATAATGCAAAAACGCGTTATTGTAAATAACACCTTTCGCCTATGTTATTTACAAATAACGCGTTTTGGATTCAAAGCCGGCGACAGAGGTTTCAAAAGCTATGGCGGTAGGCGTCGAAGGAAGCGAGAATCGGGATTCAATGGAGCTTTGAAGCAACTCTATCATACAACCTGGGTATTGTTCAAGCGAGAATCTGTTAATTTTATCTGCACTAATGCTGATGTGTTACGTTGCTGGTTTTTGTCCAGGTATTATTCAAGTGTTAAACTGGTTTTTTTTTATAGCAATCGTATGTTTATATGCTACAAAGTTTTTAAAGCAATCTTATTGCTTATATGCTGCTGGTTTTCAACTATTCATCTTGCAAATATGCTGCTGGTTTTGAAAGCATAATGTTGCTTGTATGTTGCTGGGTTTTGACAGCAAAATGTTGCTTTATGCTGCTGAGTTTTGACAGCATTATTTGCTTTTATATATATATATTTATTTATTTATTTATTTACGAATATTATTATTTGCTTATATGCTGCTGGTTTTTGTTGGCTAATCTAGTTCTAACATTTAACAAATAAAACTCACAATTATGTAACACAAGATAATAAAAGAGGCTCCATTATAAACCACAACTAGGAGTCAAAATATACTACCAGGTACACAACAACAACAACACACTAACCTATCTAACCAGCTACAATTAGGAGTCAACCTATTTTCCCTTTCTGTTCGAGCTCAAAGGGGTTGCCAAGGGAAGGGGTATTCTGTTTTATATATGGGCTACAAATATGAGGGTATAATGGAATTTTCTAAATTTTTGTTATAAATACCATATAACAAATTACTCATATATTTTAGTCATCTAAACAAGATATTTGATTCTTTAATTTTTCCAAAATACCATACAACCTAAAAATGAGTTATTTTAACATACAAATACCTCATAACCAAAAAAACTCATACAAACGACCACTAAGGGAAATGCTAACATACCGTTTGGTATAAATGAATTCCACAAATTTTGAAGAATTCATTTTGAAATGAATCATTTTTATGTTTGGTATTTAAAAGAATTCATTTTAAATTCTAAATTTTGAATTCTATGAAATTGGAACTAGTTATAGCAATTCCGAGGAAATGAGATGGAATTTCCAAATGAATTCCACAATTATTTACTAATTATAATAAAATGATATAATTATCCTCTTTTATTAACTAAATTACTTATACATATGACATACCAAACATAGGAATTCATTTAACAATGAATTCTACACGACAATTCATTGTATTTCCAAAGATTTGAATATAATATACCAAACACAAGATTTAATTTGACAATGAATTCTACACGGTAATTTATTTTACAATGAAATGAATTCTTGATTCATTTGGTACCAAATGGTCTGTAAGGTATCGTTTGCTTGTGAGATTTGAGTGATAGATTTGGCACCAAATTTCCAAGCACCAAGGATTTGGCACAAATCTATTGTTTCCTAAAGGAGACAAACTCGTGGGCCTCACGGTTTTGGATCCTTTTTTAGATTCAAATCCGTGGGCCCCATGAATTTGCAAATCCCACATTTCGTTTGGGGTTTGATAATGGAAGACAAAGTTGTGAGACAAATTCAAGATAAAAATTAACCAAGCAAACAATGTACTCTTACAAATCTAAAATACAACAAATTCATCATAAATTAAAAAAAAATCCAAAACCCTCATTTTTAAATTCAAGAAGAAAATGAGAAGAGAGAATCAAAATATGACGGGAATGGCGAGACGATGATCTGATCAACCGGCAGTCTTAATTAGGATCACGATTCACGAGTCCTTTACAACTCTTCTGCCGATTTATAATGTCTACGCATGGATATATTAATTTCTTATGTTGCCTATGTTTGGCCCGACTTTTAGAAGTGTTTTTTCGGCTTTAAAAGCTAAGGCAGGACCAAACACCTCTAAAAGCTCGGCTTTTGAAAAGCCGAAAAACGCTTTTGTGTAACATAAAAGCAGAAACTCGGATTTGGAGCTTCTGCGAAAAGCTGTTTTGAAAATACAATATTATCCTTACCATATTTTAATTTTATTTAAGAAAATATAGTTTTCCTTCATTTATAATATTTTAAAAATAAAATAAATTATAAAATCATATTATTTAATATAAAAGAAATCTAACAAGATCCAAATTGACTACTTCTTATTATTTAGAATTTTTATTCATATTTTATCTTATAAGTCCTTTATAGTCATTTTCCACTCGTATTAAAAAACACTTCTAATAGTTTTACAGCCAAACACTAAACTTTTTTTTTAAAGTACTTATCTAAAAGCTCCAGCCAGAAATTGTTTCTGCAAAAGCTACAGCAAGGCCAAACTAAGTTGTTGTTTACTATATGTTGATTCGATGCTGAACGACTCTTTGATTCCTAGAGAGCATGCTAGGAAGTATGCTAGCCTCCTGTGGTCAAGTAGGTGGAATATTATGACAAAGAGATGAGACTTCCAAACGTATTGGAATATTGCACTTGATCCAGTATATAGTAGAGAACCGAGTCACATTTGGATAGAGGCTGAAAGGATTGAGTCCTGATCTGAATAGTACTAAGCTAAATATCTAAAATCGAAATTTTTATAGGTGCTATACTAATTTTAGATCCAGAGAAGGATTGAGTCGTGACTACCTCTAAATTAAATCCGCCACGGGAATGAAATAGGTTAGTTAATATGGCGGTACAATTTGTAGTTTTGATTACCATAAGTAGAATATGTCCTCGATTTGATTTTAGATGTAGGCCTGGAAATTTAGGAATTTCCTGGAAAAGAAGAACGGAAGAAGAAGACAAAGTGGAGCATATCGGTAATTTTTGCATAACTACCAATAATCTCATAAATCATTAATGTTAGACATATCACTTTTTACTCAATCAATTTCTTTCATCAAATCATAATAAAATTTTTCATAGAAAAATTAGATTATTAAAGTTTTTTTTTAAATAACATCCACTTTGATATACTTTTTAACAAAAATATTAAGACATATATGGCAGGTATATACCGTGGTGGTGATGTTTGGTAGTTGGTAGTACATTGGTGGGATAATACCTTATTTTGGCCCGAACTATGACCATATAATTAACTTTGGCCCGTGGTTTCAGAAATTAACATCCTCGCCTCAACTATGCACCATATAGACTCAATTGGCCTGACACTTGGTTTGACCGTCAATTTGGATGGTCAACTCCATTGACCGTTAGTCAACACGTCATATCATTGCCTCGTCAGCCTAAAAATTATTTAAAAATCAAAATCAAATTATTTTCCTAATTTCCATTATTTATCATTTTCAAATTAACCAAAAAAAATTTTAAAAATATAAAATAAAAAATATATGTTATTTTTTGGAATATTTGAACATGATTAATTTTATAAATTAACCAAAAATGATCAAATTTAATTTTATACATTTAAAAAATATGATATAAATTATATATTTCATTTTTTAGTAATGTTAAATATATAAAATAATTTGATAATTTTTGGTTAATTTATAAAATTAATCATTTTCAAATCACAAAAAATAAAAAAATTATTTATTTTTTTTATTTTTTTTAAATTTGATTATAAATAATAAAAATTAAAAACATAGTTTTTAATGATTTTTAGGCTGATGAGGCAATGACATGGCTTGTTGACTAACGGTCAATGGAGTTGACCATCCAAATTGACGGTCAAACTAGTTGTTGGGCCAATTGAGTCTATATGTTACATAGTTGAGGTTAGGATGTTAATTTCTGAGACCACGGGCCAAAGTTGATTATATGGTCATAGTTCAGGCCAAAATAAGGTATTAACCCTACATTGGTAGTACATAACAAGATCATACTATGGTGGTAAGAATGTGTACTATGGTGGCATATGGTTATATTATAGTGTAAAATGATAGTGGATATATATGAATCACCATTATTTATCACTTTTAATAACTTTCTACCACCACTTACCACCATATATCATGATGGTATATTTTGTCCTGAAATTTTCCTCGCCCCATAAGTTTGTGAATCACAATGGATAATGATGATTCTCCTTCTTCTGTGCAAAAAATTTCAAAAATTGTGTTAAAAATGAAGATGATACATAGTGGTCACGAGTGATAAACTAGCAATGAGTGGTATTATCAAAATATATTGAAAATGAACCAGTTTCATTTGTGCAGCAAAGACCTCGCCCGTGTAGTTTCTTTTAAAATTTAAAATTAAAACAAATAAGATATAAGTCAATTAAAAAATTAGATAAAAAATATTTAATTTCACTGTGTGTGACTCCACTCAAAATCGTTGGATCATATCTAGTTATGCATAAACGCATTGTAAAAGGTTGTATTGACTTAATTAATGGCATTGATTACATGGGTATAAATACACGGAATGCCAAGGATATAATTACAGAAATGCCGTAATAGTATGATTCATTATGCTTTCTATCACGCCCCCGCAAGATGGAGGAGTGCACGACGCCATTCTTCGACTGTACGAGCTGAAATCTAGCTGCAGCCTGCGGGCAATGACTTTGTCAACGCATCGGCAAGTTGATGAGTTGTGGGGATATAACAAACATGAAGTGAAGATTCTTGGACGAGTTGACGAATAAAATGGTAATCGAGGGCGACGTGTTTCATACGGGAGTGAAACACCGGATTGAACTACAAATCGAATTAACGAGAGGTTAAGGTTTATCGAATAATCGTTGATTAACCGGTATAAAACCGATGACAAAACCTATAATATACAAAATTTTCATTTACAAGATTTATTGTGCCCTTTTAAGTTAGAATTGGCATGTTTGCTTTTCATCACAACCTAAATTAATCTTATCTTTTACTTTAATTGGGCCTTTTTTATCTTGAGCCCATTTTCTAATGAAAAGAAAGATGATCAGAAGTCCAAAAGTTGTTTATTTCTTTGGCTTCTTCCTCGCAACCCTATATCTCTTCTCTATTCTGCCTTCAAACCTTCTATCCCTAGGTCAAAATCCCTAATTACCTACAAATCAATTTCAGTCCCCAACTCATTGCAATGATATGTAACTTCGTCTTAGCCCGACCAATTTTGCGCCACACACCTGCTTCTCATTCCTCATATCACCAACCCAGTCTCTGCCGCTTCTCCGCTCCTCACTTTCTCTGGTCTCAAATATGCTTCTTCTTCACCCTCTCCAATCCACTCCACCATCACCTCTCGTCTCCGTTGCCGGCTCGCCGCCTCCTCCATCGCCCAATCCGCGCCGTTGACGCTCACTCCTGCCGAACCTTGTTTGGTCTATATTAACTCAGTCAACCTCCTTAATCTTTCTAGGTTTTTTTCAATGGTTCCAAAACCACCGGTACGGGTCAGGCGGGTCTCCCGGTCGAACCGATTAGTACCCGGTCAGGCAGGATTGTTCCCGTTTTGATGTCATCAAAACCAGATTGGTGACCGAGTCCGGTTAACCGTGGCATGACCGGCCGGTCCGACCCAATTTTGATAACAATGGTTATACTCAGCCTCGGTGCTGGAATAGCTTGTTGGACTTCCATGAAACAAGATTGCCTCCGTATTAAATCAAGTAACCCATAGTCGAAGTGCGATCGTCTTGATCGCCCGACCAGTCCGGTTAAAAAAAGCAACAAGAGCACAATCACAAAGAGGAGCATAGACTGAGAGAAAGAGACTGTGTACCCTAGAGATAACAGAGAAGGTGCTTCACAGATTGCCAATGAGTTTGCGTCGGAGCATATGCATGTACCGAGATAACTTGTTCACGACATAAGCAACGTCAAGGCGAGTGCAGAATAGGTACTGTAAGAGGGGAGCCATCTTTAATAGTGAGTTGTGAAGAAGAACAAAGTGGTATCGGTATTAGGCTGGGCGTCGACCATCAGGAAGTGGGCTAAAAGGTCTTTCATATATTTATCTTGAGATTGAAGATAGTCGGCCAGAGGGGGACAAACTTCAAGGTTGAGGAAGTAATGTATATATATCACTGAGGTGTTTGAGAGAATTGACTAAAGAGGCAAGCTTGAAAAGATGCTAGGACAACAGAGAAGCATAAGATGCAGTCTTCACAAACCTGTCGCTCTTGAGGAAGGAACATAATTCAGTATACCAAGAAGGATGGGCTTAACGAACGAACAAAGGCTTGGCCTAGTAGTAATACCAATAGCCTAAAACCTGGAGGTCCCAGGTTCGAATCCTTTCAGTAGTACCTTAATCACAAAAAAAAAAATTAAACCTATATCACCCTTATCAAAAAAAAAAGAAAAAAGGAGGGGCTTAACGAAGACCTTAAATGGGATGCTGAAGACAACAAACATGATCAGGATGCTGAGGGTCACAAAAGCCCGACGGTTTCTCCATATAAACTTCCTCCTAAAGAGAGCCTTGAAGAAAGGCGTTGTTTATCAGAGAGAAATCCTAGTTTGTCTAGGACTTATATTTATTGTATCTTGTAGTCTCCTTCTCCATCTTCGTATTCTGTCTATTTTCTTGTGTATATATACTTCATTACATAATGATATACATACGGTTGAAATCACTTACATTATTGACATCAAACTGAAAGATAGGCCACTACTGTGACAAAGCAATTTTGAAGACCGTACGAATGGTGACACATTTGAATAATGGACTATATGTATCATGAAGTCAATCCCGGGACGCTGAGTAAAGCCATTGATAACAAGGAGGCTTTATATCGCCCATTCAAAGGAGCAGGATTATGTTTGACGTGATAAACCAACGACAACCAACTGTATTCTGGGTAGGAGTCCGAGGCACCAAGTGACAAGTATTATTGGCAGCGAGGGCAACCAATTCATTACGCATAGCAGCAGGCAATCGAAGATTAGATTTGGAAGTCTCGAGATACAAGGGAAGGAGTAAAGTTACTAGCTGAGTGTGGAAGAGGCGTTTGTGATGAAGATGTCGTGCTGGCTTGGGAGTTACCAGTCGAAAGGGGCGAGAAGGTGCCTTCGGAAGTTGCGGGAAAGGGGGTATCACGGGGCGGGTACCATGAAGGGGCCAAAAGAGGGTGAGCTTGATGCAGCAGGTGATGGGGTGTGAGTTTCTAAAGTGGGGTGAGGAGCTAGTGTGGGGGAAGATGAATGGGTGGTGGTGTGATTATGTGTGTGTGGAGGGGGGGGGGGGGAAGGTGGGGAGGGGGAAGTGCTAATGTGTATTTCTTAGGTAACAAGAGCGGTGGACGAAAGTCATTCGGAGGGATTTGGTGATGACAAGACATGAGAGGGAACGCTGGGGAAAATATCCTCGACGAATTGAACATGGTGAGAAGTAAATACACATTGATCTAGGGGGTCATAGAAAGAGTAAGCACTTTGAATGATAGAGTAGCCGAGGAATATGCATTGGCAGTGGTGGGGGCGAGTTTGTGAGGGCTATAAATACGTATCCAAGGGTAGCATAGGTAACCGAAGGCATGAAGTTTGAGGTAATTATGATGTTCATCGAACAAGGAGAAGTATGGAGCGTGATCGGAAAGGGAGGTGGAGGGGAGACGGTTGATTTAATAGACTACGGTCTGGAAGGCAGAAAACTAGAAAGTAGCCGGTAAAGAGGTAGAATTTAAAAGTGATAACTTGGTTTTGACGATATGATTGTGCTTTCATTCGGCTAAGCCGTTGTGTTGGGGTGTGTGAGGTGAAGTGAGAAGGTGAGTAATATCGTGAGTTTGAAAAAGATGGAGAAGTTTTTTAAATTTCCCTCCGACATCACTGAACATGCGTCAGACCTTAGTGTGGAAGAAGTTTTCGATCAAGCGTAAAAAGGTGAAGAAAATGGAGCTGGCATCATCTTTTTGTGTAAGAGGATAGAGTCAGGTCTAACAAGTGTAATGATCCACAATCACAAGATAATAAGAGAAATTGTCATAAGAACCAACAAGAGAGGGTCCCCTAACATCGGATTACAATAAATCAAAAGGACGAAAGCTGGATAAAGTAGAGACGGAGAAGGGAAGTTTATGTGTTTTATGAAGTAGGCAAAAATCGCAAGAAAAGGTACCAGACATAGACGAAATGTGGAGATCTTGACAGCGAAGGACACAAGTGAGAAGTTTGGAGCTGGGGTGACGAAGACGATGATGCCAAACGGTAGAGGAGGTGCGAGTGGTAGCCAAAGCAAGTCGGAGAGCCTTCACATTGTGTGACAACTCATAAACATCACCCTTAATCTAGCCTCTTAACAGGTGCGCCCCCGTGGTAAGATCCTTCACAACAACAAAATTGGCAAAGAATTCTAATGAGATGGGGTTAATTTTGCACAACTTAGCCACAGACAAAATGTGTTGTTTGGAAGTCGGAACACACAGAGCATCAGTGAGCGACATGGAGGAATCACAAAAGGAAAGATGAGAGGTGCTAATGTGTGTGATTTTCAAACCTGACCCATCACTAGTGAGAACCTCATATGTCCATTGTAGTTGGAATATAGAGAGCGCCAAGATTCGGAGTGATGTGATTCGTTGTCGAAGAATCCATTAGCCAACCCGTTGTCGAGGAGGAAGAATAAGCATAGGTGTGGTAGGCTTTGGGACGGCCGCAGATGCGATAGCATTATTTGGCGGAATGACCCGGCTTGTCATAAAACTGACAAATAGGACGGGGAGATCCAAGAATGGATGGACCAGAAGGAGCAGGCAGCGGGGCATGACCAACAGGAATGTTGGAGGAATCAAACGCTACTGGAGGGAATGAATGTTGCACGTAAGGGTGGAATTCGTATTCCGCAGCGCCCACAACTGTGGGAAGCCTGGATAAGGGAACCACCTCGGTCACGTCCAGTAAGAAGGCATTGTAGGAGCCGATACAACATTGCGATGAACACCAGGCAAATCGGCCCCAAAATCAACTAGCCAATCATGGAGGTCTTCTAGGAAAATGGTGGTGTCACGAGCACGGATAGCAGAGGAGATTTGTCCATATTCATCGCGCAAACCACAAAGCATATGAAGAATCAGATCTGTATATTTGACGGGAGATTGAACAACAGCCAACTCAGTAGCCATTGTGCGCATAGCCTGAAGGTACACAAAAACTGACCGAGTGCCTTGATTCTCACGGTTAACCTTTTCCTTCATGTGGATAACACGGGATCAGGATCGACTTGCAAACATCCGTTCAATAATAGTCCACGCTTGCGAGAAGTCTCAACATCAGAAACATAGGAGAGACAAAAGGAGATATAGAGGCAAGGATCACATGGAGGAGGAGTTGATCTTGGCGAGAGCAACGTGTTGGCGTAGTCGAGCGCGAGACTTCTCCTTATTTTTGTGCGATAGACGAAGAACCCTAATCTGTTTGTGAGATTGAAAACGAAAGCTTCAGAACGAAATGAATTGAACAAACAATACTATAGAGAGGGCCAATACTACGGTGCCGCTATAAAAAGTGCGGCATTAGTAACGCGCTTTCTGATTGGTCCATGTGTGTATGACGTGGCGCTTACTGGATTAATTAAATCCAATCCAAAACCAATGGCCCATGAGTACTAACCCAAATTAACGGAAGGAAAATCCTTCTCCTTCGTCCAACGTTCAGCTGTATCATTTTTTTTCCCAGTTTGTCCTTTTATTAATGAAATCAAATTAAATCAACGTTCAGAAACTTTCTAAAAAAATAATCAGAAGCAGAGTAACAGGGGGTTGATGACCTATCGAACCAAAGCACCCTCTCTCTCGATCTCCTCCGACGGTCTTTCCAAAATAACTTCGGCGACTTGTCCGTCGTCAACCCCATCTCCAAGGTCAACCTCGATCAAATCTGTTACTGTTTCCTCTTATTGTCCTACATTTTCGGTAGAACAGAGGCGAAGGAATCAATTGTGTTCGTGTGCCTCTCTCTCCATCGAAAATCACAAGGTTTCAACATGAGCCCGAAAAGGTAGCTCACTCAATCTTTTGGTGCTCCGTTTTCCTTCGAACTTTCGGATTAGTTTGTAGTTCTTATAAATACCTGGCTTAGAAAATAAAACAATTATGATGGATGATTGAATTTTTACGAGTCGCCGTTCATTCCCCCAACACCAAGATCCCTATTATTGGGGGTTTAATTTTGCTGCTGATTTCTGGTCCTTTTTGTTTTCGGCAGAGGAACAGGGATGGAGCTACTTTACTCTATGGGAGACTGCAGATCGCGCCGTAGGAAGTTCTTTAGTTCGCATGCACTCGAAGGTCACCAGAATCCACAATAGACGGGAAGAGGCCGGCACAGTGAGAAGACACCAGTCACAAAGGATGATGGTTATGATTAGTTTATCTACTAAGGATCACCTCTTTTGTCACATTCCACAATGATCCTCTCATGTTAGTTCTATAAGGAACAATTAATAGACTTTCCCCAGTTCTACTAAGGATCACCTCTTTTGTCACATTCCACAATGATCCTCTTTTGTCACATTCCACACCAGTCACAAAGACACCAGTCACAAAGGATGAAGGGTTTTCCACTTTTCCTTCCGTTAATTTGGGTTAGTACTCATGGTCACGGGCCATTGCCCATTGGTTTTGGATTGGGTTTAATTAATCCAGTACGTGCCAACTCATATATACGTGGACCAATCAGAAAGCGCGTTACCGGTGCCGCACTTTTTATAGCGGCACCGCAGTATTGGCATATAGAGAGAAGCAGTTATCTCAATAAAGTTATTAAGGCCTTTGGGCTTAAGGCCCAAATCCCCCTTCTGGTTGAAACGGTAGTGAAGACTGCTTTGCTTCTCTGTTAAAGTCCCTGTCCAACACGTCTCCGTTTAACTCATCTTCTTTCTTTTCTCTGCTAATCCCAAGCTCTACTTCCTGCACAAAAACAGAGTTTCTAGTCAAGACAGAGACAGATTACTGCAGAGTTAGAAATTGAAAAATGCGGACACTGACACAACGATTTTTACGTGGTTTCCGATACTGAGAAATCAGTATCGACTCGTCCACGGTCAAAGGCACTCTGATTGAGTCCTTTGACTATATACTATGAATGTTTATCTTTCGGTTTACAAAGTGCACAATAGATTTCCCTGTGACTCCCTGTCACACAATCAGAATCACCCTTGAAACCCTGACTCCCCGTCAAGGTTCAAACCTGATTAACAAACCTCTCTGAGCTCTCTCCCTGACATCTCTAACCCTCTTGCTTTTCTTTTCAAACACAGATCATATACCCTATCTTTGTTTTGATTTGATCGACATAAGGCTTACCTTACCCAATTCCCTTTTTCTCTCTTTTATACTCCTATTCTCTATGACCGTTAGGTTTCTCTTGCACAATCCTTGTGATCTTGATTTGATCTTGGTTGATGAGAGACTTCCCAATTCGTTCTGCTGACAATGTCGAATTACCTTTGTTGAGGACTTTGATCACACATTCCTTTTGAGACTTTGAACAAGCTTTCTCCCAACACAACGATTGCAAGAAAGAGCATCCCAGCAAGCGTGAGAATTGAGATTCGGGGAGAGAGTCATTTCTGAAATTTCAGAATGTCAAGACCACGAAGAAGAGTTTGCAATTGAGCACGCCACTGAGGGAAGTTATCGCCTGTCAACTTTGTAGGAAGTTGCGAGGTTGGATTGAGGGTGATGACAGAGTTCTCGTCATTGAGATTCGGGATCGATTCACTAGAATTTTTAGACATAGTAATAGCAGTGTTTGTAAAATTGTACCTACCCATAGTTCGATCGAGAAATCTTCTACCAGAGTCTAAACCGATAGATAATTTTTCGCAATATAAAACTGTTGAACCTGCATAAAATATCCTATAGTTGACTTTTTTTTTTTTTTGGTTATATCTTCCAATAAGATTTGCAAGTTACAGAAAAGGACATGGAGAGTAATATTCTCTGAAATTCCCAGTCCACAAATGTCCAGGTTCATCCATCCACCATTGACCAAACCTATTACAAAAGGAAGATGCAGAGAAATGAGCGGATAACTCAATCGCAGTTAGCTCTTCTCTACTCACTCTTCCTCCTCCTCTCCGTCGTCGCCGCCGATCCCCAAATCCTCCCAATGGCCGCACCGACCACCACCACCAACAACAACCCGGCTTTCGACCCGGACCTCGACAAACCCGACGACCCGGCCCACGAGCTCGCCCAGTTCGGCGGCGGCTGCTTCTGGGGCGTCGAGCTCGCTTTCCAGCGCGTCCCCGGCGTGGCGAAGACGGAGGTCGGCTACTCTCAGGGCCACCTCCCCGATCCCGACTACAGAGCCGTCTGCACCGGCACCACCAACCACGTCGAAGTGGTCCGGGTCCAATTCGACCCGCTAGTCTGCCCGTACGCCAATCTCCTCGCCCTTTTCTGGAGCCGGGTCGACCCGTCTACCCTCAACCGCCAGGGGAACGACGCCGGTACCCAGTACAGGTCCGGGATCTACTACTACAACGAGAATCAGGCCCGTCTGGCTCAGGAATCGAAAGAAGCCAAGCAATCGGAACTGAAAGAAGGGAAGAAGGTCGTGACGGAGATTCTGCCGGCGAAGAGATTCTACCGGGCGGAAGAGTACCATCAACAGTATTTGGAGAAAGGCGGCGGCCGTGGCAACAGGCAATCCGCTGCAAAGGGTTGCAACGATCCCATTCGTTGCTACGGCTGAAAGTAAAAAGCTGTGTCTTTTACCTTTATCTATGGAAGAAGAATAAGAACATTTCCTGGTCTGTGATCTGGAAATTGTAAGTTGACTTTTTTTTTTTCTCATTTCTGCTTGTGTTTGATCTTGATTTTCATCAGTAAATGAATGGATATCGACTATATTTCAAGAAGAAAATCGTGGGTTTTCATTAATTCGTATATTGTTATTGTTATTATTCATTACAAGTAGAACTGCTGAGGTTTTAAGTTACTGATACATGTAGTAAGAAGAAGAAGCAAGTGCTAAAATTGAGAATGGAAAAGCTGAAACCAGGATGAGAAATCTATATCTCTCTCTCGCTCCATGTTTTGTGTGGGTGTGTAATAGTGAATTTAGAGTTCATCTCTGAGAGAAGAAGAAGAATGGGGGGTTGGGTTGGAGGAGGTTTTGACGGGATATGAAGCCTCCATTGCTATGCCACAAAGCCCTGTCTTGTCTGAGATGCCTCTCTGCATCCTGATGAAGCCTTTCTCGCCCCATTCAGCGCCCCACGAGTTCTTCACGATCCAGTACTTGGTTCCATCGACGGTGATTCCGTACCCTACAGCTGCAACTCCGTGGTTCAGCTCTGTTCCACAGCTTCCAGTGAACACACCCTGCAATTTGGGAAAAGATTCAGGAGTTGTCAGGATTTGAAGAGCTCCGGAGGGTTTTTGTCCTGAGACAGTCAGAAAGAAAGACATAGAATGAATGGTTGAATACCTCTGAGTAGAATTGGAAATCTGAGCTCCCAGCATCAATGGCTACAGATACAGGCTGGTTTGCAACGGCTTTCAGCAGTGCATCTTCGTTGTTCTTTGGGACGTTCTCGTGTCCGTCAATCGACACAACTGGTGCATCCTCCTGCAACAACAACAATACAAGGGAAAGTATAGACCTTTAACCTTCTTTCTGAACATTGTTTATCAGGATATGTATGGGGTTTTAGAATAGGGACCTTAACAGAATCACAGCTACCATCTGCAGCATGGTAAGGATACTTGTCTTCTGTAGTAAGCCCACCGGTTTCCTTGATGAATTCAAATGCGTACTCCATCAACCCTCCATTGCATCCTTGGTTCTCTGTTGTGTCGCAGTCGACCAATTCCTGCTCAGACAAAGACACAAGCTTCTTTGTCTTGATATAGTTGATCCCTTCCACTGCTACCACAGTTGAAAATGCCCAGCAACTACCTGTAACACCAATCAGGAAACCACCAAATGAATTGATGCCCACATCTAGATCAGACAGAACGTGACATTTCACCACAAAAAAGCATTGAACTTTACTGTTCTTGAACTTTCACTTACCACACTGGCCTTGATCCTTGACAGGTGTGACGGCACCTTTCTTCCTCCAATCAACAGACGGCGGCACCCTCCTGACGTTCTCGTACATGAACGTCCCGTTCCCACGCGGTGCTCCCCGGAACATGACGTGGTGGTGAACCTTGGAGTTGGCATAAGCGTTCTTGAACTCGTGGCTCGTCATGTCGGAGAACTTGTTCAGCTTCAGCTTGTAAGGCTTGTCCATCTTGTTGGTCTCGTGAACGTGCATGACATTCTGCTTGAACACATTGAACCGCTTGTGCTTGTCGTCGAGGCTCGTGGAGACGGTGTGATGGCTCCTCCACCTCTCGTACAGATCCCACAAGCTCTCCTCGGATGCAAGCTCGTGCTCGTGATAGTCGAAACAGTTTGCCACGCCGAGGACCAGAGCCAACAAGGACAGAGCAACCAACAGAGATTTCTCGAACCCCATTTTTTTGTTCTTCTCGGTGTTTCGTCTTCGAATGTGACTTGGTAATTGTATGAGTGAATGTTGTTCTGAGAAACTCCTCCAAGGTTGGAGTTTATATAGGACAACAAATGATCGATGTTAGGAATGGAAGTGTTGAAGAGAGGGGGAGAATCATGAATGAGGAAGTTACAGGTTCCTTATGGGCATCAACAAACTAGAATAATAGAGAATTGGGATGGGAACGAAACAATGATGGGATATTGAGAAATGGATATACAAGCTAAGTCCTTAAATGGGGAAGTTAGGTCTGTGGCTTGTTTGAGATAGGTAGGTTGGTTTCTTCGAGGAAGCTTATGGGAGGGTTTTGGGGCATTATTGTGAAAGGGAAGAACGTCCCTTGTTTTGTTTGTTTTCTGCCCACCCATCCCTTCAGTTTACAGGCAGAACACGCTATGTGCTGCTAACTACCCAGGCATTATCAACTGGTAAAAACAGAAAAGGTGACGAGCAGCCTAGGGCAGTGGTGGGCTTTATGCCTTTCAGCAAAGGTACTTTCTGGCAAGTGGAGGGGAAAATCGTTAGGCACTAAAGTCAGGTTGTGGGTTCTGTAACTGCTTTGATAGCCTTTAACTGAAACTAGCCCATGCTCATTAATGAAATTGAACTTCTTAGTTCTTAGTATCTGGAATCTAAGAATCGGGATTTAAGAGCTACAATCTTTTGAGAAGCCAAGGCAGTATTGTTCTTTTCGTCATAATCAATCCGAACTGGAGTTAGTATCATTCTAATTCGTATTCTGTTTCTGCTTAAAACTCTGGTGATCAAGTTGATCTAGTGTAACCGAGGCGAAAGAAAGTAAATTTTTACTACCCTGTAGAATGAGAGAACGTAGGATGTGGGAAAATACGTCGATTGATCACAACTTACACATGAAAGTGCCAACCTTTTTCCCCTTATCTTTTGGGGGTTATTTTAAGGTGAGTAAAGCTAAGAAATCTGATCGAATCCGAACCCGCACCCGCACCAATGGAACAGTGGCTTTCAACCAGGTTTGCTTGCTTCAGCAATTCAATTTCAATCTTGGTTGTGAAGCTTTACCCTCAATTCTTGCAATTTGTTAGCCGTCCAATGAGCTAGCTGTTCTTCCTAAGGATGGGCAATGAGTCACTGCAGTAGCAGTCAAATGTTTGCTTGCTGGAGTTGGATAGCGTAAATAGCTGCTGAGTTGAAAATGGTTCCTAATCCGCGGTGGCAGCTGATTATGAAAAGTGGGAACTAGGATTTGGTGCAATAGCTTAGCGTGACTTAATGAACTTGAGATAAACGCTAATCATTGTGTTAATCAGTCTTGTAGCCGACAACAATAATGTGAATGAATTCCAATTCCCATTCCTTTGCTTTAAACCAGTTGCATGAGAGTCCAAGCGACGTCTATGGTTGGTCCAAGCAGAGGAATTTGTTGTGCCATCTTACAAGCAACATTATTGATTGATTCAGTAGTGTGTTGTTGGTTTGGTTGCTTATTTTACCTGTCTTTGATTGCTGTCTGATAGAATGTAGAAAAATGGTGCTGCTTTTTCATTGTGAATGTGAAGGTAATGCAAGAAAGAATGACACTCTGAATCTCAGACTCTAAAACACGAATACATCTCTATTCAGGATTTCAGGTTTCCTTAAATGACACTCTGAAGCAATTGATTCGAAAACGAACATTTCGTATTATTATCAGGGTATCCACCACCGACACTCGCGCACTACATCGACGTAAAGACTACAATAAGGTAAAAGATTGCTTAGTACATCATATCCTCGGTTGTTACTCAATATTTTCTTGATACAGCATCCATCAAATTCACAAAGTTTGCTGAATGTCTAAAAACCGCGCAGATAAATTTGGCGACCCAATTATTTTTCACTGAACACTACGGGACATTACTTCCATGGTATCGGTACCTCGGAGGATACGAGAGCTAGGCGATTAGGAGCTGGCTGGACAAGTGACTCAAGCAAGAGTGTCCTTGTCCTTGGCTTGCTGAAGCAGCTCTGCTCTAACCCTCTTGATCTCCATTTCCTTTTCAAGCCGTTCTTGCTGAAACAATCCAAGAGAGACCCAAGTTACTGAGAAATCTTCTGCTGAGAAAGAATGCAAAAGTTTTGAGGTTCATATATGGAAAGAAAAAAAAAAACTTCGAATGTGCACGATGAGGGTGAGGTTCAAATACAGTTTCAAACCCAGAAAACATGGAAAACACAACATGAAACCCATCTTGTGCTCATGGGAATTTCTAAGATTGATGCAGAAGAACCATATTAAAAAACACTTGGTTCTTCCTGCATGTTCCGTTAAGGCTTTGTAGCATAAATTCCCATTTTAAAACCGCTTTCTTACAAAGCTTAGAGATGCAGAGTGCACACAGCACGAGGCCCCTCTTGTGCTCATGGAAATTGCTAAGCGTGGTGCAGAAGCACCATATTCCAAAACAATTGGTTCCTCAGCATGCTCCCTTAACACGTATCTAGAGCATCCAAAACCCTCTGTCATTTCAGCTGAACCAAGAGGTAAAATGACAAATGAAACATTTCAAGAACCCAGCTCATCCTTGTCAACGAAGTACAAGCATACATTAGGCAGCTTCATCTTCTTTTGCGGTTCTGCCATAAACAAGCAAGAGTATAGTAGCGGAAAAAAAGATGCATGATTCAAATTCAACCATCTACCAACAGCTTTCTCAATCCGAATCTAATAACCCTGTTCGCTGAACGTGAAAGTCCCATACCGTCAGTTTAATTTGCACCGACATGACGGAAATCTATTTCGTCAAACGAGACTTTGGAACGACTCCTGAATGTAGATGATGCCTCAAACTTCGAATCTGATTCAAGCAAAACTAGCAGCAACGCATAGGACCAGCTCAACCATCAACCAGCAGCCTTTTCACAGTTTAAAAAAAAAAAAGCAGCATTTTCTCAATCCAAATTGAATCACCAGGATTCTCTGACTATAACTATAACTATAACATCCATTTATTTGCACTGAATCAAGCGATCATATTGTTAGAAAATAGACATTGGGATGTAGTGCTTCCAACTCAAATCAACTCAAGGGTTTCAGCAACAGCTTGCACGCTTGACGGTAATTAAAGTTAAACCCAAACACACTATATAGCAATTAAATTGCACTGGGTTCAACTATAAGCAAGGAAACAGAAATGCAATGCAGGACCAACCAACCCTAGCATTGTAAACCAAGCCCAAAAGATCTCATGTTTGTTTTACTCTACATTTGCCTCCCACATTGAATTTCCAGGTACCCAAACTTGTGAAACTCAAACATCCTCTACACTGCAAGGGTCCAGTTCCGGGCCTCGCTCAAAACTGCTCTATCTTAGGTTATCTACAGATCCTACATTCACTGGCCCCAAGCGAAGATGGTGAAACTCAAATGAAAATTCATGCCCGTTTCGATTAGAGAAACGGAAGGCGCTAAAAGTGAGGCATAAGTCAGGACAAATCAAGCACTCAGATAAACCAGAATCCGATGATGAAGATGATAAATGTTGCAGAAATGCTTTTGGGTGGGTGATCGATTACCTTCTCATCCTGGTGAAGAGCGATCCAGACGTGAAGCTTATCCATCGATTGCCAAAAGGCGAACGCACCCAATGACATCAAGAAGTAGGTCGAAACCTTCACCATCTTTTGCCTTCCTCTTCCTCTTCTTCTTCTCCTTTGGGAAAATGCCTCTTGCGCTCGAGACTCGCTAGTCAGAAGACTCGGGAAACATCGAGTCGAGGTGATTAACCAGAAAGAAGGAACTACAATCCAGGTAACTGGGCCTGGGTCTGACGTTTGGGCTTCCATTTCCTAAACCCGTTTCTTAATGATAATACAATAGACGCCTGCAAAAATTCCACAAGCCCATAAATTTTGAAAGCTGAGCCCATTAGAGTATGTGAAATGGATGGCAAAAATATCCGTAACCGTGGATATCCGCCCGAATCCGGCCTAATCGGGTAGGGTAGAACCCGAACCCGAAGGACATTTAGTGGGTATGGGTAAAATCCGAACCCGAATATTGCGGGTAATGGGTGGGCATGGGTTTCTCACTATCCAACCCGAACTCTCCCGATTATACACGTGCATATGTATTCTGTCTAGAAATAATCATTTTTTCTCCAAAATATTTATATTTAGCATATAAATATAATATTTTCATGAAATTGTGTTGTTTTAATTAATTTTCTTCATTCTAGTGAATTATTGTCGTACTTTTCTTCTTACGTAATGTGAGAATACGTGTGAATGTTAACATATTGGTTATAGTTATGAAGAAAAATCTTTACACATGGATAACCGCGGATACCCGAAACCCGAACGGGTATGGGCATGGTTTTAATTTTCTACATGTTTCACTTGTGGGTATGAGTATGGGTAAAACTCGAACTACTTTGGGTAGGGTAACGGATTTGCACTATCCGTCCCCGACCCGACCCATTGCCATCCCTAATGTGAAGGCAACTCGCAAGGTGAAGGTTGTTAATGATGTCATGGTTAGGGCTCAACAAAATAAATATGAATATGTTAGAGAAAAAGGTTATTTCCGCGGGTGGAAGAGTCGCTAACTTCCCCTGAAGCGGTGGAAGAGTTATCCAAATCGATCTGCATGACGATAAGAATCGTAAGGGTTGGGTTATATGATGTGTTATATTTTAGTGACGTGGCGGATCAATTTTTAATTTTTTTAATCAAAATTTGGTGACTAGACTTTGTGTTAGCCACGTCAGCAACAAAACTGACGGTGTTAACGGAGGCTGACGGAAACTAACGGAGAGTGACAATCGTGAAATGTTAAGCACTTTTAGTGACCACAAATGGAATAAAACTCTTTTAATGACCATACATGAATATTCTAGCACTTCCAGTGACCAATCTTGCAATCTACCCTTAAAATAATTTTGAGTTCGAACTCGACTCGAGTTTGACACTAGCTTTGATAGACAAGCTTGATCTTGTCCCGTTACAAAACAAGCTTGAGCACGGGTCACCAAATGAGATTAATGATCAAATTTTGGGGTCCGCTGATAAAATGTAGTTTGTATCTCAACTTCGAGTTTGAACTCAGCTCACAAAACATCAACAACAAATACTTAAAGGATTTCGAGTGTGCTAGAAAGTCTATCAAGCTGAACATGTCAATGATGTCATGGCTCGAGCTCGATTCATTTACAACAAGACGAACTTGATGACAAGCCGGCTCGGATAAAAATGAGTCGAGCATATAGCGAGTTTTTCTCAAATCGAATGTCAAATCGTTGATAAGTTCTTTGATTCATTAACAACCTATATATATATACATGTTCTTGAACCAAAAGAATCTAAGTACACCATTTCTTTCGGCAATATGCAATCAACCAACATGGCCTCTTTACCGTTTGGACCGTTTCTGTTGGGCTAGATGGGTTGGTTTGAGATTAAGTGAGACCAACCATGCCACGTAAGAATTCATTTGGACCAATCAAAAATTGTGTAACCGGTACCGCAATTTTTACCGCTGCACCGTAGTCTTGGCATTCATTATTATAGATTATAGAGGCATGCAAGAATCCACAAGCCCATAACTTTTGAAAGCGGAGCCCATTAGAGCACATGAAAGCAACTCGCAAGGTGAAGGTCGTTAATGATATGAGCCGAGCTATGCCAAGGTTCGGGCTCGACTCTTTAAAATAATTTCGAGTTCGAACTCGATTAAAGTTTGACACGAGTTTTGATAGGCAAGTGCGAGTTTGACTCATTTACAAAACAAGCTTGAGCTCGTCTCGCCAAATGAGATTAGCGAGTAAAAATCGAGTTCAGCTGATAAAATGTAGCTTGTAGCTCAACTTCGAGTTTGAACTCGGCTGACAAGACACCAATAGCAAACACTTAAATGCTATCGAGTATGTTCGCAAGCCTATCAAGCTGAACATGTCATGGCTCGAACTCGACTAATTTATAACGAGACGAACTTGATGGCAAGCCGACTAGGAGAAAGACAAGTCGAGTATGGAAAGAGCTCAAATCGAACATCCTCGTTTGCTTGTTGGATTTGAAAATGAGGGTTTTGAGTTTTAAAAACTTTTGTATTTATGATGGATTTGTTGCATTATGTATTTGGAAGAGTACATTGTTTGTTTAGTTTATTTTTATCATGGATTCATGAGGGGTTTGTATCACATTTTGCCTTCTATTATCAAATCCCAAATGAAATGTGGGATTTGCAAATCCGTGGGGTTCACGGATTTGTGTCCCTTAACAAACAATGGACTTGTGTCAATTCCATGATGCTTCGGATTTGGGTAGGGCTGCAAATGAGCCGAGCTGCTCGCTAGTGGCTCGGCGCTCGACTCGGGAGCTAACTCTTGTTCAGCTCCTGAAGCTCGCCAGCTAACTCGACTCGGTGGTTTGTTTAGTTAAACTCGTGAGCTAAATCGTTTATAGCTCATGAGACGTCTCACGTTGTGGATAGAGAGCCAACTCCATTACCGACTTATTGGCGAACCGATCTATACCTTATGAGTTTAATTGATATGATTGTTAAATTATATATCTCACCATATATGAAGTTTAAAACGCCGAGTATGTGAGCAAATATATGTTATTTTTATTTTAAAAATAAATTTTAATAGATTACTTCAATACTGTTAAATAACATGATTTGGACTAGTTAAAATTTATTACCTACATAATATGATACCAACAAAGTATAATATGATATTAGTTAATATTGAACATTTGGTTATTATTATTTAATTTTCACCATGACATCAATCACATGTATGATGTATCATACATTATATTCAAAACAAAGTAAACAAGCCTAGCTCGAGCTCGAGCTCGACTCGGCTGGTTAATAAACGGCTCGAGCTCGAGGTCAGCTCGTTTATTAATGAGTCAAGCTCAACCTAGGGTAAAACTCGACTCAACTCGACTCATTTGTAGCCCTAAATTTGGGTACCAAATCTATCACCCAAATCCCACAACCAACGTCCATGTTCATGATTGACTTGGTCATTAACAACCTTATATATACATGTTCTTGAACCAAATGAATAGAGTAGATCATTTCTTTCGACAATATGAAATCAACCAACATGGCCTCTTTACACCACCAATCGTCGACCTCACAAGACATTGTGCAACTGAAACAAATCCCCTGCTAGGCTACCATAGAACCTACCAAAGGTAAGTTCCCACTTTTTTCACACATCCCGCAACAATACCAGAAGGTAACTAACATATAGTTGTTATTTACATATCCAATAGTTCCAACATCATTTCCAAATACAAACAATCCCGCTCTTATGCGCAGATGCCAACGGTTTCCCTAGCCCGCTCCACGAACAGCACAACACCGCAGTCGTATCTTCCTTCAGAGTGCCGACTATATCACCTTTAAACACAGACCAAATATACACTGACCCGTCTGCTGAGCCAGCAGCGACATACTTATCATCGGGGCTGAGACATGACCTGCTCCAATTCGTCGCCACCCTGTTCCCACTCGCTCTCAGCGTGCCACAAACTTCAAGAGACCGGATGTCGAAGATGTTGTGCTGATTATCCCTCCCACTTGACAGTATCGTGTTCCCATTCCTCGACAATGATAACGACGTGATAGCACTAGAATGAGCCGCGACTTCACTCAGCAGCCTTCCAGACTGGATATCCCAAAGCCGGAGGTTCCCATCCACATGACCCGAACAAATCGTCTGCCCATCGGTGCTGAAACACAAGGCATTGCAGTTGCTGTGGAACATGATAGTGTTTGTGCAGTAACCTTTCTGCAGGTCCCACAGTTTGATGGTCCGGTCATACGCCGAGCTGACAACATAACGACTGGAAACCTTGCTGACATCCACTGCGCATACTTTGTCCACATGGCCTGTTAAAGTGTGGAGCTGGCGACCCGAGTTTACGTCCCAAACGAAGAGTTTGTTAGAGCTGCTGGCGGCAATCACAGATTTATTGTCGTGTGTGATGGAGAGATCGAGAACTGAGCCTAGGCAGCCGTTGAGAGTGCGGCTGAGAGCGCCAGTGTTGGTGTCCCAAATCTTGATTGACTTGTCGTGTCCGCCAGTGATCAGTTTGCCCGAATTGTACTCGAATAAGATAGAGCCACAGCCATCGTTGTGAGCCGTGATCTTGTGTGTGCATGAAGAAGGAATGCTTGATTCGACAAAGTACTCGGCCCCGTCCTCACTACGGCGGACCACTCCGTCTACCTGCTGCCGAGCTAGTTTTTCTAGGCCGCTTGCCTTCAGTCGATCAGCCATTTCTTCATAAAGTGAATTCACCTGATTCACATAACCAAATAAATAAACTTATTTCAGGCCAGAAAATAATGAAGCTTCAGCTTGTGATGTAGGAAGAAGACACAACCGCCAGGTCTGCTAACGTTACCAGAAAGCCTAGATCCCTCAACTTCATTAAATACTGAGTTGGTTAAAGATGTTACCTCATTCAAGCGCTCAGCATCCTGCATCTTTTGCAGCATCCAGCGATCTACCAACATTTTGTTCTCTGCCTCTGCATTCTTAGCCTTAGTAGTCATCTCCTCCAACTGCTTTCTCAGCTCCTGATTCTCACCAACTATTAGTTCCAATCCTTTGAGCTTCTCTTCCAAATCTACCTTTAGTTGGGAGCATTCAGCCCTGCAAAGACCACAAGTCAATAAAACAAAAAAATTAACCATGGAAGAGCTTGGAGTAAGCATTTAAGAGAAAGAACCTTATTTGAGTCAATTCCTTCTGTAGATCATCAATAGTGGCTTCTTTCTCCTGAAGTGAAGCTTTTGCTGCTCTGGCCTCTGCTACTTCAACCACTAGCTGCTCAGACAATCTAGATTGAGCTTTGTAGCATTGCTGAAGTTCAACTTCCAAGTTTTCTGCTTTCTCTTTCCATTCTGAGCCCTGAAGAAACCACATGAGACCCATGACTAAAGCTAATTACAATACCAAGTAACAGCAACAAGCCAGTGATGAGGCAACCACAAGCTAACACATTCAAGCATCATATCCTAAAACAAGGTCTAAAAACCCCATAAAATGTTGTTTATCTCATCACAAGGTAGAGACCTAGAAAGTTACAGTTTGTTTTTCCAGCTAACTACACCAGTGTTCACATGAGTAAATTGAAAATCACAAACCATAAGTAACCCAATTGACTCAAAATTAACTATGCCAAAGGATCTCAATTTGCAGTTCACGCAACCCCATCTCTGAAACCCGAATTCGTTGTTCCAAATGCACAATGAACATGAGATGGGCAGAGCTAATTACGATGCCAAGTAACAGCAACAAGCCAGTGTCGAGGAAACCCACAAGCTAACACATTCAAGCATCATACCCTAAAACAAGGTTTAACAGAAGATCCCCTAAAATGTTGTTCATCGAATCACAAGGCTAAGCACCTAGAAAGTTACAGTTTGTTTGCAGCTAACTACACCAGTTTTCACATGAGTAAATCAAAAAATCACAAACTATAAGTAACCCAATTGACGCCAAATTAACGACGCCAAAGAAGCTCAATTTGCACTTCACACAACCCTATCTCTGAAACCTCACATTTCTATGTCAAATTCGTTGTTCCAAAAGCACATTGAACATGAGAGTGGGAAGAGATAAAGAGTAAAGACCTGGGAGATAATGGGCCTGGAAAGGGCAACAAAAGCAGGAGAATGTGCGCCTTCTTCCATCAAATGGCGCTTCCTAAGAGCCTTCATAGCGTGCTTTATGGCTTCCCTCGCAATCTCCTCCTGCGACCTGAAACAGCCACCACCCATCAAAATCAGTAACAATTCCGCAGCTGTAAGCTTCCATCCACACACTCAAAAGGAGAATTTGGGAGTCGCGATCAGCTCAGCTCAGCTTAATCGGAAAGAACGATTTGTTTGGTGAATAACGATTCAGGTCTTGATCTTTCTCCACTGAAGGAGAGTAAAGGGAGCTGTGGGATCTGATTCCCGACTTACATTGTAACTGAATCGAATTGGCTCAGGATTTCTTGTTAGGGTTTTGCCAAGAGACGAGGTTGGCACTTGCGGAAGGAGGGGAAGGAACGAGGGAAGATGGTATAGCCGTATAGGGAAGGAAGATCCCTGCGGGCATTTGACATTTCTTCTCCGTTGGGTTAATTCCGATTACGTCCTCGGTTCAGTAACTTTTTACATGTTGATCACATTAAAATCTCACGTTTGATCCTTGGTTCAGTAACATTCTACATTTTGGTCACTCGAAAAATTTTAAGGGTGGCCAAAATTATGGATCCCAATTCTTACCCCAGTATTTTTTTTTTTTATGGTAACAAGCAATGTAATGATTTATTTCATTATAAAGAAACATTCATATTTATTTCGTTCTGCTAAAAAAAACAAACTTGGAAAATTTCAAGTGTGTCCGCACTTTAACATGTATATTGAATGTTATTGTCTTATTTGTGTTATCGAAGTTCTATTTGTGCTCTAAAATAACACAAGAATGTCTTAATTAGTTAGCTCTGATAGACAATTGAAATTGATATCTTATATAGTACAAATTTTTATTTCAAACAATGTAAGAAAGATATTACTTTTTTAGCTCGGAGTCTAGAAATATAAAATCACTAGGATCTTGGTTGAGGGATTTATAGCTCTCATCCCGTCAATTATCAATGTTTGTCTCTCTACTGCTAAAACTCGAAATGTTTTGTGATGTCTCATCGTGCCTCTTTCGAGATGCTACTCACATTTTTAGTAGCCCATACCAAGACAAGGGCGACTGATAGTTTATAGGTTCACGAGTTCGTGTTTCAGTACCAAGGCAAGGGCGACTTATAAGTTATAGGTTCACAAATTCGTGTTTCGTCTTATGTTAGTATGGGTCAAATCAAGTTTGAGTAATTTTGTTTTTTTTTTTTTGGGTAAATTCATACTTAACTTTTTAGTTTAAGTCTAAATTGGACCATAATATTGAGCCCCAAAGAAAATGGCTACCCAATTCTAATGTTATTTTTGCTTTATTATTATTATTATTATTATTTTGTTACGAAACAAATTAAAAAGGTGGAAACACCAACATTAGATTACTTATTCTGTTAAAGGCAATTAATAAGATGATTGATACTATTTTTTTTTTTTTGTGTGTACAATCATTTGAACTCAAATAGATCTATTTGTGTCATGATTAGACTCAGTCACCCAGATAAATCGACATGAGTCCATCTAGATCTAATTCAATATCTATATGAATCACCATAATTGACTCAAATTATCCAAAAGAGTTTACCAATTCTCGTTCCTACATCCATTGGCATCGATTAGGCTATTGGTCTTTGTAGACTTGAAACGAGTGGGGTGCGAGTACTAGCTAGTTGCTCAGTACAACTGGACAAGACTACAAGTATGATACTCCAAGAGCAGCAGCTTCTCTCCACTTCATTATCCAGCTGCAAAACAAGAACTGGAAGAACAGAAGAACATGTAAGAGGCGAGAGAACGTTGTCATTCCTTTTTACCAATCCCAAACTCCCAATTATCAATTACAACAAATCCCAGACCAACATGAACCAAACTTTACAAATCCTCATCACATTCCAACAATCACCACACCACACAGCCGAACACCCTTGTTTAAGTTAAGAAAAAGGAAAGAAGAAGAAAAAAATGCCCCAAATCCTCTTTCTTGTTATCTAGTTTCTTCAAGTTTCTTTCAGATTAGATGTCACATTTCCCCCCAGAAACAGATCCTGAACAAATTTTACATGCGAGGACGACAACATCACACCGCGTTTTGTTTAACCCCCCCCCCCCCCCCCCCCCCCCCCCCCCAACAGATTATCCAACTCTGATTCTATCCAACCAATCGACGCTTTTCCTTCCCTTCTCCAGCTGATGATCAATGCTCATTCTCGGTTTTTCATAGTACTCCACGCTTCTCCTTGATCTTTCCAACTGTTCAAACGGGAGCTTAAACTTGCTGTCCAACTTCTCAATCTTGGTAAACTTGTACTCATGGAATTTCAATTTCTCGGGCCGGTCTGTGCTTTTTCTGGGTTTCTCCCTCCTATCTGTACTCTTCCTAGACACGTCGTAGCGATCTGTACTCTTCCTGGCTTGTTCCATCCCATCGACGCTCTTCCTGGCACTGCTTCTTCGGGAAGGTGATTTCTCAACTGATATGATGAACTTCTTTAGGTGTCTGAGGTATTCTGGAAACAACTCCAGGTCACAGTGATTTCCTCCCTTCAGCCATAACGGTTCGTATTTCTCCTTGCAGAGTTCCCAAAGCTGCTTCCCATGAGAAAAATCAACCACTTCATCTGAAGTTCCCTGTAAGGAAGAAATATAAATAAGTAGACAATCAGGACCAACACTCAGGAAATGTGTTCGATCATTATCAGAGCGAAAACAAGAACAAGAAACTGAGCTAAAATTATCAGAACTATTGTCAGCCAGTCCCACCTTCCAAGCTTTCTTGTACCTGGTTTTGATTATTATAAATTCCTGGTCAGTTACTAGACCTATTCATTCTGAGAAACCTTTGTAGGAACTCTTCTTGCGCCATACCTTATTACTACATCAATCAATACTTGCCATCATTATTGAACCAATCCGTTAACTTTTGATTTTCGTTCAAGATATTGCCATTTGCAACTTTCAATATCACTTCACTCTCCTTTAACAAAATTTCCTAAAGAGGCCCTATCTTCCAGATTAGGGGCTAAGGGATATTACGCTCTTCTGAACATCTTCTTTGGATGCTTGAATGTCAATACACAATAACTAAAATCCCCTAATAACTTTCAGAAAAGGTTGGAATTTCATGACCTAACATTTTATGCTTCGTTTGGATACTTACAAGGACACGTACAGAAAAACAAAAATCCACGGACTTACATGAATTACTAGCACAGGGCACTTCACCAGCGGGATTTTGTCAATATTCTGTACAACATCCAAGTAAAATGTATAAGTTATAGAGGTGCAAATCCTCTCCACAGAGAATAATATTGAAAATATTGAACAAGCAGATCAAGCAAAAGACATGTCTGACCTTATAGATATCAAACCAATAGGACCGTTTCACAGGATACATGACCCTTAAACCTGACAGTATAGGACTGTGCAGGACAACAGCTCTCAGTCGAGGTAGACGTGCAGCAAGATCAAGGGTAGGGCCACTCCCAACAGATTGACCATAAAGAATGATGTTTTCCTGCCTGGCTCCATAGTTTTCTTCAAGACACTTGTAAGCAGCTTCAATATCAGCATAGGTACTATGCTCACTAGGCTGCAGAAAGCCACAGCAAGAATGGCAAATGTTATTATTTAGTTACACAGATCTTTTACCACCAAAGGGACGTATAAAAATAGTGCTTACCTTTCCCGTTGACTGTCCATAGCCAGAGTAGTCATACCTGAATAAGTAATATAAACAAGAACCAGGATCAGGTACATTTTCTAGGTCAATACTTATAGACTACAGAAACCCAAAAAGTTGCAGTAAGCATTTGGCTGGTTAGTGACTTGTCAGACATAGTCCTCTCCATTCAGTCCCCTGTCACTCACAATCAGTATGCTGTATTCCAACAAGCCACAAGGAGAAGCATTCCTCAAAAACAAAAGGGGTGATATTATATATACTCATTCATCGAACTCTATCCATTGATGTTCAATAATGGTTTGAGAGATGTTGCTTTGAATGTTCATCAAGCTTCCTTCACATGGCTAAGGTAAATAGATAATCCATTTCTGCAGAGAATATACAACCAAGCTAGGCTGGCACCGAACCCCACACATATAATTTTGCAAGCAATAGCAAGCCAGAATCTTTTTAACTACAATTATTAATTCCTAATTGCAATCCGTTTAATTACAAATGATACACTGATTTACCATTCGTCAGTACAATTAAAGATATGACCTTCCAACTGAAGTTTTCTATTTCAGGTCATTGACAATGCCAAAATAAACCAAAACCAAATATGGAAAATCACTGAGGTAACACATCTGCTGACCTTCATGGTACACTTAGCAATACAGATTCAGAGCATGTATGTTTCATTGAAGTTAACCCCGCCAGCCTCAACAAAAAAACCAAATCATAGAACAGTGAATTTCCCCCATCACCATCTCTCACAAAGCACACCGACAATCACAAGCAAGCAAAGGGGATAGCATTCCTTCCTACACTAGCGGTTGCAAGATAAAGAAGGGATCTCGTTACCCAGTTTCCAAGTATTTACTCTGATCGAACCCACTAATTTCACAAGGTGAAAAAAAATACGAGCGCCCAAATCCAATGTCGACCTAACTCAGGCGATTCCCACTCGAGTAAACAAAGGGACATGGTTTGACGAATTCAATCAGCAGCCAACCACAAACTGAAGTAGTCCTCAACTCACAAGCAGGCATACACGAGGTAAAAGAAAAGGGGGAAAACACATACAATGCTTCTCGAATTGAGTTTCTGATTCACCATCATCCTAAAACTGAGCGAAAGATCCAGGGCCAAAAAAAAAAAATTGGGAAGGAAAAATAGGGGTGAGGGAGAGTTAGTGGAGTTTACCCCATGAGATTAACGCGCAAGTGGATGCTCAACTCAATGAAGAGCTCGTACATCTGGCCGATATCAGCTGCATTCCCATGGGAGTAGAGCAGAGTGGAAGTGGCCATAGGGTACCTAACATAGACGGCGACGATCTCGTTCCCGCGGCGGGTAGGGAGGCGGAGGACGTCGACGTTCTCGCGGTGGGGGAAGTGGTCGACGAGGAGAAGGCCGGTGGCATCGTCGGTGATTAGCTTGTAGGAAGGCGGGCTGGGAGGGAAGAAGGCGAATTTGGCAGCCATGGAGGATGTCACCCCTCCCATTTCCGCTCCTCGACAATAGCAGCCTCTCTACACGCAGGCGAAGAATATGTACAGATAGCGAAAGCGAAACTGTAGATGCTCCTTCAGTAACAGAGAATCGTTTTGGGGATGGAGAAGAAGAAGAAGGGGGAGAAGCTGGAGAAGAAGCTCATTTGATTTCCCATTCTGCCTTTTTCTCTATTTCTCCTTTTTCCGGCTTTCTTTTTGGGGTTTTTTTTTTTTGGCTCGAGAGCGCGTGTGAGAGAGAGAGAGACATGATGTGGTGAAGTGGAGTGTGGGGGAGGAGGGAGTGTTAGGCTGAAGGAATCTGGAAAGAATATATGTTTATGAGAAGATTAGTTGTGCATGTGGCTACTTAAGTAGGATTAGTTAGTTTAATTAGTGTTAAGTAGGAATCTAGGGTAAATCATCCTAGAGGTCACCGATATTTTCTATTTGGTTCACGTTGGAAAGTGAAAGGAAAGAAATGCATCATCTATTGAAATTCGAGGAAAGTTTGTTAAATTTGTTTATATTGTTACAAGCTGGTTTAGTAAGTCGTATGGTTTGATCAAAGTACATTCAATTTTATACTGATCATATACCAAACTCATGAGAACTGTGGTTTTATAGCGAAAGACATCTTAGAAGTTAGAACCAAAGATTCGACCATCGTTGTATTCAATCATGTGTTGGTCCTGTTTGGTTCGATCCAAATGTCAATTCGATCCATTTTTCTCCAGTATTTATAAAATTCACGGAATCATGAACCGGAACGCGTTATATTATGTTTCGGTATGTTCCGGCTCAAACATCGACTTGGTCATATACCGACCAAGTGTTGCACACCCCTATCGATTTTAATCAAATATGTAAAGAAAGTAGGAAACCTAAACCCCAATTAAATAACCCATGTATAGAATATATGTCAAGTAGCCAATCAATGATTGGAGAATAAAGCAAGGCTCGCTCAAACAACCGCCATAGCAGAAATTTGTTTCAAACTCAAATATACTCCGTTTTCTCTCGAAACCAACATCGAAACAAGAAAAGCTTCATCCAAATTTTATCTCTACTCTTCCCCACTTGATTTATTCATCACTCAACATATCATACACAAGACGACCAGAGAGACAAAAGTGAAAGCAAAAACAAAAAACGAGAGAAGAACAAGTCGGATAGAAAACGTCTCAAACTCAACCGGTCGAACAGCGATCCGGCTTCCCCGCGGTTACCGTTTTGCATGACTGTCCATCCCAAAGACGTTTCGCATCTTGACCCCGAAACGTTTCCTCAACGTACGCCTCGACTTTGTCCTCGTGTTTCAACACGTGGCACAGGGCTTGGAGGTACCACCGGGGAAGCTTGCCGGTTAGTTTGACGGTGTCCACGACAACACGTCCTTTGTCCTTACAGATAACTGACCGTGAGATCACCCCGCCGTTATTGCTCGACGGCGGCGGCGGAGATAGCGCGAAGGCTCGCCGGAGACAATCCTCGTAGCAGAAGTGACCACCGTCTCTTTTCCCGTGGCCGGTGGCAGAGGAGGTGGCGGGCAGAAGTGGGAGTACGGCAACGAGGGCGAAGAAAATGGTGAAGAAGCATGAGGAATTGTTAGGAAGAGCCATTTTTTGATGAGATAAGCGGAGATGCTTTGGCTGTCAGGTTTGCGCTTCTCCTCCTCTGCTTTTATCTTATCCCATTTTCGTCTGTTGCTGGCTGCAGGAGTTTTGCATTGATGGTGTAACTTCTTTAGCGTTACTGATAGTGCAGTAGGGTGGTGGAGATAGCTAGGTACGTTACCTCCTCAGTCTAAAAAAAACAAATGTGAGTGTTGAAAAGCTTGGGCTCTCTTCTTTCTTCCACTCTGCCGTTCAATCCAGGTCACTTCTTGACCATTCTCTATCACTCAATGAACTCCACGTCCATGATTGACAACTGATTTCTTCTTGTTCGTCATCTGGGGATCGTATACTCCTAACTATGTCACTGGAAAACAAGCATGCTCTAATCGTGTCATGCCTGAAATAGACTGGCTAAGAAGGGGGAGCCTGGCCGAGAAAAGCAAATCCTATAAGCAACTTATATGCATGCTCCTAGATTGCATTATCAGTGGCCAACATGGGGTGAGATTTATAAGTTTGTCCTGAGCAGATTCCTACTCACCAATACCGGACCGGGTACAGAAACAGTATCCTCCGAAACTCAACAGCAAGCCATCCCCATCAGAAACGCAAAAAAAGAATATGCTCCGCTTCAAACCTCTGCTGTTCTTCAAAATAAGTAGCCAGCTTAGTGACCATGTCTTCTTCAGTGACATCCGAAAAAAGTTTCAATACCAGAATCCTTCAGCTTCCGTTATCTAAGCTAGTCCTAACAGGAGTATTCAGCACATAAAGTGGACACAGCACAATCCTTGTTTGATCAAAACATATTCCTCCACTTATTACTAAGAAACCAGTATTCTTGGCAAAACGCAGAAGCTCTTTGATGCTACTTCACACCTCCGACATAGCATTGGATCATTAATACAGCATTCATCGATACTTAAGACCTAGTAACAGAAGTTTCTAGCTCAGCCCTGCAACTAAACATGGTTGTGACTAGCTGTAACTGTTGTAAGAATAACTCATCACGCTACCATACTAAGTTACTAACTAAACTACATAAAGCAAGCCATCTTGCCCGGTCTGAAAGCTAAGCTAACAAGTCTCCGGCACCTGAAGTGCAGTTAGCTTAAAGAATGGAAGTGGTCTATGGCAAGTTAACCCGAGCAATATGCATTAACTTCAGCTTTCCTGGCCACTGCCTAGCAATTGAACGGCATATCCTAAGGTATCAATCGTATGCCCATACTCAAGAGACAACCAGCATAACAACCAGCAATATGCATTAACTTCAGCTATCCTGGCCACTGTCTAGCAATTGAACAGCATATCCTAAGGTATCAATCGCATGCCCATACTCAAGAGACAACCAGCATAACAACAACCATGTCTACCTCAATTCAACTGATCAGAAAGATCGAAAATTCAAACAGAAAAAAAAAGAAGAGTAGCTTGAGGTCAGCAATTATTTCCAGAGCATTGACCAATACCATTTCAATCCATTAAAACAATGGGGGGTGATGCTATATCATCAAACCTGGCTACTCCAACCAAAAATTCAAGTAACAGGAGAAACAAGAGGTCGATTCAACCCTACCAACATTCAGTATCATCACGAACGCCTTGGATCACGACCTAGACTTTCGCCTGAGACGCTTTCGGAGCTTCTTGTACTTGTGCTTGTTCATCTTCTTCTTCCTCTTCTTCTTCACACTATCAGCACGGATGGTCCGGTCATCATGATCAACAACTTCGTCCTCGGTCTCAACGAAATCGAACCCAGCAGCTGGAATAGGGTTTAAGCCGAGCCCAAATGGGAAACTAGGGTAAACGAACCCCGATGGAGACGGTAGCTTCTCCGCGGTCCCGATGCCGAAGAATGGAATTGGCCGGGGCGTCGTCAGGTCCGGCACGAATCGCTGAGCGAAGACAGCGCCGGCGAGTGGAGCGTAGGTCGCCGGGTGTGGAGGAGAGGGTTTGTGCAGTACAGCCGCGACAGGCGAAGTTCTTCGGAGGATCTTAGGTATTAGATTCGCCATTCTCGGTGAGAATCGCTTTCTACATGAAAAGATTCGATCTTGTTTTCTCTTCCACTCCTTGTCTGGATGGCAAATCGGATCGAAATAACTCGCTGGCTGCAACAGCGCAGAAGGAAAACCGAGCGATCAGAAAACCTCTGCTATGGAAAATGGTAGAGAAACTGTAGCCAAACCGGGCACCAAAGCTTTATGGGCTAAACCCGACCCGGTTGACAATCCGCAAAAGTGAAAAATAAATTAGATTGCCCTCACGCAGGATCGAACTACGGACCTTCAGTTTACAAGACTGACGCTCTACCACTGAGCTATAAGGGCTGTTGAATGTTAACTTTCTTTGTAATAAAAAATTTATCAATAAATTTTATCCGAGAGATTAACATGGGCTGAGTGCCTGAGTCAGAGTGGAGAGAACTGGAGGAGCGGAGAAGCGAACAGCCGAGGTTGAGATGGACGAACAGAATATCGACCCTGTATGTCAGTTAATCGCCGGAGCTATTCTGCGGTGAATCCTTTCTTCTCCGGCGACGATTTATTAAACTCGCTTCTTGCTGTGTGTTTTTAGGGTTTGATCCACGAGATTTTCAAGCACGTCTGGACGAGAACAGCCCTCGGTACACTTTCCTCTCTCTCTCTCTCTGTCTCTCTCACTCCAGTATCATACTTCGTCGTTCTAGTGAATTTTCGTGCAATTGAGAAGTCTCTCTTTCGATTTCTACAGAGCGGGAGAAGAACGGACGCAATGAAGCTCCTACGGACGCCGACTTCGTCACTGTAGGCGGCGCCGGGACATCGAAGAAGAATCGCCCTACTTCCGGTATCCGCTGCCGCACAGCTGTTTCTTTTCTGTTAGTGGAACTGACCTGTCTTTCTTCTAATTTCTGATAACAGTTCTGTTTTTTTTTTTTTTCCACCTATCTTGGCAGCTAACTCCAATGCCTTGAAGCTGAGCGCGGAGCTCATCCGTATTTTCATCTCAGGTTCAGCCTTTGATCCATGGTTACTGTGACTTACTGTACTGGGAATTACTCCCAAATCCCATTGCTCAATTGCTTAATCTGAACTGGGTCTTCGATTTGATTGCAGAGGCAGTGCAGCGTGCAGCAGCAATCGCTGAGGCAGAGGGAGAGTCCAAAATTGAGGCCACCCACTTCGAACGGATTCTTCCCCAGTTGCTCCTGGATTTCTGAGGTCTGCAAGCTTCAAACACTTTGAATGGCCTGCGACATTTGTTGTTATTTAGACATAGCTGTTGCCATTTGTAAGCATTTGGTTCAGGGCGCCCTATGTTGATCCCTTCCATTTTGCAGGGCCGAAAATTCTCTGCCATCTGCCCGTCTTTAACCCACTTGTCCGGCAGCTTTAGATACCTTAGAAAGTAGGAAGTGGTCTCTGATCAGTGTAGGGGGAAAAACAAGAGAGGGAGCTTCTTTGTTTTCTCATGGTCACTGTGTTTTTCGTCTCAGCTTCCTTTTACCCTTTTTCCCTACGGTTTGCTAGGCTCCACTAAAAATGTAACCTTTTTCCATACGCCAGTCTCAAGTCAGTAAAGTAGCGATACAACCGACTTATTAGACAGAGTCGTCTGTCCACCATGGATATGCTTTCTGGCGACTGAGCATTTTGCCCCAATTGGTGGATCATAGCTAAAAAGCTGTAATTGATATTTAACATCTTACAAATAGAAAACCCCAAATTGTACAGAGTCTTTCAGCATTCTGAACTGAGTAATAACAAAGAGCAAGAGACACAAGTTAACAGACAAACTAGCGCCTTATTCGAGCAGTAGCAGGCACTTTCAGACCACCGTAACTAAGAAGACACACTAGTGCTTGATTTGATCCAACATAACCCTCACATCCTTACTATTCGGCCTCTGTTTCGGGTCCTCCATGGTACAGAAGCACGCGATCTTGAGCACCAGCAGCATCTGCTCGTCGTACCCTTTCTCCATCAGCTTCGGATCGATCGCCTGAGTGGGTTTCTCAGACGTCATGACGTTCTTCAGCCACCTCACCAGGCTCATCTCTCTGGTATGCTGGAAGAACTCATCCGATGGAAGCTTTCCGATCAGCAGAACGCCAAGCAGCACCCCGAAGCTGTAGATGTCACACTTATCAGTGAACTTCAGCGTCTGATGATACTCGGGCGCAATGTACCCCACCGTTCCTGCAACGTTCGACGTGCTGATGTGCGTGTTGGCATCGGGCATCGATTTCGCCAGCCCGAAATCAGCAATCCGAGGCTCCATGTCGTCGTCGAGAAGGACATTGGCCGGCTTCAGATCCCTGTGGATGATTCTGGGGCTGTGGTTGATGTGAAGATACTCGAGCCCGGCTGCTATCCCTAGAGCAATCCTGTACCTTGCTGGCCAATCCAACTCTCTTCTCCCCTGAGACACCTCTTCCAGTATGTTCTGCAAGCTGCCGTTCTTCATGAACTCGTAGACCAGATAGTGGCAATCGGGCCGAGTTACATGGGCCAGAAGTGGTAACAAGTTTCTGTGCCGGATCTGGCCCACGGTGCCGATCTCCGATTTGATCTGCCTCATCTTCTTGTTCATCAGCTTCGAGTCCTCCTCAGTCAAATCGGCGGCGTCTTTGGACGGTTGGGATACTTTTTTGATCGCGATCAATTTCCCGTCGCTGCCGGGCAACACCGCTCTGTAAACTTCGCCGCATCCACCTCTGCCGATGATCTCCAATGAAGCCAGACCGTCTTCTTTCTCCAGGAAAGCTAGGTCTTCCGATTTCTTAATCATGGGGCTGAAGATTGCGGGGCCGCCATTTTTGCCTCCCCCTCGAATTGCGGCGAGAATCATCCTGAACAGGACGCAGAACACGAACCCTGATATGCTCCCGGCGATGCCTCCGGCGAGGAAGCCGAGTAGCCACCCGGCTAGCTTCTTCTTCCCCTTGTTGTGGCGCCGTCTGTGGGGAATCACAGGGGACGGCCCTGGAGCTCCCGCGCCGGCACTCATCGAGGAAGTCGGAGCGGAAGCTGGGGAATCGGAATTCGCCGATCTAGGAGGAATTGCCGCGCTTTCGTCGTCGTCGTCCTCGGCTAAGATGTAGCGATTCGGGTAATTGGATTTCAGCGCGGCAGGCGAGTCGGTTTCCAGCTGCTGGAGGAACCGGTTACCGGAGAGGTCGAGGAATTGGAGGTTGCGGAAGGAGCGAATCGATTTGGGGACTTGCCCGGTGAAGAAATTGTTGGCGAGGGAGAGGGTTTCGAGATTGGGGAAGTGCTTCAGGAAACCCAGATCGCCAGTCAATTTGTTGGAGGCGAGATTGAGGACGCGCAGACGGAGGAGGGACGAAACCCCTGGCGGGACTTCGCCGGTGAATCGGTTGCCGGCGAGGTCGAGGATCTCGAGCTTCCTGCAATTGGCTATCTCGGAGGGGATTGGGCCGGCGAGGCGGTTGTTGGGGAAGGAGAGCTCCTTGAGCTCGGTGAGCCGACCGATTGCCGGCGGGAGGGTGCCGGAGAGGGACTGGGATTTGAAGACCAGCCTGGTGATCCTGAGCTCGTCGGAGGGAGACGTGCGGCGCTCGCAGAAGACGCCGTGGAGGTTGCAGGGGGGGACGGAGGAAGTGGTGGTGTTTGTGAAACCCAAGTCTCGGCGGAGGGCGGAGAAGGTGCGGTGGTCGGAGCGGTTGAGATGGAGGCGCGCGTTCACGGAGGAGAAGAGAAGGAGGAGGGGGAAGAGGAGGAGGAGTGGATTGTGACGAACAGCCATTTTTTTGGTTTTGGGAGGGAAGGGAGTGGGGGATGGAGGGGTTTTGTAGTTGGGGAGTGGGGAGAGGGTGGCGGCCGGCCGGCTTTTATGGTCTCGTTTTCCCATCATCCGTCAGCTGTGGAAAAAAAATGGTTGCGAGGCGGAAACCAAATGTGAAAAGAGTAGAAAGAAAATTCAGACGAGGATGAGACTTGACTCTTGAGAGAGTAGTAGTGGCCTGGCCAGTGGGACTGGGAAGGACACCAATAACAATGGCGCCCACCAAATTGGAGGGTTTTTTTTTTTCCTTCTTTGATATGGAAACCGGAAACCAACTAGTGGGTGGTTGTCGCGAATGAGGTTGTGGCCGAGTGATTGTTTAATTGGGTTTCAGTTTTAAGTTTCCGAGTTTGAATCTCATGAACGATACTTATTTTTCGCTCTCCACATCTTTATTAGCACTCCAAGCCTCAGTTTTCACAGCAGGATCACCATTAGTAGTGAATGAGCTCGAGGTTCGTTAATTTTTCGGTGCCCACTTAGTAATGGTGTTTGTTGATTGACGGTGTTATCAACAAGTGTTTGACAATATCTTCGTTGTGATCCATATCCTTGGGGATAAACTGTACATGGGCGCTCGGTCGTGCTTGGGCTAGCACGACACATGCACGCTTCAGGCCTATTTATTTCGTGTCGTATTTGGCACGGTCCGTCAGTTTTCGTGTCGTGTCGTACAAGCCCATTTGTTACTTTTGTAAGACTAGGTCCGGATCAGGGCACGGTCTGAATCGTGTCGTGCCTACTCGTGCTCGTGTCATGCTCATATTTGTGTTTAACGAAAAAGGAAGAAAGTAAAGGAGAGAATGAAAAAGAAGGAGAAAATTGGACGGATAATGAAAGTATTAACCAAGAATATTTGAGAAACGTCACAACAAAGGGGGAAAAGAAAATTGAAAGTATAAAGAGTGAATGCGACACAATCATTACAGTACTCAATATCACTCACTAAAAAATAGAGTAGATATGAGAAAACATTAAAAAAAATGCATTAGAATGATAAAGATAGTATAAGATTTGTTGTGCTACATAATGAGCAGTCTGATTCGCTTCCTGAAATGTATACACAAACTCAGTGAAACTGTTCAAATAAGCCGACTATCTCGCACAAAATCACCCCATCACATACATCATCCATTAGACCATTACTTGCCTTGTTAACTTGTACACTATTACCTGAGCATCCCAAGTGGAGTGTTTGACAATTATCACTATGGACTATATGCTAACTTAATAAGGATTAGCGAGTGAAAATCAAATTTAGATAATATCACTTTTGGATAGATTGTACCCAATTTTTTAGTTCGAGTTTAAATTAGATCTTTTACATAGGGTAACAAAAAAAAATGGATACTTAACTTTAGGGGTGTGCAAAAGTTTGAACCGTAATGGACGCACCGTAACAAACGACAGTTGTATCAGAACAGGCATATCGAACCGAATATAGTATGGTCCTGTGGTTGGTCCCATGAATTTTCTAAATATTGAAGGAAAATGGATCGAATTGACATTTGGACCGGACCATTCTGGATCGAATGTGTTGTTCGTCGAATCATTGGACCTAAGATGTCTTTCGGTATTGGAATGTAATTCTCGTGACCAGCCTGGACAGTTGCACATCCTTACCTAACTCTAATGTGATCTTTATTCTAAAATAAGCATAAATGTGGAAACACCAACATTGAAGGTGGGAATTGATTGAAGGCGGATAGTGAGCTGATCGACCGTTTTTTTTTTTTTTTTTTGTGTTTATAAGTATATGAATCCAAATAGACCCATTTGGATGGGACTCAAATGAGTTTACTTAAACTAGACTCAATCCAAAATCAACTCAAAATCATTAAGAGTTCATATAGGTTCATTTGGGTCCAACCTAATATTCATATGGGCAATGAAAATTGAGTCTAATTACCCAATGAGTCGACCCAATCTCATCCTATAAGTAACCTTTAGTATTCATCTCAATTATTGTGAAATTGTACCAAATTGAGTGATAGAGTATTTTGGTACTAAAATGATGGTTGAATTGTAGTTCAACTGGTTTGTACTGCTAAAATCGCCTATCGTTTGTGATTTAGTATCGGATATATTCGCTCCGACTGACCGCTACCGTAAGGTTTCTGAAACACGGATTCATGTATAGAAAGTAATGAAGAAAAACAAATATAAGCATTGAGGTGAGAAACAAGAGGAGACCGCGGTATCACACCATAGAAAAGAAATGAGGTAGGGAAGAGAGGAGACAACTCTAATATGACGTATGACAATTGGCTAGAAAGCACGGGCAAAGCTAGTAGTTAGATGATTTCTAACACTCCGTTCACAAAAGATGGGGAAAATTGGGGAGGGAAAGTAAAATTTGGAGAGAGTGAAAATTTGAGGATAGTGAAAGAATGAGGGGAAAATAGATGTTCAATTTTGAAGGGAAAAGATGTTCAATAAGAGACAACAATTGTTTTCGCCCCAAATTAGGGGGCAACTGCTACAATAGCTTTCTCCTCAAAATAATCACTCCTCTATACTGTAGCAAAACTTATGAACATAGGAAAAGTTCTGAATCCCTATATTTTCTCCAAAAAAAATTCCCACCCTATATTTTCCCTCTTTTGTGAAAAGAGGGTTACAACTCTTCCTATAAATTTAAGAATTGTTGAATTTTATTCATATATGATATTTGTGTGCATAGTTACAATGTAAAACTCATTCCTGTTTTAGTGATAAGTTTGCTTGATAACTCCATTAAGTTGCTCCAAAATAGCATGGACGCATGAGTGGTTAATTCGCAATTTGAAATCGATTAACTCATAAATAATCTAAACACACAGTGAGTGGATGATTAATGTAGGCGGATTGTGGATTGATAAATCTCCTACCCGTACTTAGTTGGATGAGTGGTGGGTGGATTGGGGTCACCCGAGTGACCGTCCCATATTATCACATGATAAAAGTTATTTCTTGTTTATACTATAAAATATTTATAATATTTCCTTACCGCTCTACACACCGACAATCGAATTCTAAATGCAGGGTATCAATTATTTTTGGGCTACTATTATTGATTACTATGTTGTGTAGTGTCTACTAGATATTTGGATGCAATTATAAGTTATTAAATGTATCAGTGTCCAACGGCAGATGTAGGACATAATAGAGCACTGAACCTCAATTGAATAGAAAATTATAAATTTGGAGTCTTCATCCATACCAATAACATACTCTCTAAAAAAAGTTAAGCAATCAGTGAGAAATTCATCGCTTATTTTGTTGTCCAAATTAGTTTTCACATGTTAAATTGTTGGAATCGATCTCTCCGTAGTAGCCGTTGAAATGGGCTAGGTCAACACTAGACGAATCAATCGACAAATCAATTTGTATTGTGTGTTCATCCATGTTTCTGCCAGTTTCTTTAGTAATCTTGCAAGGGCAGAAACTTCATATTACTGACTATGAACCACATGAGCGACATAATATCATAGCTCATTCTTTAAAGAATGCTTCTAATAGCCTTCTAAGTCTCGACGATAACTCTTGAGCAAGTTTGTAAATATTTTCTTCATCAAAAGACCAGAAAGAACTTTTAGGATTTAGTGCAACACTAAACTGAAGTAGTCTAAATGATAACTCAACATATTTTCTTAATCAATAGACTAAAAAAAAACAATGCCCGACAAACTGGTAGAGAAATTTGTTTTGGGTCTGTTCGTCTCCTCGTTCTTATTTTGTTTTTTTTTTTTGAGTTCTGACAGTGAAGGGTGAGGTTTAGTCTAGAGTTTTTTTTTAATATCAATGAAACTTTATTATTATACTCTTTTACATGTAAGACTTTTATGATTCACTATTTATTTTAAGTTTTTTCAAATGAAAATTATTAGGGCTAGAATATTTAAGTTAAATTAGAGTAGTGATTTGTATATGTTCATCTGGATCATTTTCCTACTTACAAATTAAAAAATATTTATCAAATAACATTGGAGAGACTTTTAAATTGCAGTGGACCGAATACCTAAAATTGAAAAAGTCATACATACTATACTAGCTCTGGACTCGGAGGAGCTCTGGGCCGTGGCCCACCCCAAGACCAGCCACTGTTAGCGTCATAAAATGCGTCAAGTTTCTCTACACAATTTGGCTGATGGAGTAATGAAAATTTTGATGCAAATACTACACGATCCACAAGAGACAAAGTGGGAAGTGTCTAAATTGCTAGAGTCTTACTAATTTGCGAGGAACTTATTCTCAATATTAGTTGTCTAGTTGGAGAATTGATTTTGCGGATTAACCCACAACCCAATCGCACTCATTCGCCACCCACCCAACCGAACCCGAAGAAAAAATGTGTGTAATAGCGAGTCATAATTATACCAACTCTCTAATAAGCGAGTGACTCAATTTGAGACCAAAACCCGCCCAATTCGCCCATTCACCTTCACCAATCACCACCCCTACTGGTAAGCCACACTTTTTGACACTAGATCAGTTAAATTCTCCAACTTTTAAATTCGTAATTTTAGGATTCCTTTTGAGTATCTAGTTTGTTAATTAATTTTTTTAAACACTAACATAGACAGACATTCATATTCAGTTCTGGAAATATTGAAAAACATGTTGCACATTAAAATACATGATTAATTTTTTGTTCATAGTATAATCATTCGTTTTGAACATAACATATCATAAACTTTATGTTATTTTTTTAGTGAATTTGATTATTTTAAATGACGTTTTATGTCGTTATATACAAAATGATATTAATTTTCTTCTTATCCATTTTTGGCTATATTTTATGATGATCCTATATATATTTCCGTTCCATAGGACATCATTATATCTCTCGTCTTCTTATCTCTTGAAGAGAGGAGTGAGGATATGTTTTAACTTTAAGCATTTTGAAAGCAAATGCTAAAATATTCGGCCTAGTTTTTTTACTCTTTTTTTATATATATATTTTGCCAAAAAAATCATCCCTTTCTCTTGGGTCAAGAAAGTAAACCCAAAGAAGATTAGCCCAATCGCAAAAGCTGCAGGCTCCACTCTGGATCTCACCATCAACTTGGCGTGTGCAACGAGTTGGTCTATGTCAGACTATACCAAGTTAAATCGATACTTGAATTGAATTACACCAAATCGAATATATTATATAATTTATTGGTCCTATAAATTTTATAAATATTGAAGAAAATGAACAAAAATTAATATTTGGACCGACCAACCGAGCCAAAGTAGACCGCGATCCTACTGAATTTGGTTCAATCCGGACTTTACCGGAAAGTTGCGCACCCATCAACTGCTTTCACTTTCAAGATTGAAAATATGAGGCGTTTGTATCCAATTTCTCCAGACCTTTAATTTTCAATAAGTCAAAGTCAACTGAAAGGAAATTATGCAAGTCTTCAATCCATTTCGGGCCGTTGGATCAGATATTTTGACCCCACAAGATGGACGTCTGCATCAGTCCATAAAATGTAAATGCACCCACCGAATTCCCCTTCTCCGGAGTCCGGCCCGGGCTTAAGAACAGTCCATGGGCCGACTCAAAGCCCAATTGCGCTCGGTTGCCACTTAAGAACACGTGGCGAGCGCAGAACGCTACATCCGGAGAATCGACGCGAAACGGGTCGGCCGCCACGCCACCCATCGTGGCGGCGGCGGAGGTCGAGATTGGAGAAGAAGAATGGAGAAAGTGGGAAGGACGGAAAAGAAAAAAAAAAAAGGAAAATAAGCAAAAAGGGGAAAGAAGGGAACTCGTCAATGACAATTATGCCACCACCAATACTCCAAGGGTGTGGTGGAGTGATTGCGTACACTGTCCGAAGCAGTGGGTCTCTTCTTCTTCTTCCTTCTCCCCATCTCAACAGTCTCTTCCTAACCATCCACCACCGCCATCTCCGCGCTTTCGCCTCCTCCGTCACCGCTGCCAAGGCGCCGCCGTGTTCTTCTCGTTGCCCAACTCTCCGTTCTTTCCATTTCCCTCAGAACGTCAGCTTGTTCCTCACGGGGAACTCTTCCTTCCTCAAGATGGAGGTACCACCTTCCTCTGTAAATTGAGATGCTGGGTTTTCGGGTTCCTTTTGTATTGAATTCTGATTTGCTGAGAGAAAGGAAGGATTGAGGACTCTACTCAGCTTTTGATAGTTGTAATCAATTACTGTTTGATTCCGGTGTCCAGAATTTGCGTAATTTGTGCGATGGGTTTTTTTCTATCTTGCTGTCAATTTTTCTCAATCACTGGGGAAATTCAGGGGTTGATTCGGACTTCGGTTTCTTGTCGATGTGAATTGAATAATGCCAGGGTAGTATTTCGAAAAGTGGGAGAATTTTGGGGATTGGGTTCATGTAAGTCAGGCCTATCTTTTGGATCATCTGCTGCGTCTGTTTTCAGGGTATTATGTGTCAAGCTTGGTGGAGTTGTTGTATTCTTCTGGCCATCGTTTATGGCTCCTGTTTACTCGCAAACGGTGCTCAATTTTGCGCAATTTCTCGTGATTTGGAACTGAAGCCTCAAAATTGGCCTGAACCCATTCCTCATATGGAGGTCATGCTTGTGCTTGTAGTTCCTCATATGGACATCTGTGATTGGGTTGTTTAAGTTATTCCTATAAGTCCTCCTGTAGGTGTATAGAACACTGGCTTCCGCAGCAATTAGATTCTACATTTTGTGCTGCGCCTATAGTATGATGAACTGTCTTGTTGATTTTTGTTAATGTCTGCAGCGGTTTTGGTCTGGCAATAGCATTGACAAGAACAAGGCTATGGTGGACAATCTGAAGCGTTATGGAGTGTTCAATTCGGACAAGGTAGCTGAAGTAATGGAGAACATCGACAGGGCTCTGTTTGTGCCGAATGGAAATTCTGCTTATGCTGACACCCCCATGCCAATTGGCTACAATGCCACCATCTCTGCACCTCATATGCATGCAACTTGTCTTCAGTTGCTGGAGGACTATCTGAAGCCTGGGATGCATGCTCTGGATGTCGGTTCAGGTGCTCCTTTCTCTTTTGATTTTCTGGTTTTTGTCATTCAGGAGAGAACTGAGACACAATGGTTGCTTGCTTGAGATGTTGATAGAATTCTTGCATGGAAAATGCTTTGGCTTTCTTGTGCAGGAACTGGATATTTGACAGCATGCTTTGCCATGATGGTGGGCCCAGAGGGCCGTGCAATTGGTGTAGATCATATTCCGGAACTCGTGGAAACATCGATCAAGAATGTTGAGAAAAGTGCTGCTGCTTCTTTGCTGAAAGATGGCTCTCTCCAACTGCATGCTGGAGGTACGTTGCAACTTGCGACTCGGGAAAAGAACTTAGTAGTTTCACATTAACACTACGGATCTTGATCCCATGACGAACGTTATGCCCTTTATTAAACACAGATGGAAGGCAAGGTTGGCCAGAGTTTGCACCCTACGATGCAATCCATGTTGGGGCAGCTGCACCTGAAATCCCACAGCCACTGATTGAGCAGTTAAAGCCCGGTGGGCGAATGGTGATTCCAGTTGGCAGCATTTTCCAAGACCTGAAGGTTGTTGACAAGAACCAGGATGGCTCCATCAGCGTACGGAGTGAAACTTCAGTGCGATACGTCCCTCTGACTAGCAAAGATGCTCAACTGAGGGGCAACTGATCTTTCTAGGATGCTGGGTTGTAACTCAGGGATCGCTTAAATTTCTGGCTCTAGTTATGTAAATAAATTAGTTGTGACTTTGAGCGCTATCTTACTGCCTTGTCCAGCTCTCTCTGTGCTAATGAATCAGAGCTGTTTAGTAGGCATTGAATAGTGTGCTTGCTTGTAATTACCTTTTGATACCAGCTGAAGGTATCCTGAATAACCAGGTCGATCGATATATATAAATTGCTGTGCTAAGCTTTATACTACTAGACTGTTCGGTATGGTTTCTCAATACAACCGATTCCAGCAAAATGTTTGTACCGGCAGCAGTCCAGAATCATGGCAGACCTTTAATCATTTTTCCAGACAATGTTCAATAGTTTATGAATATTTGAATAACCAGTCTGCAATTTGCTCAGTTTTAGAATTATACAGTGAGGGGCTGCAAACCATGCAATTTTGGCTTGCGAAAAGTAGCTATACCTTCATCGCTTGAAGGGTAAAATATGCTGCTGCTGCTCAATGCACAAATGCCTTGGGGGGCATACATTAAGAAATCTGACGAGAAACAACATTCAATAGGTAAAAATTCTTTTATACAGCATGTTGAAGAAACCACCTGGATAAAATCATATAGCTAATGGATAAATGAAACTGAAAACTCAGACACTCTCATCTTCTCGTCTTCCCAAACCAGCCAGACCACCGTCCCAAAAAGGAAGGAAAAAATTATGGTGACCCTCCTGTCCTGTCTTATAATCTGCAGAGAGATTAGAAGGATCGCCTTTGTCTGTCCTCGGCAACATTCACTCGGATTGCCCTCCCATCAAGAGACTGCAAAAAGGAAGAGAAACAGTACTAAGAACCTCACTCTTTATCCCTACAGTCTACAAAGTACCAGCAAAATATATCACGTAAATGCAAAGATGCCTATACCTGTCCATCAAGAGCGGCAATGGCATCGTTCATCTCCGTCTCATCAGCCATCGTCACAAACCCGAACCCACGTGAGCGGCCGCTGTCCCTGTCATAGACTACTCGAGCATTTGTGACCTTGCCATGCTCGCTGAAGACTTGCTCGAGGCGAGTATCATCGACGCTCCATGGTAGGTTACCAACGTAGACCCTGCAACCAGGTTCAAACGTACGAGGAGCACGCTCCGGCCTTGATCCTCTTGGAGCAGCTTTGTTTACTGTCAAGAACCTACCTCCCATGTCCTGTGTACATCACCAAGTTGAACTCAGTTGAAGGTATATCAAACCGAGTTTGCTCAGAGGCATGCCGTAAGTTCAAAAGTTCATGCATATCCTACTAACATAAAGACAAGTCAATGATGGCTGAGTGGAACATTCCACACTATAACACCTTTCACTGAAATGCAGCACAGAAGTATAGACCAGAAACTGAAAGTACATAGTTATTACTTCAAGCAACTGTTTAACCCGCTTTCAAGTTTCAACGGACCGAACCTGTTAGTTGAGAGAAAGATTAACAATTCAAAGCAGAAATGCATAGAACCCCAATTCCAGCCAAACCAAAAAGATTATCAATCTAAAAGCTAACATTCGTCGAATTTCAGCAGTAAAGACTCAATCTTTCAATGCAACTGACAGAGGCCCAAACTGTTTAGCTAATAGCTAAAACCCTTGCACTGTTTTCATTCTCACACTACTATCCTCAGCCCCATACTACACCAGCAATCAATTGTCAAAAACAGATGGCAAAGAAACGGTCGGACTTACATAACTGTTGAACTTATCCACAGCTTTCTCAGCTTCTTCAACAGTACTCATGGTCACAAACCCGAAACCACGGCTGCTATCAGTCTCCCTGTTGTAAATCACCTGCCAACAAACAAAAGAAGATTTCACAAAGCTGCAAAATGGAAGTCAAAACCCAGTAAAAAAGCTAAATTATTCCATCCAAACAAACCTCAGCAATCTCGACAGTTCCAGCTTGCTCGAACAGCATAGCCAATTTCTCACTATCCACATCGTACGGCAAGTTACCGACGAACACTTTGGCGTCCTCCGACGGCTCCTGCGCCTCAATTGCATCATCCCCATCTTCGGCGGCGGCGTAGGAAGCCACCGGGCCCTCCTCGGCTGCCGAATCCTCACCTTCGTTCTCCCAGCTGCTGCCTTCTTCTTCTTCTTGTTCCGAGTCGGCAATGGTGGCTGTAGTGTTCTGCTCATCCTGCTGCGCCCAATCGGAGGTCTGGGATACGAAGGGGATAAGAGAGGGGAAATGGAGGTGGGTAGTGGGTTTCAGAGAGAGGGAGTGCGAGAGATGGAGTTTGAAGGGTCGAGATGGGATTGATAGAGCGAGGAGAGGGGTTCTGGGAGTGGTGAGGATGGAAGGAAGTGACAGGAGGCAGGATTCCGCCATGGATGCGCGGGTGAAGGTTGAAGAGGAAGTCATTGGAAGGGAATAGAGGGGAAGGTTTTAGGAAGAGGGTTTGGGGTTGAAATTTGGGAGGAGGAAGCAGGAAGGAGAAGAGGATAAGGGAGCGAAGGAGAAGAGGTAGACTAGCGGCGAGAGGAAGAAGAGAAGAGGTGTGCCTCTTAATGGCGTGTTTGGTTGTGGGGGAAAAAAAGAAGAGAAAAATCTTGCTGTTGTGACGGTCCAAATTCCAGCTGGCCTGCAAGTTTTGGGCCCTATGCTTTTTATTTCTTTGGGCCTGTGAGTTTTTCTCCTTTCTTTGGGGCTCACAAGTCACAAGACTTTTTTCTAGTTTTGGTTTTTATAATGAAGATTACCTATAGTTATTAGTTAATCGACTGTTATTAAAGGGAATGGAATGGAATGGAATTGAATTCTCATGTGCTTGTGTTATTTGGTTATGTGTCAATGCAGTTCAAAGGGTGATTCAATGTAAAAGTGGGTTGATGATTTAGAAGCGTAAAATCGTAAATTTTAAAATACAATTTGGGTTGCATAAGTAAAAAACGTGGTTATGTGTAGAAGCAATTTGGTGAACTAGAAGCGTAAGAGCGAAAACTTTCAAATTTTAAAATACGATTTTTGACTACATTGATCTAATGGTCAAATTTTATCCTACTAAAACTGAATCGTATAAAGTGATGATAAAAAATGTTAGGTGCGTCCATGAGGAATGTGTAGAAACCTTGTTAGTTGGAGTGAAATTTGTTAGTGAATGGCACCTATAATTGAGCTGGGGGTAATATGTAGTGATTGAGTGATAGAAACCAGGATCTAGGTGCTCCTGAATTGATGTAGAAGATTGGGAAATTAGTTAGATCAATTAGGAATTGATCTAACTAGGGCTTAGCAAGGAGATTGGGTGTTTGGGAAGGAAAGAGGAAGAAGAAGCTGCGAGCCTGCGACAACAGCTGGGGAAAGGGGAGGGAAGTCTCTCCAGGAGAGAGAGTAAGGTTTAGTAAATTATGTTCTGTAATTGCATATAACTAATTACATAATATATATAACCCGAAAAATTTCCTTTTCCCATCCCACTAATATGACTTCACGAAATACTCCATAATTATTCCTCAAACCCCCCAAATAATTCATGAATGTCACAAAACATTAATAAACACCAAATAAGCCCAAATGATAAAAATAACAAATATTTGTGTTTCTAACATCCTGTTTCCTTGAGAAAAACCTTGCCCTCAACGTTCAACCTCCGCATCCTGGTTCATCTTCCTTGCCTCCTCCGCCTCATCATTGGCTTCATCCTCCTAGCGTCCACCAGTATCATCAAGTCGGGCTTCACGACATGGTGCCCGAATGTGTATCTCTCATTGTAGTTGAAGCATTCCCTTCCCGCCTCTTCTACTCGATCTCCGCTGGCAACAACTTGACAAAACCATTTGGAGGAGCCTGAAGTCCCAGTCGAGTTGCGGCGATTAGGGTTGCACTAGCGTTGCTCCCTGCTACGAATCCTCCTCCATTGCTGGTAGTGACGCTGCTACTTCTTCCTCCACTAAGCTTCTTGTACCGGCCTATAGAATTCCTCCTACTTGTTATCTCTTCTTCCTTGCGACCTGCAAGTCTAAAAGCGGTTCTCAAGGAGTTAGACTCAAACACGCTAAAGGCTGTGACGATCTCAGGTCGTAGACCTGCCATGCACAATCCAACCAGATACTCTTCTAGTACGCCCTTGCACATGTTTCCCAACTTGAGGAACTCTGCTCTATACTCCGCCACTATTCTGGTTCGCGTTATCATATGACCTCTCAAACCACTATCACCATTGCAGGGCACCACCCTCTAAGTAGAAGGACGCCGTATGTGCCTTCGTCTCCTCCTTAGTCAGATGATTCTTGAATCACTTGTCAGCAACATACAACCATATACCGGCATCCTACCGGTCATTGAATTTGGAAAATTCAATGGTTGGTTGCCTAGCCCGGAATACCAGTTCATCATCACCATCAAACATAGGATTGTAACTACCGTACCTTCCGATTCCATTGCCCCATACCGAGGGTTGGAATAGCCGCCTTTCTCCCTGGCACCTCGCCCTGTCATGTCATCATTGTCGGGGTAACCCTCATGGTCCTTCCCTTGCCTCTCGCCTCGCGTCCGGGTACCTGCTAGATTGCCTGTTGTTGCCTTGATTAAGCTAGGACCGATTAGGATATTATAATTTTTGTTCTGCAATTTTTTAATGAGTAATCCTACTAATGTATAACTCGATAAATTCTCTTTTCACACCCCACTAATACGATTTAACGAAATACTCTCTAATTATTCACAAAACCCACCAAACAATCCCTATATGTCACTAAACATTAATAAACGATAAATAAGTCCAAATAATTAAAATAACAAATATTCGTGGTTAACATTGAGCTTAAAGTTTCATTTGCTTATTTTTGTGTATTTTTGTGCATCTACTTATTGTGTGCTTGTTGCTTGTCTGCTGAATTTGTCATGTTCCGCTTGTAAGAATTTTTATCCCACATTTCATCTACTTTTAAGCATTGTTACTGACATTCTGTGGTGGTTTCTCCTCTATTTCCAAACGACTGAACCATCTATGATTGAAAACATACGCAGTAAACTTGTCAAAGATAAATCTTCGATCAACAAATCTTCCAAGCACCACCAAAATCTCACTCAATATGCAGAAACACAGATACATACACCTCAAACATGCTTTACATAACGCCATACTTTTCACACCCACACCCCTATTGGCTTATTCCACTCACATAAACATTCTACAACATATCCCACAGTCAACAATAACATAGTGAATACGTTGCTACTATAGATCATTGAGGATGACCTGAACTCCGTGCTCCGGCCGGATTGTTATGATTTGCACTGGAGAGTGCACATAAGCAGGTGAGAGTGTGAACGCATAAAGCTGAAGGATCATGGCAAGTGCAATCTTCGCTTCGTGTGCTGCGAAGTTGGATCCAGCACAAACTCGCTGTCCTATACCGAAGGGGACGAATGCAGATGCATTGTTCTTTGTTGCTTTGGCAACTCCTTCGGAGAACCTCTCAGGATTGAACTGCAGCGCATCTTCCCCCCAAATTTCAGGATCTTGATGGAGAGTTAGAGTGTCGATGGTGAAGTATGTGTTCTTTGGCAGTGTGTGCTTCCCGAGCTGGACTTCCTTCACCACTCTCCGAGCCATCCCAATTGCAGGAGGATATAATCGCAGGGTCTCGTTGATTATCATGCTCACCTGCCGAGAGAGACGATATATATGTAGCAGGATTAGTCAAATTTCATTGAAATTCTTAACTCTTAAGACATTAAACTACGAATACATTAAAAGGGTCCTTACCGTCTTGAGCTTTGAAATCCCATCTGCATCAGGTGCTCGGTCGCCCAAATGGGTCTGAACTTCCGATCTTGCTTTCTCCTGCCAATCTGTATGGATGGATAGAAGCAACATAACCCAGGAGAGCAGAGTATTGGTTGTTTCTTGTCCAGCAAGATACACTGTCTTGCACTCATCTATGAGATCATCCTCCGAAATCCGCTTGGATTCATCGGTTTCGTGATAAGAACTCAAAAGCAACCCACAGAAGTCGCTCCCAAAGTTTTCTGCTTCACCATTCGCCACCATCTCTTCTCTCTTTCTCAGCATTCCCTGTATGACAGCTCGTATGCCTTGTTCTAGCTTTTCCGCTTCAGTATCATCTCTGCTTTTGTAGATCTTGCTGCAATCAAGTTCATGTGCGCAAAGAGACGAATCACAATTCACTCCCTTGCAGAGTATTTGATTAAGGTAAGGAATAGTCTTACCTGATTCCAGGAATCCTAACTTTGAAGAAATTGGCTGCAGCAAGCTCGACCATCTTACTTAACAAGTTAAAAATGCGCTTTCCTTCAACGAAATTACTTCCAAAAGCAGTTCTCGATATGACTTCGGAAGTTAAGAACTCGAATTCTTCATACACCTCAATCTCTTTCCCCACGTGATTCTTCCAACTCTCAAGCATCATTTCTGTGCTAGCGATCATGGCCGTAGTCATGTTCTGCCAGGAAAAAACACAAGGTTCATAACCGTTCACTGGTTCAGGCATTTTAACAAACAGGAGTTGTTCAAAACCTTAAATAAACATTTTTTTTTTTGCAGAGAATACACCCAAAAAACCCATTCATCAAATGCGGTAGTGATCTGACAGTAAAGCTGAAAAGTGAAATCTTTTATGTGATTGAAGGTAACCCACCAACCTTTAAGCTCTCGCCATTGAAAGCATGGTTGGCCAACTTCCTCATCTTGACCCACTTCTCACCACCAGAAGTCGCGAGCCCATCTCCAAGCATTGTCTTCATAATACCTTTGGGCTCCTGTTGACACCTAAAATTAATTTGGCCTAAATTAAATGCCGCATTAATTAGTCTCGGCATTTAATTCGATACCGCGGGTAAAAAACGGTGTCGTTTGGAGTTGAGCGGCGTCGTGGAGAGTTAAAACGGTACCGCGAAACAGAAAAATGGTACCGCAAGGAAGCTCACCGGTACCGCAAGGAAGCTCACCGGTACCGCAAGGAAGTTCACTGGTACCGCAAGGAAGCTCACCGGTACCGCAAGGAAGTTCACCGGTACCGCGACAGTGGAAACGACATTGTTTACCAGAAAACTGGATGGGGTCGCGCGCATAGTATTGGTGTTGGAAAAGGAGTTATTATTATTATTATTATATTATTATTATTATTATTATTCCTTGTGGGAAGGGGAGAAGCGGTACCGCATGGAGACAAGTGGCACCGCGGAGAGTTAAAACGGTACCGCAAGGAAGCTCGGTGGTACCGCGGCATGGGAAACGACACCGCTTAATGAAAATAAAACGGGGCCGCGCGTGTAGTTGGGTTGGAGAAGGGAGTTTTATAATTAATTATTACCTTTATTCCTTGTAGGAAGGGGAAAATCGGTACCGCATGGAGAATTAAAACGGTACCGCAAGGAAGCTCAGCGGTACCGCGACACCAGTCACCAAAAAACAAAAGAGGGGCCGCGCGTTAGTTGAGTGTTGAGGAATGAGTTTTGTTTACTCTAATTAATTATTATTAATTTTTACTCCTTGTTGGATAGGGAGAAGCGGCACCGCGGAGAGCTAAAACGATGCCGCGGAACTAAAAACGGTACCGCGATAAGCCCAACGGTACCGTGGATTAGCAAACGACAGTGTTTAAAATAATAAACAATGCCGCGAAAGGAAAAGCAAACGGGGCCGTTTTGGCGCTAATGATGTCGTTGGTCAACACGCGTATTTGATTTGTGATGGCCGAATTGATCAATTAATATTTTAATGACTGTTTGGGACGGTGTCGTTTAGTTGAAAAAGATGCCGCAAGAGAAAGAAACGACACCGCGGATTACAAAGCAGTGCCGCGAGTAGGCGAAACGATGCTGCAACAGTTAAAACGACAGTGTTTAAAATTAAAACAGTGTCGCGAAGCTCAAAAGTTCAACAACATCGCGGGACAAGGAAACGATGTTGTTTAACTAGGAACGACGCCGAGGGGTGAAAGTTTGACGGGCGAGTGGATTTTATGATTATTTTAGACGGCGTCGTTTAATGAAAAGCGATGCCGCGAAAAAGTAAAACGACATCGCGGTAGTGGTAAGAGTTCGGCCGAATGCAGCCCACCAAGCCTAACGGCGTCGCAAGAGTATAGAACGACGTTGTTTGATGGACTAACAATGCCGTTGGTTAAACCGGGTCGGGGCAGTTGAGTTGGATCATAAAACGGCATCGGTTGGTGAAAGGCGATGTCGTGGTATTGGTGAAACGTCATCGTTACATGGACAAGGTGGTGAGTCGTTTCGCCAAGTTTATGCAAAGCAAGAGCGGTTTCGAGGGCACGTGATTATCACGCAACAAGGAGGAAGTTACCTGCACGGTTGACAGGAATGAAGACGTGGGAGACAAAGGCGCGAAGGCGGTTACTACGACGAGGAGAAGCGCGAAGTATAAAGATTGGGAAGAGAGAGAAGTTCGAGACGGCAAAATCAAATCACAAACTGCACCTACGCAGATTTATCTTTTTCTCTCTAGTTTGTAGAACCTCTCTGTCAAAGACCTCCTTTGCAGAGTCGTAGTAGTCGTAGTCGTAGTTGCGGAGCTCTCCAGAGGAACCTCCATAGGAGTAGAGGTAACGTAACTTAGAACACTCCCGGTTTGGTTTCTCGTTTCTCGTGAACACCCTCGTTCGAACGTAGTTTGGAGAGGTGGTGAACCGAGTAACGGTTGTTTGATTAGAGGTCAAAGGTGCATCGATCAAATCAACGACGCCGATACCGGCGGCGGATATTTGACGATCGTCTTGGTTTCTACTTTAATCGATCAAATCAACGACGCCGATATCGGCGGCGGATATTTGACGATTTCGCTGACTTTGGGTTTTTTGTTTCCTTGAAATCAGAGCGCATTGAACGCGCGAGTTTCGCCAACGAAACAACTCCACTTTCCGGTAAGCTTTCTCCCGATCGGCCGCTACTTCCTTCACCAGATTCGGCTCCGACAAGACCAAGAAAGGGCGAGGGCCAAACCAGAATGTGAAGTTCCGGCCTAATCAATCCAAAAAAAAAAAAAAAAAAATAGCCACCTTCATTAGCCACAAAAAGCAATCAAAACAAACTTATCCATTGATATCTTATTTTCCGCGCACCGTAAGTCTTGGTCCAAGCGGAGAGGTGAGGCTGCAACCTCGGGTAGATGTCGTGAGAGAGGCCTGACATGGGTTTCGCCATGGATGCCTGCCTGAGCTTCTTCATCTCCAGAGTGTTCCCAAAGAAGAACTTGTAGGAAGGGCCTCTGGCTCCCAGGGAGTTCAGCCGGCGCTGCAGCAGGAGGGGCTTCAGCAACATGTTGTGAAGGAAGATGATCAAAGCTGCCCCGAGAAAGCCGAGGCAGAGAGCCATGGGAATAAGCATTTGTGACGCTGTGAGATTGTCAATCATTCTTCTTCTTCTCGCAGTGGCGGGGGAGGGGATGGAGGCATGGAGCTAATGAAAACACTTTGGGCTGCGTTCGAGTTTCTCCATTTAAGTACTGTAGTAGTAGTTCTACAATTTTTAAAATGGCGTGGACATTGTGATGGTAATGTTCGCGCTAACACAGTCATATAATAATAGCAATGACGATATGATTAATGATATCATCATTAATGATGATGTAATGAGTTATTTATAAAACTAACACCATCTTTTAAAATGATTTTACAAACTACTCACTAAAGGGTTTTTTCAACGATTATTCTAAGGATTGCTATTTGTTACTCTGAAAATCTTTATTTGTCGCCTTAATTATGTTAAATTTACTCTAATATTCTTAGTTTATCTTTTGCTGCCCTAAACATCTAAATTGAGTTTTATACGACAACAATTATAACAAATAAAAATAGATTAGGAAGTTTTGCTTCATGTTTCACCCATCAATGTTGCACCATTACTACAGGAAATGAAGAAAATAAATAAAAAATTACACGAAACTCGGACTGGCTTTTTGCATGCTCCATGTAACACAGCGGACAGGTTGAAAACCCGTCGCCGGAGAGCTCTGGACAGGTCGGCTACCTTTTTGAGCTCGCCGACGACGGGTTTTCAACCCGTTCGTTGGGACTTGGGATTATATATAAAAAAGTAATAGAAGCAGGTCAACATGTTGGGGAAACAGGCGGGTCGGCAGGCTGGGGGACGACAGCGACATAATTGGTTTTACCCGCTTGGACTTCTTCCTCTTTCTTTCTCCTACGCCATCGTTTTGGTATTGTCGTCCTTCTAAGTCTCCAGCAACATCCTAACGCATCTCTCTCATCTTCCCAGCTTCGCGACATCTTTCTCGTTCTTCTCCAAAAGCAGTCGCCCTTCTGCTAGAACTCATGATAGCCAAAACATCTCTATTTGTAAAAAGTCATCTTCCTCGACCTCTATATATTCTGTAGCTTTCATGTTATTTGAACTTGACAGTTTGTAGTGAGAAAAAGTTGAGTGTCTCTTTTTACCTTGGGTCCATTGTTGTTTGCTTAAGTAGCTCAATTTATAGTTTCCGTGTACTGGATGAATTGAGCTTGGGAAGTAGATAGGTGCTTTGTTGAGAACCATTATGTTTGGTTCTAGTTCGGATTTTTCTTTGTTCAGTGAACTCGTTGTTGTACTCATTTCAAGATCAATACAATGTTCTTTTCTTCGTTAAGTTTCAAATCCAGAAATCCCTATTTAGATTGATAATTCAATCTTCTTAAATCGAGTAATCCTTCCCATTCCTAATTCACAAATTCGTCGGCGACAAAGACAAACCCACGAAACAATTATGCTGAGCGCAATCCAATTCCAGAGGGAAATCGAGATTGAGGTGTTCCTACTAGGACCAATCAAGCCCTTGACGAGAGAATTCAGAACCTGGAGTAGAGATTGATCACCACGAATTACACGACCAAGTGCATCACCATCACGAATCTAGCGATCATGATAGGAGGCCACAGAAACTACCGAGAGGGATAGTTGTTGATTTACGAGGAATTAAGCTCTTGATTCCTTCATTTCAAGGAACTAACAATGCTTCCACCTACCTGGATTGAGAGAGGAAGATCATCCTTTTCTTTCAATGTGATAATTACACGAAATCATAGAAAGTTTTGCTTGCTACGTACGAGTTCACAGATTACGCTGCAACTTGGTGGGAACATACACAACTTCATCGTCAGAGGAATTTGCATCCGGATGTGGCAACCTGGGCTGAATTGAGAGGGATAATGAGAGAGAGAGAGAGAGAGAGAGGTTTGTGCCTGGATACTATCAAAGAGAACTCTTTGATTCGCTGCAAGGGATTCGAGGATTGAGTTCTGTTGTCGAGTATTCCAGGAAGCTTGAACTGTTCTTGATGAGGGAAGACGTAAGGGAGGACAAGATTTCTGCATGGACTCAATCTAGAAATCAAGCATCAAATGGAGCTTGGTCAACTTTTGGAGCTTAAGGAGATGGTACACCTTCAAATTAAGGCGGAAAAGCAGCAGAAATTGATGTCCGGAAGAAGGTATTTACCTTCCATTAAAACTGTTACAGGGCACACTTACGAGGCCAAGTCCCATCAGTTCAGTTCGGAAGGAGCTAAGCCAGCTCCCAGGAACACTGCTCATATATTCCAAAAGGTCCAGGAGGATCATCGAACATCATTCGATGTTTAAAATGATTGGGACGAAGTTACAAAGCAAATCAGTGCCCCAACAAAAAGGTACTAGTACTTCGAGATGAAGAGTACTTCTCCGAGGAAGAAGAAGATCAGCCAAGGGAAGCATAAATCGATTCTAATGGTGGTGTTGATGATCACATCACTGCTGAAATCCCTGCAACAGGTAAATTTCTCGGAGTCAACCGTCGAGTGCTGGCCATCAAAGCTCAATCAGAGACAGAGAAACTCGACAATTTGTTCCATACGCGTTGTATGGTTGATGAGATATTGCTTTATGTCGTCATTGATGGTGTTAGTTGTACCAATGTGGTGAGTCTTGATACCGTAAGGAAACAAGGATTGGATACGATCTCAGCCTTACACTCTTCTTTGGGTGAATGACTATGGAGCTATCAAAGTTACCAAGTAAGCCAATGTTTGTTTTGAAATTGGTGGGTATAAAGATGAGATGTGGTGTGATGTTGCATAAATGAAGGCGACTCATCTATTTCTAGACAGACCATGGAAAATTGGCAATACATTTGTAGAGTTATTCACAAAGGAAGAGACAATTGCTACAAGTTCAAGCAAGGAGGCTGAAAAATTATGCTCAAACCACTAACTCCAGCCGAAGTCCGACAAGATCAACGACAATTGTAGCTGAGCTAAGCAAAGGAGAAGAGTGATTCGAGTAGCTCGAAGTTGGAGAAAAGCAGTGGGGCCAAATTTATAGCTCGACAATACTTATTGACTGCTATGTGAGGAGTTCCAAACATGAAGCTGGTTAAAGTAGGTCGCCCTTGTTCCGAAAAAACAGAACTCGAGTTCTGATGAGGTCGTCGTGGCACTATAGGACTATTCGACTATTGCCACCACTTGGAACGAGTTTCTGGGAGGCCCAAGAATGATTCCCCACATAGCAGCAACTCTAGACAAACGAGAATAAAACGCCCAAATTGGAATTCGACAATCTGGAGTTGAAAAAATTTAAATCCAACTTTGGGGGGAAACTTTGAGGGCCGAGTCGACGCTTATCAAGGCTAGTCGATGTTTGGGTTCACTCGGGAATTTTAATTCGAAGAATGAGCAAGATCGAAAGTGCAGTGGATTGGAAGATGGAAGCTTGAATTGTTCAAACTTGAATTTTGGGGATTTCCTAGAGTTCGTCATGGAACTAAGAACTTCAGTAAAGTTTGTGGTTTATCAATCAAGTAATTCACCCTTGATTGTGGCGAGCATCTACCCCAATTGATAGAGCCTTCTCCCAGATGTGAGGTTGCACTTCAATTCCATCCTTGTCCGACCCAAATAGCTAGGTTATTTGAGTTGTTCTTGGTTCGAGTTTCATTGATCAATCAAACTCTTTGATTGATCGAGTTTAGCTGTGTAACTCTGGTCATTGATCTCCATTGAGATCACATCAATTGCTTGGAGAATTAGCAATTAAGAATCCATGCGAGCTTTTCACAATCCTCGAATCCCTGGTAAGAAGCTCCTCTTATTTCTCAATTGATATATCTGTGGGTACTGGGTAGCCGTGACTTAAATTTCAAGACCTTGCGATTTTCTCCAAAGTACATTAGGTTTAAACATAATATTTTTAAAATACAATAGTTCTTTTATCGAATTTCTGAACTACACATGTTTTGTATTGATTGCTTAGATTAAAAGTGATTTGTGTAAAAATCATTGAGCTGGAAATCGATTGTACTTGATCGTTGATGGGCAAAACGATCAGTGATTGATCGTCGATGCGTAGAGTGATTTGTGGGATGAGATGGGATGCTAACCACCTAATAGCTTAGTATCGTAGTAACCCTTCCCATCTCATTCGTTTATAATTAATTCAATCTAAGGGTGGTTTTGATAAAAGGGGTATTTTGGCAAGTTATGCATGTGATCACACCCTTGGGAATAAGCGTGTGAGATTTGTAAGGGGTCAAACCCAACAACTGTATTGAAGGTAATGATGATCAACTGATGATGATGGAGTGACGATGAAGGAAACCTGAAGTGCAGATGAAGGAACTGGTCGAAGAATGAAGCAGCACTGAAGAACTCCATGTACGACGTCGTGTTTCCCTCAGAAGCAATAGAGGAGCTGAGTAGAAACGATGTCGTAGATGTTAGTGCTGCAGTCCTTTCCGTTTTTACTGTTTATAGCTACGTGTCTCTGTTTTATTGGTAGGTAGTTTGATTTCAGTTTATTACCGTTGTACAACTGTTGGGAAGGTTACTTTCCCTTTCCCTTCTTATCTCCTTCTGTATATAAATATAGGCTTTGTTCCTCCATTCCAACCAATATCCTTTTCTTCCTCAAATTTTCTTTTCTAGTCTCTTCTCTCTCTTCCAATATTTGACGATCCAGATCCAATTTCTCTAGTCTCCGTCCTCGTTATCTCCGCCCTTCCATCGTCGTAGCCGTCTTCAGCCTCATTTTCCTGCGTCGCCGTCTTCTACAACGACCTCGCCTTCGGCGTCGTCCTCTGCATCGACGTTATCTGCATCGCCTACCCCTCCACAGCCCTCATTTGTGTTGCTGTCGCGCCTTTGCCTCCCCCGCCCTCACCAGCGACGTTGTCGTCTGAATTGGCCTTGCCTGCTCCATCTCGATTATGGTGGATTGAAGCTGTGTATTGGAGGGCATCAAGTAGGTTTAGGATTTCATATCTGGAATATGTCTCACCTACTGTTTGGTCATATTTAGAGTAGTAGTGATTTTCAAAGACTTGTAGTGGTTTCCAGCTCTACTTCGTAGCGTTTTGTAAGTTTGGAAATGAAATATTAATTAGGTGTTCTCTATTTTTATACGTGGTAGTATTTTTTTATTATTGTTTTGACATTATTTTGGTAGTGTTTTCCAATTTTTGCAGGACCTAGTAATGTTTGCAGATATATAATTAGTAGTGATTCTGTATGTGCTGGCTAGGGTTTTTATAATTAGTAGTGATTCTGTAAGTGGTGTTCTCTATTTATGTATATCATAGCATTTTTCTTCATATCTATGGTGGTAGTGTTTTTTTATTGGCATGATTTTGGTAGTGTTTTCCAATTTTTACAAGACCTTGGAGTGTCTTCGGATCTAACATTAGTAGTGATTCTACAAATAGTATTTACTGATTAGTAGTGATTCTTATGGTTTAGTGTTTCTAAGATTTGTTGTGATTCTGTAGTGATTATGTTACAGACGCCGTCGGTGATATACTATCCCGTTCAAGAACGCCATAGAAAAAGTAGTGAGTTCTTAATGACCAAAATAAGCGATTGTCACGAAGACAAGGGCTGGATTTCCGAAAAGCAAACATCCTTGACGTTCACCATCACCAAATAAAAAAAATGGGGCAGTGATTCGCACGCAGTTGATGACACTAATCGGAGATGCATAGAAAGCAAGGGTCGAGATTAACAAGCTATGATGCATCGGACGGTGTTTCGCTAGACTGCAGGGAACTTACAGTAGACTCGCCCGTTGCCCACTGGACCTCTTAAGCAAAACAGGCTGTTGTGGTTTCTCCCTTATTTCTAAAAGATTGAACCATCTATGATTGAATCTTATTTAAAAAAAAACCATCTATGACTGAAACGCATTAGGTGAAACTAGTCAAAGATAAATCTTCGATCAACAAATCTTCCAAGCACCACCAAAATCTCACTTGCATAAACACAGATACACCTCAAACATGCTTTACATGACGCCTTACTTTTCACACCCACACCCCTATTGGCTTATTCCACTTACATATACATTCTATAGCATATCCCACAGTCAACGATAACATAGTAAATACATCGCTACTACAGACTACAGAGCATGGAGGATGACCTGAACACCGTGCTCCGGCCGGATTGTTATCATTTGAAGTGGAGAGTGCACATAAGTAGGGGAGAGCGTGAACGCATAACGCTGAAGGATCATGGCAAGTGCAATCTTTGCTTCGTGTGCTGCGAAGTTGGCTCCTGCACAAACTCGTTGTCCTATACCGAAGGGGACGAATGCAGATGCATTGTTCTTTGTTGCTTTGGCAACTCCTTCGGAGAACCTCTCTGGATTGAACTGCAGCGCGTCTTCCCCCCAAATTTCAGGATCTTGATGGAGAGTTAGAGTGTCGATGGTGAAGTATGTGTTCTTTGGCAGTGTGTGCTTCCCGAGCTGGACTTCCTTCACCACTCTCCGAGCCATCCCAATTGCAGGAGGATATAATCGCAGGGTCTCGTTGATTATCATGCTCACCTGCCGACAGAAACAATTTCATTGGAATTCTTAGCCACTAAACTAGGGCTACATTAAAAGGGTTCTTACAGTTTTGAGCTTTGAAATCCCATCTGCATCAGGTGCTCGGTCGCCTAAATGGGTCTGAACTTCCGATCTTGCTTTCTCCTGCCAATCTGTATGGATGGATAGAAGCAACATAACCCAGGACAGCAGAGTATTGGTTGTTTCTTGTCCAGCAAGATACACTGTCTTGCACTCATCTATGAGATCATCCTCCGAAATCCGCTTGGATTCATCGGTTTCATGATAAGCACTCAGAAGCAACCCAAAGAAATCGCTCCCAAAGTTTTCTGCTTCACCATTTGTCACCATCTCTTCTCTCTTTCTCAACATTCCCAATATCAAAGCTCGTACTCCTTGTTCTAGCTTGTCCGCTTCAATATCATCTCCACTTTTATAGATCTTGCTGCAATCAAGTTCATGTAGCGCAAAGAGGTGAATCACAATTGACTCCCTTGCAGAGTCTTTGATTTAGGTAATGAATCAATGATCTAGCATTCCTAGGTAAGTCTTACCTGATTCCAGGGAGCCTAACTTTGAAGGCATTGGCTGCAGCCAGCTTGACCATCTTATTTAACATTTCAAAAATGCGCTTCCCTTCAACGAAATTACTCCCAAAAGCAGTCCTGGAAATGACTTCGGATGTTAAGAACCTGAATTCTTCATAAACCTCAATCTCTTTCCCCACGTGATCCTTCCACCTCTCAAGCATCATTTCCGTGCTAGTGATCATGGCCGGAGTCATGTTCTGCCAGGAAAAAAGCACAAGCTTCATAACCGTTCAGTGGTTCAGGCATTTCATCGAACGGTTAGCCCACAAACCTTTAAGCTCTCGCCAAAGAAAGCATGGTTGGCCAACTTCCTCATCTTGACCCACTTCTCACCATCAGATGTCACCAGCCCATCTCCAAGCATTGACTTCATAATACCTTTGGGCTCTACTTTCCGATAAGCTTTCTCCCGATCGGCCGCTACTTCCCTCACCAGATCCGGCCCCGACAAGACCAAGAAAGGCCGAGGGCCGAACCAGAACGTGAAATTCCGGCCTAATCAACCAAAACTCAATACCCAACCTTCATCAGCACAAGGAAATTGCCAAAACAAACTTATCCATTTGATGTCTAATTTTTCCTCACCGTAAGTCTTGCTCCAAGCGGAGAGGTGAGGCTGCAGCCGAGGGTAGATGTCGTGAGAGAGGCCTGACATGGGTTTCGCCATGGATGCCTGTCTGAGCTTCTTCATCTCCAGAGTGTTCCCGAAGAAGAACTTATAGGAAGGGCCTCTGGCTCCTAGGGAGTTCAGCCGACGCTGCAGCAGGAGGGGCTTCAGCAACATGTTGTGAAGGAAGATGATCAAAGCTGCCCCGAGAAAGCCGAGGCAGAGAGCCATTGGAAGAAGCATTTGTGAAGTTGTGAGATTGTCAATCATCCTCCAGACTTTCCGCTTGAGAACCAACTCAAATGATTTTTTCCTGGCTTCTCCGCATAGTAAGAGGATTCTTTGGTCATTTTGTGGGCTTAAAACACTCAGCATATTAATTTAAAAAATCCGGACTCCAACTAAAAAAAAGGACATCCTTTTTTATTAACATGTTATATATGAGTTTATTTATTATATTTTAAAATATTGGTGTAAATGCAATTTGAATTTGTGCAATAACGGTAAAGATATAAGTTTAGTTTTTATTATAAAGCAATTTGTACGAAAATGTGTATGTGCAAATTGTACCACAATGTTAAAAGTACATTTTTATTTTGTATCGCAGATGAATATGTACGAAAACATATAGTACAAACTAAATTTATATCATACAATAAAGAAATTTATCCGAAAATGTATAGAATATGTACGAAAACATATAGTACAAACTAAATTTATATCATACAATAAAGAAATTTATCCGAAAATGTATAGAATATGTACGAAAACATATAGTACAAACTAAATTTATATCATACAATAAAGAAATTTATCCGAAAATGTATAGAATATGTACGAAAACATATAGTACAAACTAAATTTATATCATACAATAAAGAAATTTATCCGAAAATGTATAGAATATGTACGAAAACATATAGTACAAACTAAATTTATATCATACAATAAAGAAATTTATCCGAAAATGTATAGAATATGTACGAAAACATATAGTACAAACTAAATTTATATCATACAATAAAGAAATTTATCCGAAAATGTATAGAATATGTACGAAAACATATAGTACAAACTAAATTTATATCATACAATAAAGAAATTTATCCGAAAATGTATAGAATATGTACGAAAACATATAGTACAAACTAAATTTATATCATACAATGAAGAAATTTATCCGAAAATGTATAGACACAATGATATGAAACATTGTAAACTTCCTCTATATATATTGTACGAGTTTGATATTTCCAGTAACTAAATTAATTGGAATTTCGTATGGTACGAAATAAAACAGGTTTTGATTCGAATAATTATTAGGATAATCCATACTGTTATTGAAATTCATCCGGCCAACGGGCGGGTCTAAATCTAGTTCTTATTCTCGCAGTGGCGAGGGAGGGGATAGAGCTAATGAAACTTTGGGCTGCGTTCGAGTTTCCTCATAAAAAGATCAGGATATCAGAAGGAAAAGTCAATTATTCTAGCTAAATAGCTAATACAGTCATACAATAATGACAAATTATAATATAATATACCGTTGTTTTGTTCTATTGAACGCAAGGTTGTCAAACCGGTTTAAGTCATTGAGCCGGTCAACCAAGGGGTTTGAGGTTTAATGGTCTGATCGGGGTTCGGCTGGTTTGAGCCGTTTTAGACGTTTTCTAATTATATATACAAATAAGGTAGTAATTAAAGATTTAATGAGTGAAATAAAACTTATCTTACATATATATATTAAAAACTTATTTTCAACAAAATAAATATACCTAACCTCCATGATCCACCCACCATTTCTCTTCTTTCGTTCCTCTTCCTCTCTTCCCCCACTCTTCTTCTCCCTCTTTAGGGGTTAGACCGAGGGCTTTCTGGAGGCCGTTTTGAAGCCCGACTCGGGTCGGACCGGGTCCAACTGGGGGGTTCGATAGGGGTTTAACAACCTTGATTGAACGACGTTAATTTTTTAATTTATTAAAACATCCGACCAGAGAAGAAAAGATAATGATAATTAATACTGTGAAAGGAAAATGTGGCGACAAAGAAATTAAAAAAGAATAGAAAGGGTGAAAGTGAAAGATAGAGTACATTCAAATAGGAAAATTTTCAACATGCTTTTGTTGCTCAAAATAGTACTTCAGTGATATATAATAGCGGCTAAATTACATGATTGATCATTCGAATTACATAAATTTTTCACTTTTGCCGCCCGAATTACTATTCTTTCTTATTAGCCACTAACTTTATGAATTGTTTCACCACTGGTCATCGATCGTTAGTCTTCGTCAGACTCCGTTAAAGCCGTCAGATTTTTGATGACGTGGCAAACGAGAGTGCTGATTGGGCTGAAAAAGGTTGAGATGGAATTTTTAATTAAAAACAAAAATTAAACAAAACAGAAAATAAAACTCATTGCATTTTGGCGTTGTCGCAGCTGATTGAGAATAGGGTTTTTCCCAACCTTCCACTCCGCCGCCGTCCCCGAGATGAGGTCGTTTCTTTACCCCCAACTCAACGACTGAAGAAGAAGAAGGTGAAGAATAAACAACTTCTTCCTCCATGGCCTCCTCGTCAGAAGATGATGGTCAAAGAGGTGACGACAACTATTCTGGGTCGAATCGAAAGAGGGAGCTTGCCATTTGTGCGGTGTGGGCTTCCAGATTAGTTGTCTCAGGGTCGAATCGGTCATGGGCTCCAGCGTTGGCCTTTGAAGAGGGCCGATTGAAAAGTGAATAAGGTAATTTTGTTGTATGTGAAAAGGGTTCTGCCACCTAGTTCCAGCTGGATTGAATGACAAGGGTTCTACCATTCGTTATGGTAAATCAAGCTACACGGCGTCGACTTCCATAATCAATGAGGTCGAATCGAGCCGGAAGCAAGAATTCGCGGCCAGATCATCAATTGCTAGGTCGGTAGATGAGGGCTCCTTCTTCGACGGAAGAGAAGATGGAAACCCAATCGATGATGTTGTCCCGGCACCGAAAACTGAACCGACACTATAGAAATGACGGCAGAGATCAGCGACCAACGCCCTTGTTTCTTGTCGTCGTTCAACATCCCCAGACCCAACCCATAATTGAATGAAAACGTTGGTGTATAATGGTTGAGGTCAGGACGCCATATTTGAGTTACTTTTAGGGGTTTTGGATTATGACGAACCAGGGGTTCTGGTAAGCTTGCTTCTTTGTTTACAGAAGAGTAGAGACATGGACTAGCTGCAGAAAAGTGGGGCGGATTGATTTAGTCGGCGACGGAACAAAATGGTGGTAGAAGGCGGTTGAAACTAGGGAGATTGACTATGGAGTCGACGAAGGAGGAGCATCAACGACCATCCGAATTTTTTGGTCTAACTAAAGTCAAAATGTTTTCTCAATAAAATCCGGGAAGCTTCATGAAGTGCTTCTTTAGGAGTTAAACTTCCATTGGAGCTATATTTTTTATTAGAGATTACAATCCGGAGCAGAATGAGGATAATGTAAAGTTGACCCTCCCCCTCCTTTTTTTAATCCGAAGGAGTAAAAGTAAAAGAAAATGTAAAAATGAGTCCCTCAATTGCTGGGTCGAGGCTGAATAGGCAGTCAAAACTACATGGCTCAGCCTTTTTTCAGCCCAGTCAGCACTTATGTTTGTCACGTCATAAAAAATCTGACGGCGCTAACAGAGTCTGACAGAGACTGACGGTCGGTGACTAGTGGTGAAACAATTCATAAAGTTAGTGGCTAATAAGAAAGAAAAGTAATTCGGGTGACAAAAGTGAAAGATTTATGTAATAATTTAGCCAATATATAGCAAACAAATGAAAAAAAGTTGTATTAATGATGATTGAATATGGGGAGTGGATCCCGTTGTGTATTGGTCATGTTTAAATTTTTCTGCATTAAATTTAACAAATTATATCTTATTAATTTAAGTGGAAATTCAACTTTTGTACATAGAAAAATAAGATTAATCATGCTCTTCAAAATAGTATTCACTTTAATATATTTGAAAACATAAAAATTAAGACATATATTGTCAGTGTTTACCTCGTTGGTAATGCTTTGCAACACATAAAAGATAAGATTTTGCTTAGTAGTATGAAAATGTATTGTGGTTGTATGACTATACCAAAATGATAATAAAATGTATTAATCATCACGGTCTACCACCGATTAACTTCTTATACCAAAATGATATAGAATAATATATTTGGTCCATATAATAAGCCTGATAAATACTCAATCCAAACAACTTCTAATATGTATGAACAATGCTTACAGAAGCATCATAATTCTCACACCATAAATCTACGACAAAGTGTTAATCCTTTATTCTGGTAACATATACATTCTCCAGCCCTTGTCCCAGTTTATATCTCACGGAGTAAGATGTTCCACAATCAAGCAGACCAATAATAACACATCACTGCTACAGAGCATGGAGGATGACCTGAACTCCATTCTGCGGCCGGACCGTGACGATCTGAAGTGGAGAGTGCACATAAGCAGGCGAGAGCGTAAACGCATAGCGTTGAAGGATCATGGCAAGTGCAATCTTCGATTCGTTTGCTGCGAAGTTGGCTCCTGCACAAACTCGCTGTCCTATACCGAAGGGGACGAATGCAGATGCATTGTTCTTCGTCGCTTTGGCAACTCCGTTGGAGAATCTCTCTGGATTGAACTGCAGGGCATCTTCCCCCCAAATTTCAGGATCTTGATGGAGAGCTAGAGTGTCGATGGTGAAGTACGTGTTCTTCGGGAGTACGTGCTTCCCGATTTGAACTTCCTTCACAACCTTTCGAGCCATCCCAACTGCAGGAGGGTATAGTCTCAGGGTCTCGTTGATTATCATGCTCAACTGCAGGGTGAGACGAATTAGATAGAAGGGTTAAGTTAACCCAGTTTCATTCGAGTTCATTGACATTAACCTATTTTTACATCCAAAAAGGGGCCTTACCGTCTTGAGCTTTGAAATCCCATCTGCATCAGGAGCTCTGTCGCCGAAATGGGTCTGAACTTCCTTTCTCGCTTTCTCCTGCCAATCTGTGTGGATCGACAGAAGCAACATAATCCAGGACAGCAGAGTATTGGTTGTTTCTTGTCCAGCAAGATACACTGTCTTGCACTCGTCTATGAGATCATCCTCCGAAATCCTTTTCGATTCGTCGCTTTCATGATAAGCAGTCAGGAGTAAACCAAAGAAATCGCTTCCAAAGTTTTCTGCTTCTCCATTCGCCACCGTCTCTTCTCTCTTCCTCATCATTCTCAATATCACGGCTCGTACGCCATGTTCAAGCTCGTCCGCTTCAGTATCATCTCTGCTTTTGTAGATCTTGCTGCAACCAATTCAAGTGGGCGAAGAGGTTAAAATCTCAATTCATTGAATGAGTTGATATGAGTAGGCGGTCAAAAATTCATGCTGTCCATGGTGAATAAATACCTGATTCCAGGAAGCCTGACTTTGAAGGCACTGGCTACAGCCAGCTCGCCCATCTGCGTTAACAAGTCAAAAATGCGCTTCCCTTCAGCGAAATTACTCCCAAAAGCAGTCCTGGAAATGACTTCGGCAGTCAAGAACCTGAATTCTTCATACACCTCAACCTCTTCGCCGACGCGATTCTTCCACCTCTCAAGCATCATTTCCGTGCTAGCAATCATGGCCGGAGTCATGTTCTGCCATATGAAAACACAGTAGTGTTCACTGGTTATACCGATTTCCCCCCCAGAGAAATAACTTAAAACAGATTCATTGAACTTAGCTAGTCACCAATCAAACAGTATAGCTGAAAAGTGGAAATCTTTTGCGCAGATTGAAGATAACCAACCAACCAAACAACAGACCTTTAAGCTCTCGCCAAAGAAAGCATGGTTGGCCAACTTCCTCATCTTGACCCACTTCTCACCATCAGATGTCACCAGCCCATCTCCAAGCATCCTCTTCACGACACCTTCGGGCTCCACTTTCCGGAAAGCTTTCTCCCGATCCGCCGCGGCTTCCTTCACCAGCTCCGGCTCCGACAAGACCAAGAAAGGCAGAGGGCCGAACCAGAATGTGAAGTTCCTTCCTAATAGACCAGAACTGTTTAGTAACATGGTATAATAAACATTATTGTATATTGATTTTTGACATCATATCAAAGCCTTTTATTACTGAGAGGTCTTTCTGTTTAGCTCACCGTAAGTCTTGGTCCAAGCGGAGAGGTGAGGCTGCAACCTTGAATATATGTCGTGAGAGAGGCCTGACATGGGTTTCGCCATGGATGCTTGTCTGAGCTTCTTCATCTCCAGAGTGTTCCCAAAGAAGAACTTGTAGGAAGGGCCTCTGGCTCCTAGTGAGTTCAGCCGGCGCTGGAGCAGGAGTGGCTTCAGCAGCATTTTGTGAAGGAAGATGACCAAAGCTGCCCCGAGAAAGCCGAGGCAGAGAGCCATGGGAATAAGCATTTGTGACGCTGTGAGATTGTCAATCATTCTTCTTCTTCTTCTCCCAGCGGCGAGGAAGAGTTTGGAGATAAACGAAGATTGTGGAACTGAAGAATTTAAAAGCAGAAGATCGGAAGAGGAAATTCAAAGTTTTTTTTTTCCCCTTCAGAATTCTTTTTAATTATGTGGCGTTCAATGATCGTTTGTTTTATTGGACGACGTAGGTTTCAAGGTTTATTATTAACACGTCGGACCAAAAAAGAAAAAAGAGATTTGATCGAAACAAACAATGGAAAACGAACACTGAAACTGGCACTGTTTTTTTCCAAAACACTGACAATGGAAAACGAACACTAACAGAAGCTAGGAGCTAGAAATGAAGTCTGCATCGTATAAAGCTGGCAGTGAAGATAAAATAGAATGAGCCAGCATAATACAACCAGACTACGACAAGGAATTCACCTTCCATCCTGCCAATCTTTTTTTGGCGTTTGCTAACACACTAGGTTAACATGTAATTACCTATATTTTTACACTTGTCAAGTTTTACCAAAACGGAAAAGCCAATATCTTACTCTGTCACTTTGTTCAATCAAACCATATGTATCGCGACATGAATGTATTGGAATACGCATATAGAACCTGCTCAAAATGTGATTTCAGCTTCTGTTGACCTGCAACCTCCACCCGAGAGGAGGTTCATTATGAGCAACCCATCACCAGAATTGTAGCTGAATTCCTGTTCTTCACCACCAACTCTGCAACACTTGGGTTCTCTGCTGCAGTAAACTCCGAAACGACCGCTTCCTCTTCCCAGGATCTTTATCTTACATCCTGAACCTGATGGATCCTTCATGTACTCCATACCTTCAACGGCTCCGCCTGAATTGTACATGTCCAGCAACCCAATTGGTGCGAACTCGAGATTGCATTCAAATACCTGCCCAGATGATGTTAGTTTACGTGAAGGAAGAGTGATTTCAGAATATAAGAAAAACCAACACTTTTTTTTTCTTCCTGCACTGACCCTAATTGGAGAGACTGTGAGCACTTCACATTTCAGGGATTCCAGGGTCACTGTAAGTTTTCCATTCTTTGGTAACGTAGTTAAGTTTCCTGCAAGGTTGAAAGATTGTGATTGCTGAGAGCCACTAGCTAATTTAGACAACAAAAACAGTTTCTGAGAGTGGTGTTGAAGAGGTGAAGTCTGACTTGAAAAGAAGGCATATACTGCACAGTCTCCCTTCCAATCTTCGCCTGCAACTTCGTCCAGGAACTCAACATTCTGGGGACTGGCTTGGCACGTTATGAATGGCGGACCAGTTGTTGCTACTGGCTCGTTGTCAGAAACTACAGTTGATGGCCAGCTTCCAACTCCTTGGCAATTGAAAATACCCAGTACCCCACTCAACTTATTCAAGTTCCAGATTTTCAACAAGCTGTGGAATAATAATAAAAATTTCTCTTAGGAATTACTATTCTGGATGGAAATAGCCCTGGTTTTGATTTGGTGTTTCTTACCTCTTCCCATCAAGTATGGGATCACTGAACAGACAGTCCCGGGTTGGCCGGCCAGGGTATCTCGCTCTTAGCACCGAACCATCAGGTAAAACTAGCCTTCTCAGGATCTCAAAATCATGATCCCCAGGTTTGTCACTGCAAGCCATGCAATTATAATACTTCTGCTCGTCATTCAAGGAAGAAGATAGGGAAACAATACATTCTCTCAGGTTTTATCCAGTTTGATTACCACACCTGACATAGATTGGACCGCCGCCTACTGCCCTGGCCGCACTGTGGAACTCTGCCGCGAAATGGTTGCTCTACATACAGAGGTGAAGGAAGGAATAAGAACCTGATTGAATGGTGATAATTCGATGACAAACTTGATTCACAAGCAAAGCTAGCTGAACAATGTTTACATCTTTCTCACACCTGAAACATATCCCAGTCAGGCACCACAATCTCCCCCATAAGTATGCTGTCAAAAGCAATGGCAGCAACATGTGATGCCTGAAGTGTTGGAATCCTTGGCATGTAATCTTCTGATGCTCTTGCAATTGCACACTTCTTCACACTGTACAAGAAGTCTGTGGATATGCTCATTGAGGCAATCAAGTTATTGTCTTGGAAGCAATTGGAGACAGATTCAGCTAGAGCTTCCTGGTAGTTTCTCATCAGCACTACACGTCCCCCGTAGCCAAAAGCCAGGGCTTCCAGCACGTTCTGGATGTCTACCTTAACTCCATCTGCACCACACCTGGCAAGGTAGGTGTGGAGATCGTTGTAGAAGTCATGGATTCTCGATGGATCGACCATCCCAACACCATTTTTCACCAAGCTTTCCATGGCTTTGCATCTTACATGGCTCTTATTACCAGGAGACAGCACTGGGAACATCAACTTAGGGCTGTACTTCTTCATTGGTTCGGATTGTGGGTCCAAGCCGCCCCAGTAACCAACCAAAGCGTGCCACATATACACATTCCTGCAAATATTCCAAGACGTATGGAGTTAATTGTACTGCATTACTTATACACGCTCAATGTGAATTTGTGGAGGTATTGGTACGACTTTATCCCATATTTCTGCTTGATGGTGTGGATAAACTCTTCCAGGTCACTGAACTGCTTGTTCTCCTTAATATCCACCAACCGTGTTGCAAACCTGACACATCAAGAATTAAGAGGATATAATGTATCAGTGTCTTCTTCTCTTCAACATTGTCAAAATTTTCTTAGGGAAAGGGATCTTACTCAATAGCATTTGTGGGCATTTCTCCATCTTTCAAGAATGGATTGTGTGTATCTTGCCACCCATCATCGATGATGACAAACTGTGGTGGAGTGCCACCATTAACAAAGCTGCATGCAGAAAATTATGATTAACAACAATTGAATTATAAATAACCAAACAACTGGATTAGAAGAAGAAACGTTATGCTTGGTATGAACCTTTCAAGTCCTTGTTGGATGCCCTGAGGGTTGACATTTTTATAAAATGCATCCCAGGTGCACCACCCGAACCAGTCCAGCAGTGGGGGCATCTACAGATGGTAGTTGTAGGAAACTTTAGTACAGATCAACAATGTTTCAGCAACAACTCTGGCAATTCCTTGTTAAGCAAGCGTTTTCTACCTTCTTATTGTCGATATGGCTAAAAGTGCCTTTGTGCTTCTCCAGAAACCTGAGAAAAGACAGGTGGGTACTGTAACATTTACCTTCATTTGTAGTCTTTTACATGATTTAAATTCATAAACATTAGTGACATACTTGACTGAGTCCTTTATAAGTTGACAAGGGTTTTTGCCTGAGCTTACGTAAAGTGCTTCTGATACTTTGGAGGTTTGAACATCTGGGTGCCCTGTACAAATCATAAAACCAAAACAAAAGCTTGAGCACTGCTAAATTAAGCAGAAAAATACATATAGAGATTTTTTATGTAAGAAATATTCCGACCACTTTCCACGCAAAGCTGAAGCTCATTCAGAGATGTTCCTTGCAAACTTGTCCTGAATTGGCCCTCCAACACAGGCAAAAACAGAATATATGATCGACTGCTGTTCTCTCGGATGCTAGAATCGTCGTCATGATCAGCTGGTGCACTATCATCAACTGAATCATCCCAACAGTTTGCTTCCAGAAGAAGTAGCTGTGTTTCAGCTGGAACTTCACTCCCTGATCCCCCGAAGCTCGGTATCATCCACCAGATCTTGAATCTGTATAAGCACATGAACCTGTACCTCCTGCAGTCAACCCACAGCAATAAGCAGCTTTGTGATCAGTTAACCATTTCAAAATCTGAAAATTAGTAGTGGCTGATTCAAGACCAGCACACAAACAAAAACAAAAATACAAAAAACAAGAAGCAAACTGCTCACTCTAGAACTCCCAAGCTGAAAACATGATAGTAGCTACTAGGATTCCCCAAGTTAGCTCCGAGGAAAGCTGAGGCAGAGCTTAATGGAGTACAGACGACATTCTCTGGAACTCCGGTTAGGATCACCTTACCTTCAACTGCGAGACAACCGTTGCTAACTGTTTGCGTTCTGATGATTGTCATTTGCTTACGGCAGCCTCTAGCCTGTGAAGAGTTTCTTAAGAACAGATGGGCTACACCTTTAGGCTGTTTTATAACCAATCCCAGACGGTGAAAAATGACCATCTAGTCAGCAGATTACACATAGCAAATCAGTCTTGTATCATGACAGATAGGATTCTGGAACGTTGTTGAACATCTACAAACTTGGAAGCTCACATCTTGAGTGTTCTGCAAATATAATATGAATTCTTGGAGGTTGTGTCCAGCTCGGAATCTGACTAGGATGTCCCCACCCTCTAAGGCTCCAACCTCTTTCTCGAGCCGTCATAAAGTAATGATATAAACTATTCTTCATCCGCCATACATATATCCTTCAGAAAGGTCCAGAATGAAACTAGATCCACCTGACAGTTACTTCTGAGTTCTGAAGCTTTCTACAATATACACGCTAAGCTGCTTCAAGTAGGAAATGAAACTACCTGTAACATAACTAGCGTTCATGTACATTCAGGTCAAAATATACAAAGCTCTGTGATAACCAGTATTGTGATACCTGATATAACTAGTTGACCATGTTAACCCACACCGGAATCCAGTTGACCGCTGGAACATGGTCACCTGCTCAACTATAACGTAGACTTCATTCTGTTCACCTGTAAAAAGAAAGAAGAAAAATAAGCTTTCTTTCTGTTTCAGGCTTTCAGCAGTTGGGATAGAGCAATTGGTGACGATCAAGTTCCAGGGAAAACAAAACTATATAATAAGAAACTGAGAGTCGGAAATAGGAATGGTTCATCAGATAAGTTCTTGCCAGCATGACATCTACCGCTCGGTTCGGTGCCGCTTTCCAACAAAGTTATCAATTTAGCACGTGACTAGTTAGCCCATGCAGCAGCCCAATAACGGTCAGCTAACCAAGCTGGTGTCATTTGATGAAACTAACCTTGTCCATAGCCACGGATGAACTTACAGAGTTAGAGTAGTAACCAATGAGTCTCTTAACTTAGCAAGTTTAGCGATAAAGGGTAGCGATTAAAGGGAAGATAGTAGGGATGAGGGCGCCACGAGCTTTTGTCAGCAGATTGCAATTTGGACAAGCTGTGGTTGCAGGCACATGTGGGTATTAGAAGAGGGCATAACCCTGGCAACATCAAGTTATGATTGTCATTTTTCATCACAGAGAACTCAGAACTTGGAAGACGGTTAGGATTTACAGGAATCCCAAAGCAAAATCTTGATATATATATAGAATATCAACAAGAAGCATGTGCGTCCATTGGCTACAGAAATGTGCATCGAGCGCTCTGCCCTTCCATCAGAATGGAGCTACTGAGCTACATATAGTGATATAGATAACTGACAGGTTGGATGATTCACACGGTTGATTCAAACCATCCTGTTCAGGCACAAAATGGGATCAGCAAGATTGTTTCAGGCTTGAAGCTGTCATTTTATGCCAAACATGTTACGAGCTGATGCAGCTAATTTGCTGCAACAGGCCTATAGCCTTTTAGTACAGCCTTAGTTTCGGCATAAGGGGCATGACGTAAGATCTTGTCCGCAGTCGCAGCATGTCTGTAACACAGCAACAATTGGTTAAGAATGGAGCCATAGAGTTTTCCCCTTTGCACTTCTCCAGATGTATGTTGATTGGTGCACAAAGACACAACAACGGAATTGGGAGTACATTACCTGATGTCCACAACCAAAAGCCATGTTCTTTGGATCAGCAAGGCAAATGGGACATACCTGTTAAGAAAGCGCGTCAAGGTTAGAATCAGGCATCCAGATTAATCTCAATACGGCAGTAGTAATCCACTATAAGTTGCAAGCAAACAGTCTGATCTCATGTACATTAGTATCTGCAGAACTCGGAGGAGGTTGCGTTGCAGAGTGAGACTCATTCTGTCTAGCATAAGAAGGAGCACTTGGTTCAAAACTGCTTGATTGTGAAGGTTTTGAGCTGCTGAATGATGCACCATACATGGGAGGAGGCAGTGGAATTCTATCTATGGCCTTCCCTCTGGAGGCACTGAAAGAAGCAAAAAGTTTGAGTTCCAGTATTTATGGATGGCCATGCTGCTTAAGGTATTGGTCAGGGAAATCAGTTATTGACTTATTACATACCCTAAAATATTGAGCTCAAGTGTAGCTTTATACTGAGAAGGTATTTCCATCAGAGCTGCAAGAGCAAATGCTGCTTCTTTTCTGGTGCGGTCTACATTCTTTGACATTAGTTCAGTAAAATTGACAAACTACAAAAGGCAGGCAGCAGTTCTAAGTTTAGTCATTAGTCCAGAATTTCGTCTAAGTTAACAAACCGGAAAATCACTTGCCTGAAAATTGTCGAATGCACGGGCAGGGATATTGTCATCAAACTGCTTCATCATGTCCCATGGTCCATCTCCAACCCCAACTAAGATAATTGACAATGGATACTCGCTGAAAGGTAAAGCATTTTGTTGAGAAGTTATGCAAGTTGAAAAGCAATTGCTAAGAACTTTGTTGCTGTCTTACCTTGCTTTGACAATAGCTTCGACTGTTTTCATCTCCTGTGGACTAAGTTGACCATTGACAGTATCAACACTTCTGGTAACCTAAACAAAACCCTCATTCAGTTAAGTCTTCGTCAAATGACAAGCAGCCAATGACATAACTTACATGGCAGCAAAATATAAGCTTTAGAGCGTCACAAGCTGGAGAGTTTTACCTGTCCATCAGCTATTATCACTAGAACATGATACTGGCCATGACTTTGCTCGACTATAGTAATGGCCATCTCAATTACAGGAGCAAACGATGTTGGTCCTGTCATAGAAAGTGAGAAGTAAGAAACAACGATCATAGCATATAGGTATCAGGAAAGGGAAAGGAATCATATGCAAATCTTTTCACAAACCGGCAAGCTTTAATTCAGGGACAATCTCTCTATACCGAGCCAAAACTTCCTCAAATCCATTACAAAACCTCTCATCCGGGTAAAAGCTGAAAACTTCTTGATCATGAGTTGATGCTACCAGTTTGGACAACAGAACAATGTACAAACTGTAAGATGGCTGAAGTAATTTTTTACAAGGTCAATGACTAGCTGGACTTGTTAAGATAAAGTTACCATCTCCAAACCCAAAACAAGGGATTAAGTTGTCCTCGTCGAAAGAAGATAACGTCTTTCCAATGATGGAGATAGCTTGTTCATAAGGATTTTGCTCCTCTCCGATATGATGTAGACTTCTCCTGTTGTATGATCTAGTCCCTGATATTAGCAAGACATGAGACATTTTCAGCATAACAAGGGGACTTCCGACATATTCACAACTTTTAAAACGAGGATTTACCCGTCCACTCATTGCTCTTTGTGAAGTCAATTCCAACTATGAGATTCGATGATTCAAGGCCAGCACGTGCAAGAGCATCAGTAACCTGCGAGGATAGTTTTTGCAGGGATTAACATTCCATCACCAGTAAGCGACCATGATCCCATATAATGTCAACGCCACTTTAAGCTTTTCTATAAACAAGAATGACCACTACAGAACAGCATTTCACCTGCTCCAGCGTCTTATAGTTATCATCTATCTTTGAGAATTTTCTTTCCAACCTCTTATTAGGACCCTGGGCTTGATTGTTGTAACTTTGAGGTGGAGGTGTTGGATATTGCTGCTGGTATGGTGCATAACCCTGATTATATGGTGACTGTGAATAACTGGGAATGCCCCGCGAATATGAACGAGAAGGTTGTCTCTGTGCTGATCGTTTAGAGAGTTTCCCACCCATCAGCACTGCAATCACAACTCAAGCACGTTCTGTCAAATGACAATCTAATGCAAAACTCTACATCCAAGAACAAATAAGGGCGACCCAGTTCGCAGTTAATAGAGTCCAGAGAACAGAATTGTCAGGTTTTGCATATGTCATCATTACCCTATATAAAGTCTGACAAACCACACAATAACAGAAGGTGTCAACAAGAAAATACAGTGGTACATAATAATGACAAGCAAAAACAGCCACTAAATGGCTTTGTTTGTCAATGCGCAATCTAATTCCAAGCAATCAAATTTGTCTCTATCACTACTTCGCCATCACCCCACTTTGGGGCTACCAAAATTCTTTCAAAGTCAACAAAAAAAATCGCAGTTTTGCGGCCTAGAAGCGCAAAAGTTCGTATTGGCTTCTAAATTAAGAAAATTAACTTCAATTTCGCTGTGGAACTGAAGCGAATTTGGGGTATCATAAACTTCAAACCCTCGTGGTCTGAAGTTGGGATTTCTCTTATTCAAATTCTCTTATTTTACCAGCCACCCAGATCGCAAAGGCAAGAACTTTGAGGCTGGAAATGACGACAAAGACGGGTGGAAAGTTGAAAAGAGAAGTATTACCTCGGAAGGAATCAATCTAGTCTGCAGCTGCTTGAAGAAGGAACAGCGGGGGAGAGTGGAAGGTAGAGGGACAGTGGGTGAAAGGGAATCTAGAAAGAGTAGAGTAAAACCAGTGAGTGAAGGCCTGAAGGAGAAGGTGGATGGTTCCGAGAAGCCGCCCACAATGCAGAATGGAGTAAATTTTGCGGTGCTCTGTCTGCAGTGGCGTTTGATTCTCGGTCACTGCCGTCTGCCAGTCGTATTCCCACTTCCACAGCCCCACACGCGACGCACGTCCATTATTGGTCACGGGGGATTGTAGCCTTCTATACCTCTTTCTTGGAAGTAATTTGGGACACCAATGACCGGTAAGTTTTTTCCCAAAGTACACACCTTACAAAAATTTCTCAAAGTATTATGAAATCTTGTTAATCTACACATGTTTGGACTTTACCGCAGGCGTTAGAAGCGGTGAATTGTTTCATTACCGCGGTCAAAACTAGTGAATGCTTCATTGCTGGCGTCGGAAGCGGTGTACGTCTAACCTAAGGCAAAATTTCGAACGAACATAACTTTGTGTTTGGTTATCTGATCGTAGCAAAAAAATTTGATTTCGCATGATTTTTCGAGATCTTTCAAGTCTCAAGCAGCAAGAGGTGGTTTTGTCTCGCCTTCGTCCCGAAATAACGTCGTTTGCTATCCCAAACGAACAATTTATAGATTTCGCTAAATTTGGACGGCCATAACTTTGTGCTCTGCAACTCGAACGTCACAAGACTTTGTTTTATTTCGCATAAATTGTTAAAGATTACAACTTTTACTAGGAATGACTTTTCAACACATGAAATATTTTTGTATATAAGGAGTTTTGGGAATAACTTTAGCTTTACTTTTCACAGATCCACATACATTCGAAAAATACGTCTATGATAAATAAAAAAATAGTCCTTAAAAATTTATGCGAAATAAAAAATTTATAACGTTCAGGTTGTGGAGCACAAATGGCTAGTTTGGCGCTGCTGCAAATGGTTGTGAAGCACAAATGACTATAAAAAAATTATAGTGAATGCTTCATTGTCGGCGTCGGAAGCGGTGAACGTCTAACCTAGGGCAAAATTTCGAACTAACATAACTTTGTGTTTGGTTATCTAATCGTATCAAAAAAATTTGATTCCTCATGATTTTTCGAGATCTTTCAAGTAGCAAGCAGCAAGAGGTGGTTTTGTCTCGCCTTCGTCCCGAAATAACGTCGTTTGCTATCCCAAACGAACAATTTATAAATTTCGCTAAATTTTGGACGGCCATAACTTTGTGCTCTGCAACTCGAACGTCACAAGACTTTTTTTTATTTCGCATAAATTGTTAAAGATTACAACTTTTACTAGGAATGACTTTTCAACCCATGAAATATTTTTGTATATAAGGATTTTTGGGAACTTTAGCTTTACTTTTCACAGATCCACATACATTCGGAAAATACGTCTATGATAAAAAAAATTAGTCCTTAAAAATTTATGCGAAATAAAAAAATTATAACGTTCAGGTTGTGGAGCACAAATGGCTAGTTTGGCGCTGCTGTAGCTTTTGCAAAAGCAGGTTCTGGCTGTAGCTTTTAGAGAAGTACTTTTCAAAAAAGCAGTTAAGTGTTTGCCTAAAAAACTAATAGAAGTGCTTATTAATATGAGAGTTTGCGTAAAATAACTATAAATGACTTATAATATAAAATATGAATACAAATTCTGTACAATAAAAAGTAGTCAAAATGGATGTTGTTAGATTTCTTTTACATTAAATAATATATTTTTATTTTTAAAGTGATATAAATAAAATAAAAATATATTTTCTAAAATAAAAATATAATATAATAAGAATAATTTTGTATTTTCAAAACAGCTTTTTGCAGAGGCTCCAAATCGGAGCTGCTGCTTTTATGTTATACAAAATTATTTTTTCGGCTTTTCAAAAGTCGAGCTTTTAGAGGTGTTTGGCCCTGGTTCAGCTTTTGAAGCCGAAAAATACTTCTAAAGGTCGGGCCAAATATAGGCAAAGTTATTATCGTTCAAAGTTTGGCGAAATCTAAAAATTTCTCGTTTGGGATAGCAAACGACGTTTTCTCAGGAAGAAGGAAGGACCAAACCGCCTCTATCTGCTTGCAGTAGCAAGATCTCAAAAAATTTATGCGGAATCAAAACAAAATTGCTACGATCGGATAACCGAGCGTAAAGTTACGTTCATTCGAAGTTTTGGCCTACGTTAGGCATTCACCGCTTCTAACGGCCTTGGTGAAGCATTCACTACCTTTGACTGCCGCAATGAAGCATTAACCACTTTTGACGGCCGCAATGAAGCAGTTCACCGCTTCTGAGGGTCGTGGTTAGGGATGCAAATGAGCAAAGCCGCTCGGGAGTAACTCGGCGTTCGAATCGGAAAAAACTCATTAGACATTGTTGTTTAACAAGCAGGCTGGCGAGCCGGCTCGTTAGTAAACGAGCCAAGCTTGAGCTAGGCCATGCTCGGCTTGATAAGCTCATGAGCTAGCTTGACTCAGTGGCTTGTTGAGCTAAGCTCGCGAGCTGGCTTGTTTAAAGCTTGTGGAATGATTAATTACTCTTCTGAAAATAAAAGTTAGCTTGTGTATAAGGATGTGTATGGAAGTTATATGTTATTTTTAATTCTAGTGTTCTTTTTATCATTTTTAATTTCTAATGTTCTTATTTGTAAACATTTTTCAGCAAGAATGGTTTCAAATCGAGTTTATCTTGAGCCGAGCTTGTACTCAGCTTGACAAGCTGTGTTAATGAGCATTTACCGAGCTCTATCGAGCCGAGCTCGAGCTGGATTATTTTTAATCGAGTCGAGCTCGAGCTGGATTATTTTTAATCGAGTCGAGCTCAAGCTCAAGCTGGATGATCAATATTCAAATTCGAGCCGAGCTCGAGCTAAAAAATTTAGAACGAGCTGAGCTCAAGCTAAGCAAAAACTTGACTCGACTCGCCTCGTTTGCAACCCTAGTCATGGTGAAGCCCAAACATGTGTAGATTGAGAATTTTTCAAAAAACGTGTGTATTTTGAGAAATTGTTTCAAGAACGCGTGTATTTTGGGGAAAAAATCCAAAGACCAGTAGCACTTAGCAGCAACGTCGATAAGAAAGATAATTTTATGGACAATAACCATCCACAACTTCTGTATTTATCATTTATGAAAAGTTTTTAATATTCGATCAATTAATTTTAACAGGTTATATCTTTTCCATTTTAAGTCGTTATTTAACTTTGTTCACAGATAACTCAAATCAATTGTGTCATTCAATATGAGTTTCACTTTCATATATTTTGGAACAAAAAATTGAGACTTTTATTAAGTCCATACCATTAGGGGTGGACAACGGGACGGGACAGGATACCCGTCCTGTTTGAAACGGGTACCCAGTCCCATTTGAAGAGCAATCTCTATCCCATATCCCAAACCATACGGGTCAACGGGTACCCATTACCCATACGGGACGGATAACGGGTACCCGTACTACCCGTAAATACCCGTCCAATCCGGCCAACTTCCACCTTAGAGCTATATTGTTCAGAATTTATGAAACACATGGTGACTTCATTATATATTTTCTGTGTCTGTGTGTCTCTGTACTATTTGCGTACTAATATGTAGAGCTTCTCCATTTCTTCTTTGATCTTTACCATTTGTACACCTAACATAGCTAACACAGCAAAAGAAATGAGTTCTACCATCTTTGTATTTGTCACCAGCAACATGAAAGACGAAAACTGTGTTGATTACTACTAACTGGGTAATTGAAATTTCTGTGATAAATCTAAAACAATGGCCATTCCTGCATTGTTCATGAGTAAGAGGTCTCTGTAAAAAAAACAAATGAAATCCCATTTTGTATCTGTATACAATATATACCCCTCCCCTTCTATAATGTATGAAGTATGACTTCGTCTTCTTATATCAGAGAATGAAATTTGCTCGGCATGGGATTTGGCCGTTTGGGAAATTGAAGGGGAACAGGAGGTTGGTTGGGGGTTGGAGTGGGTTTGGGTTGTAGACTTTTGGACTAATGGGTATAACGGGTACCCGTAATATCCAAACGGGTATTAACGGGTAACCCGCGGGTACCCGAAGTAACTATTATTGATCTCAAGTCCCATTCCGTAAAAAAATTACGGGTATTTGGGTACCCGTAACCCTAAAAAAATGGGACGGGTACGGGTATACCCAAATACCCGTTTTCCGTTGCCCACCCCTACATACCATGTAGTAATGATTGGTAATACATAATATGATACAAATACAACGTTGTATGAAAGTTTATTATGGTGCTATGAACATAACAGAGTGTAGAAGGGTTGCATACATGATAGTAGGAATATAATAACCGTCACTTACCAACGAACAAGTGGCTTAGTCTAGCAGTAATACAACTAGTCTTGAACCTGAAAGTTCCAAGTTCGAATATCTTAAGTTGTAGCTTAAAAACAAAAGGTAAAGTTATATCATCCTTGTAAAAATAATTATCGTTTACCACCTTTCGTCATTGTATACCATCAGTTACCACCACATACCAGGGAGGTATATTTGGTCTTAAAAAAAACATTCCCAATAAATTTGTGGATATAATAGATCTCGACGAACTCGTTCCTTCCGAGTCATAAAATTTAAAAATTCGAGTTAAAATGAAGGTGGTATCAAGTGATATTAGGTGGTACCAAGGCGGTTTCAAGTGGTATGAAAATATTTTCTCTAAATATATTGAAAATAAATATAATTTTGTTAAACACAATAAACATGTTGCATTTTTGAAAAAAATTGAAATTCAAGTTAAAACAAATAAGATAATAGTCAATTAAAAAATTAGAAAAAACAAAAATTAATTATTTCTCATCTCTTAGATCTGGCCTCATAAGACCATCTCCAATAAAAGAGAGCTAGAGTGCTTAAGTGGTAAAATTAATTTTGTACTTTAACTCTCTAAATTGAGTTTTACTCCAATAAGAGTACTAGAGTGTAAGTGTCAAACTTTCTATTTTTATGACAATGTAATTTATTGTAGATTTCATTATTTTAATCAGATAATGTCTAAATTATTTTATATAAGTAAGATTAATTAATTAAAATAAATTTTTTTATATAATTTTTTAAAATAAAAAAATAATCATCATTAATTATGAAAGGAAAATAAATCTGTGAGAGTACAACCATTAATAGAGGTAGCTAGAGACGATAATCCATCAACAATTCTATATGACTTCGAGTACGATTTTGCAAATTCTTGTATTGTATAACATGAGAATCTATAAGCTTTACTTTTCTTTCATGCTTGTAAGGTAGTCTTAGTCAAGAGACATCACATCGCTACTTTTCCTTGACAATTCATCTTACTCTGACTGAACGAAACGAGTGAAAAAATTGCAGAGGAGCAAGATTCGTATCAGAGTGACTACTACAAGAATTGGATATTCTAAAGCATTAACTTCTGAAAGAATTTGAACTAATTGTGACAAATTTGAACGTTTTATGTCCAATTGCTACATAAACACAAACTAATTTGTCTAGTAATTCATAAATCTCCAGCGAACAAATATCCAGAGATACTAACAAAAACAAGAAAAGTAAATTACTAGTCATGCCATAGAACTTCTGTCAAGCCAAACATACGTGGGGAAATAAAAAATCTACCAAACAAAAATCAATAACAAACAACATCAATCTAAGCCGGGAATTAACGCGGCGTACAAACAGCCACCAATTTAACCTTCTTATGAATAGTGAGTCCTGGACATTCACTCATGTCCAGTTCCTCCACTCTCATCCCTTCGGGCAAACTCCAATCAAACCCATAAACCACATTCGCCAGCACCAATTCATTCGTCGCCATGGCGAATGAAATCCCAGGACATCCTCTCCTTCCAGCACCGAACGGAATCAGCTCGAAATCCTGCCCCCTAAAATCCACCTTACAACCATCATTTAAAAACCTCTCTGGCTTGAACTCCTCTGGGTGTTCCCAAATCCCCGGATCCCTCCCGATCGCCCACGCATTCACCATTGTCATCGTTCCGGCAGGAACGTGGTAGCCTTCGATTTCCACGCTCTGAGAAGATTTTCGAGGAACCAAGAGTGGGATCGGTGGATACATTCGCAGCGTCTCTTTGATCACTGCCTTGAGATACACCATTTCGTCCAGATCGCTCTGTTTGATCTCTGCTCGCCCCTGCCCAACTCGCCTCACCTCGACTTGTAATCGCTCCATCACTCTTGGGTTCCGGAGCAGCTCCGTCATCGCCCATTCCAAGACTGTGTAGCTTGTATCCGTCCCCGCAGCAAACATGTTCTGCCCCAAAACAAAGCCTGGTTTTATAAGAGATTTTGCTTTTCTAACAGAAACAGGGGAAACCAGAAAACAGAGCAAACAGAAAGATTTATGATATGAATGAATTTGAGATTTTTACTTACCAAGACTATGGCTTTGACGTTCTTTCGAGTAAGAGGGAATCCAAGCACATTATCTCTCTGGAGCTTCAGCAATATATCCACCAAATCCTCTGCTTCTTCTTCCTCCGTCTCCCTACCTGCTCTGTTTTCCAGCTTGCTGGCATGTTCATCAACTACCCCCTCAAGAAAATCATCGAATTCCTTGGAAATGATACCGACTCTGGAATTGAAGCCTGTAAATATATTGATCCAACCCAGCCAAGGGATGAAGTCGCCAACATTGAAACTCCCCAAAAGCTCCATGAACTCCAACAGCAGCTCGTTGAAATTCTTCTTCTTCCCCCCATGGCTCCCCTGTTCGCTGTACTTCCTCCCCAGAGCCGCCCTGCTCACGACGTCGTTCGTCAGAGCGGCAAAGCTCTCGCTCAAATTCACAACCCGCTGCTCTTTCATTTTCTTCATCAGGGTTACCGTTTCTTCCTCTCTCACTCTCCCGAACGACTGAACCCTCCGATTGCTGAGCAGATGGAGAACGCAGATGCTCCTCCTCTGCCTCCAACCCTCGCCGTAGGGAGCCGAGGCGATGTCCTCGTAATCGTAGAGGAGCTTGGCGGCGACTGGGGATGCTACCCTGCCTGAGAAAATCAGATCGTTGGTCTTCATGATCTCTCTGGCCGCCGCGGCGGACGAGGCGACCAGGACCGGCACCTGGCCGAATTGGAGGTGCATCAGGGGGCCATGGCGGCGAGCGAGGAGCTGCAGGGAGCGGTGAGCGTATAAACCGAGCTGGTGGAGGTTCCCGAGGACCGGGAGCGTGGGAGGGGAAGGGGGTAGTAGCTTTTTTGTGTGCTCGGTGGTGGGATTTCGACGACGGGATAGTTTTATCAGGTGGATTGAGAAGCAGAGGAGAAGGAAGCCATAGATGATGAATTGCAGCATCTTTGAGTTTGGGAAATTGGGATACTGGTTTGCTGAGAGGTTTTGCATATGTTTCCCTTATCGTAAAATGAGAGGTGTAAATGTAGTAGCTTCTTAAAGGATCAACATTCAACAGTCAAGAGTCAAGACGAAGACCAAAGGCAGCTACAATGAGCACAGCGACAAAATTTGTGAAGGAAAAACAGAGTATTTTCGCTCGGCGGTGGTTGTGCCAAAACATATTGCCGCCATTAATTCATTTTCATTAAGTTGTGAAGACTTGGGCAGATGATGAAGAAGAAATTGAAGCTGTTAGTTTACACTTGGTCCACATTATTTGGATACAATAGCAAAGGTAGGTGTGGCGTGGTGGCAGGGGAAATCACTTATAGTTAGATTAGGATAATAAACAAATTCAACATGCAGACAAGCTTTGGATTCGAAAACCTTGACATTTTTTACCTACCGGAAGGTAAGTTGCTCGGTATGATACCTGAAGGAAACTAAATTTGTGATATGACAGCCATTAATAGAGGTAGGGAGGGAGGCAAATGAGTACAAAGCTACCGATGATCCGGTGATTCGAAAGCTGGCAAATGAGTTGTGATTGCTATTTGCTCCAGACGGTTTGGTTTTATAAAAATTCGACCGTATAATTCGAACCGAGACCGGATAACAAGCAATTAAATCTCATATTTGGGCTTAGATTTGAGGTAAAAACAGTTTGGGACCGGATCGAAAATCGGATAAAGACCGGATAAGAGACCCCAACAGGCAAAACTTAACCAACTCATCACCCTTTGAGGCCTCGGGCCACTCAAATTCCCACAAGTTCAATCTAAAATCAAAACCAAATTGGGACCGGACCGAATCAAGACCGGACTGTATCCAATCCAATCTTTGGTCCTTATATTTCCGAAAAGACCGAACTAGAACCGGATCAATTCGGACCAATTTAACCGGACCGGACTGTTTAGCCACCCTTACAAATGAGTACAAAGCTATGGTCTTTGCAAATTGCAACTGATACTATTCTGGCCATTATGACTCCAAGGCTAGTTTATTCATGGTTCAGTTAGTTGGGTGTTAGAATATGACTTGAATTTGATTTGGGTTTGTTTTGTGTTTTAAGCCTATTCTGTTTGGGTTTGGGATTGGATTTTGTTTGACATTTTCCTTGTATGTTTGGGAAAAAGGTATTTGGTTTTCTGTTTGGGATTAGGAGAAGAGTTCTATAAATACTCTTCATCACCCTAGTCTGTAGTAAGGTCAGTCGGGTTGGTTTGTTTGGTTTGTCCGTTTGGAATTTGGTTTGTAACCTGTACTCTCCTCAAATTAGTGAAATTTGTCCCACCTGCCCGTGGATTAGCTAGCACACATTGTGTTAGTGAACCACGCTAAATTTGTGTTCGTTCGTTTAGGTTGGGATTATCGATTGCACGCTTATGTTCTGACAAGTGGTATCAGAGCCGCGGTTGAGTTTTCGGGAAATTGTGCGCAAATTTGGATCGGGTGTTGGTTTGTTTTGGAATAATTTGGTTGGTATTTGGTGAGAAGTTTGGTTGGAGTTTGTTTGATAGTAAGAATGGCTGCTATCAGTATGAAAATTGAGAAGTTTACCGGAAGAAACAGTTTCAGTTTGTGGCAGATTAAGATGCAAGCACTGTTGAAACAACAAGGTTTGTGGGCTCGTTGTCTGGAAAATCGAAGAAGGAAAGTATAGATGAAGAAGAGTGGAGTACTTTGGAGGAGAAAGCCCACTCTACAATCTTGCTTTGTTTGGCTGATGACATCATCACTGAGGTTGCTGCTAAGAAGACTGTTGCGAGTTTGTGGTTGAAGCTTGAAAGTCTATACATGACAAAGTCTTTAACCAACAAGTTGCATATGAAGCAACGTTTGTTCAGTTTGCGTATGGAGGAAGGTACGTCTCTCAGGAATCATCTAGATCAACTCAATACTATCTTGCTAGATCTGCGGAATATTGATGTTAAAATAGATGATGAAAATGCTGCCTTAATTCTGTTAGTATCTTTGCCACGGTCGTATGAGAATTTTGTGGATTCTTTTATTGCTGGGAAAGATAGTTTGTCTTTGGAAGATGTCAGATATGTTCTACATACTAGAGAGGTTCGACATAAGGCATCTGGTTCAGGTTCGGAAAATCAGGCATCTGGGTTGGCTGCTACTACTAATAGGAGACAACAATCTGGTAATAGGAAGGCGAATACAAATTCGAATTCTGCTGGTTTGAAAGATGATATCTGTCATTACTGTAAGGGGAAAGGACATTGGAAATTTGATTGTCCTAAACTGAAGAAATATCAGGAGAAGAAGGAATCATCTGTTGCTGTGGCGGAAGAAACTAACTCTGATTCTGAAGATGGTTTAGCCTTAGCAGTGAATGAACAGGTACATCATCAGGATGTGTGGTATTTAGATACTGCAGCTGATTATCATATGTGTCCAAGCAGGGAGTGTTTTTCAACTTATGAGCAGATAGATGGAGGACATGTTTCTATGGCCAATGGTGCTATTTGTAAGATTGTTGGAAGAGGCTCCGTCAGGATGAGGACACATGATGGTTCTGTTCGCACCTTGAACAATGTTAGACATATTCCAGAGATGACTAAGAATCTGATATCTTTGAGTCTACTCGACAGCAAGGGTTTTAGTTTCAAAGGTGAAGGTGGAGTGTTGTCTGTCTACAAGGGTTCTAAGGTGATTTTGAAAGGTGTCAAGCGGGGTGCCTTGTATAGTCCACAAGGTTCTATTTTGACATGTTCTATTGGTGATGAGTGCACCAAGCTAGTTTTGAATGGCAAGTCTCATAATGGGTTGGACTTGCCAAATGGTTTGAGTTGTTGATCGCCCTTAGGGGCATTTGAAGGCAGGGGAGATTCTGGTACAACTGATTTAGAGGAGTTGGGTACATCTGGCAACTTTGGTTGCGTCTGATACATTTGGTATTTGACAGAGAATTCAAGTCAAGGTGGAGATTGTTAGAATATGACTTGAATTTGATTTGGGTTTGTTTTGTGTTTTAGGCCTATTCTGTTTGGGTTTGGGATTGGATTTTGTTTGACCTTTTCCTTGTATGTTTGGGAAAAGGTATTTGGTTTTCTGTTTGAGATTAGGAGAAGAGTTCTATAAATACTCTTCATCACCCTAGTCTGTAGTAAGGTCAGTCGGGTTAGTTTGTTTGGTTTGGAATTTGGTTTGTAACCTGTACTCTCCTCAAATTAGTGAAATTTGTCCCCCCTGCCCGTGGATTAGCTAGCACACATTGTGTTAGTGAACCACGTTAAATTTGTGTTCGTTCGTTTTGGTTGGGATTATCGATTGCACGCTTATGTTCTGACATTGGGAACAAGCTCTTTCTTTGACAAGTGCGATGGTTCTCAACTCGATTTGCTTCATATTATATGACTCTTTAACTAGGGGTTTCGAAAACTCTGTTTTGCACTCTAGAATGACTCGCTAGGATGACTCCCTTTTGCAAAAATGAAGATCTCCTCTTAATCCCGAGTTCCCGAATCCCGACACATGTTTAAATTCAGGGTTGTGAATTTTGAGGTTTAGGTCATCAATTGAAAAAGATTTTGTCCGTTTTGATGGGGGAATTCATGACATGCAATAAGAAATTCACGGTTGTGAATTTTGTGGTTTAGGTCATGAATTGAAAAAAGATTTGGGGGAATTCATGACATACAATAAGAAATTCACGGTCGTGTATCAAGCAATGAGTTCTACATCTCTTCCTTGTTGAAGCTCCAAATCCTTTCTCAATTGCTACCGATGGTGTCTCTATCGATTCAAAATACGAGTATATGCTATGATCAATGCTATAAAAGGGTTAGATACCGTCACTTTCCACTAAGGGGATTGTGAGACTCACAACCCACTTACTAGCCACCGGATACGTTCTCTCTCATGTCTTTTTCAAATAGATGGTTAAGATTAAACAAATGATAATTTTGGAATGAAATTCTTTACCACACAGGATTACTACCCCTATTAATTTCCATATCCTTTCACTCTCTCTAAAAATCCTAATAAGATTAGGGGTGGCTATACGGTCCGGTCCAGTTAAATTGGACCAAATTGATCCGGTCCCAGTCCGGTCTTTTCGGAAATATAAGGACCAAAGATTGGATTGGATACAGTCCGACCTTGATTCGGTCGGGTCTTGACCCAGTCTGGTCCCAATTTGATCTTGATTTTACGTGTTGGGGGTCTCTTATCCGGTCTTTATTCGGGTTTTTTTTACCTCAAATCTAAGCCCGAATATGATATTGGATTATTTGCTATCCGATCCCAGTCCGGTCCCGTTCCGGGTTATACGGTCCGATTTCGGGTAAAACCAAACAGTCCGAACCAAATAGCCAGCCCTAAATAAGATCCTCCTCTCTCTCTCTCTCTCTGTCGCCACTGCCACCAGTTATCCATTCTTCTTCCTCTTCTTATTCTTCTTCCTCCCATCTACCGCTGCCGCTGCTAGTGCCACCATCACAACCTCTCCCCGTCGCAGCCCTCCAGCATCCCTTCGCCCCCTGTTGCGTCTTTTGCTTCCCACCACCGCAGCCGTCACGAGGTCACCGCCTCTCTCCTGCCTCCCCCTTTCCGCATCCCCTTTTTTCGGATTCCAGATCTGGTGTTTTTGTTTAGTCTCTAGTGGTAGTGATTTTCGTCTAGTGGTGGCACTACCATTGAGTAGTGGTAACGTAGTGCTACTAGTGAGTAGTGGTAGCGTACCGCTAGACGAAAATCACTACCACTAGCGTACTAACGAAGTGGTACTTTTTTGCAGTTGGTCGAACGAGTCTGATTGAAAGATTTCACCGGAGAAAGTCTGCCGGTCGTAGTGAAGTGGCTTATGGAAAAGGAAGAGAGAGAAATATATTTATGGTAGAATTTAAATTTCAAAATAAAACAATGTATTTAATATGGTTATAAATTTCCAAAATGTAATTTGTACAAAAAGCAAAATAATTAATAAGATTCTTTTTTAACTATTCATTTTACCCTTAGTTGTAAAACTTACAACCGTGGATTGTGACCATATCCGGTCATTTGACTGCTGTTGCACGTTTGAGATTTAATATATTGAGATGACATGAGAACCAATTAATTATTCAACCAGCCTTTTGGACATAAATAGAGTTGTTCTGGTAGCTTACATCATTATATTGAAGAATATAAAAGAAAATGGAAGGCTGGCAACTGGCAAGCAACCATCTACTCTAGATGTATTAAAGGCCTTTGATGGACGAATTTCTGCTATAAACAGCATCAGTTTTTTTATTTATTCAAGAGAAGCCAAAGCCAAGAGAAAAAGATAGAGAGTGGGTAGAGGAATCAGATAGGAAGGAAGATGAAAGGGTGGACAAATTTACCAATCAATGTGAGAGGAGGAAAAATAAATCGTGTAAGAAACGAATTTTAATGTGAAATAACTGCAAAGGCAAAGAGAAGTATTTAAAGTCTTAAACGATTGCAACATATGTGAGTTTATTTTCTGTCAGAATCTATGGTTATCGATAAGATTTCGATCTCATTCTTTCCGCATAAGTAAATCCCTAGAGATTTGGTAGCAAAATTCGGCGTTAAGCTCTTTGCTTTTTAGGCGCTTCCTCGTCTTCTTTAGCGGTCCTCTTAAGGGCGTTTTCTTGCTTCTATTTAGAGAACTTCCTTGCTTCTGCTCAGTTTAGTAGGTTGTGCTAATTCTACTTATCTTTGTTCGTCAAATTTTGAGAGGTTTCAAGAAATTGAACTTGTACTATATGAATCGTAGTGCCATTTGGGCCTTTTATGTTGTGGATCAGTGTGGGGGCTCTAGGATGCTTTTTGTGTTGTAGAAGGTGGTTGCTAAGAAACTTGATCAGGCCCATTAATATTACTAGTCATTCTTTTTTTTTAAAGGGAACTAGTAATCCTTCTAATTTTACCTTTACTTTCCCCACGAGGCAGAATTTGGAGATTGGGGCCTATTTAAAGGTGACAAATGGATTGATCTATGGATTAGTGGATTAAATGAATTGGATCCAATGGATTGGTGGATTCATGGATTGGATCAAGTGGATTGGTGGATTATCAATGAATCCAAATGACATCCTCAACCAAGGACCAATATGTAAAAATGTGAAAAGTTTAGGTACTAAAATGCCATAAGGAAAAATTTTAGGTACCAAAACGTAATTTTCCAATGATATTTTTCGTATAAAAAATTAAATTTTGGGTACCAAAATGTAAAATATAAAAAGTATATATGTACCAAACCGTAATTTGTCATTTGGATCAAATGGATTGGATTTAAATGGATTGGATTAGGTGGATATTTTTAACGGGTTGGTGGATTGGATTGAGAATTGTCACCTCTAGGCCTATTCATTACCAAATACAGAACAACGATTGATATTACCATCAACGATTGATATTACCGTAACCGAACCGGTAATTGGCGGTTAACGATTACCCTAACAAACGATTAAATAGTAAATGGTCGCTCGACAACAATCAACTAAATCACCAATATGTCACCAAATTAAAAGAAAACATATTTTGGCAGTCACATTTCAATGATATAATAATTGATGATTTACAATGCATTTATTCCCTTATCACATCCCATGTATAAGGTAACTTTCGTTTTCCATGTAATTTCAAAATAGCTAAAGTCAATAGTTGCAAGATGATAATTTGGAGTCTATATCATGTGACTATTTAAGCCAAAAGCTTACTCCACATGACTGAGAAGGGTGAAAGGACATTTACAAATGCGACCTCGAAAGTTAAATAACCGATCCAGAAAACTTACTAATAAGTTTTGCAAATGGGGTGCATGAAATTTCCTAATAAGTGTTAAGGAAATGTTACATCATGAACATACGTTTTTCCGATAAAATATTGTTCGGTTTGGCCCCAAGATTCTCACGGATTTTGATTTAGGTTGTATATCAAGGTGACTTTCTATAATGTCACTCATCATTGTTGTCCTCCATTTCACTTTCAAAACGTGTCTAGTAAGTTAAGGTCGATTTTTTTATTTATGAACCATGGATCTCTTTCTTGCTTTGTTGATGTGGAATTCGCTTAATGTGTTACAGTATGTTTGGTTCCACAAAAATTGGGCGTGGGGGGGCTATTTTTATTATTTTTGACAAAACAAAAAAGGAGAACGGGAAAATAGAAAATATAGGGGTGGTTTAAAATTAAAATAGGGAAAGGATAGCGTACAAAATGCTCTTTTACAAAATCACTACAAAACTCAAATTAGTCTGAATCTATCTATTTTAATCACATCTAATAGTCCAAAATTATTTCTAACAAAAAACATGGAGGGGCGGACTAGTAATTCCGCACAACCACACCCTCAACATTTTTTATTATATTTTTTTCTGACACAGATACAGATGAGAGAGAAAAACTTTTTCTAATCCCCTATTTTCTTAATTGGATCATATCTAATTCATTTTAACTCAAAATTTAAAAATATTTCACAACATTGATGCATTAATTAAGATTAGACAAATATATCTATTTTGTTATATTTTGCGCAAATAAAAAATAATAACTCTTCAAAACACGTGTTGGTTGTAGACTTGTAATATTATCACTGTCATATATGTCATATCATAATCTTCCCACTATGGTAAGACTGACTTTACGTCATAATACTATCATATAATGATATTATCACTATAATATAATGACAGTATCATGATATGACAATGATATGATACCATAAAATTATTCTCTCTAACATAAGACTTCATACCAACAGCATATGACTATTATACTGTAATAAGACAGTGATATAATGTCATTAATTTATTTTGTAAAACATATAATCTCATACCAACATCACGTCACTGTCATATCAACATCATAACACTATATTAATTGTGTTCTATGTTGACAAGGCTTCGAACCGGGAACGGATCAGGTCAGTAACCTTATGGTGAGTAACCATGAGTAACCCGTCCACATCAGCATGACATCAACATCATCTCTCTCCTGAAAAACCTTTAATTTTCCCCTCTTTAATCTTTGACGGACGATTTCTCACTCGTTTTAAGTCAAATTTTTTTTTGCACAGTTAGATCAGATTAATTGTGCTCTTCAAAATGATATCCACTTTGATATATTTTTCGAACAAAAAAAATTGAGTCATTTTTTACCAGTCTATACCATATGGTATTGACTGATATTGAAATAAGAGCATACCTATGGTTTGAAAAGCGTACCATGGTGGTATGAACAAACCAAGATTGTAGGATGGTTGAATACATGATAGTAGAAGTATATTAATTGTCAAATACGACTTTTAACATTGTATGCCATAAGATATCACCCCGTACCAGGGTGGTATTGTATGGTATTGTGTGGTATTTTTTGGTCCTGTAATTTGTTCACTCAGAAATTTGTAGATCCAATAGATCATGATGAACTTGTCCCTTCTGTGCAAACGTTTTCAAAAACGAATTAAAAACGAAGAAGATACCATATGGTATGCAGTTGGTACCGAGAGGCCATAATTTTTTTTCTCATAAAATATTGAAAATTGATCTCATTTTGTAGAGCACGATTAACTCGTTCTATTTGTGCAAAAAAAAAAAAATTTTAAATCCAAGTTAAGACAAAAAATATATGAGTCAATTAAGAAAGCTAGGGAAAATAAAAATGACTTTTAATTTTCTATCCTTAGATCTGGATTTTCTAAATGAAGGGTCCAGATTTGGTTATTGATGAATGATAACTCATGGTTATGCACTCTATTTTGAGACCTTGGAGCCTAAGAAACACCTATTTGAAGATTGTATTTGCTATATATATACCTTGTATTATTCTCTGTATTCACTTATAGAGTACTTGTGGCCACTGGACAGGTGGGCATATGAACTTACTTGAACAATAACTGCTTTCAAAGGAAAACTACTACTCCAAAACTGGCGACTTGTGTTGAGCAGTGTGTTGAGCAGTATATGAGGGAGAAATGCTCAAAACGATTTGCATGATTTGGAAGACTTATTGAAGATTTGCATGCTTGCATTTGAAGGGAAGGTAAAAGTAACTAGGAAAAGCCCGCTCGCGAAAAATAAATATGTTAAAAAGTTATAGTTTTAATGTTGATCCAAAAGTGAGTAATTTTATTTCATTCTTAATCATTATTTTCATAGGTTTGTTATTTACAATAGCATATAGTCGATGAACTTGCATAAGATACAAGGGTCGTCGAATAGATTATTTATGTTTAAAATTTTTTCATGACGCCAATATTTCAATATGTATGGCTAGTAGTTGATCCTGCTATAACTTTTGCAGAATGAAACAACTTCTCTGTATCTTTTCAAATTAGTATTGGATACCCGTGGATTTGGATTCAATTGTCTTTCTCAAACAAAAGAAAAAAGCAAAATGACAAACACTAAAGCTAAAACTCGCTACCGACTCAAAACTCGTCAACACCAGGTTCAACTCGTTTTGACCTGGTTGGACCAAGTTTTGGACAAATTCACACCTGACACAATACGCCAATTACAAAAACAGATAACACTCGCTTTCGTCGAAAACCCTGTAAAATTGGGTTCAAATTGCTTTAGTCGGGTCGAATTTAGGTTGTATACTCATGCATTTGGACTCAATTGTCATTCTCAACCAAAAGAAAAAAGGATAAAAAAAAATACTAAAGCGGATAAAACTCGCTCATGACCCCAACAAAAAGGAAAAAGTGAAAGAAAAAAAACTAAAGCAAACGAAACTCGGTCCCGATACAAAACTCGCCAACATTGAGTAGATATGATATGAATTTCCGGTAGCACCATTGGGTTCAATTGTGATCATGCTCAACAAAAAGGAAAAAGAGAAAGAAAAAAACACTAAAGAGGATGAAACTCGATCCCGATACAAAAGTCGTGGTAGCTGCCTTGGGAAACAATGGTGGGGAACAACTTAGGATTCCGCCGACCGTATTTAAAAATGGGCTGCAGAATTGTGGGCAAAGGCGATGATTTGTGTTCAAGTTAGGATGCCTTTTTGGTTTAATTGTGATCATAGAGGATGAAACTCGGTCCCGATACAAAACTCGTGGTAGCATCCTTGGAAAACGGTGGTGGGGAACAACTTAGGATTTCGTCGACAATATTTTGAGATGAGCTGCAAAATGGTGGATAAAGGCGATGATTTGTGCAAAAAGCCATATATGAAAACCTATCGAACAATAACATTGCACAAATGCGATGATTTGTGCAAAAAGCCATAGACGAAAACCTAGCGAACAATAACTAAACACAAAGGAGATGATTTGTGAAAAAAGTCATAGACAAAAACCTAACGAACAATAAAAAAACACAAAGGCGATGACTTGTGCAAAAAGTCATAGACGAAAACCTAACGAACAATAACTACACACAAATGTTGTAGAATGGAGAGTAAGGTAAAAGAACGACGTGAAACTTCCCCACTTATATTTGGATGAGTGTGAGAGCCACTAATGAATAGTAACTCACAACCTAGACTTTAATATATTAATTAATTAATTATCAAGAAAAGAATAGAAGAAGCATCTGACTCCTTCATGCATGTTCCACTTGGCTCGGGGGGATATAGCTCAGTTGGTAGAGCTCCGCTCTTGCAATTGGGTCGTTGCGATTACGGGTTGGATGTCTAATTGTCCAGGTGGTAATGATAGTCTCTTGTACCTGAACCGGTGGCTCACTTTTTCTAAGTAATGGGAAGAGGACCGAAACATGCCACTGTTCACCTTATAAAAAAAAACCCCCTACTTTGGCAACCCCAAAACTAGTTTTTCGGTAGTATGTTGCCACTTAGTTGGCATGACGTGTTGCCAAGTACAATTTTTTGATGATACAATATTACAACCAATTCATAAAAAAAAAAATACTTTGATTAAGGTTTGTGAACTACTGCTGAAGTCCAGTTATGACGACATTCAACGATTAAATATTTTGGCAATGAAGGCCAAAACAGTTGTACCACACATGTTGAACCAAAACTAGTATCATAAGAGTAACTCCAAACTATATAGTGTGTTTAGACACCTTGTACTCCTAGAAAGAAAAGTACGAAACAAAACTAGTGTAACCAATGATAACAATATTTTTTTAGGCATGGAGTTGACGCGGTGTACAAACTGCCACCAATTTAACCTTCTTATGAATAGTGAGTCCTGGACATTCACCCATGTCCAGTTCCTCCACTCTCATACCTTCCGGCAAACTCCAATCAAACCCATTCACCATATTCGCCAGCACCAATTCATTCGTCGCCATGGCGAACGAAATCCCAGGACACCCTCTCCTTCCAGCACCGAACGGAATCAGCCCGAAATCCTGCCCCCGAAAATCCACCTTACGACCATCATTTAAGAACCTCTCCGGCATGAACTCCTCTGGTTGCTCCCAAATCCCCGGGTCCCTCCCTATCGCCCACGCGTTCACCATCGTCATCGTTCCGGCAGGAACGTGGTAGCCTTCGATCTCCACGCTCCGTGAAGGTTTTCGAGGAACCAAGAGCGGGATTGGTGGATACATTCGTAGTGTCTCTTTCATCACTGCTTTGAGATACAACATTTCGTCCAAGTCGTCTTCGTCAATCTCTGCTTTCCCCTTCCCAACTCGAATCGCCTCGTCTCGCAATCGCTCCATCGCTTTTGGATGCCTGAGGAGCTCCGTCATCGCCCATTCTAGAACCGTGTAGCTTGTATCCGTCCCCGCAGCAAACATGTCCTGCCAGCAAAAAACAATTTCAAATTTCGTGATTATTCCAATTACAAGCAAAAACAGGGGAAACAGGGGAAACAGAGGAAACAGAGACGTTTATTATATGAAATAATTGAGAGGGAGTTTCTCACCAAGATGATGCCTTTAACATTCTTTCGAGTAAGAGGGAATCCCAGCGATTTATCTCTTTGGAGGTTCAGAAGAACATCCACCAAATCTTCTTCTTCTTCTCGATCTTCCTCTGTCTCTCTGCTTGCTCTGTTTTCCAGCTTTCTGGTATGTTCGTCAACTACTTCCTCAAGAAAGTCATCGAATTCCTTGGCAATAGTGTCGACCCTGACACTGAAACCGGTAAAGATATTAATCCAACGCAACCACGGGATGAAATCGCCAACATTGAAGCTTCCCAGAAGCTCCATAAACTCCAACAGCAGCTCGTTGAACTTCCTTCCCCCATTGCTCCCCAATTCGCTGTACTTCCTCCCCAGAGCCGCCCTGCACACGACATCGTTCGTCAGAGTCGCAAAGCTCTCGCTCAAATCCACAACCCGCTGGTCTCTCATCTTCTTCATCAGGATCGCCGTCTCTTCCTCCCTCACTCTCCGAAACGACTGAACCCTCCGATTGTTGAGCAAATGAACGACGCAGACGCCCCTCCTCTGCCTCCAGCCCTCGCCGTACGGCGCGGTGGAGATGTCCTCGTAATCGTAGAGAAGCTTGGCGGCGACTGCGGATTCCACCCTGCCCGAGAAGTTGTGGTCGTGGGTCTTCATGATCTCTCTGGCCGCCGCGGCCGAGGAGGCTACGACGACGGGTACCGTGCCGAATCGGAGGTGCATCAGGGGGCCATGGCGGCGAGCGAGGGTTTGGAGTGAGCGGTGAGCGTAGAGACCGAGCTGATGGAGGTTTCCGAGGACGGGGAGCTTGGGAGGGGAAGGGGGCAGTTTTGTGATGCGCTTTTTGTTGTTGTTGTTGGTGGTGGGAGTTGGACGGGATAGTTTTATCAGGTGGATTGAGAAACAGAGGAGAAGGAAGCCATAGATGATGAATTGCAACATATTGAGGAGTTCAGTAAGTGATGATGGTTCGTTTGCTTTGCTGTGTAAGAGTTGCTTGTGTATACGTTCCCTTTTATAGAATGAGAGGTGTAATGGAGCTGCGAAAGAATCAAGAAGAAGACAAAAAGACAGCACCAGAGGCACCGCACGCAGACAAGAATTGCCACCATTTATTCTGAAATTCGTTAACTTGTGAAAGACTTAGTCAGGTAATGAAAAAAAATATGTATATTGGAGTAATTAGTTAGATACGGGTGCCGTACGTGTGTTTAGTATAGTGCAGGCGACGCTGCAAATGCACCAAACTGATCACGAGCGGCTTGAGACTCAATTTGAGGAAAACTTATTTGAAACACAGCTCGTTTACAAATAAGTCGAGGTTGAGCTAAGTTTTGTTCAGTTCAGGAAGCTCGTGAGCTAGCTCGATTCGGTGGTTTGTTGAGCTCAACTCGTGAGCTAGTTCGTTTAGAGCTCATAGAATGTTTTAACATTGTGACTAGAGATGCAACCCGTCTACCAACTTATCAACGAATCGGTTTGCATCTAATGATTTGAATTTTGATCATTCATAGGTTTGTTAAACTTTTTAGGGTAATGTGTATTTATTATCCAAACATTTTCAAGATTCTTTTATTTTATCCAAACTTATAGAAATTATTAAGAAATAAATAGCGCCTAATGGCATAAGAAGATTCTTTTATTTTATCCTAACTTATAGAAATTATTAATTAAGAAATAAATAGCGCCTAATGGTATAAGGGGTCCTGTGGGGAGTGGGCCGGTATACCGTACGCTTCCTGTAGACCATGCTGTTCATCATCCGCATACTTGCTGAGACGCGATCCCGGCCGTTGAATCCTCGCCTCCCGATGCGTCTATTCATCTTTTCCCCTCTCCCCGCGCGTGCATTGCCCCAACTGCTTCTGGCTTTCCCCCGTCGACCGGCTGGCGGTGAGAAGCTTCGTAGGAAAAGGTTGCAAGGGAATGGTGCACAATCTCGGGAAAAGGGTTGCGAGGAAAGGGTCACAATCTCGAGGCAAGGGTGAAAGGGCAGAAGGCTGAACTTGGTGACGAGGGTTTCGATTTCAGTTTAGGCTCATCTCCGCCTCGTTGCCGTTCGATTCCAATGGATCCCCACTCCCTCTTTGAGTTGAGAAGATGGTTTCGGTTTTGGACTCACCTCCGCCTCAGTGGAGCTAGCCGTTCGACTCCAATCAGTATAATTCACCTCTGGCTCCTTTCTAAACAGAAGTCCATTCCTTCTTGCCCGCTGTGGGATCTGCATGTTAGACAAGGTGGAGGTCAAAATCATAGGGAAAGTTGTTCCAGAGCTCGGTGCAATCCACTAAGAGTAATGGATCATTAACATGCAGAGCTCGGATTGACATTCTCACATTGATCGAGATGCTTTCAAAAACATAGATAGGAAACATGTCTATGCAATTGCACTGGGGAGTTCTTCTCTAATATTGCTCCGAAGTTGCATGCGATCGAAGAAGACGAGAACACACTGAGCTTTGCCAATATCAGTTTTTTATCTCCTTCATAATGATTCGTTTGAGACTGATACCAGCTCACTTGAATGGGGAGATAGCCCTAGAAAATAACTGAATTCCTATTTTACGCCCTAACTATTTAAATTTGTCGCCCTAAACTTACCCAAACGGACAATTTTGTCCCTAACTTAATCTTAATCCCTAATCAATTTCGCCCTAATTCAGACCCGCCGGCCACTTCTGATGCCAATGCGCCGCTCTAGGACAATGATGTAGATGCTCGCGCCGCCGCCTGTGGTTCTGCCCCGCTGATTGTTGTAGCCGCCACCTCTGGTTCAACCCACCCACTGCCGCAGCGGCCCACCTCTGTTCCTCCCAAATGGGTCAGAATTCTGATCCTCCCATCGCCACCAACCTCTTCGGCTGCGGAGGATGTTCGTCGCCGTTGAGGAGGAAGGAGGAAGAAGGTCAGAATCCTCCTGGCCTGTTTTTTTTTTCTTCTTCTGGGTGCTGCTCGCCGGGCGAGTTGAAATCTCGTCGCCAGCGGTGTCGAGACGGGTCTATGACGGGATTTCAACCCTTCTAACGAGCAGGCCCGTTAGGTAGGGAATATGCCTAGCGAAGGGTGGAAGCTGTCAAATAATCTAAGCAGAAAAGAAGAACACCAAAGTTTTTTAACGTGGTTTCGTCAATGTGACACTAGTCCACGGAAAGGATCTCCCTCTCAGGTTTTTAATCTTTCGTTTTCGTTAGTTTCTACAGAGATACAAAGGCCAATATATATATGTTTGGCCGCCAGTCCCACTCAACCCTAATAATGGACAATTACACATTGGTACATAAACTACTATAAATCAACACCCTCCCTCAAATTGATGTTGGGTGCGCAACATCAATTTGGTAGATAGGTACCAATGCCTGCTTGAACCAACTGCTTTCGTCAAGACATCTGCAGTTTGATCCTCTGTAGATAGGTAACTGAGCTGCACAACTCCTTCAGCAACGAGTTGTCTAATATAATGCACATGTACCTCAATGTGTTTTGTCCGGTCGTGTAGTACTGGATTAACAGCAATCTGTATGGCGCTAGTATTATCCCCATAGATCCTCATAGGTAATCGGCAATCAACTCATAGTTCCTTGAGTAACCTTTGCAACCATACCATCTCTGAACTAACTTCTGACATCGACCTGTACTCTGCCTCTGTCGATGACTTAGATACTTTATCCTGTTTTCGACACCTCCATGAAACAAAAGACCTTCCTATCTTAACACACCATCCTGATGTAGACCTCCTAGTATCCAAACACCCTGCATAATCTGCATCAGCAAAAGCTTCAATTGTCGCATCCCCATCAGCAGCAAAGAAAAGACCAACGTCTCTAGTGCCCTTTAGATAGCGCAACAGACGATGAACAGCATCTAGATGAGTAGTACATGCTACTCCCACAAACTGACTCAATACCTGTACTGTGTATGCAATATCCGGTCGGGTGTGAGTCAGATAGATCAGACTTCCTACAATGCTCCTGTAGAAAGTTTGATCCTCTAACAAAACTCCACTGTCACGACTGAGCTTTAAATTCTGTTCCATTGGAGTTGAGCATGGTTTACTATCGGTATATTGCGCTGCTGCTAATAGATCATTAATGTACTTCTTTTGACTCACAAATAAACCTGTCTCACTTCTCTGTATCTCCAAACCCAGAAAATAAGATGCCTCTCCTAGCTCCTTTAGATTAAATGCTGCTCGCAATGAATGAGTTAATTCCTGAATACCCTCAGTATCACTTCCGGTAACTATCATGTCGTCGACATACAGCAGAAGAACTGTATTTCCATGAATCGTCTGACGAGTAAACATCGATGGATCATTCTGGCTCTGCACGAATCCGATCTGTACAATGGTCTTGTGAAATTTTTCAAACCAAGCTCGTGGTGCTTGCTTTAGACCATAAAGAGAGCGCCTCAGCCTGCAGACCATCCCTGGTTCTCCCTTATCATACCCTTCCGGACATTGCATATAGATTGTTTCTTTCAAGTCTCCATGAAGAAACGCATTTTTCACATCAAACTGTACAAGCTTCCAGTTCTTCATTGCTGCCACAGCTAACACACTACGAACTGTCTGCATCTTTACTACTGGAGCAAAGGTTTCATCATAATCCATCCCATATTCCTGTTTAAACCCCTGAGCTACTAGCCTGGCCTTGTATCGATCCAATGTACCATCAGGCTTCATTTTCACTGTATAAACCCACCGACAACCTATTACCGACGCACCAGGAGGACGTGGCACCAAATCCCATGTGTTTTGCTCTTCTAAAGCCCGCAACTCCTCTTTCATGGCAGACTCCCAATTAATGTTCCCTTGAGCGTATCGATAGTGACTGGGTATGGGTATGGATTCAGCCAAAAAAAAACAATCATAATCTTCCAGTCTTTTGGGGGGCTGTCCCAACGTAGTACGCAAGGAACGGCGAGGTTGTGGAAGTGGTGGAGGAGTGGTCAACTCATGTAGCAAGCTCGCGGACCCTCCCCCGCTGTCATCAGGACCAGAAGAAGAAGACGAGGAAGATGAGCTGTCTTGCGAGGCGGTAGTCGAGCCTGCAGAAGCCGAACTCGAGGACGGTGAGGACGTAGACGAAGAAGAAGCTGTTGTATTCCCAACTGTGCTTGGCGACGAGGATGTACTCCCCGTAGAAGGGCCATTCGTATCGAGTGAATGATTTTCAAGAGAAGTCCCTCCCTGAAAATCATTCCGGGGGACAACAGGCTCAGAGTCAAACACCGGAAGAGAGCTCAAAAAATCCAAGTCCGAGGCATTTGGATGCTCAACCACCGGATAGTACATCACTTGCTCTAGAAACACCACGTGACACGAGATATGCATACGCCGAGCAACCGGATCATAACACAAGTAGCCTTTGTGCTGACTACTGTAACCAACAAAAGCACAACGAACTGTCTTGGGAGACAACTTATCTCGAGATTTCTTGGGAAGAAGCACGAAACAGAGACAACCAAAAACCCTGAGCCGAGAATAGTCAGGAACCTTCGAGTAGAGCTTCTGAAAAGGAGAGTGATTGCCAAGAACTGGGGTAACCTGCCGATTAATGAGATATACTACGGTGCTCACAGCCTCAACCCAGAAGGTACGCGGAATTCGAGAATGAAAGAGCAGCGCACGAGTTAGTTCCAGAACATGACGCTGTTTCCGTTCGACTAGTCCGTTTTGCTGAGACCCACCAGGACAGGACTGCTGTGGGAGAATACCATAAGACTTATAAAAATCAAGCAGAGGAGTGGAACTGAATTCGCCCCCAGGATCGGAACGAATGGCCTTGACTGTTTTGCCAAACTGGGTGCGAATCATCTCAACAAAATGCTTAGCATGAGTAATGAGCTCCGACTTCCGACGCAGAAAGTAGATCCAAGCATACCTGGTAGCATGATCCACAAAAAGAGCAAAATAACGAAAACCCATGCGAGACTCAACAGGTGAAGGGGCCCATAAATCGGTGTGTACCAAATCGAACGGATCATTATAAATCGTCTCACTGTTAGGGAAGGGTGATTGGGAAGTTTTGGCCTCAATGCAACTAATACACGAATCAGACACAGCAAATTGGGAAGACAAATGATCGGGTAGCAAACTGCGACGAAACATATCCAATAAGCGTGCCTTGTGGGGATAACCAAGGCGACAATGCCACAAATCCCATAACGTAGCATGTTTGGAAAAATCCAAAGAATCTGAAGGCTTTACAGCAAAAACTGAAACTGAATTATGTCTCAAAGAATCTGAAGCAGCTAATGTAGTAGCTAAATTGGCCGACCCACTACACATCTGCGGCAAAGAACTCTGAACTCCACGTGTCCCCATCCCCGAAAGCAGCTGCGACGGCGAGTCTCCAGCCGAAACACCATGCTCATCTAGAACAAAGACACGACCTGCCTTCTTACCCTTCCCGATCACCCTCCCTGTTTTCTGATCCTGCACAACACACCCATGAGAATCAAACCGAACCTCACAACCATCTTCTGTCAACTGCCCAACTGAGACTAAATTAGGAACAAGCTGAGGAACGAATAGAGTATTATCCAAGCTCAAACGACCAGACGTAGCCGTCCCAATACCTCGGACGGGAAGACGAGCACCATTAGCCACTTGTAATGACAATACAGGTGAGGACTTAAGAGAAGAAAAACTAGAACGAGTACTTGTCATATGATTAAAAGCAGCGGAATCAAGCAACCACCGAGAATTACCTGACGATCCACCAGTGGCAAAAGCAGAAGTTAATGCCCCGGGAAGTGTTTCCTGAAGAACATCAGCCACCAAGCGACGCACAACGTCGGCAGTCAAGGGAGCAGCATTGGCCCTACCAGAAGAAGTGGTACGAGGAGAAGCCTCCTCAACCGAGTAACCAGAACCACCGCGGCGCTCATAAGAGTTACCAGAGCGCGCGGCACCAGACGACGAACTACCGCTGCGATTACGTCGAGCCAAGGACTTGCACTCCAAAATAATGTGACCAGAACGTTTGCAATAAATGCAAACATTTCGCTTCTTGCAATGCGGCTGAATGATACCCAGTTCGTGGCAAAAATGGCATGTAAGCTGACTTGTATCACTTGTCTGGAACTGAGGCTTACCTGACCCTCCGCGACCAACCGCAAAGGCCGAATCAACTGCGGAGGAGGGCTGGTCGAGCTGATGCTGGCTACGAAGGCGTGTCTCCTCCCGTATAAGCTCAGAAAGAGCTGCATCAATAGTTGCCACTTGCCGATGTAAGAAAGAAGCACGAATCGGCTCAAATTCAGGACGGAGCTTCATGAGAAACTGCATGAGGCGAGAGCGAGATCGTTCCGCCATCATGTCAGCGGAGGCAGCAGTCGAAACAAGTGAGGCAGCAAGGAGATCGTACTCGGTCCAAAGACTGGTGATCTCCTGAAAATAAGAACGAATATCCATGTCGCCCTGTTTGAGCAAAGCAATCTGAGTTTCCAGTTCGAACTGACGAGACGCATCATTCTGAGTATATGTCGAACATATATGTTTCCACATGTCACTGGCATCGGTGAATCGACGAAGGCTAAGAGCCGTGGCCATGTCAACCGAAGAAGCGAGCCAGGTGACCACCTGTGCATTACCTGCAGTCCAGTCAGCAATGTCCGTCGCAGGAGAACCAGCAGCTGGTCGTGGGGATTGACCTGTCAAAATAGGAAGCAAGCGTCTTCCTTCCACAAAGTTACGAAACTGAAACTCCCACAAAGGGAAGTTCTTGCCATCAAACTTAGCCGAAAAACCATCCATCCTGTTAGAATCCATGAGATACGTGAGAAAAAATGACAACCTGATTACGAACCAGACAACAGCGGGGACTAGCAGCTGAGAGAGGAGGCCCGAAAAACAATTAATCCACCTAATAAAGGGCCGGACAAGAGCTACGACGAGCTGTGGAAAAACCGAAGACAAAGGAAGCCACCTGATGAAAGGAACCCGAGCGCCGCCAGAGGAAAGGACGCGCCGCCAGAGAAAATGGCACCGGGCGCGGAGAGAATCTGGTGCGGGCGCGTAGATGGGCACCGGGCGTCGGGGAGATTGACACCGGGCGAAGACGCGGGACGCAATCACCTGTTGCGGGGAGCAGGGGACGAGGAACAAGACAAAGGGAAAAAACCCTTTGCTGCAGCGGCGATCAGAAAACCGGCCGCCGAATCACAAATAACCAACGACTGCGCCAGGAACAATGGCGCCAGGAAAAGAAAACCCTTGGCTGAAAGATCGAATGGTGATCAGACAATTACCTAGCGAAATACGATTGCAAAAAATCTCAGATCGCAGGCTCTGATACCATGTCAAATAATCTAAGCAGAAAAGAAGAACACCAAAGTTTTTTAACGTGGTTTCGTCAATGTGACACTAGTCCACGGAGAGGATCTCCCTCTCAGGTTTTTAATCTTTCGTTTTCGTTAGTTTCTACAGAGATACAAAGGCCAATATATATATGTTTGGCCGCCAGTCCCACTCAACCCTAATAATGGACAATTACACATTGGTACATAAACTACTATAAATCAACAAAAGCGGGCAGGGAACCTGCCTTGAGAGCTGGGCGGCAATGGATTTGCATCCGGCGGGCGGCGCCGACTTCCATCTTCATCCTCCTTCCCCCTCAATCGTACTTGATCGGCGGATTGGCAGAGGGTGGCGATTAGGTTAGGGCGATAAAGACGGTAGGGGTAGTAGAGTAATTTGGCGTGAGGTTAGGGCGATAAATTCAAATTTTTAGGGCGACGATTAGTAACTCTCGAAAATAAAGGAAAAACTATTACTCAAAATTTCACCTCCGCCTCAATCACATTTTTCTTCCTCTCAGTATCTCTATCTAATGCATAAGGGGACCTTTAATTTGGTGTGGCTAAGAGAAAACAACAAAAAGTAATGGAGTGGCAGGGAGAAGGATAAGGGAAATCAAGAGATTGAGGTTCATTTGCTGCGTGGGATGAAGGCTACACGTGTAAGTGTGTAACTAATTAATCCAACTTTGCTTACCCCATTTATCTCCAACGTTCTTCATTTTAGTTGCCTCATTATTCACCTTCTTGCTTCCTTAGTTAATTGATAACTCCCATATGTACAGACAATGAAGACTACCCACTGATATATGTTACCGCCTTAAAATCATGCTATCCACGGGGATGAGATTAGGAGTTACAACTTATAATGGCTAATGGTTGAGCACGTGGGGTGGTTAATTCGCGGTTGATATCAATACACCTACAAATAATCCGAACATCAAATAGTGGATTTGGGTGGATTGCGGATTGGTAAATCTCCTACCCTCACTTATGTGAGGGGCTGGTGGGTGGATTGCGGGTGATCGGAATGTCCCGCACCCTATTTTCACATGGAAAAAAATGTTGTTTCTTATACTAATGAATATTCATCATATTTTCGAACCACGCTACAAACGAACAATCTTCTACTTATAAACAAAGGCGGAGAATAAAGAATAGTTTTGAATGTTATTGTTCGTTATTGTGTTGTACAATATCCATGAGATATTGGATATTAGGATGCAAATTATTGGTTAATATCCATTAGAGATTCGGATACAAACTATAAACTATTAATCCTATCAAAATCGCAAAATGCGTAAGTTTTCTCAACACAATTGGTTGATATGAAAATTTTGATGCAAATACTACATGGATTCACTTAAGACCAAGTGGGAAGTGTCTAAATTGATACAATCTTAATAATTTGCTAGAAACTTATTATAAATATTAGTCAACTTTCTTAATGGTTAATTGGAGAATAATTTTTATCTGTTAATTAACCCACGACCCAATAGCACCCATCTGCCACACACTCAACCCGACCCTAAGAATAATGTGGGTGGATATAACGGGTTACAATTATACCAACTCGCAAGTAATTAAGTAGGTGAGTCAATTTTATGCCAAAACCCTTCCCAACCCACTCATCGCCCACACCTATGGCTAATTATGAATAAGAGCCACGTGAGGCAAATATTGTATGAGGATTAGTAAAGAAGTTGATAAGTATCCCAGTTTAAATTGATGAGATTAATGCTTTAAATTTTATAGTATTTAAACAATTCTATGTCTACATATTCATAAACACTATTTAATTGTCACATTTTTTGGTTTCCATGCTTCTTTTCACCATATATGAAATGAATTTTTGGTGATTTGACCATCATAACTTCATGCTATTGAAAAAATTTATCCTTGATATAGTATTACAAATTTTCATGAGCAAAAGTCATGCATTTATATCTTGATAATTTCTTGAATATTATATGATGAATTTATGTAAACTTCCAACTCATCAAAGATAACGATATAAAATCAATCTACAATCAAAGTATCTTTTATTCTAATTCAATATTTCAATTATATATTCACACCATCCGCGGCAAAGCGCGGGCCAATTATCTAGTTGTATTTATTATCCAAACGTATTGTAACTTCTCAAAGTCTGTGCATTCATTCTGTTACCGTTACTTATTTCATAACGGAGCTCCACGTAATCATCCACGTCAGCGTACACATCAGAAATTAATATTTAAATATATTTTATTATTATAAATTTAAGGGTAATGTCTATTTATTAGCCAAAACTTTTCCAGATTCTTTTATTTTATCCAAACTTATTGGAATACTATTTATTAACCAAAGGTATTGTAACTAACCAACTCAGCATCCATCTCAGAAATTCATCAAATTTTAAATTTTAATTTATTTTTAATTTGGCTATCTTCATTTCCACTTCCTCCATCGCCTCCTCTATCAAAGGATATGTTAGATCCGAAAACCCAGAAACCAAAAGGTTTTGTTATATCTTTGTGGAGGAACGCAAAGAAGCAAGCGATGGAGGCAAAGTGACGAGAATCAAAGGCGGTGACGAGTAAGGTATGTTGGGGGATAAGAAAGTGAGTCTGATTGGCGAATCAGGAGTTATCGACAGCGGGGTTTGGTGGCCATACCGGGCACAAGGACAAAGTGGGATGGATGTTGTTGGCCTTGCTTCAGCAGGAAGTTGAAGGGATGAGCGGAGCTAGGGCGAAGCGGAGATGACTTCTTACTCGTCGCCGACGCTGTCGTCGTCCCTGCCGCCCCCGCGTCGAATGTCATCCATTTTTCTTCTACCAGCGACGACGCGGTCAAAGGGTGATATGGAGTGGATGAAGGGGTTGATCGATGGAGGGGATGGTGGTCTTATGAGCTCGTTGGGTTCGTCGATCAATCATGGTGCACGAAGAAGAAGAGGAATCAAAGGTCGGGGAATATGCAGGAGAAGGTTTTTTTTTTAATTTTCTCATCTATTTTATGATTTAATTAGTTTTTTAAATTTAAATAAAAAATTATGGGATGTTGACTGCCAGGTTGACATCCAACTCACACTCGTGATGTTGAGTCAATAATATTAACAGAATTGTTAACGGCAAGTTAACGTTTGGTTAATAAATAGTATTCCAATAGGTTTGGATAAAATAAAAGAATCCGTAAAATGTTTGGGTAATAAATAGACATTACCTTTTTTTAATTAAAAATAGATGCCCTCTTTGACCGCCATGTTGGCTTCCAACTCGGACTTATGCTGTTGAGTCAACAAACTTAACGAAACATTTAAACGATGGGGTAGCAATTGGATAATAAATAGAATTTTTCTAGTTTTGGATAAAATAAAAGAATCTTGAAAAGGTTTGGATAATAAATAGATATTACCAGCTTTTTATTTCATCCTATATGATGTTTAAGATGTTAAGTATGTGAGCAAATGTGTCTTTTAATTATGAAAAGAAATTATGTATCATAGATTAATTCGATACTATAAAATAACAAGATTTAGACAAGATAATATTTATTAACTAAATAGTTTATACTAACAAAGTAGAACATAAGATTAGATAATGTTGAACGTTTGACGATTATTTTTTTAACATGACATCTATCACATCTATCATACATAACATACAAAATGAATGTATCAAACATGAATCAAGATTTTTGTAAACAAGCATAGCTCGAGTGACTCGACTCAGCTCGTTAATTAACGAGTTCAAACTGAACTCGATTATTAACGAGCCAAGCTTAAGTTGGGGTAAACCTCCACTGCGTCATAAACCAGTTGGTCTCAATAACTCGAGTTGTTGGGAGAAGGTTATGCTGGATCTTAAACCACTCTCTAACACACCTCCTCAAACGAAAGCCAACTCATGGATTTGAAGGTTGCACAGGCCCACCATACCTTGTGCTTTAATCAGTTGTTAATATTGGAGGTCGTGGAAATTCGAACACACGGCCACTTGGCCAATCCAGCTCTAATACCATGTCATAATCCAGCTGGTCCCAACTCCCAATAACTCGAGTGGTTGGGAGAAGGTTATACTGAATCTTAAATCACTCTCTAACAGACTTGACTCGGCTCATTTACGGCTTAAGTGTAGGCAAGCTAAGTATTGACGTATTCTTTTCAAGTGGGGAGTAATTTTTGGGCTAAAGTATTCACATAGAATGAAATTCCTTTAAATGGACTTAATTCGCGATTTGTAGCAGTAATTCGCGATTCTAATGGTAAATGTGTTGGCGGGTATGAGAAGGGAGAGGACGAATTGGGTTAGACGAATTTGAAGTGTTCAATCCAGCATTGTTAGCTAAAATTGGTAAGCTATTTTGCAAGATCCTCACCCTTTGTCTGCCCCAATATATAAGGAGAAATACGTCTCTAATTATGCTTTTCTTCTCACTCGAGAAGATTATTGGCCTTTTGGAAGTGGTGAAGTGTTTTATTTTGCCGCGATCTCCTTTTGAAAGGGCTATGGTGGTAGGTCAGCTCATGATAATCCAAAATTGCATCCTAGTCCTCAATTGTTCCTTCTTAGTGTTGATCTAGCTTAAGTAGAACTGCAAATGAGTAGAGTCGAGTTGAGTTTCTACTTAGTTTGAGCTCGGTTCGAGTTTGGCTCGAACGCGAATTTTGATAATCCAACTCGAACTCGAGCTCGGCTTGATTAAAAATAATCCAACTTGAACTTGACTCGGTAGAGCTCGGTAAATGCTCATTAACACAGTTTGCCAAGCTGAGTACAAGCTCAACTCAAGATAAGCTTGATTTGAAATCATTCTCGCTGAAAAATGTGTACACATAAGAATTTAAATGATAAAAAGAACACTAGAAACTATAAATAATAGCTAACTTCCATACACATCCGAATTAACAAGTTAATCTTCATGTTCATAGGAGTACTTAATCCTTTCACAAGCTCTAAACAAGCCAGCTCGCGAGCTTAGTTCAACAAGCCACCAAATCAAACTAGCTCATGAGCTTATCAAGCTGAGCATGGTCTAGTTCAACCTTGGCTCGTTTGCTAAAGAGTCGGCTCATCAAGCTGGCTCGTTTGAAGTTGAGTTGAGAGGGTGAGATGAAATATTATTTTCTGGGGAGAAAACTTGGGTTCAATTGAGATTAATGTACCTTTGACTTATCTAGAAAACGATTTCTCAGACACAACTCACACCTTTTCATACAAAGTTTGAACAAGGGTGTTCGATTGATGGTTGCAAAAAACTAAGTTAAATTACTCTACTCTTATGGAGGTTCAGTGAGAGCACGAAACTAAAAAACTACGTCTATGGTTACACAATAGAAAAATGAAAAATAAAAAATGAAAAACTTGACATTTGTGTCAAGTGTTGGTTTTGGTAACCTTTGTCTCTATCAACCATCTCTCTTATTTATAGGAATGTGGAGATAACTGCCTTGGAGAACCGTCTGCTGAGTAACTTCCAAAAAGAATTGCTCCCTTCTTCCTCGGATGTGTCTTCAGACGTGAGATGAGTGGCAGTTGCTCCCTCTACTGCCTAGACATCTCTCTCTTGTTGGAGCTGAAGTTTTGGTGCTTGTCTTCTCTCTACCATGACCAGCATTTTGGGATTTTTCCAGAAATAGCACTGTTAATTTTTTTTTTCCAAAAATAGCACCCTTTTCTAGAAACCGCCACCCGTACTAGCGGTTTAGGCAAAAACCGCCACCTGGGGGCGCCTTTTTCGATGAAAAGCGCAGTGGTGGGGGGTGGTTTTGCAAACAGCACGGGGTCGTGGCGGTTTGGTTGCTAACCGCACCCCCACCATGTGGTTTGTTTGCAGGCCGCACCCCCACCATGCGGTCAGTTATTATTATTATTTTTTTTGAAAAATCCTAACCTAGGTGGAAACTTCAAACGAACGTATCTTTGTGTTCGGGTATCCGATCGTCGCGATTTTTTTTATTCCGCATAACTTTTTGAGATCTTGCAAGCTGAAGACTGCCAAAGGTGG